TCAATGACTGTTTGGGATTGCCGGGCCTTTTTTTTTGCCCCTGCATACGTTTCCACGCGGTTGCAGTGAACTCGCGTTCGAGAACAAAGGCATTATGTGACGATCTAGCACTTGACAGCGTCCCACTGTTTTGACAGTTCGGGTTGATCCATGGAAATAACTAGTTGCTTTAACCCTTAACACGTCTGGAAGGTTGACGATCTTGCCCCGGTGGGATTAATGCTTTTCTGATCTTCCGCAGGTCCCCGGGGAGGAGGCCGTCAATTTATAAGCGATTTTAAGAAGTACTCGTCTCGTGGCACAAACTTTGTTTACAACCCCATAATTCTTGTTGGATGAAACAACAACCTGGAGTGCTTTATGCATACAAGTATATTCGTAGAATTTTTCCACCTATCTTCCATCTACTTTAACAAGTGTTTAGCCCCATATCTGCCGCGCTGAGACGATCTACGAGTGCGTCCGCGTATGTGACAGTGTCCATCCTTGCCGTATATTGGTCTGCCTCCGATGAGGCTGCTCAAATGATTGTCCATTGAATATCAATTAATGCATGTCTCAGAAAGCTCATACTTGTACGAGTATAGCCTCATCACTAACCATCGGAAGAGCGCCATGCCACCCACGATCGAGCACGATCGTGCATTGATTGATCCAAGCCGAACACTTCATCGGAAGGATCCATACTGTCTCACTTGTTATCTGTCCCAAAAACCCTATACCAGCGTAGATCAAGAAGGTTGACCGAATCATACCAGGAGGGATTTAGCGCCAAGTAGATCTACACAAACTACAGATCCTTCCCCCCCCCCCCCCCATCGATCCAGTGAAATTGAACAACACGATTCAAGTTGAGCACTAACCTGGAAAAATCAATTCTGTCTCAACTGTTGCCCCTACTAATGAGTTTATTTAGACTAAGATCTGGTTAGCAGACCCAGTCATTTCGGGGAGGAATTTAGCGTCTGGTGGATCTATACGGAGGACAGAGTATGAGTACGGATCTTTCTCCCAATCAATCAACATGCTTGCACTATTCAGACATCCATTCCAAATCATTGACAGCCTCGTGCGGTTCGTTAGTCATTTTAAATGTGGCTATGTCTAGACTCTAAAGGGGTTGCCGTGTTACTCCCTGGGTTGTGAGCATGTAAAGTAACATCCAGATGGATACAGTGCGGTCATTGGAGAGATCGCGTGCGCGTGGATTCGGGCGATCAATCTCCATTCGATCAGAGCAGTGCGCAGTTCCGAGGCTGAGCCGATACTGATGTGCACAGTGTGGATTGCTCCCGTGGTGGTTGCGCATCCACTACGGAGTACGGAGTACGGTGTGGCATTCGCACACCTCTTGTGATGAGTTGAGAGGCGGCCGTCTCATTTCTTGCATTTCGCCCATGTCTGAGTTCAAATCCCATGTTTTCAGCTCGTCTCTACAACTCACCCGTCCAAGATTCAACCGAAGATAAATATTCGGGTCCACTCACAAGGGCATCCTGCTCGAGGTCGACCAAGTTGGAGGCTACAAGCAGAGTCACCGTGGTTGGAGTCCAGGTGCAGCCAGGGGTCTGTTGACAGATTGGTATAGGAACACAGGAGTGTCGGTGGCAAGGCTTGTCCCAGGTGAATATCACTTTGTATCCACTGCTCAAGTGCTGAAGTCACAACAACTTGAAGGTCTTGACAAACTCGTCCACGTCGTCGATATCTTGATGACTCCTCTTCGATCATCCTTCTCTTCCAAATCTCCTTTCTTTTTTATTTTTCTGTGCTCATGCTTCTCGTTCGCTTTTCTACGCCTTGTATACAATTACGGTGTTTTTCCCGATGTAAAGGTGGGTTTCTGTTGTTTTACCTTACTCTACCCAACTCAGTCGGAGGTTGAGGATATCAAGGAAATTTTAACTTCCTCCAAACATTAATCCATCGCCATTACAGTACACAGATATCTGTTCAGTCTAAATAGCCCGGTTTGATGTGCCCCGAGAAGAAAAAGAGAGAGAAAAAAAAAGACCAAGGGTGTCGACTCCAATCGATTATCATACATTCCAGAAAAGATTTCAGAAAAGAAACCGATGATCTTCCCGGATCAACAGCAGCGCAATGTTGCGATGGCTGGAACGATGGGCTGCAATACCTAATTCTCTGGTCTTTCTAAAGTTGGAGACTGTCGCCGCTTTGAGCACGTTTTTTCGCTGAAGATTAGTGGGTCGCGCACCTGGGCATGCTTTCAGAGTGATGGTTGTTTTTATCCACATGCCTGGTGTCCAAGGATACGGTGAAGCGGAGCTGATCCCATCCGTTACCAAGGTGTTTGCCTTGGTTGTTTTCATGTGGATGTAACTTCTTGGAGTTGATCACAGCTGGCTGAGAAGTATCATCATAGGAATTATCGTCAGCTGTGGCAGTGGCCCAGAGAGCAGATGCGTCGGTGCCACTTATTATTATAACTCGGGAATCTAAGGGCCTTCGACAATGGGTTCAAGTGGCAGCACGGTGTCTTCTTGAACCCTGTTTTAGTCTTCGTTAGATTCGAACTTGTCGACCTCGCCAGAGCCAACGATGCACCCCAGTCGTTGCAGTTGTTGGCGCCCTTCGCTCCGGAACTTAGAACTGATATTACCTGGGCCGACGGGTCTCTTTTGCCGGCACACTCGGGATTGTAGATTTGTAAATTCCACAAACAACATCACTTCCAGGGTTGCTTTACACCTGTAGACCCTGTCTAAAATACTTTGGAAGAGAATAAACAGCATGGAAGTAGCACTTGAATGCAAGCTACTTAAGTATGACCACGTCAAAGTCACCCAATTAGCCACGTGGAAGACAAGCATTGGGAGATCCATGGATATTCCGAACTTTAGGTTTCCATCAATATATTGGACTGTGATTCTCTGTTAGTACTAAGTAGATACCATTGTAGACTCCGTCTATAGATGTATCCCACCACTACAAAGCCTTTAGCGCCCGGTGATTTCCCGATTTCCCGTATTTTGAAATAACCTTGGGGTGCCTTCAGGCCTTGAATATACTTAAGTATATTCTACGCCTTAGGAAATGACAATGTTTTTTTTTTTGCCAACGTCTCCCAGTTCTAAGTAACTCAGAATGCTTACTCCATGCATGCAATCATCCGGGGCAATATGCACCACTACACCGCATCGAGTATCACTCATATGACCAAAGAAACTATTGAAGGATAGCGAAAGGTTAAGAATTGGATTTGCCGATAAGTCACGGGGCGAGTACGAGTTGTGGAGCCTCCAGGGCTCAGACCCGTTGTATAGAACAATAGTAGAATGTTCTTAGGTTTTGCCCAGGTGAGATTGGGTCAGTGATCAACCCAATTTTGGGTTTGAGAAAAGATCGCCAGGCTCCGTCGCTGGACTGCCTGGTGAATTTCATACGCCGGAGTACAGAGTAATCGGTTGATGGATGCGAGTTAGAAAACCACAACGCTAGGATGATACTACATACTCGTACCGTGGACGTATCTTGGCGAGTGCATAGTCGGTACGAAATTATAATTTGATTAGCATAAACAGAAGTACAAAGAGCTGTCAAGTTGCACAGGGCATTGGCGCGTAAAATCTTACCTAAGAAGCCCTGGAGCCTTATCAGGGTCTCCATCTCAAACTGCTTCTTACTGATTAATCTCTAACCTTGGCAGGTACTTTATCTAAATATAGAGACTAGGGCAAGAGTACGGAGTACGTACACTAAGCTTTGGTCCGGGGTTCAAGGGACAGACATCCACGGATTGCCCAGCGCAAAAAAAGAAATTGATGCATAAAGAACTGCACTGCCGTAATACCCGGGCCGCAGATTACCCGTCCCATACAAGTGTTTTTGCCAAGACCTTGGCAATCCGCCCTCACAGGGCTGATCGGAATTTAGGGCTGATCCCTTTTGCGAACGTGGGCAAGAGTAGAGAGAGAAGAGGCGCAGATGTGCTTAGCCACCTTCTCTACGGACTTAAAGAGATGGAAATAGAAACTTCAATACTCTACGGAGTCTACTCCGTACAGGTAGATCCTGAGGACGCGTTGAGCAAAGCCACAGTCGGCGCAGTATAAGTAGTAGGCAGCATCGTTCTGATTAGTTCGGGGAAACTAAACTTAGCAACGCGTCCACAGGCAATCTAATGTACGAATCCTAAGGGAATGTGTGTAAGTACGGAGTAAAATCGGTACGCGTAACGTAAGTCCCTTATTGTTGAGCGGCTAGTTGTTTCAGTAATAATTTAAGCCGATCCTCCACATTATTGGAAAAAAACTACATATAGTCTCCTTTCTCCCTCTGTTCCCTCTGTATCCAACACATCCTATCAACTCACCTACACAATGTTCAACTTCAACTTCTTCAAGTCCACTCCCACTGAGTCCACTGAGGGCACCTGGAACCCCAGCACTGTCACTATGCAGCCCACCAGCCCCGCTGCCCCTTCAAGCAACCAGGGCGTTGTCTCCGAGCAGCCAGTATGTTTTAATCGCCCCCAAGCAACCATGACAACCCAACTAAATTCTTCGCAGTCTTCCCAAGAACAGATGCAGCTGCGCGGTGGTGGCGGTGGTGGTATCTGCTGCGGAGTGTAAGTGATCCCCTCACCAGGTCGCGCATAAGCGAAACATAAGCAGAAAACTAATATTCCCTAGGTGTGCCGGTATCGCCTGCTTCGAGTGCTGTGAGATCTGCTGCTAGACGATAGCACCTCCGATTAGACGTGGCCGCTGATATGCATGATGGATGTCAACGTTTGGACATTTGGTTATGAACTACAAGCCACGCTGTCAGCAGTCTGCGATGCGATTTCTTGATGGTTTAATTATGTTATGTCGGACTTTTCTACGCTATACCCCAGAACAATGCCAGTGATGGAGTTATCCTTTTCACAATTATTTTTTCTTTTGGAGTAAAAAGCGGGTCGAATCAGATCCATCTGGTGTCATTTCATTCGTAGTCTTTATTTTGGTAAATTAGCAGCATCTTGAGTCTCTCTACTATGCAAATGACCGACGAGAGATAGCGCCTCGTAGTGCAGCATCGACATCAGCTGTCCGGAAGCCTGGGGCGCGACCAAGGATGCGGAGGTTGGGGAGTAGCACTGTTAATGTTAATGCGGTGAACATGAGCAAGCGAAGGGGAAAAGACCCACGATCAAAGAAACACTCCACGTCCAAAGTATAAGCCTCTCTTGGGTCCACTTGATCGAGAAACACACCCGGCGAAGCATAGAGGCTAGAAACACTCGACATAGGCGAAACCCCATACAAAGCACCAACCAACGCCTCCGGGACCCCCAATCTAAGCGCTCCATCAAGCGCAACGCCCCGGTGTTCCAAGTACCCCTGCACATCATGACAATCGAACCACTCACCATCAAGATCCAACGAGCGAATCCTCTCCTCGTCCCCCGTCCCCAGCCCCAGCCCCACAGGATATGAATCCCCACTCCAATCCTCATCCCAGTCTCGAATCCCACCGCGCTCCAGGATCCTCTCCATCCGCCTTAAGATTCTGCCCGGTCTCCGTGTGTTCTCTGGGAAGACGGGCCGGCCGTCCCGCAGTTGGGGAAAATGTGTACCTGCACCGCCAAGGGTGTAGTACGGCATCTTGACGTATTCCAAATTGCTCCCTATTTCCGATTGCAAAGTGCGTCGGAAATGCCGTCTGATGCCCGGCATGTCATGGATGCAGGGGACCAATCCGAAGACGCGACTGAGTTGCGCTGGTGGAGTATTTGGGTCCGTCAGCCAGCGGTAGGTATGCTCCAGGCAGAACCTTTGGAGACGGCGGGAGAGGTTGGATTCTTGATGACTGTATGTGTAGATTGTGGCTGTGGGGAGGATACGGTTGATCAGTGGAGATGGAGATCTGGGACGGATACGTGAGATAGTACGAGTATTGTTCTGAGGCTCAGTGCCTGAGGCATGTGAGACATGATAGCCGAAGATATCTCTCTGGTCGGCATTCTGGATTGGAGCGTCATGGTCGGTAGGAGTGGCTCTGCCTAACTCTGCAAGAATAAGTTCTCGTGTGCGTGCCAGATAGTCGGCGCTTGGGGGCGCTCCACTGCCGGCATCGTGCGCGAGGAGATCGGATACATTGGCTAGCGTTTGCTCCAGCGAGTTTACGCGAGATCTGAGTGCCTGGATGGTAGCTTCTTTCTTGTTTCTATACGTGCGTTGCGCGCGTCGAATCTGAAGGCGACGTTCCTGTGGACCTGGTTAGTACAGCCCAGAACACATACGAGTATCTGTGGCAGCCACAAGTGGACCTGGCGGGATCTACCTCGATGGCTGCGGCATCTTTGATAGTTTCCAATTTCGGCCTGCCTCTTTTCCGGGCGGGACGATCCGGAGCTGCCGAGCTGTTGTCGAATATCCCCGAGACCTGATCGGGGGTATTCGGTGCTCGAGAAGGCAGGTGCTTTGGAGTTCTCGGACGCTCCGACTGATGGGGTTCGGGGCTAAGTTTCTTGTCTTTCTGCGTGTGAGGTCGCTCGTGTGACAGGTCCAAGTAGGACCTGGAGGACAACATGTCTGATAGTATTTTTGGATCTCTCTCCGAATCTCTCTCCGAATCTCTCTCCATTGCTTGAGAGTTGCTACTGGTAATCTAGGATTTTCGAGGTGATGAATTGACCGTAATCTTTGATCACTCATCGCCAAGGACAACCTCGGCATGAATAACGGCCAATGCGCCACACTAATGCGGGTGCACCCCACAATCTGCAGAGTTTTGATGCATCTGGAAGAATCGTCACAAATTCTTTGTTTTGAACTTCATTCCAGTTTGAGAGCGCCTGTTGACATCAGAGACGCCTCAGGTCAGACGTTCATGTGAAATACTCGTATATGTCCTCGTATAATGGAGCCTCTCGAGCCATCAGCTCGTACCGGGGCAGGTGATGGATTCGGTTTGTGCCGTGTGGACTCGAACAGGCTGTGGAGCTCAAATGGAACGAATAGAACAACCACAAAGCATACAAGTCAGCACACAAACACGGACGGTCCGAGAGTCCGATCGGACACGGTGAAGCAGAACACCAAATTCACCGGGTCCTATGACGCACCAAGTAACAGGTCCGAGATTGGATCGGACAAGGACTTTCAAACGAGCGTGAAATCCGGCGCACGATCGCTTCTGACCTCCGTACTGTATTTCATTGGTTCGTTGTGCGACGATCAGACCGCATTAGGGGATTGCATTCCAGTAAGTTTCCATTCCCCACTTGGACCGAGGCTGGTAAGGTTCATATAACCTGCAAGCTGCTTGCTGCTTGCTCAGGGTCTTTGCAACTATCCAGAAAAATGACGGCGTCGTTCATTCTGGGTTTCACGGCCGCGGCCATTGTGCTGCAGGTCATTCGTATGATCGTGAACTCGTGGCAACAGTCGCGCCATGCCAAAAGTCTGGGCTGTGGCAGCGTGCCACTGTATCCCTGCAAGGATCCCTTTGGGATCAACAACCTGAAACAGTCTCTGGCGGCCGACAAGGAGAATCTGGTACCAGAGCTGGCTGAGAAGCGCATCAACGTGATCAGTGAACAGGAGAACCGCTACGTCACCACCTTTTCTATCCGCAACTTGGGCCGCACACACCTCTTCACCATCGACCCCAAGAACATCCAAGCTCTTCTGGCGACTCAGTTCAAGGACTTTGAGCTCGGTTCCGTTCGCCGGGATAGCATGCACCCGCTGCTCGGTACTGGTATCGTGAGTATCAGACCCCAATCGGTCAGTCATCAACAATTAACATGTGATAGTTCACCGCCGACGGAGAAGAATGGACCCGCTCCCGTGGCCTGCTGCGACCTCAATTTACCCGTGAACAAATCAGTCAGTTGGATTTGGAAGAGGAGCATGTCCAAAAGGCCATGCAGGCGTTGCCCGTCGCGGCCAACGGCTGGACCGCCACCACCGACATCCAATCCATCTTCTTCCGTTTGACCATCGACTCCGCGACTGAGTTCCTCTTCGGAGAAAGTGTCGAGAGCCAACTCGGCGCCCTCCACAACCGCAACAGACCCGAAGACTCCTTCGCCGCATACTTCGATAAATCACAATGGGTCTGCGCGCAGCGCTCTCGCTTCGAGAAACTCGCATTCCTCGCCGAGAACAAGGAAACCAAGCACTCTGACAAGCAGGTTCACGCCTTTGTGGACAAAGTGGTCTCCAACGCCTTATCTGCAACCTCCGAAAAGAAGCCCGAGGATAGCTCCTACGTCTTCCTCGAGGCCCTCCTCCAAGTGACCCGCGATCCAATCGAGCTCCGCTCCCAACTCCTCAACATCCTCCTCGCAGGTCGCGACACTACCGCCTCCCTCCTCAGCTGGACAACACTCATGCTAGCCCGCAACCCAGAAGTCTTCGCCAAGCTCCGCGAAACAATCATCTCCACCTTCGGCACCTACTCCAACACCCAGAACATCACCTTCGCCGCCCTCAAATCCTGCCAGTACCTGCAGTACGTGATGAACGAGGTTCTGCGTCTGTACCCAGTTGTCCCATTCAACCGCCGCAACGCAACCCGCGACACCACAATTCCCCGCGGCGGCGGCCCAGAAGGCCTAGACCCCGTCTTCGTTCGCAAGGGACAGTCCGTCATCTACACCACACATGTCATGCAGCGCCGGAAGGACCTGTGGGGACCTGATGCGGACCAATTCAAGCCCGATCGCTGGACGAACCGCAAGGCTGGCTGGGAATATATTCCTTTCAATGGCGGGCCGCGTATCTGTATCGGGCAGCAGTTTGCGCTCACAGAGGCGGGATACGTGCTTGTTCGACTTTTGCAGCGCTTCGATCAAATTGAGGATGTTTATCCTGATCAGAAGATTCGGTATGGTCTCACTTTGACCAGTGCGCCCGCTGATAAGGTTACTGTGCGTATGCACCAGGCTGAAGATGCCTAAGTGTGTGTTTCTTTGGGGGACAGATCCCTGCATGATATTGTGGGTGTAGTTGGGCGCCCCTGGACTAGTCGCTTGGCTAGATAGGAGGCCCTGAGGGGTTGTTTCAGTATATAATTTTGGGTCAGTCTGAAGACTGGCATACATACTACCTGAGAGCTATTTGCTCATGATGATGATGACCTCGTGAGAATGATATCTTTTATGATTTTATTAAATACTTTCCCCGATGCCGTAGTGCCTCGAATCCAAGAGGCTTGGTCGTAAGCCATCATAAGCACCCACACCTGTTTCAAGGTCGCTGTTGACTTGAAACGACTGTCCAGGTGGAGACTGGATCTGAATGCATCGATTCTTGGGGGGTTGACAAGGTCCGGACGGATCACTGGGTATTGTGTTACTAGTGAGGGGTTACAAATTCGAAATTTTGAGGTGAAAAAGTGAAAAGAGCAAGTCTCTACGTGAATTTATGTAAAAGAATATATCAAAAGAGAAGGTAAATATAAAAAGTATGTGAAAGAAGACATCAGTCCGAAAGAAAAGCGAACCCCAAACCACCAGATCGAAAACTATCCCCTTTTATGTTTGCAAGTTCAAGCCTCGCAGAACTCATTTAAACACACTGGGAGTAGTAGGGGTTCTGCACGACACAGGTAGAGCCGGACTCGCAAGCCGTGGCACCGGTGTAGTTGAGACCACCACACTGGTAGTACTTCTTAACGGTTCCGTTGGCAGCAGTGCTGGGAGTGGCGCTGCTGGAGGGAACCTCAGTAGCGGCCTGGGTGGAAGAAGGAACGACGGTGAAGCTAGGGGTGGCAGTGGTAGTGGGAACGTCGACGGGGATGGAAGTCACAGTGGTAGGAGCGGGGGCGGGGGCGGAGGACTCGACGACGGGGATGGAAGACTGAACAGCAGGGGCGGTGGAGCTGGAAGACTCGGTAGCGGCGACCTGGACCTGGCTGTTGGGGGTGCTGGTGACCTCGACGGCGGCAGCAGTGGTGGTCTGGGCGGCAGTCTTGGTGGCGGAAGAGGTAGAGGAAGAGGCGGAAGAAGAGGCAGAGGCAGAGCCATCGACGAAGTATTTCTCGAGGATGGGGAGGTAGGTGGAGTAGGCAGGGCCCTCGTTAGGCTCCAAGCTGTACATGTAAGATCCCCACATGGGACCAGCAGACCACCACTCGGCGCCCATCCAGACGTCGCTGTTGTCGGACATGTAGGAGAGCATGTTCTCGACAGCCTCCTCACAAACGCTGTTGACACCACCGGCGAATTCACCGATGAAACCCTTAAGGTTGTTGGTCTGCAGCCACTCGGTGGCAGACTGGAGGCGCTCCTTGCCGATGGTGGCGCTGGAGCAGGTCTCGGAGGTACCGGAGCTGTCACCGTCGAGGTACTGGTGCATCTCGTAGACGATCTTGTCCTCGGAGTCGGTGAGACCCTTCAGGTTGTCGTTGTTGTCGGTCCAGGAGTGGGCTCCGCTCCAGGAGTTACCCTCGACGAAGATGTATTGAGTGGTGGCACCGGCGGCACGGATACCATCGATGGCGGCCTGGTTGAGGTTCAGGACAAGGGTCTGGTCCATGTCGTGGTACTCGTTGTCTTGAGAGTTGTTAGTGGATGCTTTGTTTGTACGTTTGGTTTGAATGGCTCACTGGTGTCGAAGATGACCTTTTCGTTGGAAGCGAACTCGGTGGCAACGTTCTTCCAGAAGGTCTTGAAGTCGGCGGTGGAAGAGATGACACTTCCAGAGCTAAAGGAGAATCGTTAATACCATAGATCATAGTCCGTCCGGTTTGTCGTCACTTACTATCTTCCATAGTTGTGGGGGTCAAGGACAGCGTAAGCTCCGCCCTCGGTGATGGTAGCAACGGTCTATAAAGCAATTAGATATTGTTCGGAGGTGGTCTCTATCACAAGTTGCAGTGAGCGTACCTTCTTCAGGGCAGCCATGTAGGTAGCATCGGCAGTACCGGTCATGGTGGATGGCACCAGGCGCTCCATCAAGAAGGGAACACGGAAGATGTTCATGCCAGCCTTTCTCAAGGTCTGGATGCTGGAGGTTGCGGGCCAGGCGTAGTCGGTGCCGGCGGTACCGGGGATGTTACCCTCGCCGAACTCAGCACCGGACTCGCTGACACCGACCCAGGTGAATCCATTGCCGCGCTTGCTGACAGCGGCACTCTGCTTGGTGTGGACGGTCTGACCTCCGTGGGGGAGAGCGCAGGCAACGGATGCTGCGCTGGCAGCGAGAGCGAGGTTGGTGAACTTCATCTTGAGATGTAAAAGAGAGTGACTGTCGAGTTTGACGAAAGAATGTAATGGTAGGATAAGAAAGAACGAAAACCAAGAAACCAGTTCTTGAGGATGGAATGAAGAGAATGAATGGACAAAAACCAGAGGCCAAGCTCCAGGGACTGTCTGTTATATAGCCATGTCCTTTCTCGTGGCGTCAAACGGCCACTGTGGATATTGAGAAGTCATCTGTGACAGAGTGGAGGCATCCTTCGAGGGCCTCCAAAGTACGAGCAACTACTCGTACCCTGCAGGATTGTTTTGGCTTAGAGCCGTCGCCACTAACCCTGAAAGTCGCAGGACACACCCGTTCTAGACGATGGATCTCCCCACCGGAGAAACCAGAGGAACGATCCTATTGCCCAGACGCCAATGGTTCCAGCACGGAGGGCCAGGAGGGGGCAAGTTCGTGGATAGCATCAATATATCCCCTAATGAACCTCAATCTATCGGAAATTTGCCAGCAAGGCTTGGCCCTGTGGCCTGATGATAGGAGCCAGAGTGGATGTGCGATCACTGCAGGGCCTGACGGACAGTGACCAGACTAACGAAAGCCCGTCTCACCGTCAAAGAAAAGTAATCAAAAAGAGATTATTCTGATACACTTCCGGGGTCGCCTATCCTCTCTTGGGGGTGGCGGCCGAGGGACAAGCACCGGGTAAATTGATCCATGCTCAAGGTGAAACACGACGGGGCGTTTAGTATCATCACCGTTGGGATGCCCGGCATAATTCGCCTAAACGACGCCGGAGGCTCCATTGGAACTATGGAAACCGGTATTGCAGATTAAAGTTGATATACAGCTGGGCTGTATCACATCGCGGCTGGGTGATGATCATCCTCGTTATTAGAGGTGTCCCGTTCAAAGTGTTGGAATCGAGTGCGGAGTCTGACAAAAGACCCAAATTCACATAATCATGCGTGTTCTGTGTTGTTCTGGGTTCTGGGAAATTGAATTGGGTCTTTTTGAAATTCAAGTCTTGAATCCGAAGATTGAAGCAAAGCAGATTATTTCAGTCGGGAATCCTTTTCGGAAGGAGGGGGGAATTTAAAGACAAAATAATTACTGTGGGCGGTTTCGAACCGGAGGTCTTGAATAATACAGTGTCACATGACTTATGTCTAGCAGTCTGCCGGAACGAGCTTTTGGCTGTACAAATGAAGACAAGCCTCTCCTGCAATAATGAAGCTTGTGTAAAAGAAAAAAAAAACTGGTAGCTTCTCTTTGATTGAGCGTGTCATCCTTAGTGCAGGGGCCATGCTAATCTTCTCTGTATATTTTCATTTGACCAAATGCCCCGAAGGGCGAAAAAGCAGACCTTAAAGTTCATTATAACCTCTGTCTTTTGGCATAAAGATACCGCTTTCTAATTTGGTCGTGGTGGGGGCGGAACACCAAAACGAAAGCAAGTACATATGTAGACGAATTAGATCCATGGACGAGAAAGACTCTCGGGTGCGTTCAATTAATCAATTATAGTCTATCTTGCGTTGAGGCTTGGGTAATGTCAAATTCAAATGAATGGTCACCTTGTCCGAGTGGGACAGCCTGAGCATTGTTGTCATACAACGTCCTCTCAAAGTACCGTACTCGTCCGTCCCGTCGTGCCAGCAGAACAGTCTGCTTCTGCGTTCCGTAAGAGCCGCACGTATAGCTTTGGTCCACAGGGCCGTTGGAAGGAGTGATGGTATCTTCCACCCGGGCGGCAGCTTTCTCTGCGGTTTGATTGAGATCATTGGCTGAACCGATGACCGGGATGAAAATACTCTTGCGCAGATGGTGAATATATGTATCGATAGTGGCGTTCTCTTCTGACAACCGAGGCAAAGTATCTGTGCTGAGGACCTGTAACAGTCGATCAATCAAGGCACCTTCGTCTTCTTCTGCTTGCACGTGGTCCGCAATCGCAGATTCCATCAGCTTCTCGCCATCGATGATCTTAGGCCAACTTCGATCGTCTACGCTGGTGTTGCTCAGTCCACGGGTCTGGTTCTTCTCCGTAGCTACCCAAGTGATATGGTCCATGTCAGAGGCTCGGTTGGAGACTATGGCGAGGGGTTCGTTGATGTGCCCGCACACTAGACTGAATCCGCCCACTTGCTTGGCTTCCGGGCTGGCCACGATGGCTTGCACAAATTCCCGAGTGGCTTCTTGTCGGTTTGGGGGGCTAGTCAGCCAGTTGTTGACGATGAGGCCACGGCTGAAAACCCCAATAGCTTCACTGGCTTTGTCTTCGCGATAATTTGTTAGCACGGCTAACTTCCCATGCTTGGTGACGCCCATCCAAGTGCCGTGCGTAGATCGGGCGAGGTCGCGTGATCCGAGGACATGCGAAGATGGTTCCGGCCACCAGTCTGGCGCGGATGTAGGCCGGTGAAGGAATTCCTAGATCTGTTAGCTTGTGCGGGTGAGCTGGATATCGAGTGATTACATCTCGATTGTCGATTACGATCAAGGAGTATGATGGGTGGGCTGTTGAGATCAATGCGATGCACATTCTTTATAAGTATGACCAGCAGGAGCAGCCTTGGAATGCAAAAGGTTCAATACACCGAATCAAATGGCGTCGCATAGGTGTCGGGAGTAAGGGTTTAAGAGGAGAGGGGAGAGGCACGCCCAGAGCTTAGGCATCGGGTGATTGGGCCGATTCCGAAGAGATTCAAGACCGGGCAATATGGTGCCATCAAGCCATATAAGGAATTTTTGGAGTTACAGTTGAAGTTACAGTTGATTCTATACTTGGTTCTAACATATATGCCCGCATACTTCGTACATGTAAGGTCACTGACGTCAAGACCGAACCGCGGAGCTGATATCGACTCGTTATCGTGATGTGATCTTTTCTTTTGTTTTTCTGTATAGTCGGGCTATTCTGGGTTTCTCTCCTTTTGAAGCTTTGTTTCGTTTTCTATTTTGATCAAATTCCCCTTTTTATCTTTGTTGCCTACTCAGCCCCATTTTTTTGTTCCCTCGGTGTTCTCCAGACAGCGGGGCTGATTTGGAGATTAAAAATCACGAGTCTCTCTTCTTAACTTTTTTTTGCTCCTACAAACACCGCTGCGAGCAACATCTCACCATGTTCGGAATCTTCGCGGACTTGATGTCGTAAGTGTATTTCCGACTCTTCAGCTTCAAGCGGAGAAAGTGGTCCCACTGTCAGCTAACGCAGATCAATCCCATAGCTCGGTCATCACGATCTTCTTCCCCGTCTTCGCTTCGTTCAAAGCCCTCCGCTCCTCCGACCCCTCCCAGCTGGCACCATGGCTGATGTATTGGGTGGTCCTCTCGGTCATTATCTGGGCGGAATCCTGGACTTACTTCATTATCGGCTGGTACGGTTGGACCATTCACACTTAACACTTAAACGTGATCGCAAGCTGACCACTCGAATACTACAGGTTCCCATTCTATAGCTGGATTCGCCTCTTCTTCCTGTCCTACCTCGTTCTTCCCCAGACGCAAGGGGCTCGCCTGATGTACCAAGGCTACGTGGATCCATTTTTGGCACACCATGAGCGAGAGATCGAGGAGATGATCGGCCACACCCACGAGAAGGCTAAGGCGCTGGGCCTGCAATACTTCTACCAAGCCATCGAAATGATCCGGGAGAAAGTTTTGGGTCTACCTCCCCAGCGCCCTGAAACCCCTTCCCAGCAGGGTGGTGCTGCTTCATATGCGCAATCGCTGCTCTCTCGCTTCAACATCCCCACTGCTGGAGCCGCAGCTGCCTCTAACGACTGGTACTCCGTTCTCAGCTCCGCTGTTGGCGCTGCGACATCTACCGGACGGTCCCGCGAAGCCCAGGATGAGCACCTTTCAGCCAGCGGCACTCTCCTCCAGCGCCAAATGCAGTCCATGTCTGGTGCCGAGAAGGCGCAGTTCATTTCCTCCCAGCGAGAGCTATTGGATCACCTGCGATCAACCTTGACCCGTGAGGAACAGAGCACCCCCCGCGAGTCGGAGAATGACGACTTGGCCTACGGCGTGCCCCTCCGCAAGAACCGAAGCGAGAACTCTTTCGAAGTTGTTGACAATGAGGATCTCGGTCGTCGCTCGGACTTCAAGACCAGCGGCGGATGGTCTACTGGATGGTTTAGCAACGAGCAGGACTCGTCTGGGTCATCCGGAACGGATTTCGCGGCCCGTGCCATTGACGAGATCGCCCGGGCGCGCGCTACCGGGTACGATCGATCTTGAGTGTGGAATGTTGGGTTGGTTACTTCCTAGGGTCGGGTAGAATCTGGGAAACACTAAAATAGAAACCTCAACAGCTTGCTCTCTCGCTGGGTGAGAGACAGGAAAATGACCTCGGGGAGGTCTGTGTGGCTTTCTTAACTTGCTGAATAGCGATATCATCAAATCAGATTTGACTTATCATGAATACCCGTTGGACAGCCGAGGATGTCCGTCCGAATCCCTCCGGTCGGAGGAATACTATGCATAAGGACGTTCAGATGCAGCCTGCAAGGACGGGTGATCGCGAGTAGAAGTATTTGATATGACTCCTTTTCTTGCTCCCTAGGGTTTTCTTTCTCCTCTGGGTACTTAAGTAGTGCGGAGTATTACTATTGCCAATGAGCCAAGGGGGTATCCCTTTGTGAAGCAACAGCCACTAGGTCAGGAGCTAGGGACAATACTAGGTAGAGGTATAGGAGTACCCCGTAGTCTGTAGTCTATTGACCAAGAACAATAGATGTCTATATATGGATAGTCAATGAAAGAATTCGGAGAGGGGAAAGGGGAGATGAGTAGATATGTGCCCAGGTTAATAGAGAGATGTAAAGTGTGTTAAGTCCATATAGAGTCCAAGTATAGGTCTATAGCATGTACTCTAGAGCGTGGCAAATGGGGAAATCGAGATGGGGCAAAGGTTCCAGATCGAAGAACAAGAGAGCAGAGAATAGTCAGAGTTAAGAGTCATATCTAGGCACCAATTCGTATACGAGTCTGTTCTTAGACCTAGTAGACTACTTAGTAGTAGTAATCCTAGTCCTAGTCCTACTCGTAGTCCCGTACCCTGTGGCCTTTGTACGGAGTACACGCACATCAGTGGCGTTGGCTTAAAAATGTAAAATTATTTCCTCAATAAATCTTTGATCTTTCACATCCCCTCTACATTGTAGAATCCCCATCCTAGAAATCATCTAGGGAAGAAAGATCGTTGGTGAGTTGCACGCCCTTTCGTTTTCCACAAACCCCGAATTTTTTCCACCGAAACAACTTTTTTTCTTCGATTTCCTCCCACCAACTTTCACCAAACCTCAACACACTCGCAACTGTAGACCAAACGCCGCATCTCTTGCTGCGTACCTGGTCTTCATTGCATCTGGAACTCGTTTCCTTTTTTTTTTTTTATTTAAACCACTTGATCCCTTTTAACCTGCGATAGGTTTGGATGTGGCCCTGTCACGCCTCTACCGCGCCTTGATATCACCTCGATACCCCTTTCGCTCGACTCTCGCCCTCTTCGCGCGTTCAGACGGAAACCAACCTGTCTAATGACCTCGAACCCTCCTCAGTCGGGCCCCCAAGGACAAAGCACCGCTACACCCGCTTCGACCCAGCCCGCATCTTCCCAGCCCACCCAGGCTGCTACTTCCTACGCCAACGCGACCAAGAAGTCCGCGACGGACTCGACCGCCGCCTCCGCCACCGTGAGCGGCTCAGCGCATAATGGGCAGCAGAGTTCTGAATCTTCAGTGAACGGAAAACCCATGCAAAACCAACCTGCCGCTTCGGGCGTCACCATCGTCAATGGGGCTCCCACTGCTCCAGCTGCCGGCGATCACTCTCGCAAGCCCTCTGTGACCATCACTTCCAGTGGTACCTCTGGATATATTCCCAACGGTGGCGCTCCTGCCAGCCGCCCCAACAGCCTGCAGTTCGGGTTCGCAAACCAACAGAGCTCCCCCAACATGGGTGCTCCCGCTGTCCCTGCTTCCAACCAGGCTCAGTCTGGTCTCGGTGCGCCCTCCACCAACCCCCGTGTGACGTCTCCTCAGACCTCACCCTCGCCCATCCCTCAGCCCGCTTCTAGCGGTGGTCGTCCTCCTCCATCTACTTACCAGGCTCAAGGAAATGTGCCCAACTTCGGTAGCTTTGGAGAAACCGGTGATGCCAACGTACGTATCTTACATCCCTGTCAATTTTGGTCTTGATGCGCAATTTTCGTTACCTGCGCGGCAATGTCATGCGCTTTAACCTCAAAATTTGCCCTTTTGTGTCGATATTCTCTGTCTTTGAAAATTTTTTTCTTTTCTTTTTCATTGCCTGTGTTCCCCCCCAAATTCCAATTTTCCATGCTAACATAGTGCCTTTTTGAACCAACAGGCCCCCCACGGACCTCCTCACATGCGCCGCGAGTCATCTCAGTCCACTCACAGCGATAACATGAACGGTCCTGGTCGCGGTGGTTACCCTCACCAGGGTGGCCGTGGTCGCGGATACTCTCAGTCTGGATACCAGGGACAACAGATGCCCTACTCACCCAACCCTAGCTTCCGCCAGACCCCCAATCAACCACGAGGCGGTCCCAACATGGCTCCCCAGTTCCACGGCCCCAACCAAGGCCGCCCCCTGGCTCCCTACTCTCCTCACCAAGCCCAACGTAGCCCTGCCTTGGCCAATGTTAACCCCACCACTCCCCAGATGGGTCAGGTCCCTATGGCTCACCCTAACATGCCCCCCCAGCCCTACGGTTACGGCCAACACATGGGTCCCCAAGCTGTGAGCCCCCCCTCTTCTTTGCCCCCTCGTGCTTCCCAGAACCCCCCGCGCCGTGGAAACCACCAGAAATTCAGCAACTCCAAACGTTTTGGAAAGCAACAAGAGCCGGTCTATTCAACCAGACTTCCCATGGATCTTGCGCCTGAGAGTGGTCAATTTGAACAATTTCTGACATATATGCAACAACAACAGGCTTACACCGGTGGCTACGATCCCAACTACGCCGGTTACTACAACCAAGCTGGTAGTGGTTACTACATGACTCCGCCGTCGCCTCAACCTCGTGCTGCGGGTATGCCTTACAACAACAACCAGTACATGGGTCAGCAGTACCCTGCGCCGATCCCCCAGGCGGCTCCGCTTTCGCGTACCCCCTCCCAAGTTTCTACTGATCGTCCAGGTTCGAGCCTTGGCCAAGGACCTGCTCCCACTGGCCCTGCTACCCCCGGTCACACTCACACTGCCAGCCGAACTTCCAACTCCCCTGCTCCCAAGCCACACTTCATCATTCCTTCCGCTAAGAAGAGTGCGGCGATTGTCATCAAGGATCCTAACAGCGGCTCTATCAAGACTTTCGACAAGAACCCCGGATCTCCTGCGCGCGCTACTCCTTCCCCCGTAAAATTCAGCACTCCTCCCACATCTACTCCCCCACCTCGCACTGCCAGCGCCGCCGAGCACACTCGTTCCGACAGCAAGGCCAACGCTGCCAAGACTGATGAGGAGAAGAAGCAGGAGTTGAAGGATGCCGTCCGCTTGAAGATTCAGCAAGACGAGGCTGCCCAAAAGCAGCGTCTCGCCGAGGAGGCTTCCAGCAAGCCCACCGAAGCCGAACCCACCCCTGCTAAGAAGGACGAAGTCGAGACTGCTCGCGCTGCCGTTGAGGATCTTTCCATCAAGGAGAAGGCTACTCCCGTCGAGGAGACCAAGCCAGTCCCCGCGGAGGAGCCCAAGCAGGCCCCGGCTCCTGCCCCTGCCCCCGCTCCCTTGGATGACGATGAAATCGACTTTGATGCCATTGAGCGTGAGATGGCCGAGATAGAGGCCAAGGAGCGTGCTGCCGAAGAGGATTACAACCGAAGCAAGGCCGAGAAGAAGGAGAAGGCTGAGCGCCAGGAGCGCGAAGAGCTTGAGAATTACGAGGCCAACATGAAGAAGGCCGAGGCTGAAGCTGAAGCTCGTGAGATTGCTCGCGAGCAAGCTCGTGCTAACGGTGGATCTGCCACGGAGGATAGCAAGGACATGTTCGCCGCTCTCAAGAAGGGTGGCCTTGGTGCCACCGAGACCAACACTGAAAGCGGCGCCGACACTCCCGTCTCTGACATGGGCCCTCCTTCCAAGCCCGCCAGCGCTGCTGCCAAGAAGCCTGCTGGCCTCAAGCTCGATACCCCCAAGCCCACAGAGCCTTTGCAGCCTACTGCGGCCATGAAGTCACTCGAAAACGCTAAGTTCCTTGTTGATCTCAGCAAGGTTACTTACCCATCCTCAATCAACCCTCCCAACGCTGTTCTGAATGATGCCGCTCCTGAGGGTCGCAAGTTCCACTACGACCGGGACTTCTTGATGCAGTTCCAGGCCGCTTTCAAGGAGAAGATCTCAGTTGACTGGGACTCACGCGTGCGTGACACCGTTGGTGACCCTACTGACTCTGCCCGCCAGGGTAGCCGCACCCCCAGCATGGGCGGTGGCCGCAACCCCTCTCGTGGTGGCATCGGTGGTGGTAACTTCCAGATGGGCGGTTTCGTTGCACCACGCCCTGGTCAATTGCCTCCTATGGGCGGTAATTCCATTTCTCGCAACCCGTCTGGCTTCGGATTCGGACGAGGCGGACCTGCTGGCATGACCAACCTCAACAACATGCGTACTGGCTCTGGTGTTGGTCCCCGCACTGGCTCCAAGGGTGGCCGCAACGACAGCAAGGCTGGTGGCCGTAGCAAGGCCGGTGGTCGTAAGGACGAGGAGCAGAACAAGGCCATGCCCCTCACCGCTGGTATGGACCTCAAGGCCATTCAAACCTCCGCAAGCGGCTGGAAGCCCCGCAGCGTTGGCCAAACCACTGCTGGTCCCGCCCCTGGTGGTGACACCCACATGGCTCCCGATGTCGTGCAGCGTAAGGTCAAGGCTGCTCTTAACAAGATGACACCCGAAAAGTTCGATCGTATTGCTGGCCAGATCCTCGAAATTGTTTCCCAGTCCAAGGATGAGAGCGACGGCCGTACTCTGCGCCAAGTCATCCAGCTCACTTTCGAGAAGGCTACTGACGAGGCTCACTGGGCCCCCATGTACGCCAAGTTCTGCAAGAGCATGCTTGAGAGCATGAGTGCCGATATCAAGGATGAGAACATCCGCGACCGTAACGGCACCGTTGTTGCCGGTGGCAGCTTGTTCCGCAAGTACCTGCTCAACCGTTGTCAAGAGGAGTTCGAGCGTGGTTGGAAGGTCAACCTGCCCGATAAGCCCGAGGGCACCACTGAAGAGGTATGTTCATCATGGAAATTCAAGCATTTCGTTTTCTCCTATACTAACTATCTCTAGGCTGCTATGATGTCTGACGAGTACTACATTGCCGCTGCTGCTAAGCGTCGTGGTCTTGGTCTTGTCAAGTTCATTGGTGAGCTTTACAAGCTTGGCATGCTTACAGAGCGTATCATGCACGAGTGTGTTAAGAAGCTTGTCGACTACGAGGGTATTCCCGATGAGGCCGAGGTTGAGAGTTTGACCTCCCTCCTCCGCACCATTGGTGCCAGTCTCGATGCCTCCGAGAAGGGCCCTGCTATGATGGATGCCTACTTCGCTCGCATTCACCTCATGGTTGAGACCCCCAACCTGCCCAGCCGTCTCCGCTTCATGTTGCTGGTAAGTGAACATATGCTCTCTAACCAATTGTACCAGACGCTTACACTCTTTTTAGGATATCATTGATCTCCGTGCCGCCCGCTGGAACTCCAAGGAGGGTGACAAGGGTCCTCAGACCATTGTTGAGATTCGTGAGGCTGTAAGTATCTATTGTGCACCACCCATTACATCATTTCCTAACTCGAAAAAAGGCTGCCCGTGCTGCTCAAGCCGCTGAGGCCGAGCGCCAGCGCCAGACCAGCAACCGCGGCGGCGGTGGCCGCATGCCCATGGGCCGCGGTGACGCCCGTGGCTTCGGATACGGCAACCAGGCCCCTCCCCCCGACTATGCCTCCAGCAAGGTTGGCAGTGATGATCTCCGTCGTCTGCGCGCCACCCGCAACACCAACCAGCCGATGTCTTTCGGTCCCTCTAACCTCCTCGGCTCGCGCACCAACAGCGGTCGCAAGAACCTCGGCCCCGGCGGCAACCTAGTCCGTGGCAGTGACGACAGCGCCGCCAGCTCTCGCACTGGTACTCCCCCCGCCGGCAAAAAGGAAGACAAGGACACTGCTTCTATGAACGCTTTCAGGTACGTGGCAGATGCCTCAATATGAAATATCCCCGTGGATTCCCATATACTAATAATCAGATAGTGCTCTCGCCGCCCTCGAAGACCGGGATAACATGGCTACCTCGCCTCCATCCAACCCTACCTCTCCGATGCTCACCAAGTCGCAGCCCGCGGCCGAACGTCGCCCCTCAAAAACCCCGTCTGTCAAGGATGGCGAGCCCACAGCATAGAAAGTCCTTAGGAGTTAATGATCAACGCTTTCCGTTTCTGGTTCATACAAAAGATTTCATTTTCGCCATTTGTTTCTGCCATCTCCTCCCGGAGCTGGCTTTTCTGTCGCGGTTGTTATGCATTTTTCCCGACTGGTCGGTCTGAAGCTTCGTTCTTCATCTTTATGACGGGTTTCCACGAAACCGAATCGATTCCTCTTCATAGTGTACAATCTTCTCCAACCTTTTTTTTCCTCATTTCCCCTTTCTCCTTTCGACCGTTGTTTCCTTCAATTGCTTTGGTGAGCAGTGAGCAGTTATCGTGACCATCTGAGGATTGTCAGGTTCGATAGTAGGACTTTGTTCAATCCTTTCCCCTCTTCTATTTCCGTTGCTCTGAGTAGCAGCTTTGCAGAGGTTCGGAAATGGTGATCGGACTGATGTTCCTACCTGATATATGAGAGCTTGGCTTTTACTTTTCTCTCTCTTTGCTTTCTACTCAACTTGCTGTATTTGCTCTTGCTCTTCCTCAATACCCGGGGCATTCTCAGTTACGATGCAATTGAATCAAAAATTTATGCTTCGCCTCTTGAATACGATGGTTCTAGTAGTTTTCTTGTTTCATATTGTACCTTGGTAAAATGCGTACAGTAGTGCATCTACTTAAGTATAGATATAGCTGTGGGAGTTTTTGGTAGGACTACTTAGGTGGGATCTCACCAGCTTGGATCAGTTAGAAAAGACCTAAGCATGATCAAGTTTGGAATTGGTGTTGGAATGTCCTTGGTAGTATTTATTGCCCTCATCTGCACTCAAATGCCCACCGTACATCGTGGCAAGCGCTGTGAAAACTACAAGTAATAAAATGCCATGCAATATGGAGCTCGAGGACTCGACACCGAGTCTACCAGGGTTGCATGTATTGTAAGTAATATGCGCCAATGACAAAGCCAAGCCAAACCATATATTTCAGCCTGAGAGGTGGCCATGTGAGTTGGGATGAATAGGTATTCGTGGTATGGGATCAGTCGCAGACCCCTGTCCAGGACTGGAGTAAAAGTGACAAGCGAGAAATGATGGTGATTCGTATGCATCGTGAATATGTGGGATCCTGATGTTCGGACTGAAGTCATGCTATGCTACAACGCCAAGAGAGAATATGAGCCCCATGCTTTCAAGGGCTGTCCTGGCCATTATCACCAGATACCTCAATCGAAGGGATGGAGATGGGTTTCGGGTTTGGTTCTGTCTTTTCGCCTTCCGTGGAGGACGAATCGGATAAAGAGTCATTCTCGGCACCTACTGGTTGGTTCTCGGTCACGCTTTCTTGAGAACTATCGGCTGGGCTGCCAAGGGGACTTTTCATGATAACTGCATCAAGAGAGTTTCGAGCAGGAGTTGTGGAGTCGGAGTCATCGTGACTGAGACTGCTTCGGTCTGAGACTGAAAGTGAACTGCGCGAGTTCGCATTAGAGTATGATGCCGGGAGACCCAGAGCTTCGGCGACTGCGGCCTCTTCGTCTGGCAGCTTAGAGGTACTGCTCTCGTTGCTAGAGCTAGTGCCAAAGATGCGACTTCCACGCTGTTCGCTCAGTTCCAATATCTGGTTGTAGCTGCGCCGGGTAGGATCTGCGCGGCGCTTGTTCTTCTTTTTCTCGCGCTTTGGGGATGGGCGGACAACGATGACTGGGATTGGGGATTGCTGAAGGCAGTATTTGGACACGGATCCTGGAAGTAGACTGTGCACTCCTTTCATGTTGCGGCCTCGTGTGCCTACCACCAGCATGGCGGGCTGATATATGCGGATCTAGGGTGTGTTAGTTGAGACAGTTCAAATTGTTTCATGATGCAGCTTACCATGCGCTGAATGATGTTTTCAACCTTGCCCACTGCAAGTTCCAAGACCAAGCTGATGGCTTTCTCGTCCTGGCTGTTTTTCTGGATTACCTGCTCGAATAACTTCTCGGCTTCTTCGCGGTATTTACGCTCTTCGATCGCAATGTCGGTGGCGATGCGCGAATCCTTCTCCACCGCACGGAGGCAAACGATCTCGTCGCCATCATCCACCAGCTCGTCGATCAGCCATTCGAGGGCAAATTCAGAATAGTCATTTTGATCAGTCCCACATAGGAATGTCCGACTCCGACGTGTGCTCTGGTATCCTTTGTGCTTGTAGTTGAGGGTGAGAGAGAAGTCGGTGGCGTCAAAGTTATCGAAAGTGTCAAAAGAGACGCCTCGTTCATACGTCCTGTCTCAAATTAGCACGTGCGATTGGAAATGCGTTTTAGCGCACGACTTACTTGGGAGGTGGAGGAGATGGTCCCCGATTCAGTTGTGCGGCCCTGTGTTCCCTCTCCTTGTCCTCGAAAGTCCTCGTTGGGGTATCCCCGTATGATAGCCGTTTCTCCTTTGTGCTCGACTTTATGCTCGATGACCGTGTAGGTAGCTGGGCCTGTGCAGCACCTACGCTAAATTGAATTGATCTCCGCCTGGGGCTTCGGTCTCTGGGTATAGCGTCACTGGAGAGGTTGCGGGTGTGGCCGGACCCCGCAGCTGAAGTCGTATGATCACTAGACCCCGGTCGCTCTTCGGTTTCGAACGATGGTTTGGGTGAGTTTTCTGCAGACATTTCGGGGTGTAGTTTCAGATGAGAGACCTAGACAGGGGAGTTTTGGTGTGCTGAGGTCTCAGGTGTTGGCTGTTGACAGTGGCTAATGTGTATTAGCGACCGTGGGGTTGCTTATTCCACAAGACCAAACGAGTAAGTGAGGTCATGTTTCGAAAGAGCATTGGCGATGGGACAGAGGAATGCTAATGGTCACGAGCCATGTTGTACAAGCAGGGAGTGACGGATGCAGCGAGGGGTCGGTGATCCCCTTATCGATAGCCGTGGAGCTTAAATGATTATGTCATGTTATGACTCGTGACAGCGCATGTGACCCCCTCAACAGCCCTAACTGTTAGATTCAAATGTTTACTCGTATTCACCAATCTACATTGTTCGGCTATTGGAGATTCTTGCATCCATGAACGGTGTCAGGTTCGAGCTGCTTCAGCACAGAGATGTTTCCAGTGTAATGGTTTGTACTACCCATACATCCGCTGGCAGACACTCTGTACTCCGTATGTGTATATTTCTGATAGGATAGTGAAATACATAACCTTGGAAGTACCCCGCAGAGAAAGATACCTTGTTTTCATGTCCCATATTGAATTGAAGAGAAACAATTGAACTTCGAATTTGGATACTAGCAAGTAAACCCCATACACTATCGAAGTTCAGACCGAAACGGAATGAGATCACCAGAATCAAGTGAGACAAGCCTCACATCTTCTAGAAGGATGACCCTAAACATCCGCTGTCAGATTCCATAGGCTATCAAAACTCCCGATATGGAGTCAATTGGAGAGCGTACCGAATATGACAGGCTAGCATCAATTCCTCTGTTATCATGCATGAATGCAAGATATCAATTGTTACACACCATATGCCTATCCAGGTGGTTTACGGCTTGTCTCCCAGATCCACTTGAGCACTAGACAAGCCACAACAAACAACCCAAGCCACAATCCGAAACATTAAAAGATGTTTATGCAGCCCAATGACTAACTCTAATATCTCAGGGTCTCAAGCCCCCATCTGTCAGATAGTGCAGATAGGGAATAGGGGGTGATCGTCAACCCAATAATCAGGCTGACAGACCCGAGCATCAAAGCCACCAGAAATTTCCACCAGCCCAATCTCTACCCGAACAGCTGAAGCAAACCCACTAGAAGCAAAAAGAAGCGAAAAAAAACCGACTCATTCCCGCACCATCATATCCACTCTGCGGAGTCTCCGAAACTGCAGTTTAATTAACGACAGTACCGAAGCCCCTAGCCTGATGGGGCATGAGTACGGAGTACGGAGGGTGATTTTCGTAGGATTTGCGAACTCCAGTCACTAGTAAAACCCTTCACGGCGCTATCAGACTGTAGTTTGCACTATGCCGACTTAGCCGCGAAGATCAGACTTGGCTCTGATCGATCTCTGATCTATCAAGCTTATCCGGCGGTGAAGAGTACCTAGGTACTGCGCATGGCGTGCTATCGTGCAGCACTGCGATTTGACCTGATCCGCGCTCGGGGCGCGGATCGACGGGTCACATGTGTGGGATTATTGGTGATTCTGCCGTTTGGTGACAATTGAGTGTACAGTTACGTGGAGAATGAGGATTTGAGAATTTCATGTTTCGAATTTTTATATTTCGAGTTTTGGTAATTATTATATAAATTCAAGTTCCAGAACGTTCCAGCTGGAATAGTAAATGTCGTAGTATGTTTCAAAAAAATGTTCGAATACAGTCTCGACCTATGCAGGGAGAGCTGTTGGGCTGCTATGGCAGCCAGAGATGAGAGGGGTATGTGTGAAATGAAAAATGAAAACAATGCAATAGGAATAATTTCCTTGCCATCCAAAACGCCAGTAGACAAATTTGTTGAGATGAGTAAATATAATCGCTGAAAGTTGGCCAAAATCGTAGAAAGCATAAGGGTATCACGGTAGAAATCGCTGAATGGTACACAAGCAGAGTCGTCAGAAGTAGGTAAGAGGCCTAGTAAGCCTCAATGATCTGCTCGCGTGCACCAAAATACCCTTGCTCAAAGAGATCGGATGGATCAGAGCCCGCCACTGCAAGAGTAGCAGACTCCTTCTCGTCGAAGGCCTCGAGGGTTGGTTGAGGGGGCGACGGCGGTGTCGCCTCATCCTCTGATTCACCGTCCGAATCAGCAAGGAGTTCGGGCGGTGATTGGCGGGACGGTGAGCGAGTCAAGCTCAGCTCATCCAGGTCCTCTGCATCATCGTATTCAAAGTCTGAATCGGTATCCTCGCCCTCGTCTTCCTCAAGAAGGTCATCGTGGAAAGGAGCCACGGGTGAAGGAGCGCGACGACGGGGGGTGTTGATGACGAATTCGGATTCGTCAAAGTCGGAGTCGTCACTGTCGCTGAGATCGGATTCCAGATCAGATTCCTCCTCTTCCCACTCTTCTGGCTCTTCGACCACGGTCGAGGCCCATTGGATGTGTTGGCGGGTGGGGGAAGTCTTGGTTGCACCACTGACGGTTTGGTTGAACCAGCGCTCTTGCTCGCGCTCGGCGTCGGCGAGATCAAACATGAGGGAATCAAGAAGGTTGGCGTGGCCGACGAGGAGACGCAGATCATGGTCTGCCCGGGAAGCTTCACGAGTGAGCTTCTTCCGGGCGGTATGGGCGAGGTAGTATGTTTGAGTGATGCTCATTTTCTTAGTTTGACGTCGACGGAGGAGGGAGTCGAAGTAGGGGCTGGCAGCAGCAGCAAAGGATGTTGTAGAAGTAGAGTCCATAGTGGGCCAGGACTGGTTTATGAATTGGGGTATGACTCTTGTTGGTGACTCAAACTGTCAACCAGTCACGACGGATCGACGCGGGGCGGTGTGATCGGAAGGGATGGACTAGTGTGTGGTACTTTGTGTTCCCCCTGTATGATAGATCCAAAGGTGTTTCAGGTAGAGATCGAGCCCAGAGTATAGTGTATAGTGTTTTAGTGTATACAGAAGAAAAGAACCAAAAGCAGAACGGCGAGAGGTTATAATATAATGACAAGGCAGCGTTATTTTTTATTTTTTTTTATGTTCGTCCGATCGCCCCGAACCGGAGTTTACTGATCCACCGGAATTAAAAAATTATAATTTATGAATAATGCAGTTTTTACGCCTGATTACCCATCTTTAATTACCCATACAATGTTTAATTACTTAGATTCACCGCTATCTTGTACTATTCTCCGTGAATTAACTACTCGTATATCTACGTAGATACGGGAGATGAGTACTTTTACTCAGTACAGAGTATAGAGTACACGTCTAGCTACGAGTAGCATACAAGTAGACAAATCATGAGTCACTTACAACGGGACTCGGATGACCAATGCGCCGGTGCCGTGGCCCGAGTCGGTCATATCTGGCGCCCTTCCGATTACTAACCTCGTATTATCAATATTCTTATTTCCTATTTTCTTATGTCCTAAATCCTCTAGTAAGATTTCTAATCCACTCTCACGGGTTCTTTTTAAGTTTGATTTCCAATCGGCATACGGAGAGATCTGAGATATAGTGGTCATTTTCAATCACATCATTCTGAGACTACAGAGCACTACTCGTACACATGTGCATTCTGCAGGAGAGCTTCAGACCTCGTACTCGTACAGCTGAAGCCAAGCCACATGTATTACTGTAATCTATACCAACAATTACCCAGATTACATGAGGCTGCATCACTTTCCTAATCCGGCCGCCGAGGCTTGGCAGACTCAGCATTCCCCAGATATCAAACTGAGACCAGCAACGAGTAGGCTGTGTTTTCCCTACCCCTAGTGGAGCACTACCATTGGTCTCGCAGGATTTTTCCCAACCTGATCTGACTGCTACTTGTACGAGTACGAGTGTCCGTACCCGGTACTCCGTACGGACCACTCGTCCTCCGAGCTCACCAAAGTACTATTGGGACCACGGACCACAGAGTGGTTGTACGCGATTCGCATATCCCTGCCCAGCGTCGACTATTTGCGCATCGCGCATTTGCTGGATGCAGACCTAATCTAACACTCCTTGCAGCACGCGGTGTGAGGCAGCGGCGTTCTGGTGTGGGGGCCAATCAAAGCCGCCAATGTTGACACTGGAATGTACTCTGTACGAGTCAAAGCCCTGACGTACCCTGTGAGTACCTCAGGTATGCAGAGTATGGAGGACCTCCCAAGGTCGCTACAGTACCTTGCTGGCATCATGCATGAGTCCAATTTACGTCACGCTAGGCCCCCCAACCTCTAACCATCCTCATCGAGGCTCCGTTCACTTGGCAACCCGTTTTTGCGGCTTGGGACTTGGGCGCTGGCATGTTAGGGTCCAGGATCCATACGCGGATATCACCGAGCCAAGCATCCGAGCTCTGGTGGTTTCGCAGGGTTTTCCCTTTTTGAAACAGATCCACTTTACCCAGCCTTATGCCATGAAAATCTCTGAACGGGGCTAGCCTGGAGATACTTATGTACTTGTATCTCTAGTTAACGCTTTACTGTCAAATGTCGATTCCTTGGATTCTTCATGCAGTCCAAGCTCATTGGGGAATATTGGGCGCCACCGAGTCAATTGACAGGTCGAGAACAAGATAGCATAATCGACTTCATCTAGTCCCTTCTTATTCGTATACAAAGTAAAGTGTCGAGATCCTCACATTAATCATCGGGCAAGAAACCTTGGATGAGCGGACCCTGAAGCCATGGAAAAGAGGTTTTCAACGCCCAATCACACAGGGAGATCGGGGCTCGGCGTTTGTGTGAAAAGCTCCGAGGCTCCACCCCTTTTTGACAGATGACATCAAGGACTTCCAAGGTTATTTGTGTACGTTGACAGACTTCAATAGGTCTAGAATGATTCAGTATAAGCGTCACACATCTAGACCAGTAGCTAAAAGATACGTGGTACGGGGCATTACGAATTAATCGAGAGAGCCGCATGGTACTATCACAAAGTGAGTAATATTGAGGCTGAAAGCTGAAAGAGCATAAAATCAGATACAAAGTAAGCGGCAGAAAAATTCCCGGCCTTCAGCAGTGCAAACTCCGTGTCCGGAAGTGGGTCGCAAATTCTTCCCGTATCTCCGTCTCACGTGTTCGAGCGGATTTCCGTCGCCGAACTGATCGCCCGGGGAATGGATATGCGGCACGGATGAAGTTGTCCGATTCAACTAGTCAAAGTGAGTCATGAGGTTATCGTGAACTCTGATACCTCCGATTTTCGCCAACATCCGGTGTATCTGATATTGGTTCTTTTCAGCACCCCTGCAAATCCCGAGGCTGTCGGCGATGGACGCTATCACAATTATCACAATAATGCCAATCACCCCAGATGCAGCAATTGACTGTCACCATGGCAATTAAAGATTGGACCAAGCGTCTCACCGGGGCTTTAGTCTCCAGCTTGCAGATACAGGATTCCTTGGCAATGGACAATAACCAGTTTGGAGGCCTATGACCAACTTCAAGCTTGTTGAAGATCTCAATACGCAAGAGGTGGGAAAGTGTGTGGATTTCAGGGGGAATAGTCCGCGACTTTGGATACAAGGGTTTGATTCTCGAGCGATGCTAATAACTCTTGCATCGGTAGCAGGATTTTGGGGCTTGAGGATCTCCCAGTACTTCGATCTGTCGATTAGCCCAATATTTTCTCTTCTCGTACCATTCCTGGTTGACTTGGATGGGGCAATCGTATGCTTCTCGATACTTATAGACAAACTCCACCCAATGAAGGTACTCCCGACTTGTGACCGCTCTATTAGAATTGACAGGCGCAATGTGCGAATCACGTTCCGAGTGCTCATCGGTGCACAGTGAACTTTCCAAATCTTCCGAGGGCAATATGATCGGCTCTTTTTCCACGAAACGAAATTCATTCGCGATTCCGAGCCACGTTTCTTCGATCGGAAGGTCATCAAGCTTCTGCTCCCAGTGTTTCATTGTGCAATCCAGATCAGATATAAGATATCTCTCTTCATCCAGGATCTCGTCGATTTCTTCGCTCTCCATGAAGCGACCCCCACTGGATTCCCTGCAAACATGTGTCATCTCCGCCCTGTGGAACTCTCTCAATCTGAGTAATTCGAGTAGAACCTTGCGCGCAATGGCGGTCCCTTGCAGCTCGCTTAAGGTCAAGAGCCATTCGAGGACCCATTGGTAGTTTGACTTTCCATATTCTGGGTCCTCAAGATTTGCACGGGATCGCACTAGCAGGTGGAGAATTGGCGAGCAACCTCCATACGAGCATGCACAACGACATTTATCACGACAAAGAGGATCGGCGCCTTGGGCAATGAGCCTTGCGAGACAGCGTAAGCTTGGCGATACGAACGACTCAATCATCGCATGATTTCCCCACCCGGGCCTCATTTCAAAGCCAATGCTGGATGCAAGATGCAGTGGTGAGAGTCCCAAAGAGTCCTGGTAGTGAACGTTGCCGTCTCGTTCCAGAATTGCTTCGGTGACCTCGCCTCGCCTCCTGTCAATTGATGACATCAATGCGGTCCAGCCGCGGCTGTTTGTGGCCTCTATATACTCAAATCCCTTTGCGAATAAGGTAACAGCATTTCGTGCACTTAGGGCTCGATGCATCAGTGTGTCGCCTTCTTCGACAATGAGATGCTTGTCAACACCCAATTCGAGGAGCTTGTCAAAGATTTCAGATGTTAATTTCATCGCAATCTCATTTTGGGAACAAGCAGCAATCATGAGATTATTGATTCCATTTTGGAGATAGCGCGCTGGAAATGATCGCCTAGTTTTCAAGAAGGTCATGGCGTTTGTCATGAGCTCCCACTGGCCCCAGATGAAGGCTTGTCGGAAAAAGTAAACATGCTGATTACGAACCGGCTGTGCCCCGTTTTCAAGGAGAAGAAACAGTGATTCGGAACATCCATATGCGGCAGCATAGTCCAGTGGGGTTTTACCACCGTGATCTGCTATGTCGAGATCTTCACAAACTTGAAGTAATATTGAGAGCACTTTGGGGCGCAGAATTGCCACATGAACAGGGCTTTGTCCGAGAAGATTTCTTCCCTGTAGGCATTGAGGGTCTTTCATGAGCTTGTGGATATCTTCCAAAGAACCTGATAAAGCAGCATCCATAAGAGGTGTCTGGCCCCAAGCACCTGAGAATCGACGTTGTGAGACTCAGAATAGTCTATGTTTCATGAAAAAGAGGGCTTACCATATGTGACCTTTGAACATTCTGCGATGAACTTGAGCAAAAAAGGCTCCATTTCATCACGCAAAGGCCAAAGACATGCCGCCGTCTCAAGGTCATTGAAGATGCTGTCGTATAAACAACCGCTGGATGAGAGATCTAAAGCAGGCATAACCCAAAGCTATTAATTCTCTGAGAATTGGAAGATGACTCCCATAACGATTACACTGAGCTGCGAGTAAGATCAAACTATTTTTGTTCCATATTAGCGCAACTGGGAGAGAGAATCCCGCGGGAAGATGTATTGAACCCACGGTGTGTTTGTGTTCATTGGTGCCCCGCATTGATAAAGCACTCTCAAAATCAAGACGATCCTGTCAGAATGATAGGTCATCCATGTGAAGCATTCTAAGAGTTCCTGGGGGCTTATTAATATCGTTTGACCGTGAAGGAATAGGACTCACCTCTAGCCACGTTAACCCATCAGGGAAAACGTTATGAGGAGAGTCAACCCCCGTCCGAAACATTCCCATCAGGGATTGACACACGGACTCGGTCTTGAGATGGACATCATCCCCTCCGTAGTGACTCGAGAGAATCTCGAATCCTGGTGAATTGCTCTTCGCCGATTGCTGGAAGCGAAGGCTGGGGACAATGGAGACTCCTTTGGTTCCCCAAGAGAGGTTCAGATCCGCCTGGAGAGCCCAAAGTAAACCAATCCGTGACAAAGATAGAAATGATGAGATCCGGCGGCTTTTGTTTCTGTTGTGGTAGTTTGACATGGATCTCAGACGCGCATTGACCTGCGAAGTGGTCACGGTATCTGCGATGTGGCCTACCACAGCGGTTTCTGCTGGTATTGCAGGAGGGGTGACGGGGGAAGGCAAAGTCCCGGAGTTTTGATGCATTACAAGTAGTGACCTGGTTTGTAACATTGCAGCGCTGGAGTTGACTGAGGTTTGGAAGAGCAATAGCTTTTCGATATATCCCGAGACATTTTTGAATATTTTCTTCAGACTCTTCTCATCCTTCAGGCTGAACAGAGCCTTTTGACTTCTTTTGAGCACTGAGTCACCCTGATCTGGTGTTATCTTGAGGAGGAGATTGTCGAGTAGAACCATCTGCGAGTAACTCTCGTGGATCAAATCGTTCAGTACTTCAGAGGTGCTTGGATTGAAACAGCCGAAGTCGGTCAACATTTGAATTCGTTGTAGTGCATCTATGAACAGAGGCAGATAGAGCTTGATCTCGCGGAGGGTTTCGGGCACTTCATCGAGATGTTGGATATATCCATTGAGACGGTCGACAACCTTGACGGTAAAATCAATCAATTGAATGGTCGAGGCAATAGCCCCCACCACAGTAAGGGCTTCCGCCATTTCTGTGCTTTGATTAATTTATGGATTGACTGGATTTGCGGGAGAAGTGCAAAGAAAGGAATGGGAAAAAAGACAGATGTTGAAATTCCCCGACTCAAGCACCAGGTGTAGTTGGATGCGGAGTTGGAACGACTGCTAACTACGAGTAGTGCAGATTCGCCATGAATCTGTGAGCTAACGAAGTGTCGATCCATAGCGTTTTGATTGGCATCAATGGATGCATAGCCACCCAGTGTGTTGTCAGTGTAGAACGTTCCAATCAGATCACTTTATGGACGCGCCTAGGGCGAGAGCCTTAAAAACATGGCCGCCGTCCCGTACTCTGCCCGGAGGATTTCTTGGCAATGGACTATGGTCAGGTTGGAGGTCCATCACCAGCTCCAAACACCTCCAGACCCTCTCCAAGGGCTGGAGACACGACGATCAAAAAAATTTGACGCGAAAAATTCGAACTAATGAAGCATACTAACTGTCTGACGAGACTTGATTCCTTCATCTATACAAAATAGCTACAGAGTGTCCCGATGGAGCGGTCGACTTTATCACCAGGAGACAAACAGTCCCAAATCCCGAATTCAAATACCAGCACTCCATCGGGTGACCCGACCAGCACCAGCGATGTCCCGCACGTCACTCCATCCAGCCAGGGTAAACCGCCTGAACTCTCCTCGCGCACAGCAGAAATATTATTCATCACAATATGCTCGGCGGGCCAACTCTTCTTCGCGGTGTTCCTCGCGAACACCCTTGTGAATCAATCCACCCTCATAGCAGCCTTAGGAAGCAGCTCCTCGCTCTCCCCATGGTTAATCGGCTCATTCCTACTCGCAAACGGCATCTCGGTTGTCATCTCGGGTTCTCTAGCGGACCTTACAGACCCCCGATCCCTAACAGTGGGTGCCTTCATCTGGCTCACGATATGGAACCTGATCGGCGTCTTCTCGATAAATCCACATATGATGGTCTTGTATTTCGTCGTACGGGCCATGCAGGGTCTCGCTGTGGGTGTGTTGGAGTCCACGGCCATGAGCATGCTAGGTCGCATTTACAATCCCGGTCAACGGAAGAATAATGTATTCGCGGCCATGTCTGCTATGATTCCAATGGGATTCGGAATTGGCGCGCTGCAGGGTGGGGCATTGAGTGCGCACTTGGAATGGGTCTTTGGTTCCAGTGCTATCCTGTGTTTCGTTTGTGTCCCCGCTGCTATCTGGGCTGTTCCATCCCTGGAGCCGTCGGGGAGTTCTGGGGAGCGCTTGTCGATTAGGGATTTTGATTTTCTGGGCGCTGCGATCAGTGTGTCTGCTTGTGGTGTATTGATCTTTGGTCTTACTCAAGGTTCGCCGACACACTGGACGCCGTATACTTATGCATTGGTTATCGTGGGCATTCTGCTGTTTGTCGCTTTCTACTTTGTAGAAAGATGGGTGTCGCGGCCGTTGATTGATAATCGGCTGTGGAAAACACCTGGTTTTTTGCCTTTGATCGTTTCATATTTCCTTGGATATGGGGCGTATGTCGGTGGTTGGATGTTCTATGCTGTTCGATTCTTCCTAACGATTCAAGGCCACAGTCCGATCATCGTGGCATGTTACTTGATACCGATCTCGATTGCCGGGGCAGTGGCTACATGCCTTGTCGCTCGAAGCTTGCACGTTCTCCCCGGCCACTATATCTTGATTACTAGCATGATTGCATTTGGTCTTGGACCGGTATTCTTTCTACCCCAGACTGCACACACGACATATTGGGCTCTCGCCTTCCCGGGCATCATTCTGTCGACTTTTGGACCGGACATGTCGTTTGCTGCAGCATCGATCTTCATCACATCCAATGTGCCCAAGTCATTTCAGGGATCGGCAGGAAGCCTGCTGATCACAATGCAGAACCTCTCGTCTGCGGTATTCACTGCCATTGGCGATAGCATAGGCGAGAAGGTGACGAGCTTGGATGGGTACTCACTCGATCTGCAATCTCTGCGGGCTATTTGGTGGTTCAGCTTCGGATCTTCCATGCTTGGTGTGCTAATCTGTGTTGCTTTCGTGCGAATTCCCAAAAGTGAAGAAAAGGAGCATGTTCAGTAATTTGAGCAAGGCTTCAAAGCCATGGCCAAGGCTTTGCCCCCTGACTGCATTCATTGACTGTCTTAATATGAGCGAGTGGAGTATTCATTCATGTCAACATTTGTATCATTCACATTTGCATCAAAAAGTACTGTACATGCTGTGTCTTGGCAAAACCATTACCAGAAACATCCCTACAAAATCAATCAACAAGATTCACAAGCCTCACAGACCTCACAAGTGTCATAGTCTCATAAGCCCCACGAGCCTGACAAGATCGCACGCATCACAAGATCCACAGGCCTCACAAGCCTCAAAAGTCTCATATGCACCACAAGCCTGACAAGAATTAGACTCATCACAAGATTCACAAGCCTAACAAGCCTCAAAAGTCCTATGGGCATCAAAAGCCTCACATCCCATAATGTCCCCTCAAACAACCTCACACCTTATTCCCCAAGTGATCAAGCCTGCAAGGCGCATTATCAGGATCCGCGATTCGAGAATCCGCATAAGCCAACGCCCTCGCCATGACCATGTCAATGTTATCCATCTTGGATGCATGTCCATGATTTCGCAAAATACAGATAGCAGACCTAATCCAATCCACACAGTTTTGAGGTGGCCATACACCGGCAATGGGGAGCTGCACGGTCCCAAGTAGAGACCGGATCGTACATGGCGAAGCGTCACGGAGTTCACCGATCTCGATCCTGATAAGAAGCGATTCACTTTCATCCGGATTGACATTGTTCTTGACTCTGTACACCCACTTGAAATCAGGGTTGAGGTTGATGCGTTGCATTGTGTCTGGTATTGCGGCGTTGGTCGTGTCGAACGCGTAGCACAGGCGTTTGTCTCCTTCCTTGGGCACGAGGAGAATCCCCCAGTGGTAAGCTGAGAAGCCCAGACGGCGTCTGTTGTCGCCGAGGGAGAGTTCACCGCGGTGGTGAAGGGTGAGCACAACGTCGTAGGGCTCCTTGGAGGGAGACACCTCGTTTCGGATGGAGAAATCGCTCATCTTTTTTGGGTTGGTCAGTTATCAGGATCCTGTCAATGAGCTTGAGTAGGGATTTAGGGCGTACTGTGATATCCATCAGGTACTTAAGTAGACAAGAGATGCTTGAGCGTATTGATGCACACAACGAGGATGGATCACTCCCAAGGCTTGGTCAATGGGCCAATTGTCGAGGGAGAGGTTAAGTTGGAGGGTTCAGTGGGATGTGGAGTTGAGAAATTGGGAAGATGGGAAGTGAGAAATGGCTCTCTGGTGTGAGAAAAGAGTTGTGCTGGAAATGCGAGTATCGCAACATCCGTTTTGCTCTATGTTCACTTTTCTCGTGATAACAGTCATTTTGCTAGCCCTACGACATAATCTTGATTTTGAAGTATACAAAGCACAGACCACATGTGGTTGGTGAGCTTGCTACTGTGATTACGGTGTAGAGATAAATGAGTTATTGTCGATTCCCTGTTTCGTCTCGTTTCTTTTCGTCTCCCGTTTTGTCGTTAAGACCCAGTCGAGTGCTAAGAATGGCGTTTCCAGGAGGCAAATATCTCCATCTTCGATACTCCCCGGAACTCGAGACATCCGGAGTCAATGTACAATTTAGGATGCTACGAGTGTATCAATAGTGAACAAGACCACCGTGACATTACAGTCTCCGATGAAGCCAGGAAGTCAAATAAAAAGAGACATCAAAATAGAAAGAGTGAAGGACGCTTCTCTCATGTTGGGTGAAAGCGTATGATATAAATACACAGTTGTCCTCTAGAGCTACTTTGACTAGGACATGAGAATCTGTAGAGTCAAAAACCACCTAAGTATCTAATGCCTTTCACTAATCATACAAATCTCCGCGAACGTATTTCAAGCCCGTGTCACATGCAACAGTAGCCAGAATCTTCCCAGGACCCAGTTTCTTTGCTAACTGAATTGCAGCAACCACATTTAAGCCAGTGGAAGTCCCAGCAAGAATACCTTCCTCCCGGGCCAATCTTCGGGCCATCGCCCGACCCTCCGCCTCTTCAATCGCAAGAGCCTCGTCATAAAGTTGCTTGTCCAACACCGGAGGAAGGAATCCAATTCCAATACCCTCGATAGAGTGTTGACCCCCATATCCTTTGGTGATAGCGGGAGCAGATGCCGGTTCGAGGACAGTGACCTGGCAATTCGGGTTGCGGGACTTCAAGATCTTCGCAACTCCCATGACCATCCCTGCGCCACCTACAGCCCCACAGAACGCATCGATACCATCAGGTATTTGGCTCAGCAATTCACGGCCGAGACTTTCATATCCGACAAGGACGTCGTGGTTACTGAATTGATCTGCGTAGTAATGATCACTGGCTTGAGACAACTCCTTGGCCCTTTCGCGCATGGAAGGAATGAGATCAGGCGTTATCTTTCCTGTCGGACTGTGAACTATATCGACATGGGCACCAAATGCGGCCATCGTCTTCAGCTTTTCTTCTGCGAACGCATTTGACGATACCACAGTGAACGAATATCCTTTCACCGCGCAGACCAAGGCAAGGGAAGACCCAGTACTGCCCCCGGTGGCTTCGACGACCGTCATACCGGGCTTCAGATCACCGCGTCGCTCTGCTTCATCAATGACAGAGCATGCCATTCGGTCTTTATAAGAGCCGGTTGGGTTCAGGCCCTCGAGTTTGATGAAAACACGTGCACAGCCTTCAGGAACCACATGCTTGAGCTCAATGCAAGGGGTATTTCCAACGGCGTCCAGAACGCTTCGAGTGCATGAAGTTGCCGACATAATGGGTTTGATTGGAGCTCACGTTCTTTGGATAGGAAGGAGAATGTGAACAGACAGGGTGATTTACATGTGAAATGTTGCCTATAAAAGCCCAGCAACCAAAACCCAGGTATTAAAATAGGCGACAGCTGAGTGATTTTTTACCCCAAGACTAGGGGATGTCTTCGCACATTGACACTCATGGATTTAAGAATATAAAGGCTCCACCCGCAGCCCTCCCGTTGGCCCGCGTTCGTCCCCACCCACCGCATTCGGCCTAGCGTGGATATTCTCCAAAATGCCAAGACTTTCGAAAGGATAGGGCGTCGCAGGAGTATCGAAAATATCTGAACAGATGACGCTGAATTGAAGGGTCCACTTGGGGAGACTATAGATTTGCCTCATCTGAAAACGCGGCATCTATCACCCGATGGTACAGCCCTTGGTGCTTAAAATGCCTGATTGGCCGTCACGACCGAGAAAGATCTACGCAAGATTCTGGAGGCTCGACATTTCGGGGAGGTTCTCACTTTTCCGGTCTATCTTGAAGTACCTGGTAGTAGCTGCAAGATGACTCACTGCCATTCTTTGATGTTGGATGCTTCCAGCCCCAATGAAGATCTTCAGACGCATACAAAGCCTTCAAACTGGTAAGTGACTCGCTGTCAGCTCATTTGTCAAAGTGCAAATGGAACAGCAATGAAACTTTACTTCAAGCATGTACTTATGAATTTCAGGCGCAAGTTTGTCATCGTCGTCGCTGCCTTCATGCTCAACTTTTCCGGCTGTGGACTACTTTTCAGTTTCGGAATATACCAATCGCTATATGAAGACATGTCTCGCGAAGAGGGTAATCCATTCAGCGGTGCTTATTCTGCTGAAATTTCCTTGATCGGCAGTATTGCGGCGGCTTTGATGAAACTGGGTGCTCCTTATGTGGTGGCTTGGTCCAAATACTTCGATCCCAAGCCAGTGATTCATGCCGGTGGTATACTATACGGTGTCGCCATGGTGTTAGCCAGCTTTGGAAAGACATTGTGGCATTTCCAGCTTACCCAAGGGCTGTTGGTTGGTGTTGCAACATGCCTCTCCTTTATGCCGTCCATGGTCGTTCCGCCCAGCTATTTTGGAAAATACCGAGGACTGAATATGGAAATCATCTCAGCTGGCACTGGTATCGGAGGTCTAGTGTGGTCTCCTATTCTCACATCCTGCCTTCAAAGCATTGGACTCCGAGACACCTTGCGCCTGACAGGCTGCCTTTGCACCATTTTGATTTGTGGATCAGGCACTGTTCTCAGCTGGGAGCCAAAGATGGCTGCACATCTTCAAGAAGACAACAAGTCGAGTTCTTGGATTTCGGGCCTTCTCAAGGTCCCACTTCCCCCTCGGGAGATCGTGATGAGCCGCAAGTTCCTCGCTCAGAGTCTCAATGCCGTTTTCCAGAGTGCAGCATACTACACCCCGATCTTTTATATTGCCGCTTACTCGAAAACGCTCGGCTACAGCGACTCGGACGGCTCCAACTTTACTTCTTTGAGCAATGCTTGCAATGCAATTGGCAAGGTTGGTGTTGGCTTTATTGCGGATAAGATTGGTCGCCTTGATTCTTTCTTTTTGACAACGCTGTTGAGCTCGGTTTCGACGGCTGGATTGTGGATCCCAAGCACAGTCATGGGCGCTTCCAATGAACACTTGGGCAAGGGGCTGTTTATAGGATTCACCGTTCTATATGGATTGTTTGCAAGTGCATACATTGGCCTGTTTTCGCCTGCATTGGTCGAGTTCTTCGGCATGAGCAACATGCCCCGAATTACGGGAATCATGTATTTCCTGCAGGGTGCTGCGGGCTTTGTTGGAACCCCTGTTGCGGGTGTTTTGGTCAAATCTGTGAATGACCAACTCACACCATCGAGCTATTTGTATATGGCAGTCTTCGTGGGGGCCTTGATGGTTGCCTCGACGGTGACCGTGATGTGGGCTCGGATGGAAGTGATGGTGGAACGTGCTGGCGGAAGATGGAAGTGGCAGTGGAAATTGTAGGTTCGTATTTTCCGTCTCTCTTATAGACATGATTGAGCTTTTTTTTTTGGCTTTTTCTTTCATTCTTCTTTGGGTATATAATAGTTGCATTGTGTATTGAAGTCGAGAAATATCCAGTCCTAGTTTCTGCGCTGCGTCCTTCGCACCAAATTTTGGAACAACTTTTCGCCTTTGCATGCAAGCTTTGCATTCCAATTCTAGTGTCCTAAATTTAATAGAATTAGGTGAAATGACTCAGGAATTCAAAGGCACGGGGGCCATGGAAGCCCTACCGAGAAGGTCCACGTAGAGTGAAAGATCTCCGTCTTGGCATTTTGGAGAAGTTGTACCGAGTTCACACGAAGACTCCCCAGGTACCACAAGGACTTTCCGCTATCCAACCCTATTCTTGTCCATACTATTCCATTTGAATTCTATCAGACCCCATAGGCTCACTGTATCCTCTCATCTGTGGATGTCACGCTTGGTAAATGGCACCAATGAAATCCACTTTGTCGAGCATATCAACTTTAGAAACAAGACACATCGCATTGGAAGCGGGTGGCGATCTCGCTGATAGTTGGAGGACGTAGATTCGTCCATAGTGGCTGTAGTAGTTATAAGAATAGTCTTCGAGGGTCCACAGGTAGCAAGGGTATAGCAAGTAGGGTTGAAATATTATCCCTGTGGGCGGCATTACGTCGGAATAAATGATCTAGTTTTGTCCTCTACAGCTTTGGCACAGTCTCAACATCTGCATATGAACTATTCAGGTGTAAAACAAAGCATATACGCTTGAACTTGGGCCCATAGGGCACTGTTGAGTAGACCAGCAAGGTCAGTGCTTCCATCTCCCTTAATGAAAGCACACCGAGAGCCTTTCAGATCCTCCCAGTCCTGCTTGCATTTTTCGATGGCCTCCCCATGGCAGAGGCATTGAAAATCTCGCACATTCTCCAGTGCGCCTCCAGGATTTGCGGGCTTGGAATATCATATTCCGTGCTGGGCGTATATCGGACAAGCCTATCAGAGGGAAGCCAGGGAAGTGCATGAGTTTGATGACACTATTGCCCCATTGTTGGCCATTCGTTGCTGCTCCTACATCTTGACGGAAATCTGGCCAATAATGCAATTCGCCTCTGTAAAGAAGCGGGTGTAGGGCGTTCGCATACGTATGGAATTCTGTCCTCAGTAGTGGAGGCAGAGCCTCTTTGACGGCCTCACGCGCACGGATCTGCTTACCCATGATGCAGGTGAATGCAAAAAACCGAGATAGGTTATGATCTGATACTCGTTGTCGACATCCTAATAAAATAAAACTGTGAGCGTAAATCATTTCATGATAGATCATTGCAAACATACGGTAGGCTTCAGGGCAAATAAGAACCTCCCAAACCGTCTGTGAAACATTTCATCAAGAGTGATGCCGTTAGAGAGAGAGTTGATCGAATCAACTAACATCAAATTGCGTACCGCAGGAAAACATCTGTACAATACAGCCCATGTACTTGATGCATCCTTTGGAGCTGCGCGGTCATTCTGCCAAGAGGCAAAAGCATATGTTATGATATGGCTCCTGCAGTCTCCGTAAATCAGACTGGTGGACGAGCTTCTGATTCCCAGCGCTCAATGTCCAGGCCCTCTTATAACACAGCGATAATTGTCCCGCTTCTGGAGCTGTGCTGCGAAGGAAGAATCACGCTCTTGAGGTCCATCGATGGTAGAGGCGACCAGGTCAACTTGCTCCCAGCGCGCTTTTGGTGAGGGCTGCCTATGACAGAGGGTGCTTTAGATCGCGACTTCCCTTTTGAGATATATTAGAAAGTTGATAAATACCTTTGATCGGAGGGCAGGACTGCCAATTGGGGAGGATTGTTTCGAAATCAACAATCGGCTTAATCCAGAGGAAACACTTCAAAACTTCGACCTCGTCGAAATGTCGGCGGAACCAGTTGGCAATGTGCTTCTCACTGGTTATATCCCCGAGGGGGACAGACTCATGTTGGTCCGTGGACCAAGCAATCTGCTTTTCCACATGTGTCTAGGTACTTACTTGGCACAACAAGCCCAGTGAACAGATTTGTAAAAACATCGTAGAGGTCTCGGTCAGAGTGTGTCTCGGTGATGTCCCTCAAAAGTGAAATTTTGCCATCATGTGGTAGCCAAATGATGAACGTAAGCAATCCATAAGCAATCCACTTTTCAAAAGCGCCTCAACGGCTGGCTGAACGGGTCCTCGAAGCTTTGGACGATCCTTTGGGACCACTAAAAGAGGTTAGAACATTGGATGGAAATATTTTAAATGGAAAGGCTCGCCTTAGAATCATTGGAAATTTTTGACAACCAGAACATTGTTCCAGTTGTCGCACACCGTCGTGTCATGCTTTGGCCAGCGCTTTCGCTCCCGGTGTATACACCCTTTGAAGTAGGTTAGCTCTGTGATATATGATATCAAAAATACTAGAATTCACCCATATATCCCAGTGCCTGGACGGCGTCAGTCTCGATGTCGGACTTTTTCGCCTCCACGATCAGCACGTTGAGGCACATGGCCTCGTTCGTCGTGTACCAGATTCCATAATCTGGACGGGCTGACAAGATTAACTGTTGCCCCTTCTATTCTACTGGACCGTGCGTAATGCCGCATTCAGCTTGCACATTGATGGGCTGGCCGCGTACAAGGTTGCTGGAGGCCATTTGATGTGCTCTCAATAGAAGTCCATCAATTTTCCAGCGGACCCTTGCCTCGCTGGCCGAGGGATGATTGGAGGCCTGACGAGGGCCAGTTTCTGGTCTATACCAAATTAGCTGAATTGCTTTGCAAAGAGACTGCTCTTGATAAGCCTCAATTCTGGCCTAAGATCTTTGGTCTAAGTCAGCGAACAAGTTCCAATCTGCATTTTCAGTGGAGAGTGTTGACAGACCGCGGGGTATTCTGGACTGTGTTAAAGGTCCAGCAGGTGCTGTGAACAATGATCGATTGTCCACGCGACATTGAGCTCGTATTGCACACAGGGAACCAGAGGATGGAGGTGATTGGCTTGGACCAACTATCTTTTCGGGATAGACATACAGGAAAAGTAAAGGGAAAATAAAGAAATAGTGCGACATTGAGCTCGTATTGCACACAGGGAACCAGAGGATGGAGGTGATTGGCTTGGACCAACTATCTTTTCGGGATAGACATACAGGAAAAGTAAAGGGAAAATAAAGAAATAGTAAAGAAAAAGTAGAGTGAAGAATTGATGGTTGCGGAGTGAAGGAAGGTCCGAACAAGAAGAGGAAGAGGAAGGAGCTATGTGATTGTTACAAGACCACACTCCTAGCTCATATGGGTTCTTGCAAGTCCGCCTACAACCATGAGGATACTTTGCGTCAGTATATCAAACACACAATGATCTGGAATATATGTGTATAAATTTCTAAATCATGAACAAGAAAAAAGCTATCATCATCATATCGAATATCCATCAGTGTAAACCACATCGATGGCATCTTTTGTTACGAAAAGGAAAGGAGAACACCAAAGGACGACCAATTAGTCAATCTAGTGGTGGAAGAGACGGATGCCCTGCTCGACGAAGGTGATACCCAGCTTCTCGGCGGTCTCGAAGACAGGGGCGTCGTTCTGGCTACCGGTAGGGGCGGCGATGTACTTAACACCTGAACGGGCAGCGCGGAAGACGTTGTCGATGAAGGGGAAGAAGGCATCGGAAGAAACAGCGACGTCGCTGAGCTTCTGGAGCCAGGCCTCACGCTCCTCAGTAGTGAAGGGAGCGGGGACTTCCTCGAAGACACGCTCGTACTCGACGGTCTCGGCATCGCTGCGGGGAGTCTGGCCGGAGCAGAGCAGGTCGATGGCGTTGGACTTGTCGGCACGCTTGGTGCCAGCCTTCCACTTGATACCGATGACGCGCTCGTGGAAGCGCATCCACCAGTTGTCGGCCTTGTCACCGGCCAGACGGGTGCAGTGGATACGGCTCTGTTGGCCGGCACCCAGACCGATGATCTGGCCGTTCAGGGCGTAGCAGACGGAGTTGGACTGGGTGTACTTGAGGGCAATGGTGGCGACGGTCAAGTCACGGAGAGCGGCCTCAGGGAGAGAAGTGGTGTTCTTGGGGGTGATAACGGTGTTGAAGGTCTTGCTGGGGGTGATGACGACATCGTTGCGGTGCTGGGTGAGCTGCACGCCGTACAGGGTACGGGTCTCCTCGGGGGCAGGGGTGTAGTCCTCGTCCATCTGGAGGACAAGGTACTTGCCGCCCTTCTTCTTGGAGAGGATGGCAAGAGCCTCGGGCTCGTAACCAGCGGCAATGACACCGTCGGAGACCTCACGGGAGATGATCTTGGCAGTGGGCACATCGACGACATCGCTCAGAGCGAGGATATCACCGAAGCTGGACATGCGGTCAGCACCACGGGCACGAGCGTAGGCCTGGGCCAGGCCGGAGGTCTCGATGTCCTTGATGTCGTCCACCATGTAGACCTTGCGCTCCTTCTCGTTGAGGGGAACACCGATGGCAGCACCGGCGGGGGAAACGTGCTTGAAGCTGGCGGCGGCAGGGAAGCCAAGGGCCTGCTTGAGCTCCTTGACCAGAGGCCAGGCGTTCAAAGCATCGAGCAAGTTAACGTAGCCGGGGGAACCATTGAGAACCTTGAAGGGCAGCTTGCCCTGGACTGCGTAGGCAGAAGCAGGCTTCTGGTGGGGGTTGGTGCCGTAGCGCAGAGACAGCTGCTGGTCACCACTGCCGGCGTACTCCTTGCGGAAGAAGCCAGAGATAGCAGAGTCGTAGTCGGCGGTCTGCTCGAACGCCTTGAGGGCGTACTGCTTGCGACTAGCCTCGTTGATCTCGCCAGCCTCGAGCTCCTTGAGGAACTCGGGGTAGTCGTTGGGGTCTGACAGGATGGTCACACGCTTGTGGTTCTTGGCCGCAGCGCGGAGCAGAGTCACACCACCGATATCGATCTCCTCCACGGCCTCGTCGATGGTAACATTGACCTTGGCGACGGTCTCCTTGAAGGGGTAGAGGTTGCAGACGACGTAGTCGACCTTGTTGATCTTCTGCTCGGCGAGGTCCTTCTGGTCGGACTCAATGTCACGGGCAAGGATACCACCGTGGACAGCGGGGTGGAGGGTCTTGACACGGCCACCGAGCATCTCGGGGGCGTGGGTGATAGCGGAGACATCCCTATTTAAGGTCAGCCACAATGCTCATCGACACAATCCTAATTGAGATTGGTTTCTCCAGGTCAGACAACGGATGTGACTCACTCCACGGGGAAACCAGCTTCACGAATCATCTTAGCGGTACCGCCAGACGCGAGAAGACGGACTTCCTGCTTGACGAGGCCCTTGGCCAGGTCAAGCAGACCAGTCTTGTCATAGACGGAGATGATAGCTGTACGCCATCCAAGAGGAGCATGTCAGCATTGACCTTATATCACTTGAAACAAGCACTCTAGTAGTCCGGGGAATGCTCGAACTATGGAGACCAAAAACCTACCGGACTTTTGAGACATGATGGATCCGACAATCGGCACTGACACTGTTAGCAGAAGGTTCAAGATTGAAAATTGACTCAAAACGGGACATACCTAAATCCAGTGACAGAGTATAGATGACGAAGAGTCAAAAAAAAAAAACGCAGAATCGAACTTGTCCCGCGGGGTCACCGCAATCGGCGAGGGGCTGGTATGACGGGGGTTAGATTACATATATTACCATTGGTTATTACCAATGGCGGTCCACTGTATTGACCAATCAGAGTAGAGAGAAAAGCAGCACCGCTTAGCGCAGCACGTGACCACACCCCTATAAAAGAAATCTTCACAGCGCGCCATCTCTCCTTCTTTTTTTCTTCTTCATGAACAACGCAAAATCACATTCTACTCAAAAAGCGTTCCTACGAAGACTTGTCTGATGAAGTACGGAAATCGTATAGAGAATGGAGACCAAGTACCAAATGGTAAAGGTATCGATCTTGGGTGCAGTGCCTGCTTGACCTTGTGTCATGTAGTAGGGATTGCAATGATTGATTCTACAACCCAAATATCAATATCATCTTTTTTTGAGAAAACCTTTGCTGGCATTTGCCATGGCAAATTTTCTTCGTAATCGTAACTTGGATGTGAACAATTTTTTCCCAATCATCATACCCTGCATATGGGCACTCTAGGTTCCCAATCGAGCGACGCTCATCTTGAACAATATTACCTCTCATGGGCTGTCTCGTATGTTTTCTTCAATTGCTGCACATCCCATGGTCTGGATCTATTCTCGCTATGCCCGTACTATGATGTTGATGACAGGCGGATTGCATTTTTCACTGTCCTAGCAAGCATCCTCTATCAGGTCTCTTTTTTTGTCGTCATGCCAAACTGGGGTTTCTGAATATGTATCAGATATCCATGAACTTCGGGATCTGACCTGGAAACCAAGGGACGAGACGGAGTATCACACAGATTTTCAGTGGGAAAAGCGACTTCAAAGTTTTGCTGAGTTGAGTGAGATTCCCAAGAGTTTAGACTCAGTGTAAGCTCAAGTACCGCGAGTTGTCTTGGTGTAACTATATCCTACTTAAATACTACTTAAGTATTTTGCTCTACAACTGACTTGGGTTCAAGATTGCCTTCACATGTAGCTTTCTCAATCTCCAGCTTCAGAGCTTTAATTCAAGGCTTTGCTTGATCGCCATGCCAGATTTTGACAGGAAACACCGTCAACTGCCCGCCTGCTGTGGTCCATTGAATGGATATATATCAGCGGTCATGGAGCAGAGCTTTTCAATTACATTTCTCTACCGAGACATAAATTATCTGTATACATAATGTGCGTCCTTGTGAGGCACTTGTCAGCCACGTCCCGGACATCGATTCGAACACCAAGCCATTCACGGCTTCATGGTATCCCTGTCACCAGCACCAATAGCAAGCTGGCGACCGACATTTCCAAAGCAGACGCAGGCGCAGAAAACGACACTGGCGATCCAGACGCGAACCGCGAGGCTTTCTTGGGTAATTCCAGCGCCTAGTGCAGTCTCCAGTCCTGTTCCGTTCAGAACACCAGTACCGAATGACGGACCGGTCGAAGCGGGCACAAGCTCTGGCTTCAGGCCAAGGATGGCACCCATCCCAGCCAGACCTACAGTGGAGGAGAGGACGAAGCCGGTCTTCGTGCGGTCAATCAAGTACCAGAGGACAGGGTTGGCGAGGGCAAGAGTGAGCGACGCTTGCGTGGTAGATTGCCAGGGAAGTTTGCGCTAGAAAGATACGACATCAGTATAGCTCGATGGGTTAGACGGCGCGGTTTCACTCACCATGGCAAAGGCAATTCCAACAAAAGCACCAACACTACGAGCAACAGTCACCCAAGAGGGTGTACGATCCTCAGTTTCTTCTTCGTTGGAGCTGCCATCCTTGTCAGCCCCCGTCTCCTCACGCCACCCGTCCAGCCAAGGGAGCAAATTGCCGAGCGCAATGCCGACCAACCCCCAGAGGCCCAGATACTGCCATGAATCATAGTAGTGAACATTCTCCAGCTTGACAGGCGTAATCCAGTGATTCTCATGGAGATTGACGGTGATAACACCGTAAGCAATGCCAAAGCCAAACAACAGCACAGAGCTCAACGCCTGTGGCAAGATGACACCCCGGAACAGCCCCTGACTCAACCGAGAGCGAGTGCGCCGCAGCGCCAATCGCTTCGGCATAATAGCTGATTTCTCAGCTGCATGCTGCGACGGCTCAGGCGGGTACTCTGCCGCAGGCGAGTTGGCTTCTGTGCCCCAGGGGCTGGACTCGTCGCGGAAGCTGTCAAAGGCAGTGGGCGAGTAGATACCGTAGAGGGTGGAGGATGTAAGGTTCATCACCGATCCGGTACGGCTTACACTGGTCGAGTTGGAGGCTGTTTCGGGGTGCAGACCGAGGTGGGAATCTGTCATGGATTCGGCGGGTGTTGGGGGACCGGACGACTCGGTGGACGCAGGTGTCACGTCGAAGACTCGTCTGGGGCGAGGCCGGAGGATGCGAGGTTGTTCGGCCATGGCGTTGACGTCTAGCGCGCTGTGATCTCTAGATTCGACACGGTGCTCTGGAGAAAAAATGGATGGCTCCGATCGTCGGCGCGGCTGGACCAAGCTGGAATTTGAGCTGCGCGATTCACGCGTTTGACAGGTTTGTGTTAGGTAATTCGATTGAAGGCCGCGGATTGATCAGACGCGAGCAGTATGTAGAAGGTTGTAAAGTAGTAGCTTGGCGGGGCCCAAAAAATTCGGGGAGAATGCAACCTCGGGTCAATTGGGTTATAGGAGAAAGTGTTGGGGCAGAGTAGATACGTCAAGGGACCGCACAGGGGCTCAGTAATTCGCTGGGCGCCGTTAGGAATCCGCTCTGTGCTGTTGGCCACCGCGCTGTAATGTTATCCACTTTGCCGCTGCGTGTGAGCTCGTATGATGGGGGAGCCTCAGGCCGCACTTGGAAAGATGAAATGCAAAGAGAAGTGAAGAATTGGAGGAAATAGGTCAAGCTTATGAAGTACGAATCCCAAAAGAGAATAAGCGCAGAGAAAAGAGGGGGAAGTATATTATCACATGCAGAGTGCATACATTTTGACGGAGTCGTTGTCACTACTACTACACATAGGAAATCCATTTCCGGATAGTATACACGCCTTGAGCCCGGAAAGAAAAGAGAAAAGAGAGCAAAGAGAAAAGGAAATAGATCGTGAGGTATGAAGCACATATGAAAGAAACAAAAAAAAAAGAGAAGCACAAAAGGGAATCAACAGTATTAATCTTCCATCACATCGTCCGCATAGCCTTCCCCGCGTTGATCGGCAGGCCCCCTCGGAGGGGGGGACGAAGCCTCATGTCGTGTGTCACCATTGGCGCCTTCGTAGGACATATTATCGTCATCTTCTTCGTCATCAGAGAAATCATCACCCCGAGGGTTATCATCCTCATCACCTGATCCTTCACCGAGCAATTCACGGTCAAGATCGTCAAGCTCGCCCTCCAGGTAGTCATCGGGTCCGTGCTCTGCATCCCAGTTGGGGGTCCCTAGAGCCGACGCACCCAAGCCGTCCGCCTTGGCGTGAGGAATGGGCTTCTTTCCAGTGCCAGGGGTGCCCGTGACACCGGTCGACTTGCGCTTGGCAGCACTAGGGCGAGCTCGCGGACGGGCTCGATTATGGGAGTTGCGCAAATCAGCCTCAAGGGCTGCCTTGGCTTGGTACCGTTCTTCGCGCTCCAACTTGCGGTCTTTCTTGGGCCCATTGGCTTCTTCGTAGTCCCATCGGTCGAGTCGGCGCGCCGCTTTGCGAACCACGGATAGGAAGACACTCGCACATTCTCCAAAGTCATCTTCCTCGTCAGGGTTGGGAAGAAGACCACCCTTACCCCATGAAGTTTCCTCGTCGTCGGTATCGTAGCCTTCGGGAAGACCTTGGAGAAGGCGACCGTAGCGCCCGAAAGGAATTTCATGCTCTCGTTTCGCACGTAGAACACGGTATGCATTGGATCTGCGTTTGGCAAGCAGATAGTCAATTCTCTGTCGTCGATTTTGTTCAACGGCAATCTGGTGTTGGGTGAGTGGTCGCGGTCGACGACCAGGGTTTGTGGAAAGTGAGGGTTCTGTGATGAAGCGGTTGAGGACTTGGTGAGGATGGCCTGAAGGTGCAGGAGACGCATCAGGGGTGTGCTCCGGTCTGGTTTTCAGAACGAGCCGTTGCTGGCCCATGGTGCGGTTGAGTGAGGGTTCCCGCTTGAGCTGCTTGGGGCGCGGACGTGAATAACCAGGAGTCATTTCGTCCTCGTCGTCATCCAGACTTCGTTTGACAGAAGGGTGGAGAGGGGTAGACATGGCGGAGCCGCGGCCTCCCATACCAGAATAGTCACCCGCGAATGAGTCTTCGTCAAACCCGAAATCTATGTATGAGTTAGTGCCAAATTCGGTTATTGAAATAGTGGGATGTATTACCTTTTTTGGGCCGCTTAGGGATGCGTGGTAATGGCTCCTCTTCTTCCAGAATGCCTGCATAAATTGTTAGTCACTGACAACAAAGCAGATTACTGCGCACGTACGCTTGCGTTCCAGTCGCTTAGATTCACCGTATTCCTGCTCCTCGGGTGTATCCTGATTCTCCTCATTGGCTTGTTCCTCGGTCAAGATATCAAAGGGAGGCACTTTCAAAGGAAGACCCTCAGAGCCCTCGCCTTCTAATCCCGCGCCGAAAGGATTGTTTAGAGCGGCCTCGCGGCTGAAATCACTCTCCAAATACCACCACATCAGCCAAAGAAATGCCCTGGCGCGACTTTGGCTACTCAAGGTTGATCTCATAACCAAATCGAAAAAGTCCCGCGGGGGGAAGAAATGTGTTTCTGAGACTTTGGGGGCGTATTGCGCCAGAACGAATATCAAATTCACCGGGTTCGTACGAGGTATGTTTTGTCGCTTGATCTTTTCCAGGGTGTTCGGCTGTTCATAGTCCTCCGAGGCGCCCTTCAGGATGGACTTGAGGCGTGGTGCATCCTGGAGCTGCTTGTAGGCGTTGGAGTCCTGGTGCGCTTGAAGTGAGGGGATGGAGTGGTAGGTCCGCAATTGAGCGCGCATTTCCGGGAAGACTAAACATAGCAGAAACAAAGAGGATTAGCGTTGTAAAGACCCGACGTAGCAGCAGACATACAGTTCAAGGTGGTATTCATGCGACCGAAGTTCACCAGCAAACAAACCATCGCCATGCTGATAGCCGCAGGCTTGTCACTCTGCAGTTTGTCTTTCAGAATCTTGCTCGTCTTGCTGCTCCGGGCCATTGCATCGATGTAGACATCCGCGAAGTCCAGTCCTTTTTGGCCATCAGGCCACCTCGTGAAAACGGGGGATTTGTCTTCAAAGACCAGCTTCAAGAACTCATATTGGATATCTTTGCGCCAGAGAGGGATACCATCCTCTTTCTTCAGGTGTCGAATCTTGTTGCCCGAGTAGACAGAGCCAATTGTACCGTTCGCTTGCCGCCTTGTACCGACCGTCGCGCTGGCGGTCAAGTTGGAGTCGTCTGCGACTTCGGAGATCGCGAAGGATTCGTCCATCATGCTGTTTTCCATGTCGGTCATCTTGGATGGGAAGGGGGTCGGGCGACCAATTTTCACTGAAAGATCGAAAGGTTGGGGTAGAGCTGCCCCCTAGGAGGCGCGGGAGCGATGATAGATCGAAGTACCGTGGAGAGAGGAAAGACAGAGAAAGGATCAATGAAAACAGGTCAAGGAAACGCAAAAGGACGAAAAGGAGTGCCAAGTGCAAAAAGGAAAAACGCAGAGTTTCGGGAAAAATGAGGAATAAAGCAATGCCGAGTGACCCATGAGGTCGAATAGCTGTGATAACTACCCGCGAGATTCTTGGCCTAATGCCACGCACTATAGAGTGGTATCTACTTAAGTAGTACATACATTACATTGTCCTATGGTCAATATTACATATAACCCTTGATCATAATGGATATATCAGATGGGTGTGCTATTGTGTGACTATTACGATATTAGTCCCCGAGCTATAAGCAGTACTTGAGTAGATAATGCCATCGTAGAACTCTATACATCGATGGATGTCTCCTACAACTTGAAAAGTACGGAGTACCCTACACGGAATGGATATTGATTTTGAAATTGCATTGGACAAGAGAACTTTCCTTCTCGCATGGCCTTTTTGTTCTCAATACGAGAACCTATAAAGCATACTCATTCAAGCGGCGGCGACAATCCTCGGTCCGAGAAAAATAGGAAATAAAAGCAAAGTGCTCCCGCTCGGAAACAATCAGCCTCCACGGACCCAGACATTCGTCAACCAACGCCATACAGAATGCAAATACCATATTGCTGTTTTTAAGGATGTTGCGAAAACCCACGCCGTGACGTTGCAACCCCGGAGAAAGAAAGCATGACTCGAAAGCAGAACGCAAGCAACAAAGCCCGCCATGAGATACCGACGCTGTAAAAAGTCTAGGCCGCACAATCAATGCAGCTATAACAACACCGAGATAGATGCGAATAGAAAAACGAGAACTTTTCGGGATGATGAAAAGTCATCATTCTCCGCTCGGCGCACGCGCGTCACTCGAACGTGTCCCGGTAGGAAACGCTCGAACATAAGGGGTATCTGACGAGAGCGGACGTAGGAAGAAAATGGGAAAAAATGAAAAAAAGACAAAGGCAACGCATTCTATGATGTTCATGCAACGTGGATCACAACCTGCCCAAGAAGAAACGTCCTCTGAGAGCATTATCGTAAGACCGCACTGCGCGTGTACCTCCTGTCTATGCAAGGCAGCCGAAGCCCATACAACGAGGAGGCACGAGAGGAACAGCAAAGATAAAAAGAAAAAGAAAAAAAAAAAGATGAAAGCATGCGCAAGGAAAACATGAATCTAAACAAGCTAAGAAAAGTCGTGGCAGTCATGACAAAGCCGTCCCTGGAGGAGATAACAGGGGGAAAAGAGGAAATCCAGGGACTTGTTCTGATCGTATCCGTCGAGAGACACAAGGAAATAAAGCAATGGAGCCAATCAGACCCAGCGGCCTCGTCAAAGGACCACGACGAATTTACCACCAGGAAGAGGGGCCGGAGGCACCGGAGGGGTTGCCGTAGCCACCACCACCGCCGTAACCACCGCCGTAAGAGGGAGCAGCGGCACCGCCGTAGCTGCTACCACCACCGTAGGAAGGAGCACCACCACCAGCGCCGTAACCGCCGCCGCCGAAGGAGCCACCGCCCATACCCATGCCGCCGGGAATACGACGCACATCACGAGTAGCAGCAGCACCACGGCCACGACCACCACCGCCACGGCCACGGCCACCGAATCCGCTACCCTCACGAGCAATGCTCTCAAGGAAACCGGGGACCTCCTGGTGAGCCTCCTTGAGGAGCTCAAGCAGATCACGAACAACACCACGGTTGCCACGGTTGAAGAAGGCAGTAGCGATACCGGTGTTACCGGCACGACCAGTACGACCAATACGGTGAACGTAGTCATCGATATCGGTGGGAAGATCGTAGTTAATGACGTGGGTCACGTTGGGGATATCGAGACCACGAGCAGCAACAGCGGTGGCCACAAGGATGGGGCAACGACCGTTACGGAAGAGCTCAAGAGCACGCTCACGCTCACGCTGAGTACGGTCACCGTGAATGGCAGTAGCGGGGAAACGCTGGTTGATGAGGAAGTCGGAGAGCGAGTCGGCCATGCGCTTGGTCTCGACGAAGATCAGGGTCAGACCGGTGCTGCCGTGGGTGTGGAGAATATCGAGCAGGACGGAGCGCTTGTCAGCATCCTCAACGTACTCAACCTTCTGGGTAATGTTCTCAGAAGTGGAACCGACACGACCGACGGACAAGAAGATGTAGTCCTTCAGGAAATCACGTGCCAGCATCTGGATATCGCGAGGGAAGGTGGCGGAGAACATGAGAGTTTGACGATCCTGGACAACGGGCATGTCCTCACCCTCGACAATGCGGCGAATCTGGGGCTCGAAACCCATGTCCAGCATGCGGTCAGCCTCGTCGAGAACAAGGTACTTGATGTTAGCCAGAGAGATACGGCCACGCTCGATCAGATCGACGAGACGACCAGGGGTGGCAACGAGGAGATCACAGCCACGCTCGATCTGGCGCAGCTGAGAGCCAATGTCGGCACCACCGTAGACGACGCAGGGGCGAACCCAGGAGCGGTAGGCGAACTTGCGGGCCTCATCGAAGATCTGAGAAACCAGCTCACGGGTGGGAGCAAGGATAAGAGAGGTGGGGTAGGCCTTGCGCTGGCGGCCGTAAAATTGACCACCTCCACCCTGGGTAGGCGTAGCGGAGGGTCCGTTCTGGAAAGCCTGAGAGAGGATAGGGAAAAGGAAACCACCGGTCTTTCCGGAACCGGTCTGGGCACAAGCCATGAGATCACGGCCGTTCATGACAATGGGCACAGAGTATTTTTGAACGGGGGTGGGGATCACGTAGCTGGCGAGCTTGATGTTGGCAATCAAGTGGTCGTCCAGAGGGGGGTTGGTGAACTGAGTAACGGGCTCGGGGACATCGTTACCGGAGGCCTCCACGGGAATATCATCGTAGTTGGCGAAGTTGATACCGGTCTGCTGCTTGGAGGGGTCATTGGGGACACCGAACAGCTCACGCTCCACACGGGCATTGGCGGGACCGGGAATGTGCTTGCCGTCGCGCCACTGACCATCTCCAGAGCCGCGACCTTGCTGACCGCCACCGCTGTAGCTGCCACCACCGCCACCGCTGTTGTAAGAAGATCCTGGGTGTCCGTAAGCATGGGGATCGAAGCGTCGGGTCCGTCCATCAGGGGTCCAGTTGGTCATACCGTTCGAGGGGCCACGAGGGCTGAAGTTGGGAGCGTTGGCGTTGGCCCAGTTACCGCCACCGGGACCGTTTCTAGAAAATCAGTTTGAAATTAGCTAAGAACAAGAAACAGACGATAATTTGGACACTGTACCGAGGACCGTCGAAGGAGCCACCGGGAGTAGGACCGTCAGCAGCAGGGCCGGGAGCGGGACCACCGCGACCACGGAGGTGAGGAGGAATGTAGGCGGCACGTCCTTGACCAGGAGCGTTGCCCTGGGGGGCGTGTTGAGACTCGCTGAGGGAGAGGTTTCCCATTTGCAAACCGTCGGCCATTTTTGCGGTTAAATTTTCTATTGCGGAGGAAAAAGACGAGTTAGAAGTTTGCGCGGAGGAGGAATGCAGGGGTGTTAGATGCGAACAGTTTTTTTTTTTCTGCTTCACCGAAAAGTTTCGTGGGGGGGTAGATAAGGCGCAAGTAGACCTCGAATAACTCGCAAAGGGAAAAAAACGACTTTTTAAATACCTTCAGAAAAAAAGAGAGAGAGACGGTGAAAAGATGTTGCTTTTCTGTTTCACTCAATAGAAAAAAAAAAGATTGAGTGGCAAACACAAAAAGCTCAGGAAAACCACAGAGAAGATGGAAAATAGCAAATCTCCCAGATCTAAAAACTCTATGGCAAGAAGAAAAAAGAGAGATGAGTGAAAAAGAAAAAAGGGGAGAGGTTCAGAGAGGTCAAGAAGTGGATTGAAGTGGTTGTGGGAAGGAGGCAAATCATGCAAAAGTTGGAGTACTTCCTGGGTACAGGGTTGCGGCGCTGTGTGGCCTGTGTGTTGGCAGGTAGAGTGGCCGTACCCGTGTAATAGATGGTATGGATGTGATACGGGGAGGCGCTAATACCTACCAATGACTTGTTTTTTGCGGGTGTATCAGTGTATAAGCCAAGTACTGATCAGGTACTGACCGCTACGAAGAAATTTCTTATTCTGTTACTCGCCAGTTGACGCTGGTCGGTGACTAAGATCAGTACACCCGAGTTTGATTGGCTACACTTTTTGTATGTCGGGCCCGTGCCCCATGGTTTGTTCACCACTGTCGTCACTCAGAGTGATCGGGTCTAAACGTTATGATCTATATAGATAATGAGGGTGATCAGACGTGCTGGTATATTAGTAGGGTTTGGGATAGGGTTTGAGAAGAAGCCCAGAAAGTCAGCTATTCTCATATATTGCATCTATCACGAATACGGAATTTAGGCATCATACTGCTCCTTCTCTTGGGGCTGCTGGCCACGACGGCGGGCAATCCAGATACCCACAACGGCAACCAAGACAAAGAAGATCACAAAGGGCTGCAGAGGGTAGGATGGCGTGGCGGCATCGGGGGCCTCATCAGCAGCAACGGGTTCCTGGTCAAGTTCTTGAGATATCCAGCATCATCAGCCACTTTCGACCAGCAGCAGAGAAAACAGCGCACAGGTAATCACCTGTCTAGAGTTCATCACGGCTACCTTTTTCCTCGGTTTCGGTCTCAGGTCCCAACTCGAGCTCACCGCTCTTCACGATCTTGACAACCTGCTTGGGCTTGTCACCGGGGAGCTTGGGAACGTTCTGGATCTTATCGACAATGTCGTATCCCTCGAGGACCTCGCCGAAAACGACGTGTCGGCCATCGAGCCATCTGTACAGCGTAAGTCAGCAATTGCACCGAACGAATTTTATAGATGAGGCACGTACGAAGTGACAGCGGTGGTGATGAAGAACTGGGAGCCGTTGGTGTCCTTGCCAGCGTTGGCCATGCCTAATTGTGGTCAGAGAAATGAACACATCCCTAGAGCTAGACAGAAGTCTTACTGAGCTGGCCCTTCTTGGTGTGGCGGAGCTTGAAGTTCTCATCCTTGAACTTGGCACCGTAAATAGACTTGCCACCAGTGCCTGTATGAGATTAGTGCCATGCTATCAATTTCGACTGGAATATGGCGTACCGTCACCCCGGGTGAAATCACCTCCCTGGATCATGAAGTCCTTGATCACACGGTGGAAGGTAGAGTCCTGGTAACCGAAGCCCTTCTCGCCGGTAGCGAGGGCGCTGAAGGTGAGTTAGCATATGCAGGATGAGGTATAACGCCCAAAAATAGAGCAATCAGCCATACCGGAAGTTCTCAGCGGTCTATTTCAAGGTCAAATGTCAGCAAAATTGCTCAATTGCTAATGTATAGGGGATATAGCTGCACGAACCTCGGGCACGGTCTTGCCGTACAAGCCCATCACAATGCGGCCGAGAGACTCCTCTCCATGCTGAATGTCAAAGTAGACCTGTAATCACTGGTCAGAGTTGCTTCTGATAAGATGTGAAGACTGCACGGTTCTTCGAATGGACATATATGATGCTCACCTTGCTGGTGATCTTGGGGCCGCGAGGCTCCTTGGTTTCGGCCTGGACGAGGGCAAAGCCAACGGCAAAGACCAAGAAAAGGGACACGAAAAGATTGCGGAAATACATGCTTGCTGGTATCACTGATCTAGAAGGATACAGTGAAAGGAGAAGGGCGAAGCAATTGGGAGGGGAAGAAGGCCAGCTTGCAATTGGCGTGCGGAGAGTAGACAGGCGCTCCACTCCCAAAGCTGTAATTTTCAATATGCAGATCACAAATAAGGTGGGATGCAAGTATTTGTTACAAATATTACAGTATCCGTGTGTGTAAATACACCAATTTTGCAGACCATGAGCGGAAAAACGTTAATGCCAGAATTTCCTTCCGGAGTTCAACAAGCAACAAGTGACGGCCTCCGACTAATTGCTAGGACATCAGCTCGCCAATACGATTCAAGATGGTACGCCACTATATCATGCGCAATTACCTCATTCCAGAACGCACACGCTAACAATTTGAAGGTTTTCATTCTAGGAGTCAACTTCCCCGAGCGGAACCTGCTCAAGGCAAGCCGACCCTCAATGCGACGCAACAGGACTTGAACAACCGATGGATCGACTAATACGCAATTCTTCCAACAGAAATCCCTTCAGAGCTTCTTCGGAATTGGAGATTTCACCTCCAACCGTATCATGGCCCGCTTCAACATCCACCCCACATGCCGTGTTGGTGAGCTCGCCAACAAGCAGGTCTTGGACCTCACGGCCATGCTTTCTGAGATGAAGATTGAGAACGACCTGCGCCGAGAAGTCTTGAACAACATCAAGCGGTTGAAAGAGACCGGAACCTACCGCGGTCGACGTCACGCGCTGGGTCTGCCCGTGAACGGACAACGGACCCGAACTCAAGTGAGTCTATCTCTTTGCTGCACTACTATGCTGCACAAATCCGCATTAATATACGGGATGTGTTCTGGGAGACTCCGGCTAACATGCTCGCAGATCAAAACTCCTATCCGCTTGAACCGCATGGAGCGTCGGTTGTGATTTCGGATTGTGCTCAATTTTTGTTCTTATGGGATTGTCTCACATATGTTTTTGCGTGAGAGGCATGGAATGGCGTTTTGATTTCTGGCAGCGGTTCAGTTGTCAGGTTGTATGTGATTAGAAGCCCTTTATGGATGTATTATAGTCTAGACAAATTCAGGAAAAGGATTGTCTTAATTGATATGAGGATAGCAATAGCTACTGTAGGGCTGTGGTTTTGGCGTAAATCATGACCGTGTGAGAATGTACGAGAAGATGGAGAATAATGAGAAGAAAAAAAATATATGTAAGTCTAAACTTTTGCCCTCAACCAAGTGTTAAAACGCCTAGCCCATATGTGCACTTATTGCTTTGAAGACAGCACGCCTTCGCCACGGTTGATTTGGATCCGCTTATCCTCACCCGCGCTCACAATGCCAACAGTCTTGTCCCAGCACACGCTGAACACCTTGACACCCTCACCGCCAACACGCTTGCTGTCGGACTTGCCCTCCTCCTCAAGGCTCTTGCGAGTGATAGAGTAAACACTTTCACCAACAACACCTTCCTTGTCCGTCTTGGTGGACCGGATATCCCAAATTCGACATGTGCCGTCGTGGCTACCACTGATGAGACCGTATGTGCTGTGCGGGTCACGAGCCAAGCTCACGACACCGTTGGTGTGGCCTCGTAGAGTCATAGCAGCCACAGTGGTGGCAGATGCACGGGGATCAATCAGGGTGATGTGGCGGGCGGCAGTACCGGCAGCCAACAGGCTAAGCTCGGGGAGGTGCTCGAGAGAAAGAAGCGAGTGTGAAGTGGTGCGAGTATCAACGAGGGAACCAGTGACCAGATCCCAGGTGCGCAAGGAATGATCCCATGAAGCAGAATAACCAACAGTGGCGTCCTTTCCATCGAAGATGGCAGCAGAGACGGGTGCAGTGTGACCGGACAACAGAGACAATGGGCCGCGCTGCGGGGTGGTGACGGATGTGTTCAACTTGCGACGCTTGGTGTTGCGAGCATTGCTGGATGGAAGCAGATTCTCGGGGGCAGCCGACCCGTCGGCCTTCTTTGTTGACCAGAATCCAACAGTGTGGTCCGAAGAACCAGTCAACAGACGGTTGGACTTTCCGTGTACGGCCAACGATTCGATTCCGGACTTGTGACCGTACAGCTCCAGCTGAGGAGAAATCTTTCCAGCAAAGCCACCTTCTTCCTCGGTATACTTCCACAATCGCACGGTGCGATCGAGGCCAGCAGACGCAATCTGGTTCGGGGAAACAAACTTGGCAGCTCTGATGGAGGCAGTGTGGCCTCCGTCGGCGGCGGCTGGAGATGTCGCAATTGTCTCGGAGGACATGTTCCAAATGCGAAGCAAGCCGTCATAACTTCCAGACAGGATTCGCTCTTGGCCCGGCGTAAAAGTAGCACCTGAGGCCCATGAAGCAGCAGGTGAGGTCTTGGAGAGAACATCTGTGGCGCTAACCCAGTCGTCGTGTTGGAATGAAGCGATATGCAGAGGGGGAATCAAAGCCCGGACATATTCAATCTCGAGAGTTGTCTCAGCGGAGATACCATTGTCAACCAGATATTCATCGATCGAGGTTCGCAAAAATTGACCGTTGATCAAAAACTCGAATGGGATTGGCTTCTCGCTAGAGAGAAGGTTGTTGACCAGGGTCGACAGCGCATATCGGCGAAGGCCTTTTCATTTCAATATCAGTACTTGAAGCATGAAATACCAGATCGGCAATGGGTATCTTACCAGTGGGAACCAGAATTGGGCCGGTGCTTTCAGGCAGAGCAATCTCTTCCTGTTGGCTGACAAGCTGCACTCGAACCTGTCGCTGCGCAGACTCAGCTGCAGCTGTGTTAAGATCGTCACTCATTGTAAATCGAGTCCGAATTGCTGTCGATGTTACAGATGGAATCTTTTTTCGGTGGCTGTCGCATTTTCGGCGGGTGAGGAAAAAATACGGTGACCCGTGCGGCACACTTGCGCAGAGCGCGGAGATGCCTCCGCTTCTATACTTTGATGCTCTGCTCTCTCCGTGCTGCTGTATAATTGGTTTCACCAATTGCTGGGTAGGCTGCAGGAAAGATTTTCGGCTATAAGTACATTTTCGTATCACATAATGAAGCGAGACACAACAGAGAAAAGGTGGAAGAAGCATATTTATCTGAAAAGATACTAAGGGTCTCTGTTTACACAACTTTGATGCTGGGCTAACTACACTCAGCCTCTTGGGGCTCTTCGAATTTCCGAGATAGCACGCCGGCGATGATCAGACTCTGCAAACAATGCCTCAATCAGGTCGACCACCTCTTCAACAGAGAACTCCAAGCCTAACTCTCCTTCGAGCCAAAGATATTTGATATCAGCAAGAGAGCTTTCCAGGATGTTGACCAAGTACTGGAAGCGAAGCCAGCTCGGAACATAAATGGCGGTCGCCGGGAGCGCTTCAGAGTCGCCATTCTCTGGCTTGAAGAGATCCTCCAGCTTGGAGATTTGGTTGCAGAAAGAGACTAGTTGCTTCGACTGATCCTCCGAGATATCACCCAAGTCCTCGACATCAATGATCACTTTGTTAATGACCGTGGACAAGAGGGAGCCCACAGACTGCAACAGCGCAGAGTGAGACAGGACAGGGTGCCATTCATTGTAAACATCGCGAATTCTGTCAACAGTTACGTTGACAGAATTCTCACAGTCTGATTGGAAAGGCTGCTCGGAGCATTGTCCGAATCCTTGGGCCCCATCTAGTAAGTCGGTGACGATCGTACGCTGGGTCTGCATCTCTTTGCTGTAGGCTAGTTTGCCGAACTTCTCCAGAGATTCAACATCGGGTTGGAGCCTAGAAAGTTCATGCTCATCGACTAGTTTTCGAATCTCATCGGAAAGATACAAACTGTCATTGTAAAGGTACATCTGTCCCGAGTTGAGCTTGAGCGAGTAGAACGTTGACGATGTAGCCTTAAACATAGCCAAGATCAACGTTGGGAGCGCAAGTAGACCTGTACCAGAAGAGGCAACACGGGATTTGGCATGTCTAGGTCCATTAGCATGTTGTCAGATTATCGAGAGGAGCAGCTGACTTACGTAGGTTGCAGTATATCATTCGAATCCGCGATTTGTTGCCGAACGATGTTAAGAACAGATTCAGGGATGTCGGTGATAGTGAAGACTTCCTTCAGGGTGACCTCCTTAGGCGAAGCAGATCCAATCGAAGGCTTCTGCTTCGTTGAATTTGCGACTGCGGGAGTCTGGGTTGGATCTGATTGGCTGCCAGCTGTCTGTTCCTCGTCTTCCTCGTCGCCCCATCCCCAAGCATCGTCGGCATCGTCATCTGCCACATCAGTAGGTGGTTCTGCTTTGGCCTCTTCTTGGGTTCCCTCGGTCTCATCGTCATCAAGACCCCATGCACTAACGTCCTCTTCATCATCGGGGCTTGTTGTTACTTTGTCAGATTTGGCATCTTCTTTTTCGTCATCCCATCCGGCGTCCCAGTCATCATTGACGGCATTTTCCAAGAGCGCTCCGTCAGCTTGAGAGACCTTTTCTATTTCAATTCGCTCAACCGTCTTGGTCGTACCCTGGCTAGCAGCAAGAGCTTTTCGAACACTATCGAGCGAGTCGACTCGACGTCGGGTCAACCACAGACGTGGAGCTTGGTTGACCCATGAAACAAGTTCTTCCTGGCCCGTCCAACCCCAAGACTCGATCTTCTGGGTGAACTCCAAGATTTGATCTAGAAGTCTTTCGAAATCGGCCAGGCCATCCAGATCAGTGGGAATTGCATGGGATAACCACTCCGAGATCGTCTTTGAAGAGAGTTTCGGAATGAATGATTCAGATAGAGCTGCAGAGACCAACGTGGGCAGATGATCTCGCAAGTATCCCAAAACTTTTGAGAGGCGACCCAATGTTTCCAGCGCGGTTGCTTTCGAGTCTTGGGGCACAATTTGAATGCTGGTATCCGATACCACTACGCTGTGGCTGATACCATTGGGGCCGGAGAGCAAGATCGGGTTGATGATTGCAGTAAATAAGTCTTTTTGGAACTTTTCATTGGCCGACGTAAGAATTTCAAGTCGAGCAAGCGACACAAGCGTGTTGTCAATGGTATCTTCACCGACGCTGGAGACCTGGAATTCACCTCGGGTCCGGTCGATCTTCAACTGATCTGCCCAACGCCTTTGAAGTGCTTCGGTGATCTCTGATCGTAGCAAGGACACCTCATCAGATATTATGCTCATCACATTCGTGTTGGTGAAGAAAGCATCCTTGCCGACAGCTGCGTGGGTGGACTCCAAGTGCTCGATGGCGCTGGTAATGTGGCCGTCTTTGAGAGCCGCTCGACCGTTTTCCAATTGCTGACAGAGACGTTGCACCTCCTCGAGCGTACCTGTCACGGCCTCGTTGAAGGCAATCTCCGTGTCAACCAATGCGACTTTGGCCTTGGCGTCTGTAACCTTCGCCTGCATGGTTTCGGTGTGTTCATGCTGTGCAACAATCTCTCGGGCAGTCAATCTTGATCGTTCGATGTCGGCGTGAAGCTGTCTGGCTTGGACAATCCAATCGTCGGCGTCGAAGGTGTTCTCTCGACCCAGGGAGCTGATCTCATTCTAATCGAAACCAAAGCGAGACATTAGCTTTCGTCCAGGCAAATCGAATTTTAGGGTTCCCGTACCTCTACCTGTTCACGGGCCTTGGATATGAGCTCCAATTCCTTTGCGAGAGCAGCTGGCGCGAAGTTGCCAGCCACCACATTGTCGTCCGGGTATGTGCCTTCAGTGACAAAGCCTAGTACGGCTTGACACAGCGCCTCGTCTCCGGTAGTGTCTGGCATGGCGCCTATGTTCCGTAGATGTAGGTTGTACTGAATGGGGGAGGGAACAGCAACGGCGTCAACAAACCCGTGACTTTGGGCGTCACCGCCCCCACGTTGTTACGTCTACATAGTGAACGGAGAGGAATTGGATGATATTTGGATTTATTTATGCGGATAGGAAAGATACAAAGAAAAAAAGAGAGACGGAATATATCAGGGGTTAATTTCTCTTGGCTACACATCTCTTTGTTATAGACACGGTCAGTTGTCGCTTTGTAAGAACGGGTCAAACTCCGCCTGGGACCACAATTTGAGACTCATCGTGTCTTTTCTCCCACTGACTCGCCTGAATCGGGCATCCCTCTCTCTGTAAGTTGTTGGTGTTGGTGTTGGTGTTGATGCTCGACTCTGTCTACCCCTCCAAATTCTCTGCCCCTCGTTCATGATGCCATGCCGCGTCAAGATACGTCCTTTTTAAGCACTTAGTTCCGGTGATTCCTGCTCTTCTCTTCTTTCATCCGATCCCCGGTGAATATTCTTGTTGCATCTGGCTTTCGTACTTGCTTTAGTTCTCCTGCTTCCATGTATCAAGAGACTGGCTAATAGCAAGCAACAGCTTAAGCGTCCGAAATCTATTCACTGGGCCTGCCCCATTGATCAATATGTCACCCTCGGCGCAGAACAGTCATTTTAAACTGCTCCAGCAGTTCAAGCCTGATTACTCGCCGAGCGAGTTCACTCAGTATGAATCTCAGCGCACCGGCATGAGAGTGGTCGTCATCGACCAGCCGGGCCCCAAGGTCAATGGCTATTTTGTGCTTGCTACTGAGATCCATGATGATTCGGGAGCTCCCCACACTTTGGAGCACTTGTGTTTCATGGGATCCCGCAATTATCGCTACAAGGGTTTCTTGGATAAGCTGGCTACCCGCGTGTACTCCAGCACCAATGCATGGACCGCAACTGATCATACTGCCTATACACTCGATACCGCAGGCTGGGAAGGCTTTGCGCGAATCCTGCCCGTCTATCTGGAGCATGTCATTGCTCCTACTCTGACAGACGAAGGCTGTTATACCGAAGTGCACCACGTCGATGGATCTGGAAACGATGCCGGTGTTGTGTACTCGGAGATGCAGGGTGTTCAGAACGATGCGGCAGAGCTGATGGATCTGGCAGCCCGAAGATTGACCTACCCACCTGGTGTAGGCTTCCGCTATGAGACTGGTGGTATGATGGAACAGCTCCGTGTCTTGTCTGCGGAGCGGATCCGTGAATTCCACCGTGAGATGTACCAGCCCAAGAACTTGTGCCTGATCATCACCGGAGAGGTCGACCAGGCCAACATGTTGGATATTTTGGATAAGTTTGAAGAAACCATTCTGGATGTCATCCCCAGCCCAGAGGCTCCGTTCAAGAGGCCTTGGGTGGACTCGAAGCAGGCTCCTCCTTTGGAGAAGTCAATCATTCAGAAGGTCGAGTTCCCCGAGGAGGACGAATCGTTTGGTGAAATAGAGATCCGCTTCATCGGACCTGATTGCACTGACCCCGTTCAATGTATGTTTGGCCCAAGATTTCAACCACTTAGTCCCACACTGACCAATTAATAGCCGGTGCTCTTAACGTGTCTCTTCTCTACTTGGCGGGCTCATCTGCAGCTTTGTTGGAGAACATTATTGTTGAGAAGGAGCAGCTCGCCAGTGCCGTCTACTATGCTACCGAGGACCACCCTAGCATGGAGATCCGCTTCACATTGACCAGTGTCGAGACTGAAAGCTTGGAGAAGGTTGAGAAGAGATTCTTCGAAATTCTCAAGGATGCCATGGACAAGGAGTTGGATATGAAATACTTGAAGGAGTGTATCGATCGTCAGCGTCGAACCTGGAAGTTCTCAACTGAATCCTCGGCCTCTTCGTTCGCGGAGTACGTCATTTCTGACTTCTTGTTTGGCAAACGCGATGGTTCTACTATGATGGATGTTGCGACTCTGAAGGAGTATGAAGTCCTGGAGAACTGGACCGAAGACCAATGGCGAGCCTTCATCAAGAAGTACATCTCCGATGCGGCTCACGTCACCATCCTGGGTGTTCCATCCCAAAAGATGTCTGAGACATTGAAGAAGGTCGAGGAGGATCGCGCCACTGCCCAGAAGGAGCGACTTGGCGAGAAGGGATTGAAGGAGCTTGCCGACAAGCTTGAGAAGGCCAAGGCTGAAAACGACAAGCCCATTCCACAGGAGTTGCTTGAGGAGTTTGCCATTCCTGGAACCGAGTCAATCCACTTCATGGAGACCACCACGGCTCGTTCCGGGGCTGCTTTGAAGGCTGGACGTCCCGACAACAAAATCCAGAAGGTCATTGATGCTGACAAGTCTGACTCGTCTCTCTTCATCCACTTCGAGCACATTCCCAGTAGCTTTGTACAGCTTGCGGTGCTGATCTCAGCTGATTCTGTGCCTGTTCAGCTGCGTCCTTTGCTATCCATCTACACTGAAGCGTTCTTCAACATCCCTGTTCAGCGTGATGGCCAGACCATTGACTTTGAGCAAGTCGTTGTGCAGCTGGAGCGAGACACAGTTGGTTACTCTATGGAGACCGCCCGTAGCCTCGGAAACTCCGAGATGCTCCGCGTCTCCTTCCAGGTCGAGCTGGAGAAGTATGAAAACGCCATCGCCTGGCTGAAAGAGCTGTCCTGGAACTCCATCTTCGATGTTGAAAGACTCCGAGCCATTAACACCCGTCTTTTGGCTGATGTGCCCGACTCCAAGCGTAGCGGTGATGACATGCTCGCCGCAGCCCATGTGATGGTTCACTATGCCAACGAATCCATTGTCCGAGCTCGTTCCACTCTAGTGAAGGCTCGCTACCTTAAGCGTGTCAAGCGTCTGCTCGCTGACAAGCCCGAGGAAATCGTGAGCCGCATGGAGGAAATCCGCCGCTCGCTGTTCCAGCCCGACAACGTCCGCGTCATCGTCATCGCTGACCTTGAGAAGCTGAAGAACCCCGTTTCGGCTTGGAAGCCCTTCGCCGATTCTCTCGGCGCCAGTGCCGATCCCCGCCCCATCACCAACCGACGGGCTCGTCTCAGTGATGCTGGCAAGAACGTCGGCGGCAAGTCATACATCGTCCCCATGCCGACGGTTGACTCGTCTTTCGCCTACGCTACCGGTCGTGGTCTGGACTCCTACGATCACCCCAGTCTGCCTGCCCTGCTGGTCGCAATCTCCTACATGAATGCCGTCGAGGGTCCCCTCTGGGTTGCTGTTCGTGGAACCGGTCTGGCGTATGGCACCAACTTCAGCTACAACATTGATACTGGCTTTGTCAACTTCGATGTGTATCGTTCGCCAAACGCACACAAGGCTTTCGAGTCTAGCAAGCAGATTGTCGAGGATCATCTCTCTGGAGCCTCGCCTTTCGACCCACTGATGCTGGAGGGCGCTATTAGCAGCATTGTGGTCAACTTTGCAAACGAGCAAATGACTGCCGCTAGTGCTGCGCAAGGCAGTTTTATTCGCCAGGTTGTGCGCAACTTGCCCAGTGATTACAAGGAGGCGATGCTCAAGAATGTGCGCGCTATCACTGTTGACCAAATCAAGGGTGCTTTGCGTGATATTATCCTGCCCATGTTCGATCCCAAGAAGGCCAACCTGGTCGTCACCTGCGCAACTGTGCTGGAAGAGGTAAGTTCTTTCAACCCAAAATCTGCTCGTGTACGAGGTACTAATATCACGACTAGGCTATTAAGCAGGGCTTCGAGGCTTCTGGCTTCACCCCTACAGTTCAGCCTCTCAAGGAATTTGAAGATGACTACGGTCTAAAGCTTGACGACCAGGATGACGATGATGAGGATTCGGATGATGAAGATGATGAGTCTGGCTCCGAAGACGATGACGAAGACGAGGATGACTCGGAAGAAGATGACGATTGAATGTTTGAACGGTATATCTGCAGATAGCCAGGTAGATCACATAGACGGATGGTGTCAGGATCTCCATAGTCTAAACCGTGATGATCTCGGGAATTTACTCGGTGACCTGTAACTCATCCAGTACATAGAAGGCATCACAACTGAACTGAAAGTTGAAAATAAATGATTCGCACTATATGAAAATGTAGTCTCACACACCCTATTGAGGTAAATATGGTACACGCCAAACAAGATCTCCCACGCTCATCTTGTCTCAGCCTCTCTCGCAACGCCAAGCGTGCCGGGCAATTGCATTCTATCCATGACACAGGTGATCAGTTCCCTGTCCATGGAAACTTAACTCTCTCTCTCTCTACTGGCTCGAATCATGACAAATCGAAACTACCAGCTGAGCTCCTTTCGGCCTTTGAGAGTCCTCCGCACGAGGATCTTGCGTCCGTTTCTATCCTTCTTGCGCGCGAGGTAGCCATGGCGGCGCTTCTGGACTCGTCGTGATGGGCGGAAAGTCACTCGGCGCACGCCGAGGGAAGCACTTGCGGAGAAAGAACGGCTCTGCTGGGGAGCCCGGGAGAGGAGGGAGGACAGCGGCGAAGAGAGTGTAGTTGAGGGGAGGCGGGCGCCAAGTGTAGGTTGGAGGCGTGGGGTGGAGAGAAGAGAGGAGAAAGCTCGGGATGAGAGCATTGTGGAGGGTGTGCTTGGTTGGCGTATTTGAGAGAGTCTGTCGGGATGGAAGTGTTAACAAGACATCATTTGGATGCTATATTGGATGAGATGAAGGAATTGGGGATCATTACATACCTGTTGATAGGGGTTCGCATAGCAGTAGCCCGGAAGGCTGAGGGCACAGCCCTGGGACAAAGGCAGAACATGTTCTGTTGGAATTGAGGGGATGGACTTTGAAGTTGGAGGTGACAAGACGCGGCGGAAGACAGAAAACTAGAGGTTCGCCCCAATCGGGACTAGCGTCCCGTCGCCGACACTTTTTTTGTCGGCGAATTGCTCGACTTTGCCCGCTTCAACCCTCATTACTGCTCCCAACCTACGCTGAGCTGGTGACATACACTGTACCAAACCCTCGCAAGCTCATTGGCAAAATCAATTATATAACCGCCACCCTCACATCTACCACCAACCAAGCACCAGTCCCACATAATGGCTTTCTTCTCAGGCCCTCGAGCCCTGCCCCCAACATCAGTGGAGAGCACCACACCAATCAGCCAAGCGCAAGCGCAAGAGTTCCTCCGCGCTTACCTGGACCGCGCGAACACGGATCCCTCACTGCAACCCAATGCCGGCATCAGCGAGCATGGTCCCGTCTCGCGCACGACCGCCGCAGCACCAAACCTGATCCTCCACAACCTGAAGCGCGTGCAAGCAGGTCTGGCGGGTGAGCTTCTCGGTCGCGATTTGACGGCCGCGCAAAAGAACCCCGGCGAGGAATACGTGGAGGCTGCGGCCGAGGTCGCACACAAGAACGAGGATGAGGACAACGATCTCGCCATGAATGATGCCGATTTCGGTGGAGAGGCGGAAGCTTTCGCCGAACAAGAAGATGGCATGGACAAGGAAGACCGCAAGCGCAAGAAGAAGGAGAGGCGTCTTGCTGAGAAGAAGGAAAGGGCTCAGAAGGCCAAGGATGAAGTCGAGGACTCTGATTAAGATGTGATATATTTGGGCGTTGATGCATTGGGTCGGAGTTCTTTTCTTTATTTTTGTCTATTGCTGTGCCTTGGACCGGGTTATATTGGATGTATGAGAAGACTCGCATTTGTCTGCACAAAAAATGTCATTTAAGAGTTCAGATGGATTGGTTTGCACCAATCAATACATAAAGAACCGTTTCCAAGCCTTTCTCCTGTTAGTCTTGCTACAGCTTCACAGGATTCGAATTTGACTGGCACAAAAAGATCATTTATAGATAATAGAACAAAATTGCCATATGGGATGGACCTAAAGCTCGCGGTCCGCGGCCTTAACGGGCTTCTCGCTATCCTCCTCCTTGCTGCTAGTGACCTTACCACCCTTCCAGCCAAGTGCGGCAAGACGCTCGGTGAGAATGGGGTGGGAGTAGTGGTAGCTAGCATAGATGGGGTCAGCGTCCATGGTGCTCAGGTTTTGGATCTGGAGCTTCAGGAGCGAAGAAGCGAGCTTGTCAGAGTAACCAAGGTTCTGGGCGAATTCATCTAAAGCACGTTGTCAGTGATTGCAAAAATCTATATTGACAGAGCAAGACATACCAGCCTCGAATTCGAACTTCCGACTGAGGATGTTCATAAGAAGCTTGACGACGGCATCCATAGGGGCGAGAGCATCAGAGAAGAGCAAGAAACCAATCATAATGGGCTGCTCCTTGATGAAACCGAAAGACTGGTACAAGGACTTGTTGTTGACGAAGACGGAGAACAGGGCGAAGATGTAGAACATATGGAACTAAGAATTGTCAGTCAAATTTCGGGTATACAGGCTGTGAACATACCTGGGCGATACCAAACAGCTTGGTGGTGTGGCTCAAGCTCCAGTGGCCAAGTTCATGGCCCAGGACAGCGACAACCTCCTCGGGCTCGGTCTTCTCAATCAGGGTGTCGTAGATGACAATGTGCTTCTTCCATGGCAGACCGTAGAAGTAGGCATTGCTGTGGGCACTGCGCTTGCTTCCGTCGATGACGTGCAGCTCCTGGAGAGGGAAGTTAAGCTTCTTAGCCAGGTTCTCGACACCAGTCTTGAGTTCACCGGGCTCGAGAGGCGAAAGCTTGTTGAACAGAGGCAGGATGACAATGGGGTAAATGGTGATAGCAAAGACCTGGAGGAAGACTCCAAAGAGCCACAAGTAGTAGAAGAACGAGTTGTCAAACTTCTGCACAATCTTGAGCACAGCACTGATGATGGGAGCACCGAGGACAATTCCAAGCATTTGTCCCTTGAGCATGTCTGTGATCCATAGCTTGAGAGTCTGCTTGTTGAAGCCGAACTTCTCCTCAAGAACGAAGGTGTTGTAATACGAAACCGGCAGCGAGAGAATAGTGCTGAGAATGTTGAAGCCGAAGAAGAATACCAATGTTTGACAGATTTCACCCTGGAACCGACCGGGGAGGTACCGCGCGAGGAAGAGGCCACTCAGGCCCCAAATCTTGGGGAGGACATCACCATAGATGAAAGCGAGATTCTGAATTTGACCGTAGAGACCTGAGACGAAGCCGAACTTGGCCTTTGCGCGACCGTATGCCTGTGATATTGAGAATAAGTAGGCGCATAGTATGGACTTGTTTGGTGCTCCTCATACCTGACTTTGATCGTAAACCTTTTGAGTAACCTCCCCTTCGAGGACCTTAGGGGGGGTTGTCCGTTGCAGAAACTTGTATTGGCGAAGCGAGAGGAAGCCTTCGAGGACAAACTGGCCCAGCGAAAAGCCCACCAGCACGTTCTTCCAAGGGAAGAGCGGGCGGTCGAGCAAACGCGCCAGTTGCTGGGGATTGTTAGCAACGTGTTCACGACCAAAAGTATTCTCACCATGAAGCGGGGGGTATAGAATCCAAGATAGGGCTACTAACCTCGAGGATATACATGATTGAAAGTTGCGCGCAACTAGGGTGAGAGTGGAGGAAGAGAAGCTACTTGAATGTTTGCCCAGGTGTTATCATCGCCCTTAGTCAGATTTGGGGATGCCCCAGGTGCACGACTTTTGAAACACAACAGAGTCCGGTGGTCACACAGTTCTATTGTTTTTAAATTTGCAATTGCGACTATCTACATACTCAGAATCATTGGGATTTAGTTCTGAGTATATTCCAATGCTGATACACTACTTTGGTTCTCTGTACATCTGTAAACAACGTTGGTGATGTCATTGTCGTATACCCAACTACATCGATTGATATACATTTAAAGCCCTGGAGAGCTCAAATGAATTTGTTTTAAAAAGAAAGAAGTTCTCAAGTCCTGCAATTGCATCACAATTCTCGAGGCGGCGCAAGTGTGTAATCAACGGAGTAAAGTGTGAATGATCGAAGTATATAACTTCAGGTTCAGTGCACAAATGAACCGCAACATCCGTGCAGCCCAACTACCCTGTATACAGAACTTTAGAAACACCTGTAGACGTTGGTTGAAAATGCAAAGCAAAAGCTGGTAAATTGTAACCTCCCCTACATTTTTGACCTCAGACCTATATAGGTCTATCTACATAGGGTCCGATGCAGACAGAAGATATGAGCAATGAACATGGAACCCTCTTGAAAAACAACTCCCTCATACGAAAGAAAAACAAACACATCTCTTATTCGCCGACCTCTCAATCCTGCTCGTCGTCCCCAACAACCCGCTGCCAGCCCATTGCCGAGGATGAAGCAGGTGATTTGGGGTGGCGACAATGCAGAATTGCATTCCTCTCCCATCTTCTCTATTTAGCCGGGGGAATCAGTTCAATCATGCCTTTACTTTTTCCGACTCGTTATGACCGTAAACTTTTCTGCAATAGAACATTGCAAGACTCGTGTTCGAGGGTCGGTGGGCTGAGACACTGCGGGAATATAGCATGGATTATGTGCAGATTTTCCAGAGCAGACCTCAGCCCCGATCCTCCCCATGCCGAACGGGGACATCGTTCAAAGAGGTGCTTTACTGCTGCACGGGCTCGAGGGTGTTACCACTGTGAAGAGAGTCAGCATTGGTCATCAAGCGTACTACTTGAGCCTGGAGTACTTACGCAACAATGTTGGCCCATCCAATGAGACGCCAGTGCTTCTCAATTCTGCGAGAGATGGCGATCTTCTCACCGACCTCTGTACAGGCGGGGCTGGTCAGGCTGAGCTTAGCAGCATCGGCCTTGACACCGAGAACCTTGGCACCGGTAGCAGTGGAACCGATGTTGACCATGAGAACTTCGTTCTTGGTGAGCTTGGCGACCTTGGCCTGCTTGCCATCGGCGGTCTTGACACCGAGCAGACGACGGAGAAGGAAGTAGTTAACCTCAATCTCAGTGTAGATAGCAGGAAGGCGGCCACGGTGACCGAGAACGAAACCGACGAGACGATCGGCACGGCAAAGGGTGGGGTCGACACGGGTACCGACACCGATGAGACCACCGGGAACAGCGAACTTGAGGTCGTTGTGCTCGGCGAACAGGGAGACGATGCGGGAGAAAATGGGGCGGCACTGAATCTTGCCCTGCTCGTCCTTAGTGACGAGACCGGGACGGATCTCAATCTCGTCGTTCAGCTTCACAACACCAGTCAGGATAGATCCACCGGCAACACCACCCTTAAGCTCGTCAATCTCGGCACCGGGCTTGTTGACATCGAAGGAACGAATGATCATCATGTGGGGGGTGGCCTCGAAGTTACGGGGAGGGATGGGGATGGTGTGGACGAGGGCCTCGTTGACAGCGTCGATGTTGTACTTCAGCTGGGCGGAGATGGGAATAACAGGCGAGCCATCGGCGACGGTACCACGGATGAACTTGAGAATCGACTGGTAGTGCTCAAGGGCGTTGTCTTCACGCATAAGATCGACCTTATTTTGGAGAATAACGATGTGGCTGAGCTTCATGATCTCAATGGCGGCCAAATGCTCGGAAGTCTGGGGCTGAGGGCAGGTTTCGTTTCCGGCAATGAGAAGGAGAGCGGCGTCCTGAAAAGCGAGGTCAGTTCTAGCCCTCTGGAAGCATCGATGCTGTACGATTCAGGGCGAAAGTTTGAACTTACCATGACCGCGGCTCCTGAAAGCATAGTGCTCATCTGCAAAATATAGGTTAGCATCGATTTTTCGGATGAAAGTCAGAACACTCGCAGACATGTATGACATGTCTAGATGCGCAAGAAGTGTGTACTTACGAGAATATCGTGACCGGGGCAATCAACGAAACTGAGTTAGACATATGTTAGTTTACGAACCAAGAAAACACCCGCTATTTCAAACTAGCGGAACGGGATATTGGATACCTGAGATGGCGCTGTTTTAGAGGTTAGCTTACGGTCATTTGGAACCCTCAAAATGGGCTTAGGGGGACAGAGATACACACCAGCAAGCGGTAACGACCTTCACATCCTTCGCGCTCACAAGGAGGATCGATCTCCTTCTCACTCTTGAAACTCTTGTAGCATGTAGGCCGAGGGCAAGCGGGGCTGTCACACTTGTAGATCTTTGCGTTGGCGTAACCAAGCTTAATGGTAATGTTACGCTCGAGTTCGTTCTTGAAACGAACGGTCTGGACCTCGGAGATAGCCTTGACAACGGTAGATTTGCCGCTATAGAGTAATTAGTATATTTGAAGCAGGGCGAGAAGGGTGAAGGGTGTCTAACTGAGCGACATGTCCGATTGTGCCTAATAACGTTGTTAGTGAATCTGTGTCACAGACAAAAACCAAAAAACTAAGAGCAATATGCGATTGTGAGCGCAAACTGTTCCAAAGAGCATTTACATACCAATGTTCTGGGTTGCTTGTCTGGCGATAATCTCAGGTGTGAGAGGCGTCAATTTCGACAGATCGAGAGTTTCCGGGTTAGGCTGTTCGGGGAGGAAAGGACGCTGCGGTTGAGGAGCAGGAGGAGCAGCCTTCTTCATGGCTGACTTGACGGGCTTTTCTTCCTCGAGAGGCTCCTGGTCTTCAACCTCGCCGCGGGCGTTGTGGGCATCGAGCAGAGGCGAGCCGGGCTGGGATCCCTCATCGGAGAAATCGCCGTTGGAAGCCATGATTGCGATTTGAAAAAAATTCGGCTCGCGATCGACTGGGTGGTTTAGAAGCGGAGGGTGGAGAGCTGGGTGGAAAAGGTTGGTGGAAGGTCGGGTGAAAATTGCTTCCTGCGGGCGATATGATAATGAAAGAACGGTAGGTGGGGGGAATTGTGTGCAGTGGAAAGCCGGGCGGTGTCTCTGAAGTAGATGGCCACTACGATTATTCTACCCCTATAGTGAATTTTGATAGTCTAATTAGAATGTTTGTTCACAAAATTGAATTGATTGTTCGAGTCTTGTTGTTCGGGTGAAGTCATTGTGGGTGAGTCACTTGGGAAAAATCCCTGAGTACAGAGTGCCCCATACTACTTCTGTATACTGTCCTAACCTCCCTATTTGAACGGAATGAAAATAGCATACAAAGTAGTTCTGAAGGAATACTGCGAATCAAGTAATATTCTTTTGAAGCAATACATTTATGGGATTCATGATACATTTTGCTTGCCACTCGACTTATTGACAATATAATGGGTATAATAGTTGAAGACGAGAAGAATCTACTCATCGTCGCTATCACTAGACGACTCCGCCTCATCTTCCTCCGAGTCGTCATCGCCAGAGTCAATCAGGGTAGAGGGGTCCTCGGCCGGCAGCATAACAAAGGCAGCCAGACAGGTGATGCGGTTACCAGTCTCAGCGGTGGTCAGGAGCTTCCCAATCTGAGTGGTCTCCTTGTCTTTCTTTGCGGAGGAAATCTCCTTGCCAGTGGCCTTCCATACACGCACAACACCATCACTGTTACCAGTGACAATCAAAACGTCATTGTGGTATTCCTTCGCTTGTCCTTCGAGGCTCAGGACTTCGAAATCCTTGATGCGGCCGGGGAATCCGGCTTGCTTTCCACCAAGCTGAGCAACAGGAGTGGCGTGGGGAATAGAACATTCGGTGTCCTCTTCGTCAGTCTTCAGGTCCTTGGTGGAATAGAGAATCACTCGGCCATCCTCTGTGGTGACGGCTAGGAAATCTTCCTTCTCACCACCCTTCACTGGCAGAGAGACATACTTCATTTGGTGAAGCTTGCTCCTGGGTCCAGGAATCAATCTACATCTCGGAACCGAGTCCTAGCAAACGGTTAGCATGCAATCCACGGGTCATAGGAGGGGGAAAACACTTACGATACCAAATACAACGGCACCCCATTCAAAAGCAACTGCGAACTCCTCTCCTTCGGAGTCCCATGCGATACGTCGACCCTCTCCAGTGCTCCACCTTGACTCCTTGACACCCTGTAGCATTTCTCTGGTGAAGTTCAACACACCGGCTTTTCTTCCTGTGACCAGGTTCCACAACCTCATACACTTTTCTCCTCTTCCAATACTCAACATCAATTTCATGCTAGGGTGTACAGCGAAGTGATTGACACCAGACGGGGCAGCGCCAGGCGGTGCTGTGTCACCACTGGGCCGTCCTTGGACCTTGGGGTTTGGCGCTTTGATGGAGGATACGACAGTCCAGTCACGGGTCTTGGAGATAGAAATTGTATTATCTTCGCCAGCCGCAATCAGCTTGCTCCGCGAGGGGAAGCTCAAAGAGGTGATGCTGGCAGTATGGTGCAGCAAAGATCCAAGCTCACGGTTCCGAGGGTTTTCGAGGATCTTGTTTCCGGCGAGAGTCGGCACAGAGGGGTATTCTTCACTCACGGCGGGGGGTGCCGCAGAGATAGAGTAAAGGTTGATACGCTCATCGGTACTGCCGCTAGCAAGAATCACCTTTTGAGCATCGGGGGAGTCGGTAGCCTTGGGTAACGGCGACAATGCCAGGCAACGAATTGCAGAGCCATGGGCCTCAAATAGGAAAGTGTCGGCACATTCAATCGTAGGCAGAACGGTGTCATTCTTCGCTTTGAGATGGGAAGCTGGGATGCCGGCCGTGAAGCCATGGAGCACACGCTCATAAGATCCGGTGATCACTTGAAGAGTGAGAGCTGCATCCAATGTTTCGGATGGAGTTGGGGCGGACTTGGTTGTCTTGGGAGGGCTTCCAGCGGTCTTGTCCTCCTTAGGAGCGTCGGTTCTCTTGCGCTTGACCATGATTGCGTGAATTGTGATGCTGTTGGGATGTCAGAGCTTGATCTGGGCGGACAACTTTTTTTCTTGATTTTCTGCCGGAGGGTTATCGATAGCGGTTGACCGGGTGATGCCTTGTGGCCTTACTGCCTTGTGGCCTGGTCTTTGGAGTTGGCCTTAACGTCAGCGGCCTTGATGCCTTAGTGCCTGAGAACATTGATACCTCAGGCTGAAATACCTTCACCGCAAGCGGAATGCCAATTACCGCATTACCGTGCTGATATTACCCAGTGGATGAAAGTCCACAGGCGTCCAGCGGCTCTAATCAGGCTCATTAAACATGAAATAGACAAGATGCGCAGCAGAGTATTTACATAGTGGACGACATCAAAGAAAAACACCCACAAGTACCAGATACCTGGCCAAGCCGTGTATTGTTGCTGGGAGGAGCAAGTACTTGGGTGTACCTAAACCACTTCCCGCACTCATTTTCCCAAACATTTTTTTCGTAACGTAACCTCATTTTCAACCCCTTCGAAAAGATCCTGCTTTCCATCATCTCTCACCCTCCACCCACCTTTTCCATCTTGTTCGAGCGATTTTTTCCATCTGGATGACCTCGCTCAATCCTTTCCCCTTGTTCCCGCGTTAATCGGATGCTGCGTTCCGAAGTTAGACTCCATGCTCCGCGACGAGCTTCTTCGATCTAAAAATGATGAGATCGCGTAAGTATTAAATTGTCCGCGACATCCTGTTCGATGGAGAGTCGCTCGGAGCGAATTTTGGCTAATTTTTGCAGTACTTGTTTGTCGCGCAGAAAGCGCAAGCTCAGCGCATTGTACTTAGCCACGGTCGGCTTTGGCGCGACCGAGGACCCTCAATACCCCGAACACGAACAGGCCTTCCTCGACGCCAACGATTTGGAGAAGTGAGTCCCCTCTCCACCCTGGTCTAATGTATTATATTATCACTGCGTTGAAATACTAATCACCTGTCCAGAGGTCGTTATTTCAATGAAGCTACCCTTCCACCGCCCACGCACGCACGCGCGTGGTTACCAGACAGCAACGACCCGGCATTCCTCAAGCCAGTAGTCGATTCGCCGACTCAAGGCCTGCAGGCGACCGAGGCTCAACAGCGCACAAGAACTTCTCCACCCCAACCCGATGAAGTCCCACTCAATCTCTCAACCCCTGCCGATGCGACTGGATCACCTCGACCCCAAACTCTGGCCAGCCCTCAGCATCGAAATGAAGCATCCCCGTCTGTCGCGCAATCTCCCTCCCGCGCCGACCAGAATGGAAGCGCATCTAGGCCAGCAACGCCGCTGGTCACCAATGATCACGGCGAAACCAAGGCCGCCAGTCCTCGCATGTCAAAACCGGCCGCAGGTGTTCCCTCGCTGGACATTCCCTCCGACTCTCTCCCCCGAAAGAAACACGAAACCCGACCCTCTCTTACATTAGGACCCTCACACGAGCATCCACCTTCCCCCGCCTCATCAATTGACCCCTACAATAATAATACACCCGCACCAGTCACGGCATCACCCGACACAAGCCCCGCGGAAGAAGTGACCGAAGACGCCGGCATAATTGATCGTACAAAGCATCACCACGCTCGAGCTACTAATGGCCGATCAAGCCTTGTGCCTTCCACCCCGGATGAACAGTTACGCCTCGAAGAGGCTCAGTCAGCACACAACAAAATTACTAATGGCGTGAGTGACATGAAGCCCAATGAGGCCGAAAACAGCGTGGAACCGGAGGACGACACAGACCGAATGGACATCGACCAGGAGACAGCCCCAGATCGTTCCGAGGATAGCGCACAACTCGGAACCAAAGCAGTGACAGAATCCATGTCACCAACTGCGCCGGCAGAAGTCGCCGAAGATTCAACTCTCGAGACACCGGCCAAGAAGTCTGTGTCTATCCCACCCACACAACCTGGATCAACCCAACCGGAACGGATGACCACCCGGGTTTCATCAGGAGCTCTCCGCCACAAATCAGTTTCAGAAATCCTCGGCGAAACTCCCCGGAGCCATGAGAGGAGCCATCCCACCACACCATCGGAACAAGGCTCCCCAGATTCCGTCGCTAGAATGCGCTTCAAGGACCGCAAGGAGCGAGAGAAGGAGAGGAGTCGACTTTCAACCGTGGTGTTTCCAAAGCAGCCATCTTCCCAGCAGGATAGAGCCGATCCTATGGACCTCACCCACAGGGACCTGGATGCTGTTGCGAAACTAAATGAGGAGCAGGATTATCTCTTCAAACTTTTCCTCAACCGAGCATACGCACCTCCCCGAGGAACGAATCTCAATACACTCTTGGTGTCCGCGCACAAGACTTTGAGCACTGGCAACCACTTGCTGGAGTACCAAGAGCAAATGGATGTCCGTACCTTGCGGCGCATCTACGCTCTCCAGAATGCCAACAGGTGGCCACTCCGACAATTGAAGCGCTCTGTTGAGCCTCAGCGACAAGGTACACATTGGGATGTTGTGATTGACCACGCGAAATGGATGCGGACAGATTTCCGAGAGGAGCGCAAATGGAAGATTGCCGCGGCAAAGAGCTGTGCGGATTGGTGTGCAGAATATGTGCATAGCGACGAGGAGCATCGAAGTCTACTTCGTGTTCAAGCCAGGTTCCAGCCCCCCATCGACAAGAATGCACCGAAGTCTGGTTCAACCCCACCATCCGAAGACATCAGGGATGAAGCATTTGGTGATGCTTCTCATCCTACTCCTGATCTAGTACCCTCTGCTGAAGAAGAGTCGGTTAGCGATGGCTTCCACGATGAGCCTCGCCATGAACTTCACGACACTGTTGCACCGGCTGCCATTTTCTCCCTGGGATTGGACGAGTTCAACTTCTCAGTCGACATGACTCCTGCCGCCGAAAAGCTGTTGGACGAACTACCGATATATGGGCCACTCCGGATTTCTCCAGAGACAAACCTACCAGCCTTCAAAGACCAGCCTGACTCAAGGTGGAAACTTGACCTTCTGCCCGTTTCCAAATTTGCGTCGACTAAGATCAGCTTCCATGACAACGAACGGCCTCGCAAGCGTAGCCGGTATGAATATTCTCAGTATGCTAATGAGACTGACCATCGGATCACCGAATTAGCCCCTGAGCAGACGAATGTTGCGCTTTTCCGCCCAGAGAATAAACCCATTCGGGACAGAATTCACCCTGGACATTCATTCCGCCCTCCAACCGAATACCCTATGCCTTCTGTCGGCTTCTTTGAATCGCGTTCGTCGTCACAGTGGACCTATGCCGAGGATGATGAACTGCGTCGTTTAGTCAAGGAATACTCTTACAACTGGTCGCTTATCTCTAGTTGCCTGACCCCGCCATCGATGTACACTTCCGGTGCCGAAAGGCGGACCCCTTGGGAATGCTTTGAGCGATGGGTTGGACTGGAAGGTCTTCCGGCCGATATGTCAAAGACTCAATATTTCCGTGCTTACCATCAGAGGCTCGAAACTGCCCAGCGTACCGTGTTGGCCCAACAACAGGCTGCCCAGCAGCAGCAACAGCAGCAACAACAGCAACAAGGTGCTAGTGCTCAACCCCAACCACCGGTTCGCCGCAGGACCACTCAGCCTCTTCGGGTCGACCGGAGACGGTCTTCAAAACACCTTGCTCTGCTTGATGCCATGCGGAAGCTGGCCAAGAAGAGGGAAACTATGCTTCAGAAACAGCAACATGGTATGTTACGAGCATATGTCAAATTGATCAGTACCAAGTTCTCCACTAACCTGTCATCCTTCTAGCTTCCCACCTTGCTTCGTTGCGCAAGGCTAACGAGGCCAACCAGCCTAAGCCCCCTATCTCATCGCCAGCTGAGTTCAGTCGGTTGAAGTATGACCGTGAGATGAAGCTACAAGAAAGACAGGAGCAGTACCGGCAGCAAATGATCGCGCAGCAGAGAGTGGGTCTCCGAGAATAGCTCATGACTGTATTTTTACTAACTTCCGGCCAAGGCCAGTCTCCAGGCTCAACGGTCCGGCCAGGCGCCCAACCAACAACAACAACCAATGATGAACGGTCAAGGGCGCCCCAATGCCAACATGCCTCCCACTTCCAATCCTAGTTTACCAGGCAATGTCCCCAATGGAATGGCAAATGGTTTACCTGCCGGTGCAAACGTCAACCAAGGTCGCCCTCTACCGATGCAGAACATGCCCGGAGGCGTGCAGCCAAATGGCCAGATGTCTAACAACATGCCGATGAAGATGATGCCGCAGGGTCAAATGCAGCAAACCCCCGGCTCACGGCCGGGCTTGCCAATGCAGACCTCCCCTGATAATACCCGCGTGATGCGAGAAGCCAACAGATTGCAGGAGCAGCAGCGCCTTCTTCAATCTCGACAAGGGCAGCCTCATCCCCAGCAGGGCCAACAGCAATTTCATAACCAACAGTTTGGGCAACAAGGGTCACCGAATATGAACATGTCAAATGTCAATGGTACCCCCAACAACCCTGCTATGATTGCTGCTATGCAAAATCAAGGAGGAATGCAGAGCCCATCGTTCTCTGGTAACGCACCGCAAGGAGCGTCGGTCCCTTCACCTCGTATGGGTCAGCCTAATCCTTTGTCCAGCGGAGTTGTACCACAAATCAGCACCATTCAGAGTCAGATCCAGCGCAGCCATCCTACTTTACCCCCCGAGCAGGTAACCAAGTTGGCGACTGAGCGTCTCAACCAATACCAGCAGTCGCAACAGCAGCAGCGATTGTCCCAACAAGCAGCCATGAATGCAGCTGCTGGTAGCATCAATGCGGGTGCTGTGCAGAACAACTACCAAGTCCCGCATGACACAAACTATCAAACCCCGTCGGCGAACATGCCCAACGGTGGTTCCGGAGTGCAGATCCCCCCAAACCAAGGTTTCTCGCCCATGATGCGTGTCCCCCAGCCTCAGCAGAACCGCGTCGGTCCCACTAGCTCGCCTGCCATGAATGGAGCGGTGGCCCAGCCCAGCCGGAGTGCCACGCCCCAGAACCAGCGCAGCGGAAGTGCCCAAGCCGGTCCTGCTCAACCCAGTAAAAGCCCGCACGCGGCGGCCGCCCAAACCGCGACTTAAACCCCCATTCGCATACCACCCTTACCTCTTTACTTTCGTCTGTATATACTTACACCCCCCTTTACGCTGATTTTATTCTCCCCGTTCCGCCTCCGTTGAATCGGATGGTGCGGCTCACCTCTTCCACGCGTGCTGCTTTGTTTTTTCTTCTTAAAAACCCTCGATGTACTCTGAACTCGATAGGCGCTGGCTCTTTGTTTACCAGGCTACTCTTGTTTTACCGGGCTTGGGCATGTATTATTCACTGGGAATGGGCGATAACCTCTGGGATGGATCTAGGAATTGATATGAATTGTATGATTAGTTTCGTGCTCGCACCTTTCTGCTTTATCGTGTATTTAGATTAGCATAATGGGTTGACTCAATTGAGCGTTGCAGGCCAAGTGAATCGTCTAGGTTGTAAGCAGTAGCTCTGCATGTGTCTTGGAGTTCATCTGAAACTGTTGATGCACTGGTAGTCGTAGAAACTCTGAGATCACCGGCTAAGTGTAGACCCCGAACAGGAAATAGGTACAGATCACTTCGACACAATGACTGTCATGTTTGATTATCAGGTTGGAATCCATGGATGGTAGTCAGGATTAATGATACCATAATTTGTATCTCCTGCCTGACAATTCCATCGGAAAAGCTCCCGGAGATACCTTTCGCATGAAGCTATGGTTCAATGGGGCTGTGATCCCACTGAGGTATAGATGTTGTCGATCGATCCACCAGGTCTCCAGAGGCCAATTGAAACAGGCGCAAAGTTGTTTCACCGAAGAATTCTTGGCTGCAGAAATCTGGGGATCTGATGCTCAGGGGTCTACGGAGCAGTACAGAGTAGTTACATTGGCTTGTCGCTGCATTCTGTTCTGGAGCGCGGAACACATTTACCTCTCGTCACTGAAATTCCATCTCTACCACTTGAAACAAAAGAAGCTAAAAAGACAATACACAACAGACAACAGACAACACTTCAACATAAAAACGGAGTAAAGTACAGTGCAACGTCAGTGGCGATCGGCAATCGGCCCCTCGTAAGCGAATAACTCCGAGCTCTCCACCGAACGTTATATGCTTTCTTCGACCTCGATTCCTCGACTTCCTCGCGATGGATCATCATGACCGGCCGGAATAAGGATTTCCGCGACCAGCTGGGCAAGTTCCGCGTGGAATCTATCAACAGTTATCCCAGTGACCCTTCACCCACTTGGGCGTCATCCTACCCCGAGCCCGCAGAAGTCGCCAGTCCCTCGCGCAGCAAACGAGTGTCGACAGCCTGCGACTTCTGTCGTAGACGGAAGAAGAAATGCGACTTCCGCTACCCCAATTGCTCGGCCTGCACCCGCGCCGGCGTGCGATGCACCATCCCCCCACCGGGCCCTCAAGTCGCTAGCGCCTCCGTTCCCCGCGATCAGTTGGAGAATCTACAAAAACGAGTCCGATGGCTGGAGGGAGTGGTCCAGCGCAAGACCGGGCTCTCAGTGGCGGAATTGACGACGGGAACCCCCGTTGATGGAGAAGGGGACCCGGATTGGTGGTATCAGGTCCCCGCCATGATTGCAACCGGGGGTACCCGTCCCACGACTTCGATCTCGAGTCCGGCCGCCAGCGGGTCCTCGGGGACGGCGGGTCCCTCAGAGGCGTCGTCCGCAGTGGGCGCCGACCTTCCCAATGTTGGGGAGATCTTCCGCGACCGGTTGGAACATCGGCGGCCGTCGGTGGCACGTCCATCTTCCGCGCCGCGGGTTATGCACCTGTCGTCGCTGGAGGAGGCTGAAAGATTAGCCGGGCAATATTTCGACAGTATGGGGTACCAATACCCTTTCATGTCGCGCCCGGAGTTCATGGGGAATCTGCGCCACATCTATACGGGTGGTGTTCCGTCACCGGAAACACACAATTCATATCATATCGTCATGGCGATCTCGCTTTTGATTGGATCGGCAGATCCGACAAAGGCAGCGGAGTTCTATAATGCCAGTCAAGAGACCCTCCCGATGGCCTTGCAGAATGAGGATTTGCCTGCCGTACGAGCCCTGCTGGGACTGGCTCTATATACGATGTTTGCAACGGCCGGGCCCAGTATCTGGCATGTGCTGGGTACAACAATGAGACTGGCAACCAGCATTGGGCTGCATAAGGCACGTCCACATGCCAGTATCGCAGAGGAAGAGATGTCAAAGCGCGCATTTTGGAGTCTCTATAACTTGGACCGTTTGATTGCAAGTACCCTCGGTCGACCGCTGGGTATTGCCGACGACGACATCAGCGTGGGTCTCTTGCGCGAATTGAACGACGATGGGACTGAAGCGCCTGGGGCAAGTGGAATGACCATTCCGCTGCAAGTGATACGTTTACGGCGCATATTCTCGCGCATATACCAATATCGTAAGTCAGTCGTAAGCTGTGTTGGATATCGGACCGCTGACCGTTTGTCGTGTAGTGTACAGTAGCCTCCCGCGACCACCACCCCAGGAAGTGGCTATCACACTCAGCCAATTCCGTCGAGAAGTCGATGACTGGCGCATGGCGGCACCAGTATATCCATCCGCGCTTCTTTACTCCACCTCATATTACGACTATCTCTACTACACCACATTGCTTTTGATGTACCGCCCCAGCCCCCGAAATCCGACGCCAGACGTGACTAGCATCGTTAGCTGTGGCGACTCCAGTATCCAGGTCATCAGATCCTACTGGGACAGCTACTCTGTCGGAAAGCTAAAATGGATATGGTTGACACTAAGCCAATTGTATTTTGCGGGAATCACCATCCTCTGGTGTCTTGAACAGAATGCACGCTCATTACGCGAATCTCGACCAGCCCCATGGCACCCAGAAGAGCAGACGATGCGCCGCGGAATCCAAGCGGTTGTCGTGCTCTTGGAAGAATTTGGCAAGCGTCGACCCGGCGTCGACCGGTTAGCAGAGACCTTCCGACATCAAAGCACAATGATCTTCAGCCAAATGGCGTATCAACAGCATCAGCTTGAACAGCAACAACACTACCATCCACAATACCAACCACCTCCCCCACCTACACTCATACCTCCACAGCCTTCGATGCCCCTGGCTGCACCACCTCCACCGCCGGTCCCGCTGGCCCCTGTTCTCGACGACGTGTTACTTGTGGATAGCAGCGGGACGGTCCCGATGATCGATCCACAGATGGCGGACCAGCTCTTCTGTTCGTATAACTGGTTCCAAGAGGAGATGGCATCATACTATACCCTTTGAACGATTTTCCTTTGTACTTAGACTTGGCTTTTGGAAGTAGACGGCGCTCAGGCCATTGGAGACAAGGTCAGGGGGGTCCCTTTGTTATGTGGCTGGATGTTCCAGTCACAATGTTGTTATTAATTTTTTTTTTACAAAGTACATACCCCTTCAAGTGAGATATTTATTCAACAATGAACCTTGGAAGACAATGAACTCTGACAGCCCCGGAGACAGCTTGATAGATACCTGGGTATTCTCTGTGGGATATGTCCAGGTGACAGCCTGCAAGATCTTTGTCGCTCGTCAAGATGTCTCACTCTCCTGAGAAGGTTCTACAAAAGCAAAGGCTTTGTGCCTTCGAGTATTTACTTAAGTAGCTGCCTGGATCAGCGTCAATGTACTACTTACAGACAAATCCTCAGACACCAACCTTGGAAAGCCCTTGAAAAATGCATCTATCCAAGATACCAAGGAGTGTATTCGTGTGCTGTGGTGAGAATCTCTCCGATATTCACGACGAAGACGCCATCTGGGTCACCGCGATCTTCCACAAGCATATCACATCAGCCGATAGCGATGAGTATATCATGCAGCATGTGCTCGATCAGATTAACACTGGACAGGTCATAATTGGGGCCCGTTCCATCTCACGCGTTGAACCACGATGTATCTCGCTGGCTTTGCCTGTAAGCAGGGTCGCTAGATATGTTCCCGGGGTGCTGGAACATGTGCAAGTTCTTGCCACTTGGTGGCTTCAACAGATTCGCGAGGGCACAATTCAACTTGATCGTGAACATATCTTTCGGTGCTAGCTCTGGAGATATTTCGTCCATACTCTCTTGTTATAGACCAGTTTCAAGGACCTGCAAACATGGTGTGTTTGAACGAGGAGTTTATCTCCCAGGAAATCTGTGTAGTCGAGAATGAAGAAAGCAGTTGAATTGAAGCACTAGGGCATACAACAATAGAATAAATAGCATCACCACACTGTATACAGTCACACAATTGAATACCTCCAGGGCTTAGAGATGGCCGAGGCGATAAGATTAGTTGCACAAACCTCAGGCCAACACTCAAGTACTTGCCCCTCATCTCAGCTCTCAACTTTACTTTGACTTCTCCATGGATGAATTAGACAAGAGAACCACCCCAGCATCAGGGCTCCCTATTGCCTTTCATGGCACGGTCATCCATTCCAAAGCATTGGATGATCTCGAAATCCTGGAGAACTGCTTTCTGCTTGTCGCCAACAATGGAAGAATCCAGTCCATACAAGCAGACGTAGAGCCCAGCCAGATCAACTCCCTTCTCTTAGCAAATGGCTATGCACCCGACGTTTTCCCAGTGAAACGACTCAAGCGTGGACAGTTCCTATGTCCCGGCTTCGTTGATACCCACAATCATGCTCCACAGTATGCGCAGCGTGGAATGGGCCGAGGCATAGATCTACTAGAATGGTTGAACAAGGTTACCTTCGCCCATGAATCCAAGTTCGAAGACCCAGAATATGCCAGGAGAATGTACACCTCATGCGTTACAGGCTTCTTACAACAGGGCATCACTACAGCCTCCTACTACGGCTCGCATCATGGCCAGGCAACACGCATTCTCGCAGATGTCTGTTTTGAGAAAGGCCAGCGTGCCCTTGTGGGCAAGTGTAACATGAACCGAAATGCCCCGGACTGGTATCGGGATGCATCAGTGTCTGATTCACTTCGCGAAACGCGTGATTTCATCCACCATGTCCAGCAACTTGATCCGGATAGATGTCTGGTCAAACCAATCCTCACCCCACGGTTTGCGATATCGTGTGAACCGGAGTTGCTAGAAGGTATCGGCGGTATTGCCCGTGAACACCCGGATCTACCAATCCAAACACACTTCAACGAAGCGAGCCAAGAGATCGCGTTCACCAAGCAGCTATTTCCGGAATTCAAAACCGAAGCGGATCTGTACGAACGATATGGTCTGCTGAATGATCGATCAATCCTTGCCCACTGCATCTTCCTGCAAGAAGAGGAAATCACTCGGATCCAGGAACTTCGCTGTGGAGTCGCTCATTGTCCGATCTCGAATACCACCATGCAGGACTTCATGATAGCACCTATACGTGAATACCTGCGGCGTGGTATAAAAGTCGGCCTCGGGACTGACAGCGGCGGGGGATACTCGTCTTCCATATTGGATGCCATGAAGCACGCGTTCATTGTGTCGGTCGCCCGGCAAACCGCAACAAAGGGCGAAGACCCCGCGTTGTCCTTAAGTGAGGGCTTCTTTCTTGCTACGATGGGCGGTGCGCAGGTTTGTGGCCTCGATGATAGAATTGGAAACTTCGTGGTTGGGAAAGAGTTTGATGCACTGGAGATTCATTCCATCGATCTTGATCACCCAGGAGTCATGAGCCCTGTCGAGGACGATGATTCCACGCAAGTGATATTCGAAAAGTTCCTTATGACCGGCGATGATCGAAACATCGTTAAAGTCTATGTGGGTGGGAGATCCGTCAAGCCTTGATTATACACTACCTGTCGCGTGAATGAGGTGAGAGGCACGTAATGTGATTTGGAAAAACCTGGAGGCTAGAGCTATATGGCAGAACATTGAAGATATCAATCGATTAGTAAAGGACATGAAAAGCCCGTCTGATATTTGTATGTGCAAGGTATCATGTATGTGTATGGAAATGCAAACAGCACCAGGGAGCGAGTGCGTATGAGAACATCTTAAGATGTAATTGAAAAATGAAGAAACGCTTGAACGAACAGCAAATCAAAGATCATGATCAACACCAAGTACCTTTTGTAGGTCCAAAGTACCCTCTCTCTGGCAGGCCCTTGTAGGGCGTCCCTTTGCCGTCTGCTGTTGTAGAAGACACATTATTACCCCACCAGCTCAACGAGCCGGCCGGAAGTGTTATGCAAAAGAAGATAATGACCGTAGCAACCGCAACACCACAGTCCAGCGCAGCAGAAAGAACGTAATCTAGAGGCAGTTAGCAATGTATCAAATGAGAAAATCGACCTAAGGGATGACACACTATATTTCGACCACCAGGCCGGTTTGCGACGACGAATTATACCATTAAAGATGAAATTCACGATCCACCAAGAGGAGAAACTGATACCAGTAGCAGGAGGGACGAGGCTCATTGCACCAAAAGCAACCGGCCAAGAAAGGTAGTTGACGCATTTCCACCGACGACCCAGCAAGTAGGTGGTGATGACGGCGGCGGGGCCGACAAGGAAGAACCAGAGTAGATTGCTATAGATCTGTCCAGGGGTGAATAGTCTGCTTGGGCCAATTGCACCTTCAACAGGGTTAGCAATGACCTCGAAGATATTGTTGTAGTTCACCTGGGCACTTACCCCAGATAAGAGACGACGAATATGTCACTTTTCCATGGGGGCAGGTAAAGTTGCCTTCTGCTTCCGGGCTACATACGCCGCGAATTCGGGTGATCATGAAGACTGTAACACCGCACTGAACAATGGCGCCGATCAGTGTGGCAAGGCCCTGAGCAATGAAAAGAAGTCGGGGCGCGATGTGCATGTAGTGAGCCAACTTCATATCAGCAACGAATCTAGTTGCGATGTCAGCTGAATGCTTCGAAACCCCGAAGAGCGATACTAACTCGAGTCCTTGCTGAACGGCGACGTAACCGTAGAATTTGAAAGCCATGTTGGCCACTGGACGCCCAAGAAAGGCATACCCGCCAATGAACTCGGTGAGCAGGTTGAGTTGGTTGCTGCTGATATTTGTGAGGGCTTTGATGATACCCACTGGGATGAAATAGATCATAGGCAACAAGAAAGCCACTAGCACGCCCCAAGCTGGTAGGCCTGTATGCCATACTTCGTTGGTGACGATGCTCAAAACGAACATCAGGACTGTGACTGCAGCAAACCACCACCAGGGAACGTTGCGGTATTCAGACATGATTCGACTGTGAACATCCTTTTTACTGATGCCTTTGTACTGTTCCCAAAGATCCTTGCCATGGTACAGCCCTATGTGAAAAAATATGCCCGTTAGGTTGGCGAAGGCGACACCGAATGTGATTGCGTAACCGGCCGGAAGAAACATGGGCGAGTAATCTCGATAGGCATCTTGATTGACGTCGCCGCTCCGATTCATGATGCGACTGGTGTTGTAAATATGTCCGGTGTTGTCGAAGGTGTTGGAATTAAGGAGGGGAAGGTGTGCAGAGAACCAAGTGTTCGTATAATAAACGAGGGGACATACAAGCCAGAAGAAGAGTGCAAAAGATCCCATTACATTCATTCCAGCCCAGAAAGGTACCAATAGAGGACTCTGGTTGGCGTAGACCACCTGGGCCCAGTCGAAGGTCAACACCGACATTCCTAAGCCCGTGGTTTGCCCGAAGAGCTGGTTGACCACGACGTTGGAGGGCACGATCCAACAAATGAAGGCAAATGTGCTGAGACCTGTAAAGAGATATCCCGGGGCAAAGTACCATGCAGTGCCGATAAGGAATACATAGAGAAAAAAGCGAAGCCGTGTGATCCGCCACCCGTCGGCTATAGCGTTGGACCGAGAGTGGAGGGTGGTCAAAAGAGCTGCATTTGACAGCACTTGGGGCCACAGCATTGATGCTGGGCCTACCAGCCAACGGGATGTCATGCCGGCCAGCCCAAAGCCGAACATTTGCGTGGTGATGCACAATAATACCTCGAATCCACCATCAGATGGTATATTATAAAACTTGACTAGCGCCTCGATGACCTGGGTAGCTGCCGCGGAGCCAATCGAGACATTCGCCATGATAGTAACCAAGGCATGTTCTTTGATATTGAAGTGCCGATCAGGGTTCATGAGCCCGAGAGGAACCCATTTCGCCCAAGCGCATCCCACAGGGAACGCTAATAACTGAGCAACCAATGCATTGATCGTCACACTGGGTTGCCTCAGACTATTTGTAAATCAGTAAAAGCAACTTTGCCGTGAATTGAATACACATAGAAAAGCCATAAATGAAGAACGGCGGTTCATAGCTTACCTGAAGAATTGATTGAGACCACTCCCGACCTATACCCAGAGTCAGTATCTTCGCCAATCGCCGGTCGGATAGAACATACAATGGTGAAGACGATACCGATGGTCCACATGCGTATCGTGCTAACAGGTAAGGTCAGATCGTTCACCGGCTGAATGACCGCGCGAACTTCGGGGAAAGGCGAGTCGTTATCTTCATAGGGCAAGATCTTCTCGGCATCCCGATCGCGCAGAACGCCCACATCACCGGGTCCATCCGGGGACTAGAAGTGAATCTATTAGCAAAACACACACAGATAACAGTGTAATCGCAAAATGACGAAATATGTTTCAACCTAATCGGAGAATAGCCAGCCATACCCGAACGGTCCTATCCGTTGGTCTCGGCCACAGTGGGGAGGACGATCCATGAGCAAAAGGACCAAAAACGTGTGCGATTGATAATGCTAAATGGGCCCAAAACCCACCTGTGATAAATTTCGCCGACATTTCTCAGCGGTCTCCATCATGGGAACCCGGTTCTCTCCGGCAATCCCAGGGCTCTGGGACAACAGAGAGAGGGATGGAGATACTCGTATCTGATCCAACAGTTCAGTGTCGGCTTGAGCCGAGCGTGAACGTGGTGTGGCTGCACGAGGAGCGCCTCGGGGTGTACAGATGGGCCACACAGCGGGCTAAAGTGGAATGGATGACATGCGCGACCCAATAGCAGTGAGAGGATGTCACATAAGAACGGATTGCATCAATCACACACCCGTTTCAGTATAGACTTGGCTCCCCAGATGCGGGCTAGCTGGAACGGTATTGGGCATATGATATGCAGGAGAGGAGAAAATTATTACTGACGGGTGCGTGGTGGTCGGCAGAGGCCGTTATCGACCCACTTTATTATTGCCTGAGTAAGATATAGCCTGTTTTGCGGTAAAACGGGTGCCAATCGATGATATTCACAGTCCGGGGGATTAAAAAAAGGGCTTGCCCCTCTGGTTTAGTCTATTTGTCCTTGGAAACTACTCTCCTCTGACGGGAATGTGGGAAGTCCTTTTGAACACTTTCCCCTTCAGCTTCGGCAGTCGACGGTGATTACCTGCTAAAAGGCTTACTGAAGCCACTTGGTGATATCTGATATCAAAGATCTTCGGTACTTGGTTTGCCTGAACAGGCTGGACGCTTGGACACTGACGTGACTGAATGATATCACACTCCCGAATGATACCGACATCATGGAACACCAACCCCCCGAGCAAAAGCCCTTTGCCCAGAGACCCGTCGTAATCCTGGGCGCAGGGATCATCGGTTGCGCAGCTGCCCGGCAATTGTTGAGGAGTGGCTTTTCAGTAGTGCTGGTCGCCGAATACCTGCCTGGGGACCAACATGTTCAATATGCATCAGCCTGGGCAGGAGCTGCATGGCATGCCGCTGGCGGTATCACTCCTGACCACCGATATATCCAAGCTGTCTCCCATCGCATAATGCTCAGGATGGCGCAGGATGGGCCTGAGACCGGCGTCAGTGTTGTCAATGCACGAGAATATCTAGAAAAGGAACCTGCTCCCGATTCAGCTATATGGGGCAAGACAGTGGTTTCCAAGGTATGCGGCTCCGTTAGTCCGTCCAAATGAGATCGGCACAGCTTACCCCGGTGGTTAGTTCCGTCAAATGAATCCTGGCGAATACCCGGCCCATTTTAATAGCGCCTGGGCCTATGAGACGCTGGTGACCGATCCAACCATACACATGCCATACCTGAGAAAGGAAATCACATCGCTTGGGGGTCGATTTGTTCGACAGCATGTCGACTCTCTACAACAGCTGTACGACATGTTTCCCGGGTCGCGTGTCTTCCTCAACGCCAGCGGCTGGGGTAGCAAAAATTTGACGGACGTAAAGGATGATAATTGTTTCCCCGAGCGTGGGCAAAATGTCTTGTTGGCCACTGACAAATGCAACACAATGTACTTCCGGAATGGCCAGGAATATACCTATGTGATCCCTCGGCCATTGTCCAAGGGAGTTGTACTGGGCGGAGTCAAGCAGCCAGGCAATGTGTACGTGACCCCAGAGAGTCTGTGGAACGCCAATCTGACATCATTCTGCAGGTCACCGGAGATCGATCTGAGTATTGCGCAGGATGAGATTGCCCGCGTGCATCAGTTAGCTCCCGAAATTGTCCCCGAGCATCCGGCTGCAGATAGGATCAGTCATATTGTCGGGATCCGACCTTCTCGCAAAGAAGGCTTCCGTCTTGATTCGGAGCGCAAAGGGGACCGTACGGTGGTGTCTGCGTATGGATTTGGTGGTGGTGGGTATGCTTTCTCCTATGGGATTGCCGACGCCGTGGTTAAGATGGTCGAAACGGCAGAGCGCGAAAATGTCATTGTCTAGGGCAACTCCGAGGCTACTCGTATTATCCTAACGGAGAAGAAACTTGTTTTCTTCGTGGTCATTGCTCAAAATACATATGTACTGCTCCATCCTCATTAAAAACCCGTACGAGTTAACTTCGGCCAAAGTTCGGGGACGGCAGAGTTCCGTATAGATTGTACAGTCGATGTGCACCCTATGGCGTACGTTCAGAGACACACATCAAAGCAACGAAAAAGAAAATAACAGAGAGAGGAATCATTATTGAATCTGAGAATGTCTTGTGCGGTTGAGCTGTCATATAACATGCAAAAGTATGGAGTTACGGAGTAGACTCGTACTAGTCCTACGACCCCCAAAGTACAAACCAAAAGAGCAATAGAGCCGAACAATGCCGTTGCCCCTCATCAGATTCGCCACCTGAACATTTTTGTAAGACAACAGCGGCTCGCACAAGGGTTGTCCAGACCAAAGGAGATTTCGTATATTCCAAACTTGTTTATCTCTAGGGCTGAGGGGAATGGATAAACTACCCAGGTGTTAAGTATGGAGCACGGAGTACTATATTTAATGTGGCTCAAAAAGCCCTGGCTTGTATAAATTTCCATGTTCAAAGCCATATATGTAATCAGGCTGAGGTATAAGTGACGGCGTTATGCCCCTACGTAATTTGAGAGGCTGATGGGCCCGTTTCATCCCTCCCTTTGGTGTTTTCTTGATTTTCGCCTCTTCACATCTCCACCTTGGTCTGGAATCCCATCCGGGGGGCCCTCCCAGCCACTCATCTTTCTCACCTTCCTCGGTCTCCCTAGCCTAGGATTTTGCAAATCCCGGAGATCTGATGGGATCTCTCCCATCTTGGCTGGCATTCTTAAGTTCTTTTGATCTTGACATCCTCAAGATCCCGTTCAGACCTTGAATGAGTCCCTCACCAGGGTTGTCAGCGATATGCCTGTGGATCAATTGCTCCACCTGAGAATCGCCGAACGCCCTGTGAATAAAATTGCGGTGATCACCCCGCCGGACGAAGCCGACTTAAACCTTGAAAACAAAGGCAAAGGCGCAGCGCCCGACCTCAGTCTCTGTCGCATCTATCGACTTACACCGTGAGTGCTTTTGGTTCCCCCCTTCTTTTGTTTAGGCGACAAAAATTCCCAAAAAAATCCACAAAAAATGTCAAATTGCAAAATAGCATCAGCGGAGCGCGAAGGAAAAAGAAAATCCAAAAAAATCCAGACTAATCTTCAACAGTAAACCCACGATCGTACTCGATGCCTCGTTGCGAATAATTGAAGTATCAAACAGTCATGTGGAAATCTTCCAACGGTCACGGGATCACCTGTTGAACTCCAATGTTTACGACCTTCCCGCCTCCGTTCTTGCAGTCCCCAGTATCCCTTCTTTGAGTGGTGCCCTTGCTGCCGCTATTTCAACCCGCCAGGTGCAGGCCACCAGCCCGGTTTATGTGAACGAATGCGATGCCTTTTACGCCTTGAATGTGACCCCGATCTTTGAAGATGATGCACTCTTGTGCGTGCTGCTGGAGGCCGAGCGGACGACGCGAAAGGCGCCAGTCAACGACCACCAGAATTTAAACGAGGCCTACCGAGTTTTAGTTGATTCCGTGAAGGATTATGCTATTTTCATGCTCGACACTCACGGGCACATTGCGACGTGGAACTCCGGTGCCGCCATTCTCAAGGGCTATACCGCCTCCGAAATTATTGGACAGCATTTTTCCGTCTTTTACAGTCGCGAGGACCGTGAACAAAAGAAACCCGCCCGGGAGTTGGAGCTCTGCATACAGGAAGGGAGGGTCGAGGATGATGGTTGGCGCTACCGGAAGGATGGTTCTCGGTTCTGGGCCAACGTGATGATCACGGCCATTTTCCAAAATGGGACACTGGCCGGGTTCGTGAAAGTCACTCGCGATCTGACGGAACGCCGGGCCGCAGAGGCGCGTCTCATCAGCGTCTTTGAAGAATCGGTCAGACTCAAGTCTGCGTTCCTGGCGAATATGTCTCACGAACTGCGTACCCCGATGAACGGGATGTTCTTGGCCTTGACGATGCTGCTCAAGACCGAACTCAACGCAGAGCAGCGGGATTACGCATGCATCCTGGAAGATTCAACCTCCATCTTATTACAGGTCATCAACGATGTACTTGACTACTCCAAACTATCGTCGGAAACATTCCCCCTGACAAAAGAGGTGCTCAACATCGACAGCATAATTACGGCAGTGGTCCGCAATTGTCAGACGTCATTGAAGCCCGGTGTCAAACTCACACCTACTATGAGCAAGGGATTCCCTCAAGCTGTTAAAGGAGACCCTCTACGATTTCGTCAAGTGCTGCAAAATTTGGTCAGCAATGCGGTCAAATTCACAGAGAAAGGCCACATTCGGATCAACGCCAAATTTGCAGTGGATGAGAAGGAACCCGATTCTTATCTGATTACCATCGAGGTGGTGGACACGGGAATCGGTATACCGGAAGATGCAGAGAGCGTCCTTTTCACACCCTTTACGCGATTCGCGGACACAGCAACCAAAAGATACCAGGGTACTGGCCTGGGTCTGTCAATTTGCAAAAGCTTGGTTGAATTGATGGACGGGGCTATTGGATTCCACGCCAACCCCGATAGGCCAGGCAGTGTCTTCTGGATGACCGCCAAGTTACCGCGTGTTACTTCCCCAGTCTCTACAACAAGGAAGAGTTTGCCACCAATCACCCCCTCAACCATAGACCAGACTGGTCCGCTCAAGATAATCGCCCCGCACAAGTACATCCTCCTCGTCGAAGACAACAATGTCAACCGCACTATCATGGTGAAACTCCTCTCGACCCTTGGCTTCGAACGGGTAGATGCCGCCTGGAATGGCGCAGAAGCAGTGCGAATGGTTAAGCAAAAACCACTTGCGTATAATGTGATTCTAATGGACATCAACATGCCGGTCATGGATGGGTTGACAGCTACAGAGCACATCCGACAAATCAACTTGGACGTACCCATCCTCGCGTTGACAGGTAACGCTCTAAAAGGAGATGCTGAAACGTATCTTTCCAAGGGCATGAATGATTACATCGCCAAGCCTCTACATCGACAGCAGCTGGTTGACCTGCTATGGAAATGGTGCGGATCTTGACCGGCTGCTGAACCACAACTGAAAGGACTCATTGGGGTCAACAAAAACTCAGATCATATCGCATCCTTCAACAGCGCACACGCTGATGCTACACCGAAGCCACCCTGGCCACCCTCCATCCGTTTGGACTCGCCCGCCATAAAAATATGAAGCGCTATTATTACTGGCGTTTCTTCGGAAGAGGGTTCCCTGAACCTTGCCGAAAGCTTCCACCTGCGTCCAAGCAACTCAGTCCAGTACCCGAGTCACAGTCATCGGTCCCAAACGTCACTATTGCTGTACGTTTCGCCTTTGCCAATGGATCTTCCATGAGTAGTCCGAGTGACCCTTCTGGATTTGAAACTTTGCTCTCAGCAATCAACGCATGCCCAGATGCAACTCTTTTACCACTTAAGCTGTATAGTTACAGTCTTAGGTTTGTTCTTGCATTCGCTCAAATTAATACCGTTTCTGAGATGACACCCTCATGCGGCATCCACGCCGCTGTAGTTGGTGGATGATTCAATTAATGCATCGCAAGCTTCTTTTTTATCTAAACAACGCCCCCGTGGGTTGACCCAGTGCCAATTCATAACGTCCCGTATGCTCACTTGTATCACACCATATGTGAATCGAGCTTCCAACGCCGACATAAAGTATCAGAGCAATTGGGTAAACCCCTGCTTCAAAATGTGAGGTGATCTTCATGATCTGGCATCCCTCGTAAGCAAGACCGGTGTTAGGCTCAGACTGTCTTCCAAGGTTCTTCCCCTCAGATTTGAACCATCCCGGAAAGGATGTTACTTCCCCGGAGACTATTGCATTAGAAAGTCAGTGTCTCTTCACATGAGGCTCCAGAGCCGTGTTGATGATTTTAGCCATATTTTCCACCAAACAAACCTGCTGGGAGGACGTTCGAACTCAGACCTCACATGTTGATATCGCATTCCGAAACACCCAGTGAACAAGTAATCAAGGACCCTCGAGTCATTCACTTGAGCCACCGACTCACCGAAGGAAGAAACCCCCCCTTGAAAGAAGAAACAACAGAGATGTAAAGATATGCTCCGCGTTAACACATTATGGCGCGTGACAATAATAATCCTGATATAAACCTTCCGAGAAGTCGAAGCTTGTTGTTCATGCAATGCGCAATAACTACGACGTAGCCGAACGCCATTTGTACTTTTTACAACTCAATCCTCTGCCCTCGACATCATAGCACGAGAGGCTGATACTGAGTCATACCTTTGTCCACTGGTCAGTCTCATGAAAGAGCGCAGAGTGAAACAACGATGTTACTTAAGTAGGCTCTTAAACTTGAAGCCTTATCCAGACCTAGGAATTGATTGACCATGGTCTTCTAGCCTGAAGATCAATTGGTGGTGATTTTGACTGGGCTCAAAGTGGAATCAACGTGGAATTACATGGGCACACATCGAGTATAAGATAATCGTAAAGTGAAGTGATTTGACAGAGACAGTCAAGGTACCGCGACTCGGACACCCACCTTGCCCTACTATAAAACATAGTCCTTTCCCCTTTTTCCTTCTTTCCTCTCTTCTTCTTTCCCATACAGCCTCATCTCCTTTCTAGATTATCTTTCTACATTGCACATTCATCATGATCACATTCTATCTCTTCCTGCTTTGGGCTTTGGCGATCATCGGCCTAGCTGCGCCAGCAAGTCCTCACTATCAAGTTCATGAGCGCCGGGAGTACATTCCAGATTCATGGAACGAAATTCAAAGGCTCGATGGCACGACCCCTTTGCCTGTTCGGATTGGCCTGACCCAGTCCAACCTTGACCATGGCCATGACTTGCTCATGGAAATGTATGACTTGCAACAACTCTGTGATGACAGTCAACTGACAGCACATCTAGGTCTGACCCAAACTCCAATCGTTACGGACAACATTTCTCTCTTGGTGAGATGCATGACTTCTTCGCCCCCGCAGATACAAGTGTGGATGCAGTGCGTTCCTGGCTAGAGTCAGCTGGGATCGCCAGCAACCGTATCTCGCAATCCGCCAACAAGCAGTGGATTCAATTCGATTCTGATGCGGAAGAAATGGAGAGCTTGCTTCACACTGAGTACTACATTTACTCTCAGAGTGATACTGGTCGATCACACGTGGCTTGTCAGGAGTGTGTTGTCATTACGAGGACATGGCTCTCTTGAAAGATTTGCTAACCCATGGGACTAGGTATCATGTTCCAACCTCCGTGCGTGACCATATCGACTATATCACCCCTGGTATTGCCATGCGTGAGGTGGCTGGAGTGCACCAGTCTTCTCAGAAACACGTGAAACGCGGATTCGAATCAAAGCCTCCAATCATTGAGCCGCTTCCCTTGCGGCTGGAGGACCTGATCGCAAATAGTTCTGGATGGTGCTCTCTTTCCGTATCCCCGAGATGCATTCAAGGTATGTGAATCATGTTGATATTCCCTCACAACGACTCAGCTGACAGACGATCAGAAATGTACAACATCCCTCCCGGTCACTCCGCGACAAAGGGCAATGAGTTGGGCATTATCGAATTTATGGGTGATGTTTATTCTGAGGAAGACCTTGACATGTTCTTCGCGACATTCTACCCGTATGATAATCTCATCTTGCAATGAAGGACTGCCCAGACTAACATTCGACTAGACAAATCCCAACAGGCACATATCCAATTCAAAAGCCAGTGGATGGCGGCGAAGCCCCTGTTCCCGTACTCGACGCTGGTCCTGAGTCTGATCTTGACTTGTTAATGGCTTACCCAATCATTTGGCCACAGAAGTTGATTGTGTTCCAAACCGATGATATGGCGTACGAAAAGAACTACACTTTTTATGGCTTCCTGAATACCTTCCTGGATGCTATCGACGGCTCCTATTGCAGTGAAGTCTCCCCCTGGGACCCTCCGTACCCTGACCCGCGGCCCGGAGGATACAATGGCACTTTGCAATGTGGCGTCTACGAGCCACCAACTGTCATCTCCATTTCATACATCGAGGATGAAGAAGCCCTGCCTGTGGCATACCTGCGACGCCAGTGTGCCGAGTTCATGAAGTTGGGGACAATGGGCGTGTCGGTGTTAGTCGCTAGTGGCGATTTTGGTGTGGGTGGGTGCCGTGGTCCCAATCACAACGCCTTTGACCCATTATGGCCTGCTGCTTGCCCCTATTTGACGGCAGTGGGAATGACTGAAATTCCCTTCGGAGTTTCCCACAAGGCGCACAAAGAGCAAGCCGCTACCCGCTTGGCATCCGGTGGCGGATTCAGCAACGTCTTCAAGGCGCCGGACTATCAGACCCAAGCCGTGGCCGACTACTTCTCCCGGGCGAACCTTTCCTACCCATACTACGAGACTGTAGACAGTATCAGCATCGGTGCCAACGGTGGTGTCTACAACCGAATTGGCCGCGGCTACCCAGATGTTGCCGCCGTTGGTGAGCGGATGCTCGTCTATCACCGTGGAGTTCCCAAGGGTATGGGGGGTTCATCGGCATCTACGCCCATATTTGCGGCGATTCTCACTCGGATTAACGAAGAGCGACTGGCAGTTGGGAAGTCGACTGTTGGATTCGTGAATCCGGTTCTGTACGCTCACCCGGAGGCGTTCTTCGACGTGACGGTGGGTGACAACCCAGGCTGCTTAAACATGAGCTTCCCAACGGCTGTTGGCTGGGACCCGGTGACTGGAATGGGTACTCCAAACTACCCTGCCCTTTTGGAAGTGTTCATGAGCACATAGATTGAAAGATCGTGATTCTATCTTACATTTTCCATTTTACAAAGAGAACAAAAACAGATCAATGGGATTAGTGTGAGTTTTTCCCGGATGGTATCTCTCGTTGCTTACCTAGGTAGTTGCAGTGTATTTGTCCAAGTTCGTTCCCATGTCAGAACCTAAGCTCAGCCTGGTTCTAATAGGAGTACTGTGTGCAAGCCATCGCATGGTACGTTCGGCATCGAAAGCGGAGCGATCGCGCCGTTCCGAACTGCCAAGACGGTAAATCAGGAATCGACTAGGCCTAATAGAGTGCCCGGCGGACCGTGTCAGCAAGATGGGGCCGAGGGTGGAAGGTCCAGTAGCAGTCGGCCCAAAATGGTAATTGGAAACGCAGATGAGACTGGGGACCTTTGGCCTGTCGAGAAGCCAAAGAGACGGCAAATTGCGATTCCACCATTGACGGCCCGGATGACATCATGCGGTTAGGTAAGCACGCGGGGAAAACAGTGGAACAGTCTAGCCTGTTTGGGACTGTATAGATCACGAATTTCGCTCTGCACGACGCCCATGTCTGCATGTCTGAAGAAGAGAGAAGCAAACTATAGTAGGAGTATGGATCCAGATCGTGCTAATTGGAATTCATGTCTCATAATGGTCTTGACAGGATTGCACAGCCAAGATATCTCGAAATGGCCACGCTTTTCCCCCTCGGTGGGGTCTACTCCGAGAGGGGCAGCGTGGGATGCCCCCCGCCGGAGGACCAGACCCTTTAAAGAAGGTCGATTTCCCCTTTCTGTGTCGGTTTTGATTTCATTCCAATCCATACAATTCAATCTCACATAATGTCTCTCGGAAAGAAGGTCACTCTCAACACTGGTCACCAGATCCCGTATGTCGTCCACGCAGCTCAAATGTTCTCGCGCTAACCCCACGTTTAGCCAGCTGGGCTTCGGTACCTGGCAATCCGCCCCCGGACAGGTCGGCGAGGCTGTCTACGAGGCCTTGAAGGCTGGTTACCGCCACCTTGTATGTATATCCATCTGGCACCGAGTAATATTTCGACTAACGCATTTCAGGACTTGGCAACCATGTATGTAGTGCCGATCGCTTCGCAGCACTCATGGCATTGGGATTTCCACTAACTTTTTCTTAAATAGCTACCAGAATCAGCGCGAAGTTGCCGAGGGCATCAAGCGTGCTTACAAGGACGTTCCCGGTCTGAAGCGTGAGGACCTCTTCATCGTAAGTCGATACCTGCAATTGAAATCACGCAGGATCAGTGACTGACGTTATTCGGTAGACTTCCAAGTTGTGGAACAGGTACAATGCCCCGCGACACACGTCATATCACCAAAATACTGACCCCATACAGCCAGCACCGCCCCGAGGTCGTCGAGGCTTCTCTCGATGCTTGCCTTGCTGAGCTTGAGTTGGAATACCTTGATGTATGCTACCCCAAATCCTGAATATCCGCATAGGTGCTGACCGAAATAGCTATACCTTGTTCACTGGCCCGTCGCCTTCCAGAAGGGCGAGTCATACTTCCCCCTTGTTGCCAACAGCACCGTCGAGGGCGGCGATGTTGTCATCGACGATGGTGTCTCCATCGTTGACACCTGGAAGGGTGAGTACCTTCCTGCTCGATGATCTCAAACTTATTCACGACTAACCCTCTACCAAGCCATGACCCAGCTCCCCAAGAGCAAGGCCCGTTCCGTCGGTGTCTCCAACCACAAGATCGAGCACGTAAGTGTACTTCGATTTCGATTGTTTCGCTTCAAGCCGCTAACCCAACCCACAGCTCGAGGCCCTCATCAACGGCACCGGTGTCGTCCCTGCCGCCAACCAGATCGAGCGTCACCCCGTGCTCCAGAGCAACGACCTCATCGAGTACTGCCAGAAGAAGAACATCCACATCACCGCTTACTCCGTACGTACCCCCAAATCCACAAGACTCAACGCGAGAATGCTAACGCAGCCAGGCCTTCGGTAACAACATGCTCAACATTCCCCTCCTGATCACCCGCCCCGAAGTGAAGGAAGTCGCCGAGTCTGTTGCCAAGCGCACTGGCCAAGAAGTCACCCCCGCTCACGTCATGTATGTTCCGAAATATTCCTCGCATAGCAAAAGCTAACACACATCTAGCCTCGCCTGGTCCCAGGTCGGTGGACACAGTGTCATCCCCAAGTCTGTTACCCCCTCGCGCATCCGTGACAACTTCAAGGAGGTTGAGCTCACTGCCGAGGAGATTGCCAAGGTCAGCACCCTCGGCCAGAACCGCCAGCGCTACAACACTCCCTACACTGCCAACAAGCCTCGCTGGAACATTGATATCTTCGGCGAGCCTGAGGAGAAGCCTGCTGGCCACAAGGTCATTGTTTAAATATTTGGCCCTCTGGCTAGTTATATAAAATGAAATGAATCAATGACATGTGCAAATATCCTATTGGTATCAATTATAAGAGTGGGGTTATTGGCCTTGGAAAAGGTAAATCCTCAGAGATCCTAAAGTTTGAAATTGTATCGTTGGAACATCTGCCATTCATAAATAACAAAAATCGAACAAGGGTATATGCAGAAAGAAATAGGCAATTGGGTTGACATTCACGCGTTGCAGCTTGGCTCTCCCAGCCTTGGGGATCTTCATTCATCATTGACACCATGCTTCAAACCTCCGCATGAATCGGTCGTTGGTGAGTCCCCTGAACCGGCCCTGCATCTAGTTCATAATATTCTCGAACGGGTGTACGGCCATTGGAGGCCTCGTGAATGGAACGACTATCCAAGAATATTGCCGACCCCACAGGTTTTCGCGGCATCTGCAATTGTGACTCTTCAATCGGCGAAGGTGTTTCTGTTGGTGTCACCGTCTTTTCAGTTTGCGTCAGTGCGGGCGATGGAGGAGATGCGGTGGGTCTCATTAATTGACCCCCTAAAGCCCTTTGTTTTTGTCGGCGTCGAAGGACCATCCATATGGCTGCTACAATCAAGAGAACGCCGAGGATCACACCGATAGCAATCCCGGCTTTTGCACCTGCGCTCAAACCGCTTGAGGCCTCAGAACAGGAATAACTTCCTCGGAAAGCGCCCTTGGATTTCAGGGCACTCAAGGCGCTGCAGGCCATTGAGCCACTGCTTGTGATGATTGCTGGACCTTGGACCTGATCCAGGGAGGGTAAAGAAACACTGCTTTATGCATCAATATGATGGTGATACAAGATTTGCTTGAATCATCATACCTATCGAACGAGCCCGTCAAAGTCAATTGTCCGTCAATTTGCTCCAATTCCTGGAACCCAAGTGTTCGAAGCTCCGGATTGCCTGTGATCGTCATACCCATCTGAACTTGTGACAATGCTCCCATGGTAACAGTGGACAATGTGTCAAGGTTGCTTATGGTGATAGATCCCTGCACTTTCTCTAAATCGGGAGCGACGATTGCCGAGAGCCCCGACACGCCTTCCGCAATGAAGGAGCCCTGGATCTGGTCCACGCCGTTGAGCGTAAGCGCGCCATTAAATGATGAGGATACCGTGATGCTTCCATCAATCTTTTCACAGCTGGTCAGATTGTTGACATCATTTTGACTTGAGATGATCAAGCTGTTTGAACCTGGAGAACATTAGCACATTGGAAATTTCCCTCAAGCTATAAACCACTAACAAGCATCCGAGTCAGCAAGCACAGCTTGCCATACAGCGACAAGAACGCAGAGGTAAAATACAATCATTCGTACGGAGAATAATTGGCGTTGCCCAAGTTATACGAACGTCGGATTGTGTACGGAGGAAACGGACATGGCGTGTTTAAAGTCCAGAGACTAGGAGGCGGAGCCAGCAATTCCCGCGGCCTTGGCCTTGATACTTTTGTCCACTGGACAGGCCTTGATTTCTGCCGATCGGCCTCGACTAAAAAGTTGCCCTGCAAGAAGGGTCTTATGGCTGGCATTGATTGGCCCTGCACTTGGCATTACCCGAGACCCGCTCGATAGGCATCGGAGATAAAATCATGAAAATTCTGAGCCACCCACACTGGAAGGAGTACGGAATAGTGGGTAGCTTGCGCGAGCTTGGGCTTACGGGCCGTTGCAGCCCTGCATAGAGATGAGACTTGTTAATGCTACGAGTATGCCACGACAGTTGACCATCAAATCGATTGGATTACCGACAGGAGGAATAAGTACAAGCACGGAGTACTCCGTACAAAATTCAGGTTTCTATTTTTGTGCAGGGATCGCAGTAGTGCAGAACCAGGTAGGCAGCAGAGTTGATCAACCCACTAGCTCCACGCCAATAGCTCAAGGTTATGACGTTTACAGTCCCTCCATCGTTACTACATTAGATGTACGTGTTGAACCTTGAAATCACGTTTGATTCCTCTTTTGTATACTTCATATACTTCACGCATGTACCAAGGTACCTGGACAATGCAGGAGCACAGGCCACCAACCCAGGTACCGGGTACCGAACCAACACGGCTATGGCGCCTTCCTAAAACAGACAGATGAGTCAGCATATGCGGGGAAGTCGGGGTATCGCATTCTGTTTCGATTCAGATCTCAACGCCATCTCGATTCGATCCCCTTATGAGAGTAGGCAAAGGTTGTGGACGGTGTCGACATCGCCATATCCGCTGTGTCATTCCAAAGGGTGCAACATCCTGCACTCCCTGTTCCCGTCTCAATCGGGACTGTCAACTTGATCCCCGCTTCCAGTTCAAGCCCGTTCGACACGTTTACCAGAAGGCAAATGGAGCTCCTACGCGGTATGATCTTGAATGGGATCAAGGGCAGACCTGGGTGGATGTCTCGCAGCCTGGTAGAGTCGCTGTCTCGTGGATCTTCACTCCTCGGCTAACCAGTCTTAGTGACATTCGTGCTCGAAGCGACCGATGGATCACCCGGGGATGAACAGATTATTCCACCAGAACCGATAACGCCGGCTCCGCTCCCTGTGTCTAGTTTACTTTTGGACGAATCTCCAGAGCAGTACTCAGAAATATATCACAGTGAACCCCGCCCGAGGGTTTTCGAGCAACGATCACAAGTCACCACAAGCAGTCCATTCAGCCCATTTTCAGAGGACGATGCAGTCTTATCATTGCGGGAGGCATCGCTTATGCGCTACTTCATTCAAAGATTAGCGCCCTGGGTCAGTTTCGAACCTACATTTGCAGGAAATCATATCTAACCCTCGACAGGCTGATATTTGTGACATCCATTCCAACTTTAGCACCGAGGTTCCACGACGAGCATTAGAGAACCCAATGGTTTTGAAAGCGGTTCTAGCCCTTTCTGCGCGCCACGATGCGATTTTGGCCAACGATAGCGATTTGGAAGCCTCGACCTATCATGGCGAATGTTTGGAAATGTTGATTGCAGCATTAAATGAGGCAGAGACCAACTGCGACGAAAACATGCTAATCGCAGTTGTCATCCTCCGCATATATGAGGAGTTGGAAAACAATACCGATCAAAAGTTTCATCTGCTTGGATCTAATCGACTGGTGAATCTGGTGTCGCGCTCTGCATCATCCGGTGGAGTGGCTGAGGCAGTGAGCTGGCAATTCCTGCGACAAGCTATATATGCATCGGTTGTGCAGTATCAGCCCCTGCAGCTGGACATGCACAATTTTGAATCCTCGTCAATGTTCCAGCGTAACGACGACGCAGCATGTGCAAATACCATCATTTATTATTGCGCGCGCATTCTTCAATTATGCTGTGACAAACCCGGAAGAATTGTGGATAGGGAGACCTGGTGCTACATATCTGATAGTGTGGCGCAATGGAACGAAAACAAGCCGACCACTTGGCAGCCGATTCGGTATCAAGCACCCAATCTAGCCGCTGAGCGACCCTTTCCTGAGCTATGGATGATATCTCCACCTGCAGGTACGATCAGACTATGAGATGTTTGTTGGCACAAGCACTGACCGGATTTCGTCTAGTGGTTGGAATGCAGTATTATCATTCCGCGTGTATTTTTCTCACTCTGTCTGACATTCCTTCACATTGCATGACTGATTATGAGATTGCCCGCTCAAAGCGTGCGAAAGAAGTATGTCGATCAACCATCCCAACTGCACAAGGTCATGGAATTAACATGGCTCATTAGAAAACGATCGCAGAGCACCTGGTCATGGTCATCGGACTTTCACTTTCGAATGAAAGTGTAGAGAATGCCTACTTCATGGCATCTCATCTATTACATCGCTGTATGTTCTGAAAATGCCCTCACACGCCACCTGCTAACTGTGCCATAGTTGGATATTGTCTACGACACAAGGTCGAGCAGCAAGGCGCATTACAATTCCTCACGCGAGTGGAAAAGAATCTGGGCTGGCGAACCTCATGGATGATGCATGAACTCGAAGATCAATGGGTTGAGTTGGCTGCTCTTGACTCGTGGGGTATCTAAGCCCGAGGACATGGCCGTCAGAGTGTAAGTTTCATGACGATAAGTACATATTGCCCCGGTCTCTTCGGATTGATGTAAACACGTATTTCTTGTAAATATCCCTAGCTTCAGCGTTCTATGGAGAAACAACCTTGAAACAGGGCGCTCGCTATCAATTGTATCACCACTTCTGGGCGCTACCTAGAATTGGTAAAAATGAAATCGCTCACACCTATACCATATCAGAGTGGATGGATATAAGTCTTAACTCCGGTCTAGAGTCTGTCAGAGCCCAAAGAATTCTCGGAATACGACAAGCATGGTTCCCGGGCCTCTCGGCATATCGGCTTTAACTCGTACATGAAATCATACAGACGCACTACACGTCCGCTGCTACCAACCATATAAATAAGACCAGCAAGAACTAAGTATGCCAAAAATCAAACAACTCCTAGATCTACGTTGGCACAAACTTGATTCTTACAAAGCTTCAAAAGCAATCTCTCCAATACGCAATGAGTCTCCCCCAATCTTACAAACACGCCGTTTTCAAGGAGGCCGGAGGTCCTCTCACAGTGGAACAGACATCTTTGGTCTTACCTGCAGCAGGTGAGGTCTTGGTTAAAGTTGAAGCATGTGGTGTTTGCTTCTCCGATCATCTTGCCCAGTCCTACGGCTTGCGTGGGTCCTTGTATGTTTCATCTACCTATGCACCCAAGTGCTGTATTCAAACGACATGACTGACCCATCCTAGCCCTATCACGCCGGGTCACGAGATCATCGGGAAAGTAGCCGCGGTTGGTGATCGCGTTTCCCAATGGCAAATTGGAGATCGTATTGGTGGGGCCTGGCATGGAGGCCATGATGGTAGGACTATCCAACTTCGACACAGCACACAATAACCTTTATCGCTAACGAGTGTATAGGTACTTGTCCCGCATGCCGGAAGGGGCATTATCAAATGTGCGACCTCGGAATAATAAATGGTGTGACGAAGAACGGAGGATGTATGTGTATACCCCAAAAGCCGAGGACAGCATTGCTAATCTTATAGATGCTGAATACTGTATTTTGCGCGCAGAGGCCGGGGTCCGAATCCCCACTCATGTTGAAGCCGCCAAATATGCCCCTGTGCTCTGCGCTGGAGTAACCGTGTTCAACTCGATGCGCCGGATGAATGTCCCGCCAGGCTCAATAGTTGCAATTCAAGGGCTGGGTGGCCTAGGTCACTTGGCGATTCAGTATGCCAATCGATTTGGATGGCGTGTTGTGGCGCTCTCTCGGGATTCCCGAAAAGAAAAATTCGTTCGCGATCTCGGCGCCCATGAGTATATTGATGGTAGCAAGGAAGACCCGGCTGAAGCATTGCAGAAACTTGGTGGTGCGTCGCTGATTGTCACAACTGCCCCCGACCCGAAGGTGATTCCACCATTGTTGAAGGGACTTGATATCCTGGGAAAGCTTCTGGTCCTTGCTGGTGAGTGAATTCGGTGTCCAAGTTCCAATGAATACACTGACTAGAATAGTTCCTGGGGAGTTGGTATTTGACACAAAGCTGATGGTAAGCTCTACATTCATTTCGCGCGCGCCAAAGCTCTAATTGATATGCAGATTCCACGAGGATTGTCTGTACACGCCTGGCCAAGCGGCCATGCCTTGGATTCCGAAGAGACCATTCAATTCAGCGAGTTGCAAGGGGTAAATTGTATGGTTGAAACTTTCCCATTGGATAAAGCCAAGGAGGCATACGGTGAGAGATCCCAATGTTTGTTTCGGCACATTACAGGAGTCGCCAACTAATCGACCCGCAGAAGCCATGACCAAAGGTACAGTGAGGTTCCGTGCCGTGTTCACAATGGAATGAAGTCTAGATAGAGCGCACGTTAGTTCCAAGTGCTTCACTCGATTTTAATTTCATTTCTGAATGTCCAAATCTTGCCGCTTCTTATACTTAAGTAGTAAAATCGAGTTAAAATCGAGTATAGTCCGCCGCAGCCGGAGCACCCAATTCCACTGGTGAATCATCGGAAAAGCCCTCCCGGGGTCCAAAGTTCACTATGTGATCTTGCTGAAGGTATCCTTGGAAGTCGCAAACGTGAAGTTGGAGTGGTTGGCAAAATGTATAATATAGTACAATGGCATTCATATCAAACCAATAATGGCTTATGATACAGCTACTGGGACCCCTCAGATGACGAACCCTCCTTGATATCCCTCCGCACAGGACCAGGGGGCGGCGGGCTTGAGAAAATAGACTTGAGGCCACCAAAGAAGCTCTCTCGAACCTGTGCACCGAATTAGTCTTTTTTTCACTGATCAAAAGGCAAGCAAAACAAACCCCATGGAATGGCGTAGCACTCGTCTCCCACTCCATAAAAAGCACCGCATACACAAGAACGACTATATCCGAGTCAGCACTGTTGGATCCATCTCCAATCCCTGGGGACAAACGACTCACATCCAATGACAACCCATTGTCCAATCTTTGTGGCCTTCATAAGCTTTGGCCGCGCATACTTCAGTGCTGCGCGACGACGGTACTTGCGCTCAAGTCGGAACTGGTGCTTCGGCGACAGTTTCGACATGTCGGGTGGCCATTGGCGCTTCGGCTGGTGGGGGCTATAGTAGACATCTTCGAAGGTGGATGGCTCAGATTTTTGGGAGCTTCGGAAGGGTGAAGATTCTCTGGGTAGCGATGCTGTGAGGGATGTAGGTTGGGTCGTCGTGAAAGATCGTGTGATGGAATTCTGAATTGTCTTGTTTAGCTTTGCTCGAAGGTGGGTGGCTATTTCGCCGGTATTTGTTACCCTTGGGATACTTAATGCAGCCCCGAATGGAGAAGCACGCCTTGTAAACAGTGTCCGGATCATTGTGAGCTGTTTACAATTCAGCGCACTGCGTAGTTGGAGAATCGATGTCTCGGCAGTACTCAACCGCCAAGGGAACACGATTAATTGTGCCGGCAGTGAGGCTTGACCGCCAGATACACCGTCCTTTGAATGTTAGCCAATCATATCCTCGGACGAGATAAACTCCCCCCGCATTCAAGCGGCTAAGATCGGCATAGAGCCGTGGCGCGCGCAATTACTGCTGATTGGATGATTTTGAGGTAACTCCCAAGGTTTGAGACAATATCAAGCTGTGACGGGCCTTTGCAGGCCATCAGGTATGTATTGGTGAATGCTACGGTAGGCTGGACTTTCTAGATGTAGAATAACCTCGGAGCATATGTGAGCTGTAGATGCAGAGTAGAGGTGGTGCTCCTTCCCCGCATTGAAATCGGACATAAATACTTCAGTATCTCATCTTTTTTCAGCTCTACACTCTCTTTCTTTTCCCTTCACTTCAACCTATCCAAAGTTATTCGAAACCAACCTCAGCCATGGCCACTCAATCTTGGGAGGACATCGTATCGGAGAAGCATCTTCAGGATGCTTCAAAGATCCCACCTGCTTGGCGACTTCCGCAAAACCTGATCGAGTTTGCTCAGACTCCTAACGCAAATGTGATGGATATCCCATCTCGGTCCGGAATCTTATCAGCAAGCCAACTTCAAATTACCGAACTGTACGACGCCACCGATCTACTGAGCAAGATAGAACACCGGGAGCTGTCGGCTTATGAGGTCACCGAGGCCTTTTGCAAGCGTGCCGCGATTGCGCAGCAAGTGGTATATTTTCCTGATTTGAATAAAAACTACCTACTCGTGCTAACAAGTGAATCACGCAGACCCATTGTCTTACCGAGGTCTTCTTCGAGAAAGCTTTGGAACGTGCCACGGAGTTGGATGAAATATTGTCCAAGACGGGAAAGCGAGTTGGACCGCTGCATGGTTTGCCTATTAGCCTCAAGGTAAAATTCGTCTACTCAAGTCTCGGATTACAACTAATCAACTGGATTCAGGAGTGTTTCAACGTCGAAGGAGTTCCATCCACACTTGGATTCACGTCTTTCATCAAAAATGGCCCGGCCAAGATCAACTCTTGCGTCGTTGAGATCCTGCTTGACCTAGGTGCAATTCCATATGTGAAGACAAACATCCCTCAGACGATGATGGTGCGTGATCTTAAGTCTCGAGTTTGGGGTCGTTTGCTGACATTGCTAGGCGGCGGACTCTCACAACTATGTATTTGGTCGGACACTGAACCCGCACCGAACCAATCTGACTGCCGGAGGCTCATCGGGAGGAGAGGGAGCATTGATAGCGATGAGGGGCTCGGTTTTGGGTGTCGGAACAGACATTGCTGGATCGATCCGAATCCCCGCCATCTGCAATGGAACGTACGCATTGAGGCCTTCCACGGATCGTATCCCATATGGACGCCAAACAAGCTCCTCTCGAGGAGGACTCGCCGGGATCAGGGCCTGTGCAGGGCCACTGGCCACATCGGTGAGAGACTTGGAGATGTTCATGGAAGCGGTGATCAGCGCAGACCCGTGGAAGCTGGACTCATCTGTCATATTTTCTCCATGGCGTACCGTTACCCCCAAGAAGGTTCTGCGGTTGGGCTTCATTGAGGAGGATTCCCATTTCCCGTTGCATCCACCTGTTCTGCGTACTCTCAGAACAGCCGTCGAGAAGCTTCGTGCAGCTGGGCATGAGGTGGTCACTCTCAAAATCGAACCTGAGCTTATTCGAGATGCCTGTGTGATGGCATTCCGCATGTTCGCCATGGACCCGGCTCAGACGGCATTCAAGCACATCGCTGCAAGTGGAGAGCCCGTTATTCCAGCGCTGGCCACGACATCCCTTCCTCAAAAGAACATGCCATTCGAGTATGCACCTTTGACACTGGAAGCCCTGTACGACTTGAATCAACAGCGAAACAATCTCAAGGAGGAGTTCCGTGCTTTGTTCACCCAAGGGAATCTGGACGCAATAATCACGGCTGGCTACCAAAGCACTGCCGTGCCACACGACACATATGGCATGCCGGCATATACCGCCATTTGGAATGCGACTGATGTATGTATATTCGTGCGATCCTACGGCATTTTACTAAACTTTATCAGTATCCAAGCTGCGTCATTCCACACGGAAAAGCCGACAAGAAAGCCGACGAGGCATTCATCCGTGACGTCAATTACGAGCCTTCATGTAACATCCACTGATGAGTTTCTGTTGGGTTGAAGCTAATCCTTGCTTTTAGATGACGCCGATACTATTGAGGGAGCCCCGTGCAGTGTGCAGTTGGCCGGCAGGAACATGCAGGACGAGGAATTGGTTCAAGTGATGAAGGTTGTGTCTAGTGTCATCAAGTCCTGATCTACGGAATCCTGCTTAGAATCAATGAAAGCAGGAGCATCCGCATTCTTACATGCTTGTTGATGCCCATTGCTGATGAAATGGCTGGAGAGAACCTTGGAAAACGTGTTTTGTGACCATAATTGCTTTTTTGGGGGCATTCGTACATAACTAGCAGATGCTTTCATTTCAGAATTGCAGAAAATGTGCAAGTATTTGTCAATAACTGCACGAGTAATCCGCAAATATCGAAGACGCGAAGTATGACCAGTCACATCTCAATTCAATCTGCCTGCGACGGATAAATTTCGTCCCACTGCGACAGGTTCGGGGCATCTCATCGCGAAATCAACCCTGTCGTGGACGGTTGTTTTCCCCCGCGTTGTGGAACCCCGCAAGTCCTTGGTGATCAGTAAATTGTAATTCTCCTGTTGGTGCGATTTATTTTGCATCAAATGGCTAAAAGCAACATGTATCCCAGGGAATACTTCAATCGCTCTTGTCAAGGAATATTTGCAGTGAATCCAGACATTCGGATCACAAAGGGAAATCTAGGCCATCATGAAAGTGACCGGGGTACTCTTGGCCAGCTTGGCCTCCTGCGCCGCAGCATATCCATCTCGGGCGCAGAGCTCTAAGCCCCCTTTCTTTGTGTTGGCAGGTGACAGCACCACTGCCGTCCAATCCGCAGGGGGTGGAGGTTGGGGTGATGGGTTTCTCAACACAACTCTGTTCAACGGAGCATCTGGTCGCAACCTAGGGCACAATGGCGCAACCACTGTTAGCTTCCGCACGGGGGGTGACTGGGCCGAGGTCTTGGCTACAGTGAAAAAGTCCAAAGATGCCTATCGCCCCTTCGTGACAATCCAATTTGGACATAACGACCAAAAGCCAGCAGCCAATATCTCATTGTCGCAATACACCAAGAATCTCGAGGGACTTGTCAAAGAGGTCTTGGATGCTGGTGCGACTCCGATTCTGGTTACACCTCTGTCTCGACGAGGTTATGAGACCCCATCTGGCACCCCGCGCATCGTACAGAACCTTGCCAACGAAACCGCGGCTACGATACAGGCTGCTCATTCGATGGATGTGAAGGTCATTGACTTGAACAAAGCGAGTACTGATTACCTCAATGCAATCGGGCCAGACAATGCTTATACTTACAACTTGAACCCTACCGACTACACCCATTTGAATGGACCTGGGAGTGTTGTATTTGGGGGAATTGTGGCCGATCTGATCATTCAAGTAGAATCTGATTTGGCAAAGGACGGATACCTGAAGGTTGATAAGACACTCAAGAAGGACGTCAATGAAGGGGTTTACTACTGGCCTTGACTTGATATTTAAGTATAGGCCATGGCGCCACCATGTCTGAATAATCACACATGATCTACTGGCATTGAATGCGAGACAGGTGAAATTTAAGGCTCATCATCCACATTTTAAAGAATCCGAAAGTAAAATGACATTCCCTTGAGGTATGTAGTAGTCCTATGCAAGCCCAATTCCATCCAAACAAACCAGGCAGATGAACTTCGTCTTGTTTGTGGAAAGTAAACGTAACCAGACATCACTTCTCCTCTTCATGGGCGTGCTTCTGAAGGAACAGAGCCTTCATAGAGGGGTATGTGCGTACTTCAAGATCATCGGACAAGGTAGATGTTCCATCCTTGTCCCCGAGATCATACCAGATAGACTGCGCCGATTGGCCCTCGGCACGTTTGGCGAACCATAAGGCGTGAACCCAGTCAATAGAGACTTCAAAGCCCTCGCCTTGGTCATGGATCAAAATAGTAGCACCTTCCTCGCTACCGAATCGATTACCGATCGAGATCACTTCTTCTACTCCCCATGATCCATCGATCTTGGCGTTGAAGATGATTTCACTCTGTGCCCGACGGATGGAAATGTGGAAAATGGTGTCACCCTTGGCATCGAGAAGGGAAATCTGAGTCATGTCGATGGGAGTATCGGGAATGGAAAGATCAACACCGGAGGACTCGAGAAGAATGACACTGTCTGCTTTGAGAACCTGTCGGAAGGGCAGATTTCCATGGAGGGAAAGGTTTGCTCTCGGACGCTTAGGTCTGTTGAAAGTTAGAAAACACTCATTCAATCTGTCGTCAGGGGTTTTATACTCACCGAGGAGCAGGGGGATCAATCTTCGGCTGCTTCAACTCAGGATCAAGTGCACCATCCGCACCACCGGTGATGGTTGGTTCTTTCTTGAAGTTTTCAAAGGATGGTGGCTTAGCAGGGTCCTCAAAGTGACTGGTGTCGTTACTGCTACCGATGATCTCGAGTTCGAGTTTTTCGACATCGTACCGCGGCAGTTCCTTTCCATGCTTTACGAAAGTTAACATATGGTCCTTGATACTCGGCAAATTTGACTCACCTTCACTACTCTCCAGTAAGCACGTTTCTGGAGATAGGCTAGAACTTCGTCGCGAGACAACGATTTTAGTTTCTTCCCACTCCTGACGAGTTTGAAAAGCACAGGGGAGATAGGGATATAAGCGGTTGACTTGACGCGCGACTTCTGTCCACTGGTGCAATTCCCGCAAACAGATGCTCCATCAAGTTCCGGCTTCTGACTGAAGTTGTAAACTTCCGCGATCAGGTCTGTGAGTGGAGTCTGTATGCCATCTTCTTGGGCGAGGTATAATTTGACCCAGAACGGCTGACCACCAAGGGCGTATCTATTTTGTCGCTGTTAGCTTGTGACAGACCCAGCCATGGAGCAAATTCACGAGGAATTGAGTCTATTGATGAAATCTTAAAGCAGGAAAAAATGGGACTTACTTCAAGAATCGAATACTGAAAGCAAAGTCAGTCACCTTGAGCCCGCCATCGATTGCATCGACGCCTTCCGGGATGGGAACCTTGGGGTCAAGGGCAATGTCACGAGATACACCATAGAGAGTGTTAACAGTGGAAAAAATGCTTTTCTGGAACGAATCCTGATCCAACGCCCCATCAGGTTGGCGATACTTCAAATCCCAGCGAGGTAACTCCGGGTATGAGTACCCGAGGTTTGGAGTATGACGGACTCCATCCGGGGTCCAGTAGGTTCCTTCCTCATCTTTTCGGAATGGCTGGAGGGGAGTATTTCCATTGACAGCCTGCTCTTTGCCGTGGGAGTCACGAATGGTAGCGTTGTCTCCTTCAACGTTGCCAAGCCACTTGTCAGGATTCAGGGCTTGCCAGATCGCGAAAAGACGATCAATGTTGCTAAAAAAGGAGATCTGTGTCAGCGCTTAACTTCATAGGAGAAGGGAATTATACTAACCAATGGTGCAGGAAGAACAGAGGGTCAAAGGAAGCCACTGGGACATTTCCCATATGACCAGCGTCACCTGTCCAACCGTGACTAGAAGAAGAGCACATGTTAGTGACTGACAACGGTGTTTCATGATCAATTCGAGCCCTGCATAGCACTACTTACATGTTGTTATGGATCTAATTCGATGTCAGCATGCGAAATCCCAGTCTGGGGAACGTAGGAGCACGTACATATTCAATGTTCAAATCCTCTTCAACCTTCTGATCCTTCGAAGTTGGATTAGTGCTGGCAAATGTGGTATAATCCATAGGCACAGTGAGCAGCCTATACACCATCTCGGCAGCGGGACCATGGTTCTTGTCATTATATCCATCGTGTGAGTTGAAGGCATCCGCCACTTTACGGTTATTAACAACACCATGTCGCCATCCCTCACTGGTTGGCTTCTGGTCCTCTTCATCAGGCCAACGACTGGTTCCGATCGCATTTCCGAACTAGTCCGATTAGCCAATATCACGCTTTTATTGGGAGGATGAACCCACATTCTTGTAATCTTCCTGTTCCGCGTCGTCTTGCCATGTGTTTTCGGTACCTACGCCCTCGCTTCGCATGGGTTGGTCGGTTGGCATGCGGAATTGGAACAACGGGTTGTCAATGCGAGTAAACCCTCCCTCTGGCTTGGGGACAGTGATGGTGGGATACTTTGCCAAGTCGGGCACTCGGCCATTTCGTGCCCAGTCCCAGAATGGAAGACGCCATGACTCGGCCTGCTCCCGCCATGCATCCTGACGGTCTTCAGGGAATAGTGGAATGACCTCATTTACCATGATGTCGTACACGACTTGCTGGAGAAAGGATCAGGACATGTCACACCACGTCGAGGAATTATGCTTACCTCGAAAAGGAACACGTAGGGCCGGTGCCAGATGGGGAAGATGACATGGGAATGGAAACAGTAGCCATTCTTCATGGGCTCCGGACTAGGGTCATCCCATCGTGCAAATGGCTGACCGTGAATACCTGATAGAGCGTTCGGTAAGATACTGTGACTGACGATTCATTGGATTAGACGTACCAGCGACTTGGAAGTAAGATAGCCTTTCCTTTGGGTCTAGCTTCTGGAATCTATCCAAAGCTAGGATGAAAAGATCGACCTGCTTCTTGTTCGACTTTTTGCTACTCCATTCATCGACATCCTGACGAACGAAGACTTTCCGATTGATACCGTCGTTGGGGTCAGATTCACTGGATGGGAACCGAGCTTTGATCTGATAGTACTCGTAGGCTGGGGACTCAGATACTGTTGTTTCAGAAGCCATAATGCCTGCTGACTGCTTGCTGGAACCAATCTTTCGCTTGTGGGATCTCTTTGATAATCGACCGAATAGGTACATCCAAACTCCAAAGAATAGAATGAATGGTGGTAAGGGGTCATCTTTTGTCCTTATATAGTATCTTCCAAGGCTGTACGCCACATTGGAATCCAGAGATACCTGTGATGGGATGTACCAAGCAGGCCAGTGGCTATCGAGACAGCGCTGTGTGAATACATCAACGTACCACAGTCAGCGCAAGCCTTGTTACACAATCGATCACAACTTGGAATCGCTGCAGGTAGACACACTGACCTGCATACATTCTTGGGAAATTATTGACGACCACGAAACATCATTTCAACCATACAAAAGCGTAGTATCCCACGCCTATTTCTGCAGCTGGATCACAATTTCTACTATTGGTGATATGCAGCTCCAGGGCTGTCATCTCAGTTCTTGAGCTGGTGCGGGGCCGAGTTGGGCGCAATGATCAGCAATCCAAACAGCTTTTGATTTCCAATCGAACTGCATGATGGCTTGGCGAAGAATGAACTGGGGTTCATTGAATGGCCCTAAACAATTTAGCCAGCCACAACCTGAGAAACCGAGGACTTCAGCTGAGCCGGAATCGGGGCCCAATCCCAGCATTCAACTTAATTGGATATTCCGGTCAAAGGTGTCGTGTTGTTTACCCCAGTCGTTCAATATTGCTTTTGGTCCAGTCTCAGAATTTCAATAATGCCCCTGTTGATATCCTTGGAATAATTCTTGTTTGTCTCATACTTTCCGGGGTTCCCTATACTGTTCATCTGTAAGTATAATCGTGCTTGGTGCTGTAGTTGATGAATGACGGAGTACCCTGTAAGCAGATACTCAGCCGTGGGGCGAAGTGGAATTGGAATCAAGATACCCCATACGGTGTACTTGAGACGATGTCACACCCCCCGGTAGTGTAGCAATACGTTTCCATCTGTCACTTCGACACTTGTGCGATAACCCAAACTGAAGCCTGGAGCACTTCTGCCTCCAGGATGGCTTCAGACAGCTTCAGAGGTTAATGGTTTTCAAGAGCAGACTCAAATCCTTTGTTCCTAGATTGATGACCGCATAATTTTAGCACATAATCGAATGCAACTCGTTATTGGACAGGTATCTCAAGGTTACTTATGATGGCCAATCCTTTTACCTGGGCAGGGGTTGTACTTGGATACTTCTAAAAGTTCCAAGGTCGGCGACGGCATATTTTCACTTTGCTTTTGCGATTCATACATCAATTCAGCAAGGTCGATCTTGAAATTCTCATCAGCACAATCTTGGGAGGATTCAAGTTACTTGGCGCCATGTTTAGCCAGTATTCTAAATTTAGAAGTTGGCAAGTATCCCCGGCGACATTATATACCACTTATCTCGGGGGCACCTTGGCTGGATGATATGAGTTCCTGAAATGCTAGTACCGCTCACTTGAGCACCTGGCCAGATATCCATGAGCCGGCATACATGGAGCTCTGTATGACAAATAATTTTAAGATCATAGTTCTATGTACGACAGAATTTCTTGGCCCAAAGAGCGGCGCTGGAGGTGCCCGGGGAAAATATGTAGTGCGGGGCCAAGGATGTCGAGTAACAACCTAGAAGGATATTGCGAAGTAAAAGAAAGTAATGGACACAGGGGATAAGTGAGCAAGACTTGTTCTAAAGTTCTAGTTTTTGGCGACATGTCAGGACCGTGGATGCGGGCTGAAATGGTGAGCTAGTCAACTGGCGGGATTCGGTGACAGGGGGCCCTTGTAGAGACGCGCGACGCCTCCACTTAACATACAAAGCCTGAGATACACCCAGAACATCCGGCACATAACTTCCCCAAGATGATCTCTTCTTCAGTCGCTCTTGTAGCCATATTGATTTACAGCACCCCGCCTTCACCTCGCCATTTGAGATGACTACCTCAACCTCGGCCCCCACCAAGATCGACAGTAAGCGGGGAGCTCACAACATGCACCGCCCACAAGTTCTGAAGATGACACCTTCAATCTCTGCACCTTTATGGGATTGAAAACTCTTCACCTCACCAGCACTTCACCGACCCTCCGAAATCCGAACAATCATGGCGCGCGAACACGAGGATGTGCTAGAATTGGACGTCTTGGTGGTGGGCGCAGGCTTCTCCGGCATTTACACACTCCACAGACTTCGAAATGAGCTTGGCCTCAATGTGAAAATAATCGATGCCGGTTCCAACCTTGGAGGAACCTGGCATTGGAACACCTACCCGGGCGCTCGGGTTGACTGTCCAGCTCCGACCTACGCATTTGGTATCGAAGAAATTTGGAAGACTTGGAAATGGTCCCAGCGATACCCAGCTCAGAAGGAGTTTGAGGCTTATTTTGATCACGTTGATAAGGTTCTTTCAATTCGTAAGGACTGCATCTTCAACTCTCGTGTGGTTTCTGCGTCGTTCGACCCAGCAACTGCGAAATGGGCAATTGAAACCGATGATGGGAGGAAGATCAAGACTCAGTATTTCGTGCCGGCCGTTGGCTTTGCTGCAAAGCAGCACATTCCCGCGTGGAAGGGCCTTGAGTCCTTCCAGGGTGTCATACACCACTCATCCCTTTGGCCCAGAGAGCATGTGGATGTGCGAGGAAAGCGTGTCGCAGTCATAGGTACTGGCTCAACTGGTGTCCAGATTATTCAGGAATGGGCAAAAGAAGCCGCTGAAACCACCGTCTTTCAGAGAACCCCAAACTTCTGTCTGCCGATGGACCAGGAGACTTTCGATGAAGCCAGCCAAGATGCAATGCTGGCCGACACGGAAGCAGAGTTTGCGCGCTGTCAAACTACCGTGCAAGGACTGTCACGTCCTTCACCAACCAAATCTTACTCTGAGATGTCAGCTGAAGAATGTGATCAGATTCTGAACGAGTATTATGACAAAGGTGGTTTCCGACTTTGGAGCGGCGCATACAATGACTTGCTTGTGAACCCTGAAGCGAATCGCGCGACTTATGATCTTTGGGCAAAGAGAACACGCGCACGTATTGATGACCCAGTCAAGCGTGACCTTTTGGCTCCCTTAGAGCCACCTCATCCGTTCGGTACCAAGCGTCCCTCATTGGAGCAGGGGTATTTCGAACAATTCAACAAGCCAAATGTCCATCTCGTGGATACAAACACACACCCAGTCATTGAAATTACCCCCAGCGGCATTGTGACTAGTGATAACAAGACCTATGAGGTCGACATCATCGCTATCGCGACTGGATTTGATGCCGGCACCGGCAGTCTTTCCACCATGGGTATTCGTGACCTCCAAGGGGTTGACCTTGGTGAGCGATGGCGCGAGGGCGTCACGACTTTCCTTGGTCTGACAGTCCCTGGCTTCCCCAACATGTTCCTCCCCTACTCTGTGCAGGCACCGACGCCATTTTCGAATGGACCTATCTTCATCGAGCACCAGGCAAACTTCATCCGCGACATCATCAAGAAGATGAAAGCCGAAGATCTGCGGACCATTGATCCTCAGCCTGCGGCTGCCCAAGCTTGGAGAGATCAGATCGTGGCAGTCTCGAAGATGACTCTCTTCCCCCAGGCAAAATCCTGGTACATGGGGGCTAACATCCCTGGAAAGCCGGTTGAGCTGCTTTACTTCATAGCTGGAGTTCCTACCTATCGAGCCGCGTGCGAGGACTCCATTGGGGAGAAGTTCCAGGGGTTGTTTATTTGTCAGAAATAGACGTCAGCGTGCTCGTGAAGTATATTAGCTAGTCATTCATTCAACGAGAACATCTGTACATAAGCAGACCAAGGTCAAAAATGTACATCAAGAGTCTTCAAGGACTACGTAAGGTGTGCCGATTTTGAGATTGGCATCCATGGCTTTATTTTGTATGCTCTCTCAACTCCCAGGTAATCTTCAAGGGAGAAGCTATTCGCTATGCTACAGTGAGTCAGGGACAGGCAGGAATGGCTATTTATAGAATCTCATGAATCATATTGACGCTCATCTTTGAATGTGGGGCCCGGCCCCAATGCACTTTTTCTACAGAGAACTCATCATCTCGTAGACTCCACACCTCATCAACACCACCTTAAAGTACATGATCAAAAGGGCATAAAGAACAAATTTCCAAATCAAAGGTTGGCAAATCGAACACCAGCCTTCTGTGCGGTGAAGGTGGAAATCAAATCCATGAGAGCAGGGGACAAAACGTCGTATGTCTGCAGACCGACGGACTTGAACTTGGCGCGCACCTCATCCATAGACTTGGGGTTGGTACCCTGCTCAATGATGGAGGAGACAAAGCCCGCGAATTGAGGTTCTTGCCAGCCCTTCTCACTGGACAGCTCGGCGTGGACAAAGTCCAGACCCTTGAAGGGGTGGTCCTTCTCAATGCGACCGAAAAGGTGGACGCCGCAGTCCTTGCAGGCATTGCGCAGGATGGTGGCCTCCTTGTCGACGATGGTAAGCTTGGACTCGTTGGCGGTCACGGAGACGGCGTCCCGGGGCACCACTCCGACCACGGAGAAAAGGGCGCCCTTGGGCTTCCAGCACTTGGAGCAGCCGCAGGCGTGGTTGTGTGCGACATTGCTGCTCAGAGTGACCTCGACCTTGTTGGAGGGGCAGTGGCAGTGGAGCTTACCACCGGCGAAGCTGCTGGAGCCGGCAGTGATGCCGTTGTCGATAAGAGGGTGCAGAGAGGGAGCCATTGTGAATTGAGGTATATATAAAGAATATAGTTTCCGAATTGAGTGAATTGAATACCTTGGTGGAAAACAGAATTCGAGCCAGCGTCAGCAATAAATATACAAAATGGTCCCCTCATACTCCTCACGAGGGGTATGCGCCCGTGACCGGATGGCCTCCGATTCCCCCAAGGTGGGCGCGAAGTGACAGCCCCAGTCGCGCACTAGTGCTCAGCCAATAATGAACAGCAATTGAACACTAAACTTGACGTGCGCGCGGGTTGCGGTGCGGATTGCGGAGTCGGGATCTAGATCTGGAAGTCCTTTCCCGTCTGGCCCCGGCAGCTATGCCGGTCTTATCGTGAGTTCGCGACTATTAACTATATGGACTGTCGGATATATCCTGAGGGGTTTCTCCAATTTCATCTTCTCCAAGATTACCCTAAGTCTGGAGGATATGTGAAGTATACCATCTACTTCGAAAGGAGCGCATTGCCTACAGAGTGGGCGAGATGCGATCAAAACATTTCGCTTATTCGACCTGGACAAGCTCTCGGTATGGATAATCTGCTACCTTCGGTGAAAAAGATGAAAAGATGAAAAGATGAAAAGATGGAAATACCATGGAGTATGGCATGGAGTATGGCATGCGGTGTCACAGAAATAAGGTGAGAAACCCCGTGAGAGTTGGAAACTTGGTCAGCGCGGACAGGGGATTAGGTGTAGATTTTCCCCACCATTTTCAGCCCTGTGAACTTCGCATTTGACTCTGGACTTTGAACAATTTCATGATTTTTTCCCTCTCAGCTGTTTCCTGTATTCTTTTTCACTTCACTGGATTCTACTCTGATTCCCAACAACAAGTTCCCTATGACCAGAGTTGCGGGGCCGGAGACGCTTCCGAGTGACGTCATCGAATCGGCTGCGCGAACGGTTCAGGTACAACAATTCCCCCCCGGAGATGCCACAGTCTATTGACACAGCATAGCGAGTGTATCGCGGTCATCGCGCGCGCCGTGAACTACGAGGATGTGGTTTGGCTGCTTCTACGCGATGGGATGAGGTGAGAGCTTCCATGATAACAGCGCGGAATAGGTCTGATCAAGATTCTATCACAGGCCATCAGGGAAGCCCAGTGGCAACAACTCCACAGACCACCAGAGCCCGAAGATGTTTCCAAGACCGAGAGATCGAACCAAGCGCGTCGAAACTGGCAACGGGCCGTGAGTGTTGCGAAACGAGCAGGCGGGGATGACGATCGTCTCACGGGCCCTTCCTCAAGCACGGAGACACGACCGGAAAATCACACGGAAATTGCCTCGGGAACCCAGGCCAAAATGATGGACGTTCAATACTTTTTGGAGATGGTGGATCTGAAACATCGACATGGGAGCAATCTACGTGCCTATCACACGTTTTGGCGCAATTCATCGTCAAGCCAAAACTTCTTTTATTGGCTTGATCATGGCGATGGGAAAAGCGTTGAAGTTGCGCAATGTCCTAGAGACCGCTTGGAGAGGGAACAAGTTCGCTATCTTACTCGCGACGAGCGCATGAACTATTTGGTGACCGTGGACGAAGCGGGTCTGTTCCGATGGGCCAAAAACAATGAGCCAGTGTGGACTAGTACAGCCAAATTCAAGGATAGTCTTCGAGGGGTCGTCCCCATTGATGAAGATGTTCCACAGTTCCGCGGAAACTCACCGACATTCGAATCTGAATCGATGGGTGCCTTGTCATTGTCATCCTCGTCATCACCATCCTCGTTTTCATCGGGTCAAAGTATGGGCAGTGTTCTCTCGAATGAGCAGGATAAGCCATTCACCGACGAGGAATATAAAGCCGCAAAGATCATGAAGAAGGTAGTGCATGCAAGCCCAAGTGCTGCTGTGAGGCGCCTATTGGGAAAGTCACCCAAGAAGGAAGATATGTGGATTTTTGTGAGTTGCGATGGTTTTTCAGAAGTTGGGTATAAGCTGAACCATTTCCAGGTCGCGGATACCTCTTTCCGCCTTTACATAGGCATCAAGAAATCTGGTGCTTTCCAACACTCATCATTTCTGCGAGGTGCACGCATTGCGGCTGCTGGAATGATCAAGATAAAACATGGCCAACTCCGAAGTCTGGCGCCAATGAGGTATGTAATTTCCCTTTACACTAGTTTTTCTTCGATTTCTTGAATCACGGGGCAGTCGAAACTGACGACACCACGTAGCGGTCATTATCGCCCCCCGGCCGCCAACTTCCGAGCCTTTCACCATGCCCTGCAGCAACAAGGTGTCGACATGTCTCATGTATCAATGAGCAAATCATATATTATGTTAGCTGGAATCCAAGGCTACACCAAAACGAAGCGGAAAGTGCGTGCTGCACATGAGAAGGTGGACGATACAAAACACAAGCTCCACAAACCCCCGGAATGAGCACTTAGCGATCATCTTTAATTTGTCATTCGATCCAATGAATGTTTCACAAATATTGGCAAATCACATGCGTGGTGAGGTTGAAAGCGTGTGATATCAGGACAAGCAAGCCAAAAGGGTATCTGAGGCCAGCCTCATGGCAAACAAAAGCCAGGCTATTCCGTTTTTGTTAAGAGCCGCCTGTTCAGGGGGCCGACATCCGGCCGAAGTCCACATGTGGACCCATCTTGCAAGGCATACGGAGTACAAGCAGTAGGCATTGATGTGGCTCCATATAGCCCACTGCGTATCTAGAAGGTTTTGGCTGCTTTGCGGCTGTTGCATCCGGTGCCCAACGAGCCGATCATTGGGCTCTAAGCTGCATATGCGGCTATGGGAGATGAACTACTCTGCACTCGTACGGGGTAATTCGAGTACGGAGGACCCCGTTCAAAATGATTTCGGTATTTCGGTAATTTGACGTATCTCCGGCTTTTTTTTTGCTTTTTCCTTCGCGTGGACTTTGAACTAGAAAATTCTTTGGGGTAGCATATGGACGCCGTTGGATGCCATTGGACCTTAGAATGTCCATGCGCATCCCTATTCACCTGGGCATATGTACTCTGTATATGAGCTGGCACTGAATAAAGCCAGGATCATTGGGAACCGAGTTGTTAGTGCTGTGACAATTGGTCCTCTTGGTGCTCTAGCGCACACCGCCGGGTGATCACATTTCCAGGCGGCTACAAGTCTCAGTTCCCACTGGCCTGGAACGCTCTAGGAATACCCCACAAAAGACGCAAATGATGTATTGATACAAGGGTTTCTTTGTTACTTCATACTCGGTACTCCGTACTCCGACCTCTGACTCGAGTGCCAAGCAGGTATTTTTCACAGCCATCAATGAGAGGTCTCGCTTGGAAGCTCTTCCCTGCACTCTTACATGCAGGTTAAGCTGAGCGCTCGACGGATCATGCATCTCCAAGCCGGTCAAACGTGTGCTTTGGCATGCATATCTATAGCCACATTGCATATGGCGCAGAAGCGGAGATCTAGGTAAGCCTACCAGTCTCTAATAGCCCACAGCTCAAAAAAGGCGAGCATGTCTGCTTCTTCTATGTTTCATATTGTTGGAATCACTAGTGTGATGCCCAGGTTAGACCGCCCAGAGTGTACTTAGATTAGTAGTCCAAGGAGAGCTCCAGGGCTTCACTCTCCTTCTTCCACTCTCTCCTCTCCCAGACTCTGCAATACTATTCGATCTACAGGATTCATTCTGCATTGCTTTTCGATATATATCCTCCACCCCATTGACTTCTACTCGATCGACTTCTACTCCATATCCCCCACTCTATTTACTTTTATTTAAACCTTGTTCGAAGTGATCAAGATGGACTCAGCTCAACCTTTTCACTGTACGGTACTGCAACGCTTGCATAAGCTCATCGCAGAACATCCCGACACGCTTTACTGCACCCACCCAGTTTCCACTGACATATATAATGGGTGGAGAGATGTGTCTTTCAGAGACCTAGCCTGTGCGATCAACTACATGATTCGTTGGATACGGACTGAGGTTTCATCCTCAAGCGACCACTTGACTCTGGCATATCTTGGTGGCAATGATATTCGGTATTGTGCATTTGTTTTTGCATGCATGCAACTTCGACACAAGGTATATCATCGGAGCTTCTGATTGAACGTATGTCTAATCTTCTAACCACTATGCAGGCGGTGCTATTATCGAGCAGAAATTCGGAACAAGCTTCCGCATATCTCTTAGATGCCATAGGCTGCACCATGGTTCTTTATAGCACTGAGCGCACGCGACAAGCCGATGCGCTGACAGCGGCCGACCATTCCCTTGAAGCATGGCGAGTCCCTGATCTTTGGGATGTGTTTGGTGGAGAACCAGATGATGAATTCAGCCAGATTCCCACCCCCGGCAGTGATCCAGAAGAAAGGGTGGCTGTCTATATCCACAGTTCTGGGACAACTGGTCAGTCCTTTAATCTAACACAGTATGGCATGGGAATTGAAACATGTTAACAATTTGAATATGCAGGATTACCCAAGCCGGTACCTCTGACAAATGGCTATTTTCACGCCCTGGAGAATGTGAGAGGCTTCGTCTGTGCTTTAGAAAATGATCAATCAAGCTGACCATTTCAATCGTGATGCAGGCGCTTTCATTGCCACTACCAGAGGATAGGACCAACGGCCTCGTCATTATTGCAGAGCCAGGAAAAATCTTCTTCTCTGCAAGTCCCTTCTTCCACCTCATGGGTCTCTTCAACATAGTGGCCCCAGTGATGTTTGGAACTCCTTTTCTTCTCTGTCCAGACAGACCTCTCTCAACTGAATTACTGGCACAGATTATGGACGAGAAATCGCCAGAAAATGCTGTTTTCCCCCCATATGTTCTGGAAGAAATAAGTTCCACAGACGCCGGAATGGAAATCTTGAAGAAATTCCACGGAATTGTGTTTGGGGGTGCACCCTTAGCCCCATCAGCCGGCGACCGAATCTCGGAGTTTGTACACCTTGAAGCGGTCCTGGGAACAAGTGAATGTGGTGTTTTCGGCACATTGAAACACGACGACAAAGCTGATTGGAAATACCTCGAGTGGAACCCTAACCATGGTGTCGAAATGCGTGACATTGGCAACAATCTTCATGAGCTCGTCGTTCCCCGTGGTGCCTCTAGGGAATCACATTGTATCTTCCACAGCTTCCCTGGCTTTGAGGAGTATCGCACCGGAGACATATTTTCGCAGCACCCACGCAAAAGTGGTTCATGGCTATACAGTGGGAGACTCGACGATGTGATTGTCTTGACCAATGGCGAAAAGTTCAATCCAATCGCTATGGAAAACATCATCTCCTCTCATCCACTCATCTCCCGCGCTGTGATAATCGGGCAGGGTCGGTTTCAAGCCGGTGTCCTGGTGGAGCCAGACTGGAACAAATTGAGTGATGAGAATGAATGGCTGATCGACGAGATCTGGCCGGTGATTCAGAAAGCAAATGAAATTGCACCTGGACATGCCCAGCTCATGAAGGGTCGTATCGGATTTGCCTCGAGAAACAAACCATTCAAGCTTACACCGAAGGGAACAATTCGGCGGCCCCTGGTGTTGCAAGATTATGCTGAGAAGATTGAAGCTCTCTATACGAAGAAAAGTGACGAGGGCATCACACAGATCCCAGCAGATGCCTCGAACTTGGAAATAATGGGCAATATTTCCGGGTTTATCAAGGAAATCTTGTCAATTACGTCTGTACCCGAAGATGCCGATATCTTTGCATTGGGAGTTGATTCTCTTCAGACCTTGCGCTTAAGTCAGATGTTGCAAGCTTCTTTGAGATCTACTTGCCCAGAGATCGTCGAAACAGCATTCAGCAACCAGCAGCTGTACGCAAGGCCTACACTAGGCTCTCTCGCTGCATACGTCTCAAGTCTTATCCATGGTGGAAGTTCGACCCCAGCAGCGGTGATCACTGAAACAGATGCTGACAGGGAGTCCCGTTTAGCCGAACTGGTATCCAAGTACTCAAATGACCTGAACGAAAGTCATGTGGTTATCCTGACTGGCTCAACCGGATCTCTGGGTGCATATTTGCTCTACGAGCTGTTGCAGGACCCCACTGTTTCCAAGATCTACTGCTTGAATCGTGGTGCAGATGCTGCTTCCAGACAGCTCAAGAGTATGCAGGACAAAGGTCTCTCGACATTCAGCCGGTTTCCACGTCGCGTGGAGTTCCTCGAAGCCCAATTTGGGTCAGAGAGACTTGGGCTCGAGAGTGCCAAGTATGAAGCTCTACTGCTGGAGGTCGATACTATCCTTCATAATGCCTGGAATGTCAACTTTAATCACCGAGTTGAGGCTTTTGAGGAGACTCATATCCAGGGCGTTCGTCGAATTGTTGATTTCAGTATCGCCAGCGAAAAAATGGCGCACATCCACTTTGTTTCGTCCATTGCTACCATTGAAGGATACGGCCGCGACAAGGGTCCTTCAATTCCTGAGATTGTCTTCACTGATCCCACTGTGGTTCTTCGTCAAGGATATGGCGAATCAAAACATGTATCCGAAAGAATCTGCGCCGCTGCATCGGCCAAACGCGGCATTCCCACGAGCATTCATCGCGTGGGTCAAATTGGCGGCCCGACCACCAGAGAAGGGATGTGGAATAAGCAGGAATGGCTGCCATCATTGATCGCGACATCAAAAACCATCAAAAAAATACCATCATCGCTGGGTGGAAGGGTTCAATGGGTTCCCGTGGTAAGTTGATTCCAAAAAAATAACGCATTATTGCCTACTTACAGGGATTGATTTCGCCAGGACATTACGGCAAAAGTGATTACAGATATCGTTCGCTCGCGTCGTGCCACCCAGGACGCTGAGCGCTGTGCAGCATTCCATATTGTCAACCCTAAAACTGCAAATTGGCAATCTCTTCTTCCAGCTGTGATCGATGACTTCGACGGTCATATGGTTCCCTTAACCCGGTGGATTCAGACCCTAGAGTCTTTCGTCAACCCTACCGAAATGGATCTTCAAGATAAGCCTGCTCTTAAGATTCTCGACTTTTTCAGAACGATTGCAATGGGCCATGAGTCTGGTCCATGGACCGAGACTACGAAAGCACAAGAAGCGAGCAACACACTTCGACGGCTTGAAGCGGTTGATGCCTCCCTCATGAAGAACTGGATGGAACAATGGGATTTTTAAATTGATTGTTCCATCTCCTCAATTGTGAGGACGCGCGCCCAGGCCCGCGGCATCCTAAACTACTCGACCAAAAACCTAATATGACAAGACATCATGTTGTCATGCCTGGGACCGGTTTATATAGTGGCGCACGCCAGGACGTGGTCCTGACATCAATGCAACAGATACTTAAGTAGATTAAATGTTATCGTTAATTGGATTGACACGATTTAATCCAGGTTTGGTATCTATTTTAGATCCCGCTCATCACTCTCTTCCACCCCAACTTAACAACATCGACCGCGAGAATTGGGACACCGCAAACTTGATTCAATATCCCGAGGTCCATCTGGGGTAATATCTCACGCAATTGGTTGAGGCTCCCAGCCGACCACGAGAATGTGGGGATGTGGAGAATTAAAGTTTCACCCCGATCCCTCGCAACCAAACCGACTCAATTGCTCAGTATTGTGGGATATCATGACATGGTAGGCTGTCAGAGTATCCTCTCAATCACAATGAGGGGTAACCCCTATTTGAGATGCAAACCTTGTTCATGAAATGACGATGCTCGCTAATCAAAGGCGCATCGTGGAAAAATCGTTAAGCCGCTTCAACGTCACAAGTGGCAACCCGATCCACTTTTAGGGCCTATGGTTGCATTACTTTTATAACTGCCGAGACTCGTTCGAACGGTATTCGCAATTCTTTCAATGCTTTCGTGCCTTCATGTCAGTGACGATTGATAATGGCAATTCGCTCTTCTTGATCAATTATGCCACCCAAATTATCAGCTTCATTGCTGTGACACCTTTCGTGTTGATTCGATTCTTCGTCCGATGGAGATTAAATGATGCACTTGGTATAGACGATGGTATGTCCTGATTGCATCGTTCGGATGTGTTGATCGCTGATAAAACAGCCTGTTGCGTGCTGGGATGGGTAAGACCTGGGTTGGAAAATAAGTACAGGTCTCAAATCGCTGACGCCCATCTCCTTCTTTCAGCTTTTCTTCATGGGGTATTGCTCGAGTGCATTGATCTGTATGCTTCGCCTTGATCATGAAGTCCTTGGTGGTGTCGAATCGGTCACTGATTAATTCTTAGATGGGTTTTCTGGTGGATCAATGCCACCAGCGCAACTGGATGAAGCCCAATTCGAAAGATCTGTCAAGGTATGAACCCCGACGGTGGGCCTTTGTTGAGTTTCACGACCCTTTACCAACCAATACCAGCTATCTTATGTTGCGACTATACTGTACTCGCCAACGGCTCTGTTTGTGAAGACTAGTCTCCTTTACATCATGATTCGTATCTTCCAGCCACTTACCAAGGCAATGGTCGGAATCTACTGCCTTATTGCGGTGGTGATATTCTACTACATCATCATCACATTCATTAAGATCTTCATGTGCAACCCAGTCAACGCCTACTGGAGCCAAAGCTCGGCGGAGGGCCATTGTTTCAGCGAGCCAGGTGTGATAATTGCAGATTCTGTGATCAGTTTTGTGACAGATATTGCGATATTCGTCTTCCCGGTGGCTTTCACTTGGAAACTGCAGATGCCAACGTCGAAAAAGATCAAGATCATGGTACTTCTCGGACTTGGTGGTGTGGCCGTCGCCTTTAGTCTCTACCGACTGGTGATCGGTGTATATGAAAGCAGAGACCCGGACGATACTGTTATGTTCATGAAATCCATATTGACTGGGTGAGTCCGTTATTATCATTCCACCAAAGCCAATTCGACACTAATACGGGGATCAACAGCAACGCAGAGCTGGGATTAGGCTTAATATGCGCCTGTCTACCGTCACTCAGTACTTTGGCCACCTATACTCAGCAGCACAGTTCTATTTTATCTGGATTCACCAGTCGGCGCAATAAGAAATTGGAGCCGCCTGGTCATATTTTCGATGGATCACCAGGTGATAATCAGCAATACCCATTCCCGCGCAGTCAACTGAGCAGCTCTGCTCGCCGAGGATCTACCGACTCGACACGTCTGGTAGCCAGTCACGAGGATCGTGGTCTATCGTTCAGCGAAAACAATGATATCATACAAATGGTTTCGTTGGACCAGCGTTGGGAGAACATGTCGCAAAGCTCTCTGCCGCCTTGAATCTTGTGAAATATCAAAGAATATAAATAAATCAATTCGACTTATATGATGAATCTCATGAATGGTTGTATTGTATGGAGTTCAATATTGAAAGTCCTCCGCAGTAAAGTCGGGAATTCCGGTGGCGAAATTCCGATTACGTAAGGCATTTCCGCCGTCGAATGTTCCGGCAGTTGACTTCAATTTTATCAGATCAAACATCTGCAATGGCCAAGTCCAAAGCCGCCAAGCGCAAGCGCAATGCGCAACCTGAAATTCCACAGAAACTCCCCAAGGCTTCTATCCCCACGCCACCACCCGATAGTGCGGAGCCCACACACTTGAACGAAATTATTTCAGATGAAGAACTCAACACCACGATTGAAGCGCTGACGGCTCTTTCGCAATATCCCAACCTAACTAAGTCGAAGGCATGCAAAGATATTCGAGTGGCAGTGTACGAGTTCCGCCAGGCTTGCACCACGGGTGTGAACACAGCCGGTACGATGCTCTACCGTCCCAACGTTGATCTCCACATTTAACTCTTATCTTGTCTTTTTTAGATGGCGCGAATTTGACCGCACGTATAACTGGTGCCCTCGTCGATGAAAAATATATTGATGCCAAGATTCTACTGGCGGAAATGCGAATCCGGGGCGAGCAGCCTAAAATTGGAGCGTTGTGTCGCTGGGTACGGGATCTTGATGTCGTGAGTGGGCTGTCTACAAAGCCCAAAGACGTCGATAATGTACCCGTTAAACGGACTCCGAAGGAGCTGGAAATCTTAGGCGTTTTGGATGCCATTCTCCGTGTGAGCACTTCGATTGATACCAGCCCGGATGCCGTTTTCTCGACCGCCCCCATTGCCTTCCAACCCATTTGGGATCTGCGCCCATCAACAACACCGCTGCCGATCTACGAATCCGTCTTGGACAAATCAATTTTGGATCACGCGCCCAAATCTTCCTCCGCTGTGCGAGTCATCGAGCGCACACCCGGCCCGTTGCGCAAACCTCCCAATCACCACGACGCGATTCTCTATACCACAGCCCCGAATGCAGTCCCGCTTGCTCCCACAAGCCCTGCCATCACTTATCATCCCCACCCTGCGGTCCCGAGCTTGGGTCTTGCTATGAATGTGCTCTCTCCCGACGAATGCAGAGCCATCATCGCCGCTGGTGAATCAGTAGAGTTCGTGCCGGACGCGCCTCTACGAGAGGATGGAGACATGAGCATTCTCGCCCACAACTTCTATTGGGTTATTGATACCGCTTTCCACGATCTGCTATGGGCACGAATTTCGCCATTTGTGCCTCAGTCGATTGAGGGTCGCCCGGTGCGAGGTATCAACCGACGCTTCCGCGTTTACCGATACGTTCCCGGGGCTGAATACAGATGTCACATTGACGGGGCATGGCCCCCGTCTGGCATTCTTGAGGATGACACGTACGTGTATGACTCTTCGCCCGAAGACAACAAGCAGAGCTCCATGTACACCTTCCTGCTTTATCTCAATGATGAGTTCGAAGGTGGTGAGACCACGTTCTTTATGCCGGCTGCTCGTGAGGGCACTCTCAATGGTTACCCCGTGCGCCCGGTCATGGGATCTGTTGCGATCTTCCCCCACGGGGAGTCCAATGGGGCGTTGTTACATGAAGGGACAGGAGTTACAAAGGGTGCTAAGTATATCATTAGAACTGACGTAGAGTATGACGTGAACCCCCCGAAGGCCTAAGATAAAAGGTGAAAAGTTATATTAAAACTCAAAAAGATTTCGTGTAAATATGAATTCAAATTGGTGAACAATTTCAGACGCGGTGTGCATTGATTTGTGTGCCATGGCAGCACAAAACGCCCTCACAACCTTGGCGGCTAATTTTGTCTCCTAATGACAGCTGCAGTAAATGAACATGTCAAAGTCAACCTTAAATGAGGCTCCTGTCTAGGCTACTTGGGGACGTCGGGACCTCCCGAGGCGTACCCGCGTGCCGCCAACACCTGCAGGGCTAGCAAGTGATGTCTACCGTTCACAACGCGCTCGGCCAAAAATCCTGCGAAAAGCGCTTGGGGGTATTTGTTTTCCGGACTGTCTGGATTTGAACCTTTTTTCGATTTCAACGTGTCATAGATGTCATGGCCAATTTGCGAAGGAAATGTGCCTACATTTAGGCGAACTGGGAGCAAATAACGAGGTTTCGACACAGCCTCACAGCCCCGCAATGTAAGCCCAACACATAAAAAAGAGCCTCAGGTATATTTTGGGTAGTCTGAACCTTCCCCTCCCGTGATTCTATTCCAAAAAATGGCCGACCCTATTTCGATTCTCTCGGCAGTTGATCTTTGTATCAAGTGAGCAGTTCATCGCCGACATTCGAAAAAGGATTGACTGACCATACAACAGATATGGCACCACATTGTACCATTTATGCGTCTCGTTCCGAAATGCCAACGGCGATATGGTCGAAAAGCTTCTTCGCGTGAAAAATTATTGGATGAGAGCAGAAGTCCAATTGGGCGTGGTGCGAGAGATGGCGGATGAGCTCAGTGAAAAGCATCACATATTGGTTCACGAGACTATTGCAATGCTTGCCACCAAACTAGAAATTTCTGTTCAAAATCTCGAGTCCATGGTCAAAAGTAATGGATCAGGAGACGAAGAGCTGAAAGTCCGTCGCTTGAAATATGCGTTCATGAAAGAAAAGATCGACAGAGCCATTGAGGATTTAAAAGAGTGGCAGGCACTTTTTGATCCATCATGGTATTTGATCATGAAGATTGGACGCCCGCATGTTGACTCCGGGCTCAAAAGTCACCGCAAGTCTTCTGAAGTCGAATACAAAGACCCAATATCCCCTGCCCAGTCCATCAGAGTCGCCTTGAAGAACAACGAGGAACAAATGCGCCCACTTCGATTCCCTATGGATTTCCTCAACGAAATCAATCCGCAAAGGATCCCTTTTTGTTCGGCAAAAATAGGCCGAAGACCCGGCCACGATCAATCACTCATAGTGGAAACAGTCGAGCCTCTGCCCGGCGCAAATGTTAGTGACCTCAAAAGGGATGTACGAGATCTTGCCAGAAGACTTTCCACCTCCAATGCCGTCGAATTCGGGCTTCTCAGCTGCAAAGGATATATCTCACCTCGCAGATCCGAGTCTGCTCAGCCTGGCACATACGAGCTGTCTATAATATCCCGAGTTCCGACATCAAAATCAAAGCCTCGTACGCTCCGAGACTGGCTTGTGAACATGCGCTGTACGGATTCTCTATCAGACCGATTTAATATCGCTAGCGAGCTTGCTCGGGCCGTTCATTCTGTTCACTTGTTTGGATTTGTGCACAAGAACATCCGACCTGAAAGCATCCTACTGTTAGGAAATGATGACTTTTCCATTGGCTCTGCATTCTTGATTGGATTTGATAGCTTCAGAATGGCATCTGGTAAGACGTTACGCAGGGGCGAAGCGTCCTGGGAGCGGTGTTTATATCAACACCCCGATCGATTTGGCACTGTATCTTCTGAAGACTATATCATGCAACACGATATCTACAGTCTTGGTGTTTGTCTGCTTGAGCTGGGACTTTGGGACTCTTTTGTTTCCTATGCAGATGCTGAGCCCATGTCCAGTGATTGGGAATCATTGTCGTTTGACCGCGCTCCTATACTTGGGCCCGGTCGAGGATTCCTTTTCCAGGATCAATTGTTGGCATTGGCCCGAGGTGAGCTCCGGAGGAGAATGGGAACCAAGTATTCTGATGTTGTTATCACCTGCTTGACATGTTTGGATCCTGGGAATGTCGACTTTGGAGAGGAGGAAGATTTTGAAGACGAGGATGGAATTGAAGTTGGAGTCAGGTATATTGAGAAGGTATGTCTCCCAGATACCAATTCATATTCAATATCACTAACGGGCAGGAAAACAAAGGTGATCATGCGTCTGAATAGCATGTGTGTGTAACTTTTGTCGGTATAGATCTGCTTCATTTTCAAGACAAGAAATCCTAAAATTTGACTTTATGTTTCCCTTGAGCATTGTCGAGTCATTGAAACTTTAGAAGCAAAGTCCCATCGAGTCTGAATTCGGAGCCCAAGGCTGGTGTCGAACCATCTCATTTCTCTCCCGTGACTCGAGCAATGCGGCTTTGTTTTATCCCGAGGGCATTGGGGACTGATAGAATCGGGGAAATGATTGATCGTGGAGTACGGTTGACAGAAAAAGCTGAGGCAATTCTACTTGCTCTCACACATTGGACGATCATGTTTCAGGCACAAATGGATATTATCGTGGTGCGCTTTGTATCTACTGATACACCGGATTCAGATTTGGGTGACCTGAACAGAAAGATCGCAAAGGTTGCCCTTGAAAGGAACGTGATGGCAGTCCAAACTGTCGAATTTGACCATAAGGTGGCATTGCCTTTATGTATCATCAATCCAAGTATCAAGTTTTCAATTAAGTCCGTTGAACATCCTGCTGGCAACGCGAAGATCCATTTTCGGCAGTGCGGATTTTTGGGACCCGATCCGATGCTGACATAAGGATCCGACGCGACGGGGATCTCAGATCAGGGGGTTATGTCGGTTTTTTGGAGGGATGTGCTTGGGCTATTAAATCTCTGGCTCTGTGGATGATCTACATGCTTCAAAGAAGAGATGAAGTAAACTCGAGCACGAGGCACAGAAGCACGGAGTGGCGATTTCCCCACACCCGGAAGACCGCTTAGCCGATGTTCAGTGCCGGGCAACGGTACTGGCCGAGCAGACCACTTCCGACCCCGGAATCTGGTCCGGCAATTCGATTATAAGTATTTCTTTTCCCCCAGTGGACGTGAGGGTGCGGTTTCTTCTTCGTACATACTTGGTTCAAATTGTAATTGAGGGCCTTTTCTGGAAATACACCGTCTCCCGAACATATCGCATATCGCATATCGCATACAATGGCGTCTCCAATTCCTCGCGGTCTCCGCCAAGTTCTCCAAAAGTCCCCCAACGACATCGTCATCCTCTCGTCTCTGCGTACACCCGTCACTCGCGCTAAGAAGGGTGGTTTCAAAGATGCCTACCCAGAGGAGTTGCTCGCCAGCGTGCTCCAAGCGACATTGAAGGCCAACCCGAACCTGGACCCTGCCCAAATCGACGATGTTCTTGTTGGATCCGTTCTCCAAGAGCTCGGTGGTGCCAAAGCTGGTCGCATGGGCCAAATTCACGCCGGATTCCCTCACTCCGTCCCCTTCAACACCATCAACCGCCAATGCTCATCCGGTCTGGCAGCTATCACAACCGTCGCCAACGGTATTCGCGCAGGCGCAATCAACGTCGGTGTTGGTGCTGGTATGGAGTCCATGACTCGCAACTACGGCTCCCGCGCTATTCCCACAGTCCTCTGGCCCGAGCTGAAGGACTCTTACTCTAAGGATGCGCGTGATTGCATCATGCCCATGGGTATCACATCTGAGAACGTGGCGTCTCGCTATGGTGTCTCCCGCGCGGACCAGGACGCTTTTGCCGTCGAGTCACACGCTAAGGCTTCTGCTGCGCAGAAGGCTGGTCGCTTCGACTCCGAAATCATCTCTGTCAACACCAAGACTCTCGACCCTGAGAACCCCGATGCCCCCGCCAAGGATGTGACCGTTTCCAAGGATGACGGTATCCGCCACGGTCTGTCTATCGAGAAGGTTGGAGCTCTCAAGCCCGCTTTCTCCGCTGACGGTGCCAGCACTGCTGGTAACAGCTCCCAGGTCAGTGACGGTGCCGCCGCTGCCCTGTTGATGCGTCGTTCGACTGCCGAGGAGCTCGGTCTGTCCGGCTCTATCAAGGCTCGCTGGGTTGCATCCGCCGTTGCAGGCTGTGCTCCTGATGAGATGGGTGTCGGCCCTGCTGTCGCTATCCCTAAGCTGCTGCAGGCCACTGGTGTCACAGTTCCTGAGGTTGGTGTTTGGGAGATCAACGAGGCTTTCGCCTCACAGGCTCTGTACAGCATTCGCAAGCTTGGAATTGACCAGGCTAAGGTCAACCCCAACGGTGGTGCTATTGCTATCGGTCACCCTCTCGGTGCCACTGGTGCCCGTCAATTGGCTACCTTGCTTCCTGAGATGGAGCGCAGTGGCCAGCAGGTTGGTGTCATCAGTATGTGTATTGGTACCGGTATGGGCATGGCTGGCATGTTCGTTCGGGAGTAAGTTTTGGTGTACTCTGTTTTTAAAAAGGTGTTTGTTTCTTTTACCCAGTACATGATATCAGCGACGCATGTCTGTATTCAGTTCACATACCAATGATCATTATCTTCATTCAGCTATTTCATTATATCCCTAGCATCTAGTTGTACCCTTTGTACTCCAACAAACGTGCTAGTACGCGAACTGCTGGCCCACCAATGTCTCACTCAGTTTCCATAATCTCTCTGCCTCGAAGCTGCTGGTGGCCCACGGCTTTACAGTATCCACCAACGGATCGGCAACGTGCGAGTCGATGAGATAAGCGCCGTTGTCAACTTGAAAATGATGTAGATTAGTATTTGCCAAGGCCACTGTAGGGGATGTATCAACGCCATGGACGGAGATGGCAGTACCTTTCAGAGCAGGATCGAATGCTGCATATACATGAGTAGCAGCTCCAGAATCCAGTGTTTTGAGTTTGAAATCTTGCCATCCTTCACGATTTCCGAGCTGTCTGTCGAGGGATTCTAGTAGATCTTTTGTCAGCATTGACATGGTCATGCTTGCACGTATGTGCTAAATAGACAACCTTGTTCATCAAGGTGAGCAAAAAAGCAAGAAAAGACCTACGGAGTCCAACGTCTGTATTCCAGTCAAGATGACCACCCAGGTTGGTGAAAATGACACCCGGGTGTAGACTGAATGCCTGCAGCCCACGGTTGGCGAGCTTGAGCGAAAGCGACAGCGCCATGAGCATATTGGCCGTCTTTGCCTGGCCATAAGCTACCCATTTGTTGTAGGTTTTGCCGCCCTGCAGTTGGATCACTATTAGTACGCTATCTTATGGAGCACACACAGCTTGGAGTAGCACGCTAGCGCCAAGCAAACTCACGTCAAAGTTGTAATCGTCAAAACGAACAGGACTCAATCGATGGCCATCACTGCTGACCATCACAATCCTTGGGCTTTTCGACAGCATGATTTTCTCCATTATCAAGTTTGTGAATAGGAATGGGCCAATGTGGTTCGTCGCAAGTTGTGATTCGATGCCGTCCTCTGACACAGAATATTCCACAGCCATGATGCCGGCATTGTTGACCAGAACATCAATAACTGGAACGCTTTCATGGGTGTTGATATAGTCTGCAGCCTTGCGGACACTGGCCAAAGACCCCAAGTCAATTTGTACAGTGATAATCTTCAAACCTGGGTTGACGGTCTCCAGCTGCTTGCCATATTGGTCCAACTTGGCAGCGCTGCGGCCAGCGAGAATCAGGCAGCTTGGGTGGGCTTTTGAAATTGCCTCGACAAACGAACCACCCAGTGAACCTAGCGTGACACCTGTTGTGAGGACCACCTTGCCTTGTATGAGATTTGTATACTCGGCGACCAGCTCGGTCATAGTGGTGTTTGCGTTGTACAAAGGGGGCATGGTTTGAGACTTGGAGTAGAAAGAAAGGAAATGAAGTGCTAAATCTCTTGACTCAGTCCAATGATTTATATATTAACTGTCAGGCCCTAAGATGAGCTACATATACGCCGGTGCATCTGTGCCCCACAAGTCATATCTTATATGCGACTATGGCCGGTAACACCGACAGTGGTCGGATTGAGTCGTGTGCTTAGGACGCCAACCGTGGTGTGGTATTCTTGGTAACGTAGTTTGTACTTTTTCATATTCTCTGTGTTATTAGCTTGTCGTTCAGATCCCTGGTGTGAAAGTGGGAGTTTTGGATAACAGCCAATGGAGTGGCGTTATCTTATTCTTGAATAAAGACATTTCTGTTTTTGACAAACATGTTAGGGGGGCAAGAGAATCTCGAAATTGCCAGTTAAGACACCTAACTAGCACGAATTAATGGCAGCAAGTGGTTGAAGTCGTTGGCATGAGCAAAGTCCCAAATGCTTGGCATTGAGATCGACTACACGTGACCTCTCCGCCAATCTCAAATGTTTCTCCGTAGCAAAAGTCCGCCGACGCCTACACATCCGCGACACCCAACATGCGGCCATCAATGCGCGTTCCTCTGCGAGAGGCAAGATTTGTCTGCTCTAGCTGCAGGCCTGTATCTGCTCCTCGTGTCTCGCCCCTCGGTCAATTCCGCCGCTACGCCTCCGACTCCCCCGGCTTCCTCGAGCGCACTCGGCGCAAGCTCTGGGGCACCGACTCGCCTCCCGGCCAAGCGGACCCTTACACCGGAAGTCAGATCTTGCCCGAGACTGGCCTGAGTGCTGGCGAAGAGAAGCCAGCCGATGAGGACTTCAACCTCACCCAGCGTGATGACCAACTGGACGTTGACAACTTGAACTGGAACGAATTGCCTCGAATTGGTTATTTGCCGAAGAACGAATGGAAGATCAAGGGCTCCAAGAAGGGTGATCGTGTCACACCGTATGTTTGATCCAGTGGTGCCAGTTCTAGGCCGCGTTATCTCAACAAGTGTTCTGACTTTTCCTTAAACAGGTGGTATCACAACAAAAACCCCCTTATACAATCACAGGCTGTACACCAGGCTGCAGTGGAGATTGCCCTCGCCCAGATTGTGGGCAAGAGGTACTCAGCAGAAGGTCTTGACCTTCCTCGTCAACATCTCCAACAGTGCAAGTTCGAAGGCCAGGCTGAACAATGGGGCGACCGACTTCGTTTCCCAAACGCAAAGGTCATGTTCAATCTGCTGAGTAAAGCTTCAGGAAGTTCCGGCAGATCCCGTTCCCTGAAGTCACTCTTTTCAGCACTGGAAGAGTCTGGCGATAACCACCCCGCTGTGTACAAGCAAACTCCCGACAATGAAGCGCAGAGCACAATTGATTCTCTCTCGCTTGCCGATGGAAAGACCAAGTTCGCTGTGCGTACCTCCGCGAATCCCCCGCCCTGATTCCCGCTAACTTTGATCACTAGTTCTTCTCGCGCGTTTCCAAGCTGATGTCTCAGCGCCTTTCGGACTCGATTCTCGGCCACTCCACTGTCGGAGAGGTCAAGTCAGCACACGAAGAACTCCTCAAGAAGACCGCTCGCTCAAACCCCGTAATTCTTCACGAGGTGATGAACAACAACGGTGCCGCCGACCTGCCCAATGTCAAGATTACGGATGTCCGCCGAACTCGCCATGACAATGACGAAGATCTCGGTCGCAAGAAGGCTATTGTCACTGCTCTTTACACGAATGGCTTGATTAAGAAGGCTCTTGTGCCCCAGAAGCCCAAGCCCAAGTGGATCAGAGAAAGCGCTCAAGCCAAAAAACTGAAGAAGAGCATGGTTTAGGTCTGAGCAACCTCGAAATTGTCGTTATGAGACCATTATCTGTACATTAGAATTACCGATTCAACTGCATGCTTTTTTCTTTTGATATCTCGTCATGCCAATCCTAAAGGGGGTTTGACTCAACTATCCAGATAGACAAATGTACACTTTAATAGATTCGTGGCTATTGACCCCTATTTTCCGCCATAGAATTCACCAAAAGGGTTTCAAAACAGAACAGCAAACCAGCCTACTCCGCGTAGGCAACTCCTCGTTGATATCAATAAGACGCCAAGAAAACAGTAGATGATTTCATTACAGGGAAAACCCTCTCGTCATGAAGTCGCTGCCTTTTGCGGCCCCATCTTTGGCCCCGTCCTTCTTGGTGTACAAGCTGCTGATGGTCGAGCTCTGACCCATCAGCTTCCGGCGTTTCTTCTTCTCGTTCTCTTCCGCCAATACACGGGCAGTGAGCGAGGAAGTGGCAGCATTCTTGATTCCGCCACTTGAAGTATTTGGAGGGACTGGCGTGGAAGTATTGCTTCGATCTTTGAGGTCAGAGGGAGGCTTAGAAGTATCCGAGCCAACAGCCTCTTTGGCATCAGCATCAGCCGCCGCCTCGGCGTGCTTCTTGCGCTTCTTGGAGCCGGGTGCTTTTTTGAGAGAGTGGGTAAGTCCTTGTTCAGCGAGCTTGTGACCCCGTGCAATAAGTCTTTGCTTATCGTCTTCTTTGATGGGGAGAATCGAGATGATGTTCTCTTCGGCGTACGATTCATTGCACTGCGTCAGAGGTCAGTTCGTGTCTCAGGAACACTATTTCAGTCAGTCTCACCTGCAAGCACTTGTCACCCTTGAGTTGGCGGATAGCCTCCTCTGCGAAAACGTGTCCACAGGGAACCAGGTACACTGATTTCACGCTTGGTCCCAACGGCTTCGCGGTAATCGGACAGATCCAGCCCTCCCGGCGCTCACGGGGCGCATGGGCACGACCAGAGGGATGTTCAGCAAGCTCGGTATCGATTTCGAACTTGAGCTCGATAACGTCACGAAGGGACTTCACGCGCCCGCATAGGATCTCTTCACAGTCGGCCTTTGAGCTGATTCCCTCGCCATCGTCGCCTGGGAGTAGGAACTGGAGGACTGCGTCCTTGTTGTAGAGATTTCCCACCGAGTCTGAGACTATAGGCCTTGCCAGCGCTTTGTGTGAAATCGGACAAGTGGTCCAAGAATGTTCTTGCTGCTCGCGCTGGGTCTCTTTTACTTGCGCAGTGGTCGGAGCCCGAGCCGCTTCACGGACGAGCTCACGGCGAGTTGGGATACTGGGAGAGCAAAGTCAGAGACATAAAATCAAATCCAATTCAGATCAGTTCTTACCTTCCACCGTCATTACCCATGTTTGCGATGCAGCGAGAGAAAAAAGCTCGTCGCCACCGTGCAATCGCGAAGATAGTGAGATTACTCAGCACTGATTAGATTCCCGGCCCGCTATCAACATCTGGCCAGAAGCTCTCTCCGCACCTCCATAAACATAGCTCAATGCCTCAAGCATGAGACTCCCACAATCCCTTCTGTTGCTGGCTGTAGCTGGGTCGACCGCCCAAGCTAGTGAGAAGCTTGCACGTCCCCGAGGCGTAGGACCAGAATGTGAGTATCATCTGGACCCTGACTCTAGATCTCCACCCATTTCCGCGGCGGATTCGTGCAATAAGGATCTACGACGGGGGTTCTAGCCTACATGCAAAAGGTTAATACTTACAATTGAATTTCAGTCTCCAAATTCTACCAGGATCCCACCACCTTCACATGCATCTCGAATCCCTCTATCAAAATCCCTTCATCGGCCGTGAATGATGACTTCTGCGACTGTCCCGATGGAAGTGACGAGCCCGGTACGGCTGCTTGTGCCCATATATCCCGCAATTCACCTTTGACGGTGGCGGATCGTCCGGGGAACAGCGATTTGGATACTGCACTCGGCCTTCCGGGGTTCTACTGTAAGAACAAGGGCCACCGCCCATCGTACGTCCCATTCCAGCGGATCAACGACGGAGTTTGTGACTACGAATTGTGCTGTGATGGCAGTGACGAGTGGGCTCGTGTTGGAGGTACCAAGTGCGAGGACCGTTGCAAAGAGATTGGCAAGCAATGGCGCAAGCAAGAGGAGAAAAACCAAAAGTCGATGACCGCCGCCCTACGGAAGAAGAAGGATCTCCTCGTCGACGCTGGTCGCCAGCAGAAAGAGATTGAGGTCCATATTGCTGAGTTGGAGGCTGAGATCCAAGGTGCCGAGGTCAAAGAACAAGGCCTCCAGGCTGATCTGCAGCTCGCCCAGGAGCAAGATCGGAAGGTCGTCCGCACTGGTAAGGGCAAAGGCAAAGTGAGTGCCCTTACCAGTCTGGCGAAGGGTCGTGTGGAGGAGCTGCGCAACGCATTGGTGGATGTACGCCGTCAGCGTGACGAGACCCGTGACCGTGTCAAGGAGCTCGAGGATATCCTGGCCAAGGTCAAGGTTGAATATAACCCCAATTTCAATGATGAAGGTGTCAAGCGGGCGGTCCGCAGCTACGAGGACTACGCTGCTCGTGATCAAGGCACTGAGGATTTGAACGGCGATGTCAACCGAGATTTGGATGAAATTACCAAAGTCGATGGGACTGACAGCGGAGTCAACTGGGAGCACTGGGAAAATGAGGATGATAGCTGCCCGGACTCTGATATAGGTACAATCTCTCCGCAACCCTTGTGCCACCAACAGCTGACTAACAATTCGCAGTATACAAGTTGGCCGCTTACCTCCCACCATCGCTTGTCAGCTTCATTGAAGGAAAGGTCATTTCCCTTAAGAGCTACCTTCAGGAGAACGGTATCTTGCCTAAGCCTACCGAGGAATCCTCCTCGGAATCCAAGGCAGTCACCCAAGCACGCGATGCTCTCCAAGAAGCCCAGGACTCCCTCACCAGTCTGAAGAACAAGCTGCGGGATCAACGTGCCGACCTTGAGCAAGAGTACGGAACTGCCTCTATCTTCCGCGCTCTGAAGGGAGTTTGCATCTCCCAAGATGCAGGTGAATATACATATGAGCATTGCTTCCTTGAGTCAACAAAGCAAAATCAAAGAAAGGGAGGCAGCTCGGTGTCCATGGGCAAATTCTCGAAGGTTGGAACCACGACCGTCGAAGAGGTCAATGAGGCTGGTGAGGTTATCAACGTTGAGAAGACTGTGATCGAATACACTCGCGGCCAGTCATGCTGGAACGGGCCTAACCGGTCGACCAAGGTCATTCTTGAGTGTGGTGAGGAGAACCAAATTCTGAAGACCGCGGAAGAAGAGAAGTGTGTGTACGCTATGCTAGTCACTTCGCCGGCTGTGTGTGCAGGTGGTGAGGAGGCTGACAATTCCGCACCTCGGTCGAAAGACGAGCTGTAAATTCCCATAGATCTCAATCTAGATCTGTCGTTATTACATTTTGGTTAAAGTGTCATTCTAAAGTTGCCTGAATCCCTTTCTCCAGCTACCCTTGAGCTCTTTCTAGCCCATACCCTATGAGAGCTCAACTTGAGAAGCGTTTGAATATTCATATTGCCATTCTAAAGTTGGTCACTGTCCATTCGGGACCTCGGGGATCTGGAGGCTTTCCACGACTCCACCCTCTAGGGCTGTCTTCAAAGAGCATACAGGCAGTAGTACTTAGGTACACGGGCAATTCACTGGGATGGGGCTGTCTTGAAAAATGTAGATTTTGACTTGGAATATTGATAACGAGGAAGTTTTCTCTTTTCCATCCTTGGAAAGCTTGGACTCATTGTGTGGGCGGTGGAGGGAACCCGTCTCTCGTGGATATACCTTTCTTCAAGTTGTTGTCTGTAACACCCTTCGGGGCGGTTCATTGGCGACTACCGATAACTTTCCAGGGCTCTGTATGATTCTCTAGGCGGGAGCGAGATTTCTGGGTTTTAACAATATGTATATATACTAGTAAGGTACCGGCACGTAACTAAATCACAAAAGAAGGTACACGAGGTGAAACCATATTATCGTAGCATCCCATCATCAAGACTCCATGTCATTTGGTCTCCCAATTCTGGCCCCCCAGTAATTTCATGAACATGATCTCATAAGAGCGAGGGCGCTACCGGGCTAATTTGACAGTAGTGGGAGCCCGGGTCTGGTATGGGTTGTATTGGAGGAAGAAGGCGATGCGGGCGTGTGAGCCGACTTAGTGCTGAAACGGTAGTTAGCATACTTTTCGTTCCATATTCTGATATCACTACTCTTGGAAAAGATGTAGACAGAGGAATATATGTGGACATACAGTGCAGCTGCTGCAAGAGCAGGAGTTGCAGTTGCCGGAGCAGCAGGTGCAGGAGCAGGGGTTCATGATGAATAGATTTGGTTGGGAAACTTGGGAAAAGTTTGAAAAGAGTTGTGTGTTTGGCTTTGTAGATGGCTTGGATACTGAGAAGAAAGATGTAGGGAAGGATATCTGGCTAGCTTTATATCTTCCATTTGCCATTACATTATGTGACATCCTGGTCTATAATAGCCCTGTGGATATTTCCCTTTTGGGATTTACATCCCCAAATATCCCCAAATATTGTATGACGCCGGGGTGCCCCGTCCACATATCGTATCGCGTGGTCAAGTCAAACGTGGACTTGCATCTACCGACTTCAAACGTTACATGTTCTCACGCGCTATCCGCTACGAGTCTAGACAACTCTACCGCTCGCCAATAAAGTGGATCCCCCGTGGGCCTTGCTCTGTACGATGCAGTCCGACGGATACTGTGTACCTTCCCAGAAGGCACCGAGGTACACGAGAGGCTCAGACTCCGATCTATTTTCTTGTGCGGAGTTAACTTGCCCGTGGACTACGGTGTTTGCTCGGTGCAGGATGCGTCCACTCAGATTGGTCAGGTTAATCAGGTATGCAGATCAAGGTGATGTGTGCTCGGACCGTGTATAGGTCCAGTCGAATAACATGATTGGTGTTTTCATTTGCCCAAGGTCCATGAACCAAGTGCTGCAGGATTGGGACAATCATTCTACGCTGTACTCCGTACTTCTACATGCGCTGTTCACGCTTTGCTGGACGTGCTTTTGTATTATACTCCACGGGTGTGGATTATACTTGTATGATTTAGATTTATCTAGAGCCCTGGGACCTCCGGATGAGCTTCTGAAGTTGACCGCCATACAATATTGAATTTGCCTAGACAGGGTAAAGCAAACACCCAGTCTATAGATATATGCGAGTAACATACGACATCAATAGCTGCGATTGAATTGTGCATATTTACTCGTACGTCTGAGTAGTTCACCCCATACGCCAGGACACTATCAGGCCACAATGACGACGAGTACGTTTCAGGCAACGTAGATCTGTCCGCATTCATTTTACAATCAAATTACTACGAGTAGTATACTGGAATGGGGTCTCTCGTACTCCATATTTTAAGCAAGGTCGCCCAGTTCGGTACAAATCTACAGTGCACAACTGCCTCATTGAAATGGGCTGGTTGATATCCAAAGCATGGAGGATTTATCTCGGCCAGTAGGAGCTGGGAGCAACAGCCGAATTTACGGCGCTTAGGGCGGTGCAGGACGAAAGGTAAGTGTGGCACCCTATGAAACGAATGTTTGCCTGTATTGAGGACCTTGGAGGAGGGGGGCTTATTAGTCTCATTGGCGGCCCTGGATTAGCTGGGCTGCATCTTTTATCCACCCGTAGAGTCGTAATGAGCGTTCTTTTTCGCTCTTGACTTCGGAGGAATTTCTATACTTTCAAGTGTGGATACACAACGGCGAGACGCTGCGTGGTGGTTTACTTGCATCGTTGGTGTGCATCCGATGGAGCTTCCTACATGGGGGCTGAGGAAGATCGGCAATATGATGTGAAGTTTTGACCATACTCCGACCCAAAATGGACAGAGCATGTTATATTGAAGTATATCAGTTTGCACGAGTGAGATTTGAAACACTATATGCACATCTCGGGGCGAGATCTGATAACATGGGAAATAAGATCTCAAGTCATCTGAGCGACCGTAGAGCACCCTAGGATTTGTTCTTTCACAAGGGCACAGACTTCTCAGAACCTTCCTGGAACTCAAAGTGAAGTCAGACTACGTACGAGTAGCAAGGCACCGCTATGTGGAGAGGCATGGGAGCTAGGGCACCTCCGTACAACGTACACAGACCTCCGAGGTATATCATGCATGCTTATGATTGGTTCCGATCTGATACCCCCTTTTCAGGACTCGCGCAGAACTACTACATCCCGCTTTTGTATCTCGGTAGACTTCCAGCATGCGCGGTAGTAGGTGCTGAGGTTTCGTTGAGAAATTTGATAGACACGGCAAAAAAGGCGCATCGGCAAAAGATAGCCGCGGAAGCCGAATTTAATCCCTCAAGATGAATCCGGTTACAACGCAGAGAATATGATGCTCAAGATGGATGTTCGCATGATGGTCTGTGTGGTCAAAGATGACTGCGTTGTATGAATCAAGATTTCGGTGACCTGCCCGGACAGATCTCCTCCGACAGGTGTCTGACACTCATTTGGCTGTTGATTTTCGTTGGAAATTCGTCTTCCGACATGTGCCGAAGGCAGCGTGTATAGGTGCAAGTTGATGTCTCTACCAGATTTCACCCGGGCTGGGTTTCTACTATATACCGACGAGCCACCAAGGTAGCAGATCCCACAGACCCAAACATTGAATCTGATGCCCCCAAGGTACTTGATCTACAAAGATAAGAGTGGTCCAGCAACCGCCTGTTATTGAGTGTAGCGAGTTGTGTTGTTTTCATGACATGACATGCATCCCTCCGCCTCCACCCCATTCAGCTAAAAATGTCTCCATTCTGGGGAATATCCATCTCACTGCATGGCAATGACCTTTCGAGCATCATTCGAGTCCGGTAATGAATGCTTGAGAAATTTATTTCTTCTATCCAGGTGGTCAGCACGACGTCATCGACGACAAAGGACATATCAACAGGGCATCACATACAGGGCAGTTGCAGGCACCGGCAGGGCACTGGCAAGAGGAGCCGCAGCTGCATCCGTGGTCGCCTATCAGAATGGTCAGCGTCGTGCAAAGTACAGTAAAAGGAAAGCCCGGAGCCCGCTGTTGACAACCCCGCTCTGACCCCGCGATCGTGAATCCCGCGTCAAGAAGGGTTGAGCGAGACCAACAGCTTCCATAAGCATGGGAGCTACTCACTCATTTTGATTTGAGGAAGTTGAAACTTGGTAAGTTGGGAGAAAATTTGAAGTTGTTGTGAGTTGCAAGTGGTGAGTTGTGATGGTGGGGGAAATGCGGAACTTATACTCGTGACTTCCCGGGAAATTCAAGGGTCAGACCGTAGCGCTGCTCGTTGGACTTCGAACATTTTACCTGATCTATTGACCTTGTTCCACTTGTGAGAGCAAATTTCTGCACTTTGAGCCCCGCTTGAGCACATATCGAACCCAGTGGGCCTCTGATCCCGGACATATTTGAAATCAACTGAGAATATTAAACTTGCTATGGCTACCTCTGTCGCTTGCCTGTGTGGAAGCATAGATATACCAGTCCAGCTGGATACTACCATTGACCAAGAAAAGCTCCAACTATGTCACTGTCAACGGTGCCGCACGAGTGTTGGGCAATTATATTCCTCGTATCATCTTCTCCAGAATGAGCCGAAGCTCAATGGGCTTCAGGAATACCAGGAGTCTGACCACATCAGTCGTTTCTTCTGCAAGACCTGTGGTGCGCATGTCTTCGCTCATTCAAAGCCTAGTGGACGATTCCTGGCCGCGTCAGGACTGTTAGTAGCCAAGATTCCGGTCAAGGAAATCGTGCACTGGCAACTGAGTGATACCAACGACGGTGGACTCGGTGTATATCTCCCAGGAACAGAGTCTCCAACCGCCAGTTGCAGACTGGATGTACCAGGAAGCTCTTTGATGTCCAAAGAACCGGTGACCCGGGGGCAAGTCGAATTCAAAGAGCAGACTTTACATGCACGCTGCAACTGCGGAGGAGTCGAGTTCTACATCACTAAGCCCAATGCTTCATCCTCGCAAGCAACCTCGCCATGGGCAGATCTGCTAGTTCCATATTACACCGGATCAGGAGCCAACCCTGAAGATGTCAAGTGGTGGCTTCGAGATGGAGCCACCAGATATCTTGCAGGAACTTGTGCATGTAATACCTGTCGGCTGAGCAGTGGGTTCCCTATTCAAACATGGGCGTTCGTGCCTAAATCAAATATACTCGAAGTAGACGGGTCGCCACTGGACTTCAATCATGGAAAGATAAAGCGACACAATAGTTCACCTGGGGTTTATAGAGAGTTCTGCAGCTGCTGTGGCGCTACTGCTTTTTGGCATTGTGATGAGCGACCACTGTTGATTGATGTTAGTGTTGGATTGCTCCGAGCAGGTGGCGCGAGAGCTGAGGACTGGTTGGAATGGGCATCGGATCGGGTCAGCTTTGCTGAGATGGCAGTTCAATCTGACTTGATCGGAAAATTGGAAGAGGGTGTGAGATGTCACCCATAGCACCGAGCAAATGAGGGTGTAAAGTAACCAAGTCCACACACCGCCGTCATCATTGGCAGTACTTTTCGCAAGTGACTTTTTTTTTCCACGCGTCCGTTCAACAACCATTTTGCTTTTTTCTTCTCGCATCGCTTTGACTGGAGTGCAGTCTTTCTCAAAATGCCGCCTTTCCAGTTTAGAGGCAATTCAAATTATCGAGGCTCGCGTCCAAACCCTAAACATGAATTCAGTTTCCGGTACCGACCACCCCCCACGGCGGAGCGACCATTGTTGTCTAGGAAGAGAGAGGTCACACCTGACCTTCTCCAAGGAGAAAATGAAACCAAGGCGCCACTGAAGTTCGCCTCGTTGGACGCGTTGAGTGATAGTGGGGAGGCTGAGATGGATACGTCCGATGACGACTCCGACAACGAGCGACCACGGAAGAGACGCGCGATGGGCCTCGACGGACAGCAAGAGAATTTGCCCGCTCCTCCACCCCCTCCACCTGCAACCAAATGGTCGAATCCCGATCCTTATACCGTGCTTCCTCCACCAAGTGAACAAACCAACAAACGCGTCGACGTTGTCAAGCTGATCCGCAAGGCCAGACTTGAAAACGCAGCAAAGACGGAAACCACTGATGCGGTGAAGGATAACTCAGACTTCATTTCCCTGGGCCCGATGACGGAACTGGAGCCTGAGAACAACGCCCCCGAGAACGCCCCCAAAGGACCAAAAGGCCAAGAAACTATGGATTCTGGCCCTGGAAACCGCAAAAGGACCCGCGAGGACGAGCTCAAGGGTTTCTCTCGGAAGACTGGAAAACCTGCAAGCAGGTACAACTACGATGGCTCAGTTATCAATGAGTGGAAACCACGATCCCAGGAGACAGGCACGCCTTGGTTTGAATCCACTCCGTCTTCCCTGCACATCGGATCTCAGTGAGTATTCCCCGTGTCTTCGCTACTTCGCTTCCAAGTTTCTTTACTCTAACCCGTGCTAGATTGAATCACGAAATTCTCAGTTTCTACAACTGGGCCAAGCCACAGGAATTCGAGAACATTGTGCGCATGGATCTCGTTGAACGGTTGAACATTGCATTCCAAAAACGTTACCCTGGTGTTGAGATCCACGCATTCGGATCTTTTGCATCTGGACTCTATCTGCCTACCGCAGATATTGACTTGGTGTTGTTGTCCAATTCATTCAGACGTTCGGGGATTCGTACATTCGGAGAGAGAAAGGGGCAAATCTACGCCTTTTCCGGTTTCCTCAAAGGCACGAACATTGCTGTTCCTAACTCAATCGAATGCATCGCGCATGCTCGGGTACCCATCCTCAAGTTCGTTGACAAGCTGACGGGGCTGCATGTTGATATGTCATTCGACAACAACAGCGGTTTGATCGCCAACGAAACGTTCCAGAAATGGAAGGCACAATTCCCTGAAATGCCAATCATTCTGTCGGTGATCAAGCAATTTTTGTTGATCCGTGGTCTCAACGAAGTACCGACTGGTGGTCTGGGCGGCTTCTCTATCACTTGCTTGGTCACAAGCATACTCCAGCATATGCCCCAGGGAAACCTGCAGCCCAACTTGGGAAGCATCCTGATGGATTTCTTCAATTTCTATGGGAAGTATTTCCAGTATGATCATGTCGCAATTCGGATGGATCCCCCCGGTTATTTCAACAAGGTTAGTTGATTTTGGCTCTTACATTATTGCACTGGCTTACTGACTGAAACCAACAGATTTATTTCGGAAGCTCTGATCGTCTTACCATCGAAGACCCAAACAACCCTGACAATGATATCTCTGGCGGCACACGAGAAATCGATTTGATCCTTCGTACGTTTGCTGGTGCTCACACGACCCTTAAGAACCGCATGGAATACCTGGCACTGGTTCAGGGACCAAACAAGACCATCTTGGGGCCGATCATCGCAGGAAACTTCGAAGAATACGTCGAACAGCGCAATCAACTTCGCCGAGTCTTCGTGTCAGAAAGTAGGTTCGCTAAGTACAACGTGCCTCCGCCGCCGCCAGAGCCGTATCCCCTTGATGGAAGCTCGTCCCCTCCACCACTTCCGGCCGGACCGCCACCCCCAGGCCCACCCCCACCTCCAGCACAGAGGCCGATCAAGAAAGCGAAGTCGAAGCTCAGGGGCACGGTGTCTGAGCCAGAAAACATTTCTTCCGATGAATCTTCAGGCGAGACAAAGCCGAATAAAACCCGAAAGGGTGATGTACGACGACAAGTGTGTCGTGATCGTGCTGCCAGAATCAAACGCCTCAGGCCCGACCTCACGAAGCTTCCGGCCTCTCTCAGTGTCAACCAAGCTCTTCGGCACGCCGGCTATGAGACTGACGCGCAGATGGAACACGACCTGGCTTTGAGAGAACAGCAACAAGCTGCTGCAGCTTAGGCGATACTTGATAGCTTCGTTACCGACGCCCGCGACGACTTCCCTTTGACTGTTTGTGAGATTATTTTGTACGATGATACCCCTGTTTTCAATGGAGCAGTGATTGGCTTTATGCATGGCAAGCAGGAGACGAGTTCTCTATGGTGGTTAGGTGGGGTCTATGACGCCTCTTTCGGCGCTTTTTCCTGGTTGACTCGGCGTTGAGCAGCAACTGGCCAGTTTGACGAGTGTCCACGGAAATGGACTATTTTTTTTTAACTTATCTTTAGGAATCTCTGGCGAATTTCTCGCTCGCTCCCGAAGTTATTTGTGGGCGGATGCTGACTTGGCTAGTGCAAGAGCAACCATCTATTTACCTAATGTGTTTGGTTGAGAGATGACTGTTTTGCTATGCCTGACCCAACTCCGACACGGATACCTACCGTCCGCCGCGAACGCCGTGACGATGCGAACCTAGTTCATACAGGGTTCCCCGTGTATTCCGAGATTCGATATTCAATTAGTGATTCAAATGAAGCACACCAATGGTTGATTCGCCCGTGCGAACCAACATCTTGGCGTTTGTTATTCTCCCATCCCCTCCATGCCTTCCTTCTCACTCAGCATACGCTATATGCGGCTGCTGAGAGAGGATTCGAGCATTGGAGCTGGGACTGGGGTGAGCATCCTTGGCGGAAGTTTTGGTAAGGCACTCTTCGCATGGCTTCGGATCCAAGGCAGGGCTCGGTCGCCAGCTTGGGCAAGAGAATCGATTAACCTGCCAGCATGCCAATCCCACGCCATTGGGTTATACCTATTGTTCTTACGGTCCTTTCTAGGGGGATAGCAGAGAGAAACCCCTATTACACCGGCGCTGGGGCAACTTGCCCGTGATCAAAATAGCTGACGGTTAATAAGATGATGACGCTCATTAGATTATCTATCGAAGGTGCCTGTGAAGGAGCAACTGGTATATGTTTCTATATGTGCCTCTATGCGAGCTGCCTCTCCACGTCTGACGGTGGTGTGAGCATCGGATCTTCTCTGGGAAGCGCAGAGAGATCTGTCTTCCCTTGGCTTTCTTCCTCCTTGATCTTATGCACCAGAGCAACATGCTCTGCGGTCAGAGTATTCACAAAATCGGGCGATGGGCTATCCCAAACATAATCAACCCACTCTGCGCCAATGACATCCCGAATTTCTCTCGCGAGTTCAAGAATATGAGCCCCGCGTGCACGGGACCAAGCGCGATCCGTAACACCTCCCTCGGGGGTAAGAATGCTTGCATTTTCAGCTGTTGGTACAGCACCCACAGCAGGTGTTGACGGGGTTGATAACTTGGTGTTGAAATAATCATCATCATCCTCACTCCAGTTCTCCAACCCATCAACGATACTGTGCCACACGCGCAGGGTCTCATCCAACTCAGCAATATTGCTTACTCCCATCACACTGACACCAAGCCTCTTTCCAGTTCCAAGATTGGCAACAGACAAGAATCCCGGGTCCGCATCCACGGCCTTGGCCAGAGGTGCGCCTAGCCCTCCCGCACGTGCACCAACACGAAGCCACGACTCCAGCGCAAAACGAATGGCAATGACCTCCAATTTTTCACTATACGATGATGCAAGTTCGGCCGCACGCATCACAGCGCTGCGCAGAGCATCAGGCGCAGGGTGGAAGTCACCCATTGAGCCGATAGGCACGCCATCACGGCGAAGCAACCCCATCCCCAATGGCGAAGCGTTAGGCACGACATCGACCCCGGCAGCGATGAGCCTAGGCAAAGCCCGAGAGTGCAATCTTGTGTTCTGCAACGTGAAATTCGCATACGACATCACAACATCCAATGGTTCTCCCGTCTCCCGGAGAATAATCTCCGCAAGCTCACTGAGCGTATCAACCGGATAACCTGAGATACCGACGTATCGAATAAGCCCTTGATCTCTGAGCCTGCGCAGTTCCCGTACAGCGGTAACGACTTCGGCGGGGGTGACGAATTCCACATCGTGGCAGTAGACCACGTCCAGGTATGAAGTGTGCAGGCGCTGTAAACTGCGGCGCACGCTGTATCGAATCCATGAAGGGGAATAGTCGAAGGAAGAACCCGCTACGCGACCGACTTTTGTGAGGATGTGGTAGGTTTCGCGGGGAAAGGTCGATTGGACGAATTTTGTAGCGAGAGCGCGGCCGAGTAATTCTTCGGCGGGGCCGTAATAGGGTGACGTATCAAAGGCGCGAATGCCTCGGGATAATGCGCGCTGCACTAGCTCAGTCGTTGGCAGTGCGTAGGGGTCTGCATTGTATTGGGAGTTGAAGGTTGCGGTGCCCATTATCAGCGGCGGGAGGGCCTCGGAGAGGAGGGTCGTAGGGCGCATAACTCCAGGCATATTTGCGTCTCGCTATGGTGTATCTGGAATTGAATGATCAATTGTAATGGAGGGTCTGTTTATCCAAGTTTATTGAAAATTAAGAGGAAAGAAAAAAAGAAGGATTTCCCATCGGCTCCGCTCCGGATGGCGCCATGGCGGGGGGGGGGGGGTTCTTCATTGACTCCATATCGGGACGTTCTCGATCGCCGATTCATATTGGTCTTAATTCCCGGAGTTATAGACCCGGTTGTTCTGAAATCAGGATTTCTAGAGATCTATCATTCACATCACGCAGTGCAGATAGTAGAGGCAGAATGTGCCTGGCGGAGGCGGTGGTGGCAAAACCTAAGAAAATGCAACATTTGAAGACTTGGACAGCCTGGTGTCGTAAGACAATTGTATTAATGAGGACTCAAGGAATTGTGTAGACTCGACATTATACGAATGCAAGTATATGGCTATTGTACATTTTTCCTTTCCGGAAGAGTGGAGAAGGGAGTCAAAAGACGAGAATGATATACAGAGACCCCGAGAGGTCAATGGGGCCCAGAGATGGAATTCCATCTCCGAAAAATGCCCAAGGCTCAGGGCCAAGAAAGATCAGAGAGAAAGACTCGAGACCTCGGTCTTAAGAATCAAGCGTCTTTCTCCAACCAGAACGCCATGCTATGCCAAAAAGAGGGAACCGAGTGAGGAGGGAAGAAAGCCAATCGAGTTTCCCGGGTGTGCTGGTGTGCTCGAGACCAGAAGAGTTGGGGGCTTCAAGATCTCTCACGATCTTCAATCCTTGTAGACCTTGGGGTTCCAGCCTTCCTTCAACTCCTTGTCATGCGCAACTTTGCGCTCGGCCTCTCGGAATTCCATCTCGAGTCTCTCTCGTGCGCGTAGAATCTTACTCTGCAGGTAGAAGCTGCCGCCTTTTTCGGGGTTGTTCATGTCGAAGAGTTTCTTGAATCGGGCCATGACGTGTTCGAGGTTCTGTTCGCCGCTCGCGGGGGGCTTGACATGGAGAATCTTGCAGGCTTCGTCGATGCTCAGGTTGGAGGAAGTGAGGGAGCCTCCGGAGGCGCCTTGTTGACCTTTGTATTTGCCGGTGGCTTGCGCTTGCTTGTAGGCTTCGGCGAAGGCGCGGCCGAAAACTCGGGCACCGGTCACGACGACTTGAGAAACAATGCGGTGGGCCTAGATAAATTAGCTGAGATATATAGCATCAAGTGGTGAGACATACCATTTTGCGATGCCGTGGAGGTATAGAGAGTTGAGAGAGAAAGAGAAGGGGAAAATTTCGGAGGCGGAAGTTAGCGTCGGAGCTTTCAGAACAACAAATATGGACTTTATAGTAGAGAGCGCATGGGGGGATTACGGGGAATTTTAGTATATAAAAATAAAGAATTCAATTTGAATAAACAGCTCCAGTGTTAAAAAAAAAGTAATATATCCACGTACTAATGTCTTAAGGGTAATTTTCAATTCTTCGATTCTTCAACGTTCATACCGACAGTCACATGCCCAACCTGCTCCCCGCAGATCTTCCTTGGACCGAACAGCTGTTGACTCTTTTCTTAAAACCTTCATCGTCCCCAGAGGATGAGCTGACTATCTCTCTATGATCTGTCCGTAGTTGGATGGCCGCTCTCGGTATGTATCGATTCTTCCAGCCCTGGACTGGGAAACTGATGGCAAGCAGATAATATTCCGTGGATAGATTCCATGGCACCCTCCAGCGCACAAGATCATGGCCAGCCGGACTCTCAACCGCCGACGGTCGCTGCCTTTTCCCCGTCGACGATAACCGGTTCGGCCCTGACCTCGCGTCAGCGTTCAAGTGTCATCGTGCATCGTAAATCACCTCTGCTGGTGGCCACACCACCCGCCATCACGCGAGCCCTAGCCTATTCACACCCATTTCTACTTCCCCTCAATAAACTCGCTGGACTTCTTACATGGACTTCTGGTGACCCATGGCAGAGCTTTTTGTTGGTGGCCACATTTTGGACGGTCGTGCTCTACAGCGATGCCATCATCCTCTGGGCAGGCCCGATCCTGGTCGTGGTCGCCCTGATCCTCGGCATGTATGGCCGTCGCTACTCGCCCCTGTCATCGACCACATCTACAGGCGAGAAGCACAAAACTAAAGTTGCCCCGGATAGCTCTCTCCGTCATCAGAAGAGCCTGGACGAGATCGTCGAGACACTCCGCATCTTGACCACCAGATGCAACATTCTCCTCGAACCCCTTCTTGACCTAACCGATTTCCTTTCAACCCAGCGTACCGCCACATCAGCAACCACCAAACCCGCTTTGACGGCTCTCTTCATCCGTATTCTGCTAGTCACTCCAGTCTGGATTGGTCTAACTCTCCCTCCCTTCTATCTAATTACCACGCGCCGTGTCGTTATGGCCGTCGGTACAATCGTCTTAACCTATCATTCCCGTCCTGCAAGAGTCTCGCGTGTTATTCTATGGCGGTCCCGGGCCGTGCGTCGACTCTGTGCTGTCGCCACTGGTCTTTCAGTCGCTGAAAGCCCAGGCAGTATACAGAAAGCTCACTCCAAAGCTAAAGGCCAAGGTCAGGGTCTCAACATCTCGACCCGCCGACGTGGAACCAATTCTGGCGTTCGATTCACTTTTGTTGTTTACGAGAACCAGCGCCGCTGGCTAGGCATCGGTTGGACTTATTCGTTGTTCCCGTCCGAGCGTGCTTCTTGGACAGACGAGCACATGAATGCCGTCGCACCCAAAGACACATTTGAGCTTCCCGATGTTCGAACCGGGGACGCCAAATGGCAATGGGTTGAAGGCAGCGAGTGGCGGGTTGAAGGAGCCGATAACTTCAATGGAAAATCAGACGGAAAGGGATCGACTGGCGAAGGTTGGATCTACTATGATAACAAGGTATGGTTCTGCGCGCTTTTGTGGCAATTTTCTTTGCTAACCAAAATCAGTGGAACGACGGCCGTCGCGGTCAAGATGGATGGGACCGCTACACTCGCCGACGCAAGTGGTTCCGAGACGCCGAACTAGCCGAGCTCTCGCAAAGTAACAGCCAGAACGACTCCGAGGAAACCATTTCTGGGATCACTCAAGCGCTGGAAAAGGAACAAGCACTGCAAAAAGAGAAAGCCCAGCAGAATGAGGAAGAAATCCGCAGAATGAGCATTAGCTCGTCTACGTCGTTACTATCCCGGCGCCGTCGGTGGTTCAGCGGTCCAGGTCCAAAGACCGAGAAAGAGGAAAGCGCTGCATCTCCAACCGGTACTGGTCGTGCGACAGGCTCCAAAACTCCAGATGACTCACAACAGTCAAAGCCGATCAGCATCAAAAATTCCAAGAAGCCGTCGCATACCCGCGAGGGTAGTGTGGCCACAAGTGATAGTGCCAGTCTTCGAGAGAAGGAAATGGCAAATTCGCAGGACCACCTCGATCGTTGGTCCACTCGAGCTGCTGGGGGAACTGAAAGGGCAGAAAGAGAGTGGGGGCTTAGCGATGAGATTAATATGGGTTTGAGCTGACTCTAGACATACTACTTAAGTACTTAAGTAGTATTCCGTGCCTTTTTTTCTATTTGATATTTTGCTATGAGCTATACATTACCCTAGGGGTTTCGGTTGAATTCAAGGATCATTGCTACGTTCGACCCGAAGAGACATCAATAGATGCGCAATGAACTGACGTAGATATCTATCCGTCTATGGATGGATGGCCGCGCTGTCCTGAAGTACTGATTTAATGATGGCGGCTTTTGTAGAGCTATAGAAACTGCGAATACTTAATTATCTATCGCCGCTCGAACGCGTCTTTGACAGCCCGGTCTAGGCTCCACGACCCGAGGCTGATTTATATATTGGAATTAAGCCATCAATACTACAGAAAATATACAAAGCAGTAAAATTCCAAGCCTGCTGATGCCGAGTCATGCGAGAATCAATTCCCAGCCTAGCTCTTCCACAATATCCAGCCAATGCACCTGTTTTTGATCCATGCCAAGGCCATTAACTCCGGCATCGGCATCTCGCCTCGCCCAGAATATTCCCAACAACTCCTTTGCACGTCTCACATTACCAATGCCAAAGTTGTACTGCAACTTATCAAGAGATCGAAGGACCACTTCTCTGTCGGCTATGTTTTCGCTCTCGCAACCGGAGATGAAAAGAGGAAACGTGAGAGCCGAGTACTCGCAGTGGTCGTCGAGCGGAAAGGTCTCAACGCGCGCAAGACAGCGCCGAATAGCTAGCTGCTTGGGTGTGGAGATGAGGGAGATCCAATCGTTCGTAGGGAATATTCCTATTGGAATGGTTGTTTCCATCTCCGAATCCCTGCTGATACGCTCCATGATTGAATGGAGGTAAGTGAAGCCTGCGTCACGGAAGCATTCGGCCACAAGTTGTAGACGGGTAAGAGTGGCTGCCGGCGTGCCCTGTGGAATTATATATGGAGTTGAAGTATGGGTCCATTTAACGAGTGATTCGTTTCTGGGACGGTTAGCTGGCAATCTATGGTTTAGCGAGAGGAACATACATGGAAGATACACAGAGATAGAGGGCCATGGTGTCATTCTTCAGCGCGGGAAGCTCTGCAATGCGCGCACAAAGCTCAAGAAGCTCTTCTGTATAGCCAATGTAGATGTCTAATTTCGGAATGCCGATGTCGCTGTCAATAGAGATATCCGTTGGAGCGATGCGATTGTGATTGCTGATTCTAGCCATCTGATAGGCGTAGACAAATCTAGGCCTAGTTAGAATTGGGATTTTGGTTCGCGCGAAGTTCACTTACAGGCCACGCAAAAACTCCGCTGCGTCGCGATCCATTGACGCAAACCCTCCACGTGAGACGATTAGGCGTTGCAAAGCGTTGAGATGAACAACCCATTGTTTCACACTGCCACGTACGATCTCATATTTGCACAGTAGTCCCACAGCCAGCATGGTATCGTCGGGTAAAAGTTCAGTTGAACACTTCCCAAGGGCTGACCGGAGACCATTGAGAGTTCCACTATAGTAGTCCACGGAAGCGGTATGTGCACCAAAGCCGTGGGAACGATTTGCTAGATGAAGGGCGGAGACAGCACAAACGGCCTTCATCAGCAGAGGGGATGACATGGCTCTCGGGATTAATATGGATCGAAGGGGATTGTCATCACTCTCCAAATTTGCTAGCAACCGAGAACCTTGCTCCATGTGGTACTGGAGATAGTGGGTCTCATTGCATGAAAGATGGCTTATGTGTCCCTGGGGCCGGGGAATCATCACCTCGGTGGATGGCTCGACATACCCAGGGGTATCATCCTCTGAGTTCCGAGTGTTGAAATCCGAGTATATGGAGCTGTGATGTCGAGGAGACGATGCAGTTGACCGGCTCCAGGGTGTCACCTGCCCCGAGGAGCTGGTTTCAAGCCATGCATCTGATGACACCGAGGGTGGTGGGGAAGGCAATTGAGACGAAGACTCACTGAGTCTTCGACGCTTTGATTGCTCAATCTTCGGATCAGGTTGCGATAAAGACTTTGAGTTTGAAAAGACTTGCGCGGACGGACCCAGAGGCTCTACCCACATAGAGCCATAGCCCTCGCAAGTTCGTCCTTGCTTGAGACAGTTATTGCAACTTGTACAATTAGTCACATGTCTCGAATTTAGACAGTCTGGCACACGTACTTCGGTTTCGTTTTATCACACGCCTTGCGTCTTTTCTTGCATGTCAAACACCCCGAGCGGGTCCATGGTGTACCCGATTGCCGTGTCCTACACTTCTTGGAGGAAGGTGGAGATTGGGTAATAGGAGACGTGTTCATCACGTCAGGGAAGAACCAAGTAGTACAGGGATTCAATCGGTGCTAGTGACTGCATGCTTATCGGGATGTACAAATCAAGACAATCTCGCGCCGGACCCTGGAGATGTGGAGGGAGGGTCACTGTCACAATGTGAGTTTTATCAAAGCGTTATCGATAGCCAGATGCGCTAAACCCCATCGGGGCACTTTATCGCGCTCCCCACAGTCACGTGAGAGTCCGGGGAGTCAACTCGAATTGCACAGAGTGACGCGAACATATATGGACTAGGTGATTTGAAGCTCAATGATATACTATACAAATAAGAAAGTATCTTCCATAGATACACCCGGAATCATGATATACCAAGACCTATACTTAAGTACGTACAGCGTCATCTACTGTGTATATCGTCTCCGATGCTTTCGAGCCCCACATCGCCTAATCGGGCAGGTACACCCAGACCCTCCAAAAGATCCCCCAGTCGGAGTTATTACTTAAATGCATTGGGATCCTTCTGTCTCCCACCGCATACTTCTCTCTCTCTCACTCTCACTCTCACTCACCTTGGATTCTCGTGGGATCCTTTGGTATTCTCTGCATCTCAAACCCTTATCATCTCACTTGTCGCACCCCACGTTGCCACGATGGTGACCCACGGCCCTCACCCGTTCGACCCAATCTCCCCCGGGGAGATTAAGCTTGCCGTCAAGGTTCTGGAGGCAACTTTCCCCGGTGTTTCTCTACGCTACAAGCGCATTGACGTCAATGAGCCCATCAAGAAGGATGTTATCGCATACATTGAAGCAGAGCGTCTGCGACGGCCACTGCCACCACCCCCAGCCCGTCTTCTCTATGTCCTCTTCCACCGACTTGATACCGGCGCATTCTACAAGGCCATCCTCAATGCCGACAAACGCTCCATTGTTTACGCCAAGGAGCTTCCAAAGGAAGTTCAAGTAAGTACGTTTACTTTCGATGAATTTCCCTCAGGCTAAGATCCGATTCAAAGGGCCCTATCGATATCGATGAGATTGCTGGCATCGAGGAGATGTGCATGAAACACCCCGCCGTCCTGGCCGAAATCGAGAAGTTGCAATTACCCGCCGGCGTGACAGTCTGTAACGATCCTTGGATGTACGGCACAGACAACGACACCGAGGACCGACGCCTCTTCCAATGTTTCATGTACATGGTCGAAGTCGACCACCCTCAGAACAATCACTACTCTCTCCCTTGCAAGTTCTCACCAGTTTTTGATGGGTTGACCCACGAGTTGGTCCGCATGGACTACCTCCCTGGTGGAGCTGATTTCGAGACCTCCACAACCCAGCCTTGGAAGCCCGTCAAGACAGTGCAGTATGCCCACGATCTCTTGGATGAGCCTGTTCGCACCGATCTCAAGCCTTACATTGTGCAACAGCCGGAGGGCCCTTCATACTCCGTTGATGGCAACTCAGTGTACTGGCAGAAGTGGCGTTTCCGCGTGGGTTTCAATGCACGCGAGGGTTTGGTTATCTACAACGTCACTTACGACAACCGCAATCTATTCTATCGCTTGGCTGTGTCTGAAATGACTGTTCCATACGGAGGTAAGTGAAATTTGAAATCACAGTCAAGTGGTACGCAATACCTTTACTAACTTAACTACAGACCCACGTGCTCCTTACCACCGCAAGCAGGCATTCGATGTCGGTGATACTGGCTTTGGAATGAATGCCAATCAGCTGGCATTGGGATGTGACTGCCTGGGTCACATCAAATATTTCGATGGATATCGCAATGATTGCAAGGGAAACCCGTTGCAGTTGAAGAATGTGATTTGCATGCACGAACAGGACAATGGTTTGCAGCACAAGCATACCAACTATCGCTCGGGTGCTGCGACTGTCGTGCGTAATCGCCAGCTTGTCTTGCAAATGATTTGCACCGTAGCCAACTACGAATACATCTTCAACTACATCTTTGACCAAGCCGCCAATGTCGAATTGGAAGTCCGTGCTACTGGTATCCTTTCCACAGTGCCATTTGACAACGAGACTGGACAAACCGTTCCATGGGGTACCAATGTCGGTCCAGGTGTTATGGCTCCCTTCCATCAACACATGTTCTCGCTTCGCGTGGACCCTGCCATTGATGGATTCAAGAACACCATTTACTACGAGGACAGCGTTCCTATGCCCGAAGACGAAAAGAACCCCTACCTCGTGGGATATGTTTCCGAGCCCACGGTCATGCGCACATCTGGCACAGCTAACACAAGTGTGGATCGTAGCCGTGTTTTCAAGATTCGCAACGACAGCGTCACCAATCCGATCACCTACAAGCCCGTTGCCTACAAGCTCATGGCAGCTCCTAGCCAAATGCTTCTTGTCAGCAAGAACGCTCCAGGCTACCGCCGCGCAGAGTTCGCTACCAAACCCATCTGGGTGACCAAATACCAAGACGACGAATTGTACGCCGCAGGCGAGTTCACCAACCAGAGTCGCCGTGCCGAGGGTGTTGAGACCTGGGTTCAGCGCAAGGATAACACAGAGAATGAGGATGTCGTTTTATGGCACAGTGAGTTTTCCTACCCCCTCAGTTCCACTTTTTTAACTAACAATCCATCAGCCTTCGGCCTCACTCACAATCCTCGCATCGAGGACTTCCCCGTCATGCCCATGGAGCGAATCAGTGTCATGTTGAAGCCAGATGGCTTCTTCAACAAGAACCCTGCTCTTGACGTCCCGCAATCTTCTCAGCTGTTCAACAAATCCTCTCTTCACCCTGAAGAGGAGCCTGCCTCTTGCTGTGCTGGATCTTCGTCCGCTGGCACCAAGGCCAAATTGTACAAGCGGATTGATTAGATTGCCTTCATTATCCGTAGATACCCCATGTCCTGCCAATCATGTTGATCCTTTGGATCTAAACAGAATGATCTTTACCAATGAATTGATTTAGCGAGTTTTTGTTTGTTTATAGTCAGCTTTCAGACAGATGTAAATCCACCGACCGCATAAGCAACCACCCTGAATTGCAATTGAGTTAGCGGTGATGGATCACAGGACCTCGGAGGATTCTTGGCGCTTTGAGCGAATCATTTGCGAAACTCAGCCAGGGGAGATTTTTAGTTACTATCTTCGTCGATGAACTGAGTCAGGGGCAGGCTATTGATTCGATCAGATGTGGGGCGTGACAATATGAAGAAAGTGATCTGAAGAGAAAGTGAAGAACAAAAAGGAAACATGAAACTGACGTGTATTCTGCCACTTGATCTGACCGCCTGTGTTCTCTTCGCACCCTCCTTACTGCATGACTCGCCATGTCAGAGTGTCAAGAGCCCAGAAACTTAGCTGGGACCCATCGAACTTTCTGAACTGCCCCCGAAGAACATGCAATTATCACCGCCATCATGGTGTTGCAATTTATTGACCAAAACGCCAGCGGGATAGGCCGAGCTGACAGGCGCCTCATCCGCTCCCACGTTATGCAGGGCAAGAATAAGGGCAAGCAGCGACGATCCACGAAGAAGCAGAACAATGGCATAGAACCCAAAGGCCTCATTGGTGCTTCCAGACTTGGACTCACTATTCCGAAACCCATAGTCTGGGGCGACCTATGTCTCACCTCGTTCCCTGAACAGCTCGACTCGAAGTCTATGGCGCTAATGCATCGGTGTATGATGTCTTTGCTACCCAGGCTGACTTGCCAATCATCATCTGCCTTGTCTAACTTTTGAATCTTAGGGTTCTTTGATATCAGTGATGCCCTCTTTCCACCTCAATTTTGTGTCAAATTCAACATCATCCAGTCGATCTGGGTCAATTGTATACTCGCAGATGAAGCATGTGAGTAGTCAGACTCCTCCAAATCCACCCAGGGATCCTCGTTAACCCAACCTGAACACAGACTTCCATAGTACTCTGGCTATTTCCGCATCTTATGTTAACTTCTTCCAACGACGGTCTGCAATATCATCGACAACTCTTCACCATATATGCAAGGCATATTCTTTGGTCAATGTTAAACTATCCGGCGAGTCCTGCGTTTCGGATAGCGCCATAGCTGCAGTGGTCAGCCTCGCCATCTACCAACAAGTCCACCACCAGCCAGCAACTGGACTGGTCCACCTCCAAGGGCTCTGTCAGATGATTGAGCTTCGCGGTGGTATCGCCAACTTAATGCAGCAGAATCGCCCTCTGGCATTGAAGCCATTGAGGTAAGTCAAATCGCTTGCTGTAGTTCCAATGTTTTGGATTCTGGTCGCGAATGTTGTTGATCTGACTCTGACCAGGCTGGATTTGGAATTGGCAATCCAGAATGGCACGCGCACCATCTTCCACAGCGATGAAGTACCTGTTCGCCAGACTCTTGCCTTATCCTCCTTCGCCACCGACCAGCTGCCCATATTTGCTTCTTGGGTACCGCCTATCATGCGAGATTTGATCGCATTTTCCAGACTGCTAAACCAGGCGGATAAGAATGAAATCCCTAAGCTTAACCCACTGGATTATACAGAAACGCTTATCTCCCTCCTTTATCGCCTTGTGAAGATACCGCATTCAAGGCAATCCCCCATCAAGCCCAAGATCGGAGGAGTTTGTGCCGACGTCACAAATCTTTCGATGTTGTCATTCATGACAACGTTATTACCAGAATATACCCGAGATGGACCTAGCTGTCCACTACTCTCCGACAACCTCGGACAAGACATCAAAGAACTCTGCAGTATAAGGCCGGAACCAGAAGAGCACAAGAGCCCATTACTCTTGTGGATTCTTTTCATGAGTGGGATATCCGTTTTGAATCCAAAATACCACCCCTGGATACTGCCGTTGATTGCACAGACCTGTGAAGGTCTCCAGCTGAACGAGTGGGCCGATGTCCAGGGCCAGTTACGTCTGTTCCCCTGGATCAATGCACTGCATGAAGCTCCAAGCCACCGTATATGGGAGGATATACAGGTTAGTAGCAAACGGAGCTGGGACATCACCTCAGGAGAATTGAAATGAAATCACACACTCTCACTACTGTGATATACCTTTGAGCAGTTGGAAAAATTGAACATATCATCGTTTGGGATAGGATATTCATTGGGATTATGGCTGCCTCACTTAAATGCCTGAGTATCGAGCCTTGTGATACAGTTCAGGGGAGATGTATGACTTCACATCTGGCTCCCCCTTCTGAGAGCACTGGTAACTGATATAGGCATGCATTCCCTTGCCGTTCTCCAGACCTCTGTGTTCGGCAATCTTCTCCAACATACCCATGTACGCATCAGAGTATGCGCCACGGCCGTGTGCATTCATCCAACCCACCAAGTTCCGGGCGATAGTCAGGTCATCGGCACCATACTTGCGAGTGGTTAGGTAGAACTTGACCTCCGGCTTGCCATTGGCGGGGGCAATGTCGAAGAAGTAGATGAATCCTTCGCACAATGCTTCAAAATCCTTCCATGAGTTACCGCCGGTTGTTGCCTCAACGGAAATATTCTGCTCTTCCGGGAAGTCTGATGGCAGACCCAGCACAGCGAGGATCATGGAGCGAAGGTCCTGCAGGCTCTCTTCGGAGATATCACAGATCCCGCCCATTGTCATGATCTCGCGAACGGACTGGAAGCTGGTGTTTGCTGACGTGAAATACATCTTCAGGCGGGATTTCGATGACTCAACGTTGTCCATGCCCATGACGTTTGGCTTCATTAATTTGCCCTCGGGGCTGGTGGCCAGGAAATGCATCAAGGCATCTCTACCAGGGTGAGCCTCGCCGGGGCTCAGCTTTACAATGGCATTGTCCCACTCCTGCAAAGTCGCAGGGTCGCCTCCTTGGAACAGCTTCCTTGCCAAAAAATAGGACTTGAGCCCAAAGTCGGCTTTCTTATTATATTCCACAGCATGCATGAGTGTGGTGGCTGGAGGCTCACCAGCTTCCAGCTCTTTAGCATAAAAGCCCCGGTCGGGGTTATAAATCTCCGCCAGGAAGTGACGGAACCAAGTGTAGTCGGTTTTGGGCAGCACTTGAGTCACCTTGTCCATGTAGTCCAGTGACGGATCGTGGTTCAATGGGTCTGATGGTGTACCCGAGTTCTTACCAACTGCCTCCCACGAGTAGCGGATATCAGGCTCACCAGTGCTGGTGTTCCACTTCCAGGAGTACTCGAAAGGCGAGCCATCATAGGCTACTAGAGACTTAAACATGGGAGTACCGTCGGGCTTTGGTGCTGGTCCTAACCGAGGAACCTAGGTTTTTGTATCAGCTTGATCATGGTATACAGTACCATTGAGGTTGGGATTTTCGCTTACAATCCAATGATAGTGGAAGAGAAGGACTTCATACTGCTTCTCAAGCGAATATCCAGCGGCATCAATCATCACACCCAGATGGTATCCAGTCAGATTCCACCAAAATCTGATGTCTTCATTTTCCTCCCGCGGGATGCACTTTTTAACCAGCGAGTTCCACACCTGGAGAGGTGCGGTGGGTTGTTGCAATGTCGCGATAGCTGGCATTTTAGAATGAGAATGAAGTCGTTAGAGAGAAATCACTCGGAAATGACAGCCACACTTTATAAGTTTGCAATGCTATCTGGGATGATATGGCAAAGGGCCCCGAGTCATTTGAAAGAACTCACCAACATGAGGCCCTCGTAACTCGGGTCCCGACCTACATCTGGGCAGCACTCATCGAATTGACATTCAATGAAAGGATATACATTTTGCATGACAAAGGTAACTTTGTATCTAACTTTAGAAGTTCAGAGTCTGTTGACAATATTCTAGTTGCGGGTTGATATTCTAACTTGGAGTCCAGACGGCTTGGCCAGCCACTTGTTCTCTACCGTCCACTCATCAACGGGGCTCATTAGTTCAATCTGTATAGGGGAAGGGATTTGAAGTCAGTATCAGTATGATGATTCCAAATATACCCTATAACTGACCTCGAAATGCTGCAACAATGATGCAACAAGCTTGTAAATCTCGAAGTAGGCCAGGTGTCTTCCAAGACAACTTCGATGACCAGCACCAAACTGGATATCACAATGTAAGCAGCGTGAAACCTGGCATGAAAGACCAGCTGATCTGCGTCTTGAGACATACTGTTAAAAGGGAATTGTACATTTGCTGCTGATTCGCTTCGCTGCATAACCAGCGTTCGGGTTGCCACGCATCAGGGTCTGCGCCAAACACTGATGCCTCGCGCTGCATCGCCCAGGGATTCTATGGAATGAGGCCCATGAATTAGTGATCTGGATCAATTGTTTGTGTAGCGCTCCCCAGATGATCTTACAATCCCGACTCTTGTCCCCCCGGGAATGAACAAGCCATCGACTTCCATTCCCTCCTTGGGTACTATCCGCTCAAAAGGAAGAGCAAAGGGAGGATGCAATCTGGTGGCTTCTTTGACGCAGGCATCTAGATATGGCAGTTCTCTCGACTCCTTCCATGTGGCACATCGCGAGAGACGGCCATGAGCTGCGGCTTCTTTTATCTCTTCTCTAAGTTTTGCGAGTGATGAAGGGTTTTTGAGAAGGTAATATACCGTAGCACTAGCAAGGATGCTAGTAGTGTCCGCACCGGCAATGATGTTCGAGTTCACCCAAGTAGGAACAAACCTATGTTGTATTTGTCATTGAAGTTGCATAAGATGTCTTGCTGGGAACTCTTACAGCTGTGGCAGAGTGTTGTCTTTGGCTTGTTCCCGAAGGAAGCACGACAAAAAGTCGTTGTGAGATGCATTCTGTTTGTCAATCTCACTTGACTCTACTCTCTCCATTATCCGAGCGAATGCGAACTCAGCCAGGGGGTTGCTCTTGGCCGATTGGGGCGCCAACGGGTTGTCTCTCCAGAGATAGTCGAGCCAAGGCATTTGGGTATTCTGATATTTTGGTTAAAAGGTGCCCAAGGAGGAATAATCGGGCATTTTCCGAAGTCAAAAAGTACTCACCGCGGCGACCTGCCCAAAATATGACCAAATATTTGCCATGATGCCATTGACATCCTCGCCCTTTTCAATACAGCCCAAATCGCGCGAGAAGGTGACTTCACCAAGGACGTCAAACATGAAAAATTGAATCCAACGGAAAAGATCGAATGTCTCATCGCGGTTTGCGAAGGTATCATTCAAACGGGAGAGAAATCGATCCATGGTGGATGTCATCGCCGCCTCGAAGGTAGTCAAATTGGTGACCGAGAAGAAACGGGCCACAGGCTTTCTCATCTGCCGATGGATGCCTTCATCTCGCGTTGCGAAGATATCGGGGAGTTTTCCACCCATGATTCGAGGCATAATTGAGTCGTAGAACTCCGACTAAACGAGCGTAAGAGACATTTCTAGATCGGAGGATGCATAAATACCTTTTCCAGCCTGGTCTTGAAACCATATATTGTGTCAATGGCCTGTGGCTGAGATACCATGACTACATTTGGCCCGATTCGTACCACCGTGCCATATTTGCGATGAAGTGCCGTATGTATCCTATGCGCATCACCAGTGACAACCCACGATCGGCGAACCCAGTTTGTCAAAGCCGACATGGGTGGTCCAGGGATATGTTTCAGCCGCAGCCATGATCGAGTAATGGTTAAGGAAATTACTAGAACTGCGATCAGTGTGATAACACCTAGTCGACATGCTCTGCCATCGACCGAGTCAAGAAATTGCCCTAGTTGCATGGTCCTTATGGCAGCCATGTCAGGTCTAATACGGCTTAGGTTGAAACTGGTCAACTGGGTCGCTTATTAGACTACTCTCCAAGCTGAGAGGAAAACACTTTGCACTGTGAAATTGTAACCGAAATCCCAACCACTCGGGTCTAATCTAACTCGGGTCCCTGGGTCTCTGTACCAGTACGACTGAGCCTCTTAGGCCTCACGAAGTTGATTACCGTTGATATCAATACCGAGAAAAGATAGAATAGTAACTTCCAGAGGTTGATGTTGATCGCATATTGAGCAAGTAGAATTTCTCCCGAGGTCCCATATCAGCATTGACATATTCAGCCATGTCTAACGCTTTCAATTTTAATCCTTTACACGATGTCTTTGCCCAAATTTTGAAATAGGAAATTGTACCCTTCCATAACATACCGCCAGCGAGTACCACCGGAGTCACTAAACAAATCGAACAGATGAGGCTCTCCAGGAGCGACGGTAAGCCCCGACTCTATTCCCATACGTTGCATGGCTGAAAATGTCCGCTGGGCTTGCTCCCATGGAATGAGATCGTCCTTGGTACCAAAGACGATATGCGTTGGTGACTTGTAGGCCCCCCGAAGAATTTGCGCGTAAGGGCTGGCTTGGATAATTTGATCCCCAGGCGGCTGTTCCATGCAATTGAAAGCTGCTGCAGACTTCTGTGGCACATTTATCCCTGCTGGTAGTCCACGGAAGAGAACGGGAAGTGTTTGGCCATGCCAATTCATATGAAGCGCGATTCGACTGCGAGGGTCGCTGGGTGCCATCCATCCTGCTGCTGCCCTCATGGTAGGGGGTACATTGTATGCTGTGATTGGAGCAGGGCGAACTGCATCGATGACATTGTATGACTCTCTTCCGCGTGTCTCAGAGTGTCTTGGTATATTTGGCTTTGTCCAAAAGACATCCTCGTAGTCAGTAGGACAGTAGAAGGCCAAGATCGCCGTTGGCGCTGCGATTCCACGTGGTATCGAAGTCCAGGCTAGAGACATGGCCAACGTTCCGCCAGTCGACCACCCAATTACTACCGCCTTGCTGCGATCAAGAGATTCATTTACACGGGTACGTGTCAACTTCAGTGACGGCAGGGATTGCAGTGCCCAAGCATAGGCATTGGAGACGTCAACGAGTGGTCCCTCTAAGATGGTCGTCTCCGGGCAGAGCCTGTAGTCAACAGATACAGGCAAAATACCATTGTCGAGTAGGAGTTGTACTTGGCGGGGTCGAACATCCCGACGGGATAGCATTACATGGCCTCCTCCGTGGATCATCAAGCCTATTTCATGAGGGACTCAGCTCTGTCTCGAATGCTCGTGTAGTGGGGACTTGGATCATACCGTACCGGTGACCCACGTTTTATGCATGGCTGCCTGTTGCGATGAAGGGTAGTGGATGTCAGCCCTCAGCGGAAGGCCTTTGTCTGTGTGCGCAAAGAGAACTGTCTCAATGTTTCCACTCTTCTCCTGCGGCATACTGTGGTACGAAGAAGGATCTTGGACGGCTTCCTTGAACCCGGTGATGACTCTCACAATCTCTGACTCAGGTGTATGGCCGCCCGTCCATGATACATGGTGGAAACCAACTTTTCGCATTGTACTTTCCCAAAACTCAGGTGTCGCAAGCACATAAGGTCGTCCGTCGTCGTACAACCACCAACCATCAAGCAGGCCGAAGACCATATCCAACCAGTAGTTTCTAGTGGTGAGCTCAACAAGTGATACAAACCCGTTGGGCCGCAACAGCTTGTTGATGTTTCCCATAGAGGTGTAAAGATTGCTAGTTGCATGAATGCAGTTGGTGGCGAGCACGATATCGAATTGTCCGAGATATTCGGAGGAGGGTTCTTTTTCAATGTCGATTATGCCATATCTCATGCAGTCATAGTTTGCAAACTTTCGCTTGCTACTTTTGACAAGTGCGGCGGAGATATCCGTGAAGGTGTACTCAATGGGGATTCCGGACTGTACCAAACGGTCCACAATGAAGCGCGTGGTGGCACCAGTCCCTGCTCCGAGTTCCACGATGTGGAACTTACCATCAGGCCCTGGAGAGGAAGTGCTGAGCGCTTTCTCCAAATACCTGGTGAGAAGCTGCGAGTTGACAACAAACATGGGTGCCTTGCTGTAAACATCCTCCAGAATCTCACGATTAGCCTTGCTTCCAAACAACAAAGCCAGAGGATCTATCTCGCCGGTGAGAATTCTGGACATATCCGACCCACACACGTTCAGTAACATGTGCTCTTTGGCATGTTGGGGAAAGCGTGCCACTATGTTCTTGTACAGGGCATTCGACGGTGTTGTGGGCGCTGGCGCATCTGAACGAAAGTAGGTTTTGCCATCGTAGTCGGCTATGTTGGCCTTGCGGAGAATCTCGTAGAAAACATTGATCATGCGCTCATGCTTCGGTATGACAGGGATCCAGGGGATCTGATCACCCGGTCTCAATGTCTTCCAGTCGATCCCAAACTCGGTCATAGCCTCCACTACGTAGGCCAATACCAGATCCGCTTGCTCATTGGCAACTTCGGTGTAGAAGTCAGTGAGTTTGTATTTTTCTGCAAGCTCGTCGAAGTCGCACTTGATGGCTTCGAAAGCCTGAGCTGCGCTGCTGAGGATAGATGACCCTGATACGAAATGTGTTTTGTTGACGTGTGAGAAAGCACCAACGCCATCAAAGCTGTCATCTGGTGGGGTGCCTGGTGTCATGCTACCAGAAGAGAGTGTTGATGTTGGAGACATTGTACTTGAATCTGTGCTATTCCCGGGTCGTAGCGAATTGACCGAGCTGATGAGGATGTCGGCGAGATGTCCAAAGCTACTCTGCTTCAGAAGAAGTGATGAATCAATGGAAACACCAAAAGCAGCTTCCATGTCGCTCATAAGCTCCATCGTGAGAAGAGAGTCTAGGCCGCGATCCATGAGGTTGGTTGAGCGGTCGAAATCAGTGGCTGGACATTCGAGATGAGTACCTAGCAGGACAGCCAATTGCGCGACCAACTCTTCACATGGATCATGTTCGCAGTCCAAAACTTGTGGAGCCTCAGGCACCGCCATGTTCTGCTTCACAACCTCAGGCATGGCGGCTGTGTGCTTGGTTGAAGCCGCCATCTGGAATGCTGGAAGCAAAGACGGAATGTGGGCAAGCGTTGATTCTTTGAGTACTTCAATGGAGCCTGGTTGATTTTGACGTTCATCCAAATATGAGCACAAAGCCCCAAAGGTTCCGAGTTCAAAAAGCTGCGCAGTTGAGATGGATACGTTGAACATATTCTGGATCTCTGACACGATCTCCGTGGTCATGAGAGAATCAATGCCGAGTTGGTCCAAGGTAACATGGGGCTTGAACTGGGCCACAGGAACATCGGTCATATCACCAAGTGCTTGGCGTAGCTCCTCAATAATTGATGGGCTCTTTGCTTCACTAGCAAGTAACAATGGTTCTGGAACAACCTGCATGTTGACCGATGCGATTTCGGGTTTGGCAGGTGGCGGGTGTGGGTGTTGTGACATTTCAGGTCTTTGCACTTTGTCCGGTATGACAGTCAAGGAGCTCGACAAAGTGGTAGCAGGGGGAGGATGCACAGTATGAAGAGAGATTTTTCGAGATGGTTCATTTTCGGCAGCTGAGGGGGTCGCACTAGGATTTGCACGGGAAAGGATCTTGGTGAGAGTTGCTGTCTTCACTCTACTAAACTTCGCTCCGAAGGCAACAAATACAAGTTGATTTGTGCTCTTGTCCGTGACGAAGATATCGTTAGAGCATTCCTTTTCACTTGTAGCGGTAGAAATAGCGAAAACATCCCAGGCTAAGCTTCTGTTCTCGGCATGCCTCTTGCCGAATTCAGGCGAGAGTTGAATACGGTCAACATGGTTGGAGACGAAGACTTCGTCTGACGCACAAGGAGCTAGACAATTCGCGAACAATCCAGGAACCTGGAAGAAGTTATCGATGGCTATAGGCAAGGACAAAAGATCCTTCAGATAGCTCGGCTGGTTTTCGGGTAGGTTAACCTCTGCAATGACGGATCCTTCTCTCGTGCTTGCGAGCTTTCGGACGCCCTGGTAGAATCTGTGATACTGAACTATTCCAGAAAAGAGTTTGTAGATGACCGATCCATATAGTGCTTCACCACCCGGCTGTGAGGCTATGTCTGCGAAACTTCGATTGGAATATTGTCCCTGATCTTTTCGTATGTGCCGGAGGAGGTTCGTGATCCTATCAAGTTCCATGGTGCTGGTTGTATCGTCTTCTGGTAGAATTTCGCAGGTGCCAGAGGCATGCGTCTGTAGAACGTTTGTCTTCACCGAGCGGTCTTTTGAATAGAACGTGAACTTATACTTTCGATCGGTAGAATCCGATGGTCTGAACACAAGCAGGACAATCCTGTCCTGGCTCATGCCCAAAGGGGATGCCATCTCAAAATTTTCCAGCCGTGCAAATGGAGCAGATGGTATGTTTTTGATCTCTGCTAGGCGCTTGGCCCCCTGAAGAACAAGCTCAATGTACAAAGGTGCCGGGCACAAAGATTGATGCACCACGGAATGACCGGAAACGAGGACTTTCCATTCCTCGCAGCGCGGATCAATGTCAAATGTTGCCTGTTTCTGATCGTTTCCCAGATCTTGAAATCCCGAGAATTCCATGAGAACAGGCTCCGGCTCCGATTCGTCAACAATGGACGGCAATTTTCGGGGTTCCGTCAGAGGAGACACAGAGCCGTTTCCTGCCTGGATGCCAAACTCGAGCCAATGTTCATTCTTTTCAAATTGGTACGGTGGCAGGTTCAATGGCCGATATTCTTGGCGCTGCATGCGATGGAACGGCCAGAACTGCATATTTCCCCCATCTCTCCAGAGGGTAACTGTAGCCTCAGCTAAAGATGCCATAGCATCGTTTCGGGATAAATCTATTGGGTACAATGAATGGTCTGCGGCCTTGGACAGTGATCGGCGCACGATGCTGGTCACCGAAGAGTTGGACCCAGCTTCCAACCATGCACATGCACCAAACCGCATCTCAACTCGTTTCACTGCGTCTTCAAAGTATACAGGCGTCCGAGTATGCTTGGATATAAGTTTAGCGGTGATCTGATCCCAGGCTTCCTCACTTGAGCTGGTCTCCAAGGAGATCGTCGGGGCGTTGAATTCAAGCCCCTCTGCCAGTCGTTCCAAGTCTGGAAGAATCGGATCGCAAAATCGCGAATGGAAGCCATGCGTTACATCCAAAATCTTGCATTTGGAATTCATCCTTTTAGCTGTCTGTGAGGCAACGTCGATCTCAACCGAAGACCCTACCAACACATGGCTTGATGGTCCATTGAAGCATGCAATTTCAACCCCAGACCCGGAAGGCAACATCATCTTGTGCGTCGATGAAATAACTTCCAATGTGCGGGCCCGGTCTGCCTCCAGGGCAAGCATGGATCCTCTTTCGGTGCCCCATTTATCACGCATGAGGACTGCTCGTCCGTATACCAACTTGAGACCATCGGAAAGTGACAGAACACCCGAGATTGTCAGCGCAACGAGTTGACCGAAAGAGTGACCTAGAATGCAGTCTACTTTGAGACCGCAGGCAATCCAAGTCTTGGCGCAAGCATATTGGATCGCAAATTGTATTGTCTGAATCGACACCACGTCATCAGCAGGTGCTTCATCAAATATGTCTGGATATATGCCACGGTGACCAAATCCTTTGAGCACATCATCACAGCCGTCTAGATACTTGCGAAGTAGGCGCGAGGATCTATAAACGTCCTTACTCAGGCCCACAGAGCGAGCAGTCTGGCCACCAAAGACTAGGACTACAGGCTTCGGGCCTCGGTTGACTCTGTAGATTGCTGATTCGGGGTCGGAAGCCACGGCACGAAGTTCGGTGTCCAAATCGGATAGGCTCGAAACGAGTGTTGTGAAAATGTAAGGCAGTGCTCTGTTCTGCCTGTCACTGAGGTTGAATGTAGCATCTGCTAGCAGATTTGTGACAGATGCACAGTCTCGTTTGTATGTGGAAAGGTAGTCTGCTATGCTTGTGCAGTTTTCACCCAGACTTTTTGGGCTGTTTGCGGTGATAACAACAGGATACTTCCTCAGTCCACACGATGTCGCACCGGAAATTTCCTGCGATGGCGCTTGCTCAACTATCATTGCAGCAATGCTGCCAGCGGCTCCGTAGTTATTCACACAAGCAACCATTCTTTCTGTTTTCCAGGAAACAGTCTCGGTCGGAATGGAGATTTGCCCTGGAACAAGAGAAATCTTGGGATGCGCAGACTGGAAATGGGCTTGTCCTGGAATTTGGTGCTTCTGCATCATCAAAATGGTCTTAATGAGACCAGCGACGCCAGATGCGCCTTCCGTGTGTCCGATGTTTCCCTTTACTGACGCAAAGTATAGCGGATCCTTTCTTGACTCGGTACCAAAAACCTCCTTGATGGCACCGAATTCAAGAGGGTCACCGACTGGAGTGCCCGTGCCATGAGCTTCAACGTATGTGACAGTTTCTGGTGTTATGTTGGCAGTTTTCAGGAGCTTTCGGTAGAGTTCTGTTTGTGAGGGGCTGTACGGAACAGTGATCGGCACCTTATTGCTGCTTTGGCGGACTGAGGTGGCCAGTATTGTACCGAGAATGTTGTCCCCGCATGCCACGGCGTCGGAAAGGCGTTTCAAGACCACAAGCCCAACCCCCTCCCCACGGCAGTAACCATCTGCACTGGCGTCGAAAGATTTGCTTGTGCCCGTGGGACTGAGGAATGATGCTGAACAAAGATTCTGGTAGAAGAACGGACTCGTGAAAACGGAGACACCGCCAGCGATTGCACTTTTGCAGTCGCCATGCAAAATCGCTTTGCAGGCAGCGTCAATAGCAACAGCGGACGAGGAACAGGCCGTATCTAGAGCGATGGACGGTCCAGTGAGACCGAAGAAATGGCTGATCCGCCCTGGAACGAATGCTCTCAATGTACCAAGTGCGGAGAAGGCATTGGGTGGGTGACTAGCCACATTGTCATTATAGTCGGAGGCGCATACTCCAATGAAGCATCCCACATCAAGATCCGGCTCTCCGGGCCCGAAGAACCCGCTAGACTCCAAGGCCTGGTAAGAGGTTTCGAGTAGAAGTCTCTGTTGGGGATCCATAGATGCAGCCTCTCGGCTAGACTTCTTGAAAAAGCGGTTGTCAAACCTGGAGATGCTCTCCAGGTAATTTCCGAAGTATACCGTTTTTTCAGTACTGCGTTGGTGCTCGCTTGCCGGGAAGCGACCTTTGGGCGGGTCACTCATCATGGATTGACCGGCTTCCAGAATACGCCAGTATTCCTCTACCGAGTCAGCTCCTGAGAATCTGCATCCCATGCCAACTATGGCCACGGCATTGGGTTGCAGATCTTCGGGTACGGCGCCTTCCGTTGTGAATAGGGATGTGTTTGTCATAGTGATTAGAGCGATATGTTGGAGAAAAGAACATCCTGATAAGAATTCCCCTGGTATTTAAGCCTTGAGGGGGATTGTCCACCCTCAGTCATGTAGTTTGCGGTCTCATATTCGAAGCGTGTTTGGGAGACAGCATCAACGCGAATCATCGCGTACAGCCATATCCACTGGTGCGGCAAGGGCTAGCTTAGACACGACCACGAGGCTCGATATGGGTCGGAGGCGACAGACGCGTCTTTCCGAAGTTCTGCCAACTCGGGTCTCGTCTACCGATCCAACTCGGGTCCAAGAGGATCGGCCAGCCTTTGCTGAGAGCATTTCGGTCTATTGAAAGAGGCCGAGAGGAGCATGGTTGTCAGGAACTCGTGAAATAGTCCCGTTTCCCACTGCCGGGTCGTCGACGCAGCCAACCAAGGAGGCAGGGCGGTAACCGGATTGGGAAACGCGGAGCGCGACCCTGCTAAGCAAGTGCCCGACCTTCGCCAATCTCCAAATCGAGTGTGGTCAGTTGGTCAAATCGTCGTTGCATCTGCAGATGGTAATGCATTCCAAGGTTCTCTTTACAGTGAGTAAAAGGGAGTCAAATTAAGGTTGCGGCCCGGGGTGTGAATCGGACGTCGCACCGGTCCGAACAAACCTTACTGGCCAAGTTCCCGGGCCAAACATTTACAGATCACACATAGACGGGTAAACTAAAAATTTGGAAAAATATTGAAATTGTTCTAGCTTCCAAAGTGAGAAATTGCAAGGGTTGAAACTGGGCTGAATTAAACCAAATCTTGATAATTGCCTGTAGACTAGCTCGGTACAACTGCTACCGAAGGAGGTTAATGCTCTTCCAGTACCTGACATATGCTTGAATAGAGTCATCTTCCACGGGGCCCATAAAGGCGAGAGTTTGACTGGCATTACGCGAAGCGCTGGTGTCGAGAACCACAGAACCGCACGACATCTTAAGAAAATCTTCTTTCAAAAAGTCAATGAGACTCGCGGCGGGGTTCTCGGGCCCAGAGACAGACGAGATATGGGTCAACCACTGGTCAAGAGGAATGACGGAAGAACTTGGTATGTCTAATTCTCTAGACAAAAGGGCGACAACATGTCTCCAACTCTGCCGAACTGGGTTTTCAAGATGATAGACCAACTCGAGTTTTTTGTCTTGGAGGAGAATTTCGCCGACAGCCCGTGCAGCAGAATCTACCGGTAGCCAGGACAAAGTCTGTAAAACACAAGTCAGCACATTTTCACGCATCTGGTGGAGGATCAATCATCTGGAACTTACTCCATGTAGATCAGGGAACTTCCCCACTTTCTGAGAAGAAGCACACATTGCAACAAAGTGTTCATTCGCATTCCAATAGCCATTACTGGCTCCAGCAATCTGCCCGACGCGTACCACTCCAGCCTCAATCTCAGGATACTCACTCGCAGCATGTTGAACCATCTTCTCACATACGAGTTTGGCTCTGGCATATCCCAAATTAAGAGTGGCATTCGGATCATTTGGAATGACTTCTGGGACCAGTTTGTCTCCAGAGGCGCTTGAATGGTTTCCAACAGTGGAGATGGAAGATATGAAGAGTAACCTGCACTTTTTGGTGTCTGATTGAGAGCTGCATATGCGTGCCAGATTGAGCATGTTCTGTAGTGTCTTGAACGAAGCCTCGTAGGACTGGATCCCCATTTTGAAGTTCATTGGCCACGCAACGTGCACAATGTGCGTCACCTTCGACACAAGATCATAATAACCATCTTTTCCAAGTCCCAACCATTCAGCTGATGTATCAGTCTGACGTGTGTCGACTTTAGACCAATGATCATCTACAACTGAGATCTTCCGAGCGTGTAAGGCGGCTTTTTGGGTTTGAAGGGCGCTGTCCTTGCCAGGCCTGTTGAGACAAATGACCCGGCTGATAGAATTATTAGGAAGGAGCTGTGCCAATAAAAATGATCCCAGGCTTCCCGTTGTGCCTGTAAGTACCACGACTGCCCCTCTGTGTTGGCGGTGACTCGGTATGCGTAAAAGGTACTTTGATATAATTGAGCCGTAATAACAGGTGACAAAAAGTAGAAATAGTCTTGAGACTCGTGCAACCAAGTATGATTCGGCAACCCGACGGGAGATAGCAATGTTGAAGCCCTCCGGTTGGCTGTGTCTGTCGGTGTATTTGTCCACTAATTGCTTGAACAGGTGAGTCGCACAAACAGGCTTTTCAGTCGCAGAGTTGCTAGGGTGAAGCGCATCCGATATGCGGCTAATAGATGGGTGTCGATACACGAAGTCCTCAGAAATATCTGCGGACGGGATAATGTGTTTTGCACTGGAGCCGAATTTCAAATGTGTCGCCTGCACTGACCCCTTCAACAGTCTGCGGAGCTTCGTCGCCTGGAGACTATCCATCCCTAGGGTAAACAGATCGTCCTGACTCTCTGCCTGCCATCCTGTGATCCCTGCAACGATTGCGCAAATACTCGAATCTGGCGAGGAGAGGTCAAGCGATGGCGCTGCGATCACCTCCAGGTTACGGTACACAGCTGCGATCTCTGCTGCATATTGTGTTGCCACTGCTTTGCGCAGCACGGTCCCTTTGTCTGATCTCGGCAGATTGCAGGGAGGTACAATCAACATGGCCGCTGGGGAAGTGATTTTCGCATGGGCATCCATCAGTCTGCCAGCTTCTTCAATTACAGGCCAAACTTCCGTCTTGAGCTTTTCAACTTCCTCAATCCTCATCATCTCAGCGGGCTCGATTATGACGCCCAGCTCAAATTGGTTGTCCCCAAAAGCAACTGCATGTCTCACTTTGTGATGCTGCTTCAGAAGAGACTCCAAGATTGTAGGCCTTACCTTCTCACCGGTCGCTAGGCAGATCAGGTCATCAGTACGGCCGGCAACCCACCACTCTAGCTTTGACATATCGTTTCCCTGTGAGTATTCCGTGGTGGCCACGATAACGTCCTGTAATTCAAAACGTTGGTCCCAGCCAAATGGCCTCATGCTCAGCTTGTAGCTGAAAAGCTGAGTATTGGGGAGGTCCGGTTCTGTATTGTAAGGATGAAGTTTGACTTCAAGGGGCTCGAGTATATCATGTCGCAATCTCAATCGTCTCCAGTTGTGTCCATTATCTGGGATGAAGAAAGGCGACATCGGACCAGTCTCAGTGGCACCGTATTGGGCAACTAGTCTCACACCAGCTGCCTCCAGTCTGCTTCCAACCAACTCCTTGGGCATGCCGCCGCCGAAACCAACAAAATCCAGTTTTGCCAGAGCTTCAAGTCCTTCATTGTTAGACAAACTTTCGAGTTCCTCCAAAACAGATGGCACAGTCAATAAAGCACTGGCACCAGATGTTCGCAAGAGCTCAATAACTAGTCTGCCGTTTGGCACCCTCGATGGTGGAGGGATACATACTGTCTTTCCCACGCCAAGGGAAAGACAGATCGCCACGAAGCCAAATCCCTATTGGAGAAATGAAGAATTAGCCCGAGAAAGAATTGCTGGTGGGGAGTTCTTACGTGAAACAACGGCAGAGTTGAGAGAGTGAGTGCTGCCTGGCTACCTGAGGCAAAATTGTGACACGTCGCGTAACCCAAGAAATATTCATGCGAGCAGGGTATTGGTTTGGGCAGCCCCGATGTCCCCGATGAATGGAGAATGATGACCTGTCGATCGTTTCGGCTAACGAAGTGTGTCTCTTGCGCCGCAAACAGAGGTTGATTTTCCTCCTCTGCGCTTTCCTCTACCAGAAGCGATTCCCACTCAGACGCGACACAGACCCTTACTATGGCATCTTTGCCAGAATCAACCCCATCTGTGTCACTAGACTGCTTCGTATCTCGAGGAACAAGAGTCTGCAATCGCGGAGAGGCCACCACGAAGCTTGCATGTGTTTCTTGGAGAAGATGACAAACAGCAGACGAACTCAGCCGCGCCGACAGGAGCATGACTGGCACACCCATCCCCATACACGCGAGTACATATATCGCCAGCCCGACATGGCTCTCCATCAATAACGCAACTGGACTGCATTTCTTCACCCGACCATCTGCATCCAAATTTGGCGGGTGAAGCCCGGGATTTGCTCTTCTGAGCACGTCCTGACAGCGTACGATGGCACGCTGCAGCCTCTTATAGCTCACTGGTACGAAGCCAAGCTCCTTCGTTCCTTGAAAACAGAACAAATGTTGCGGGTTGTGCTTTCCGTGGAAATCAATCAGGTCTGGTAATGTCCGGATTCTATCATCACCTTTCGCTCCGAGACTTAGCTTTGGTGCGGTGAAAACGGCCATCGTTTGGAGGTGGCTGTAATGGCTCAACCAGGTTTGTGCGAATGTACGGCTTCAACAGACAAGGCTTGCTTATTCCATCTGTGATGGCATGGCATTCATATCTGTACATCGCTAATGACCTTCGGTACTTCTCGCAGGTTTTCTACGATGCAGGGTCCCAACTTGGGTCCGGTCTGTACGCCATCACTTTCTTCTGAGTTTGACTATAGCATCCGGTAAAATAAGAGGTTTGATCTCACCCGTGATCTTGATACTGCGGCTTAGCCTTGATTTCATGGCATGGTAATAATAATGTTTGAAATATCGTGGGCTGACCCTCAGACTATGTATACTTATGGATTTATGCGTCGGGATCACCTCATATCCACCGGCTTTGTGTACACATCCTTCATTCGTCATTCCCCGTTGAAAATATACCGAACCTTCAGGCCGGCACTGTGCTTCAGCATGCTACCCATTATCTCGTGAGCCACGGTTGGGTCCACTTGATCCAAAGTCAGGGTAACACTCCCTTTTCGCTCTTTTCCCAAACTGCTCTCGCTCTGTTGTATTGGTATGCTCCCGTCGACGTCACCTCCCGCATATTCCATATCACCGGTACCACCGCATCTTCCAGAAAATTCATATAAATCGACACCAGAAGGTTGTGGATCAAAGAAGCAGGATTGGTCTGGAAAGCCCTCTTCCCCCCACAGACCCTCGGAGGCAGACACTATTGAAGGGGACTGCTCGAAGTTACTGCTCCAGGGAACCCAATCGGTACCAGAGATAATTCCCCCCTGGTCATTGTGTATATCGCTTGTGGATCCAACCCACCATTGATCCAATCCCGCATGGGTGCTATTTGATGTTATAGGAAGTTCGTTCGTTCGTTGAAATTCGCTGCAACTGGATGAAGCAGCTCCAAATTCTGGATCAAAGAGCATATTTTGTGCATCAATGAAATCGCACTCCGAGCTGTCGGCGCGTATATACTCATTGGAACGACTCTCGCTGGGTAGAATTAATTGTTCTTCATGTTGGGTCAAGGTGGGTGATTGTGTGGGTATTGACCCTCTGGCGCCAGCAACTCGGCTTCTTCGGCCAAGGAGAAGGCTTCTGGGAAATAAGTGTCAGTGATGCTTGACTGTAATGGAGACAAACACTCACCGATTCCGTATATCGTGAGTTGACCGATTAGGGAACTCAGAGACACTGATCTGCTTCCAGTTGTGGTCATATGTCCTTATGGCTGCCAATAACCTCTCGTCCTCCTCGGGGGTCCATGAAGTGTGCTTCAGGCCCGGTCTGAGCCTCTGCTGCCAACGCTTTGCGCACTCTATAATAGTGTAGTGTCAGCCATGTCGTTGGATTTGATCCGGTCAGTAATTTGGTCAAAACTTACGGTCTGCATTCCGACGTTGGACCATGGTGGCCACGCGAGACCATCTATATTAACAACAAGCGTCAATTGACATTCGAAATGGATGGTATCATATTGTCATTCAATCGTGGGAGTTGACATACTTGAATCCCACCTGCTGCACTGCATGGTGCAATCTTTGATCTTCCTCCCACGTCCATACTCCTTTCTGGATATCAACCTGTACTTTTGACCATCGCTTGCGGCAATCTTTGTTGGTGCGTCCACTCAGCGAGAAGGCAATCTCGTTCCAATTGAGAGCATGACTCCCTTTGCTCACTATACACCCAAACAATGGTTAGCCCAGAAACCCAGCACACAGCCCTGTTTAAGATAGTGGTGATCGGAATCTTTACATTGTTCTTGCACTGCATCTTTCAGTATCTTATCCTCTTGGGTAGTCCACCATCGCCTTTCTCGAGCGGGGGCCATTTCGAAATATTGCTGACACAAAGATAATCGGTTGATACTAGATTTGAATTGAGAACTTTTTGCCTCAAGCACCTCTCTCTTAGTTAACGGCTGCCATATCCCGAGATCGACCCCAAGAATGAAACTATTTGCAGTATGGCCCCCAAATCGTGAGCCCCCTCGCGCATTTTAGTTCAGCCAGTGCGTACGGTGGGGTTGCCTTCAAATCGATAACTAGTGCAACGATGAGTTCATACAGATAAGAATCGAGGCTGGGTGGGGATTCAGTTCATGCAGCCTCGCCCAAGCGGAAGATCACCCAGTCGCGTGCGTGTTAAGCGATCCACCAATCCACTTTCTCACCGCGGACTGCGGGGGTAAATTCTGGAGATCTAGATATCAACGACTGCTGTGCTGTTCTCCAAAGAAAATAATGGCTAATTCGAATGCTAGGATGGTACATAAGTATCAGAGACCACACAGTCATTGGACTTGGGGCAGATTGACGGACTTGAACACCCGAGCGTTGACGCGTTCGCTACGGTGACAGTGGAAGTAGTTGCATGTTGGGATATCCTGATATGGAAAGTTGCATGTATGGATTATGTGGCAATATACTTGGCCTCTTCCGATATATTGCAAGCCTTGAGCCTTCGATAACAGCCAGTCTGGCTAATTTATGAATTAGCAACATGGTATGGCTCGTTCCCACTGGGTTATATGCTGCAGTTCCTACCCGTGGACCTGAGTAGGTAGGGGGGCGAAATAATGTCCGTCAAATCGGGTCTGGCGGCTACATTCCCGAGGTCCGATGTTCGAATTACAAACTGTTGAGCAACCCGTGCATTCCATTGCCATGCGGGTCGGGCCTTAGCGTATTTATTGCGTTTACGTGCGTTTCATAGTAATGGTTATATGCATAACCAGGATCGATGCGTGATTGGTCGATCATAAGCTTTGGTATTACTAGTTTCAGCACCAGTTCATGTACTGTAGATCGTTAAAAAAAAACACGTCTGTTCGATGGGAAGTGTTCGTCGATTTGGAATTGAAACACACATATCGCAGACTAGCTTACTGATTACTTGAGCATTGGCATTGCTGGATGTTCAATCGATGAGAATGCTAAGATCTCTGCTCGCAGGGTTCTGGTTAGCCCCAGTAGATCCTCTCCCTTTTCTCCTCTCTCTCTCTCTCTCTCTTTTTCTATGTCCTCCACATTACTCTATCAACCAATCTGCGTTTCTTTCTCTTAATAGGTCTCCTAATATAGAAGCAACTTAGAGCCACCATGGTAAGTGGTTGGAGGAGCCTAAGCCTTAAGTCAAATTAACGCCCAGCCATGTAAAAGAGAGATTTCAGGTGCTCAAATTAGATAGATTATAACTATGAAGGCCATTTTTGGTCTGTAAATCTCAATTGCGCTCATGTTGAGGGCAGGTCAACTAGTTGAGCTGAGAGATGCAGCCTGGCTGTACGGCTTCGAGTCTAGCGACGAGCTCATCCCATATACCCTTTTGAAGCTTCTGGCCGTCTTCATCGGTGAGCCACGTAGGTACCCAGAACTCTTTAATCTTGCAACCAGACAAAAGCTTGCCGTGCCCCTCCTCGCCAACCAACAGTCCATGCAGATACGTGCGGCTGCCCTCCTCGGCAGTTCGAGCCATGAATGCTCGAACCCCCTCATGCATAATTTTAGTGAATGTCCGGGCATCGCGACCTAGGCCTGTGCTGCAAAGACCTGGTGCAACCATGGTTATCACAACATTGGTGCGTTCGACGGGACATAGAGCTGCGAATTGACGCACGGCACATTCCTCTACCAACTTGGTGAGTGCATATCTGTGACCTCATTAGTTTCGGATTGATTCATAAATCGGTGATCACTGGTACCTCGCATCCATGTTCGCTCGCTTTTGGTCGTTGAGCCCGTCCAAGATGTTTCCCTTCCTGCTTTTATCCATTTCAGCCTTGACGGTGTAGCCAAGAACACTGACAATGAATACCAGGGTAGGCTTGATCTTGAACTGCTTGGCACTTTCTTGTAGCTTGGGCATGAGGAGAGCACCGAGGAAAACAGTGTTGATCACATTGACAAACATGCTGGTTTCCATGCCTTCAGATTGCGACCACGCGTCAATCATCAGTCCCGCGTTGCAGATAAAGCCATCAATCCTGTCTATATCTTGCGTTAAATCTGTCACGAATTTCTGGACAGACTCGTAGGTTGACATGTCGATGTGTCGTATCTTAATCAAAATCAATACTTGTAGCTTGAGCTTTCTCGTAGCTTACTCACCTCAACAACTCCCTTGCGCCCTGTCGTCTTTTCAATGTCACTCTTAGCATCTTCCCCCGACTTGAGATTCCGAACAGCTAGTATGACACGTTCGGCGGATGCCGCAACAAGGTGTCGCGCGGTCTCGAGACCCAAGCCGGAGTTTCCACCGGTGATGATGTAGGTCTTGCCGAGACATGTATCCTCTTCTACCAAGATAGGCAGTTTCCGAAATTGCTCGGCAGTCAATCGTAGCATCACCATTGTAAATAGTAGGGTGTGTGTCCTCGATCAGATCTCAATAAACAAGTTTGGAATGAGAAAGCCGCGAGGACAAAAGCTGGCAGGCTTTAACTGGGACAACTTGAACTTGCGTGAAATAAAAGCAAAGTACCGAGCGCCTTCCGATTTGTCTCTCATATATCGAGTCGAGGGGCATCATACCGGCCAAATCTCCCTTGTAGCAATCTGACCAATCTGATATTGGTATCTTCTTTGGGACTAGCGGATGCGTGGACCCACATGGCGCGAGCCCCGTGATCCGTTAACGTTAAAGATCGGCGGCTCCAACTGCCCCGGTTAGTATAGACTACAGTTCGAAGTCAATTTTCTTACATCGCCCCATACCCATTAACGCATGCCGCGACAAGATAGTCGGATTTCTATACTTACCAACCAGGAGTCACAGCATACTGCGCAAGAGAACCCCCTGCTCCGTATCGGGCCAATTGGAAACCCCCTTTGAAAAGGCCCCACTCCTAATGTCCCTATTGCCGAAGTGAGGGGGCCTGGGGCCTTTCCGAGGTACAAGAATGGAGTCAGGTACCGGGGTTTGGCTACAGATATGATTTGATATGCTCAATGACTCGGGACTCTATCAATATACACTCAATTCGTACTCCTTCCTAATGTGGCCGTCCTTGGTGTATTCAACTGCCAAGGAATGCTTCTAAATCCCAGAATAATTCGAAAGCTTGATCGGGATTTTGCAGGCTTTTTCTGGTGTTTTTCTACAGACTAGATGGCACAATTTGAACTACTCCGTTTTCAGAAGATTCCCAATGTCATTTCCCATGAGCTATGTTCGCGCATGTGCTCCTTTAAGCCATGACACTGACAGATAGCTGCCACAATGTCTATTGCTAGACCTAGTACTTCGTGAATGTAGTGTATTTCTTTTCTCTCCGCCACGGGCCTCATCAAAGTCCTCTTCCAAAGCTCTCTCGAGGTTGCAAAGGAGCGTTGATCGGCCTATTCTCTGGGATTGACAATGCAGGAACTTCACACCGATGAATCTCACTATTATTCAATTGACCCACGTTCCAAACCTCAATTCCTGGACCCGAGTCATCATGGCTCACGCGATGGAAGACATGCAAAAGAGAGTGTTTCAGGCAATCCAACTATTCCCACCTGGGCATGCTATCGCTCCCAGAATACACTTTCGGATCATCCTCCCGACCCAATTGTAGGACGTCTCGGGGTGGTTCGCAGAAACGGTAAGCCAGCATGAAGATGCAGCAATTTGTTGATTTTCAACTCAGAATCAGACCTAGTGGACCAGATCTGTACGAGAAATCACTAGCGAAACTTAGGACTTGGTTACATTCGATGGCATTGGGGCTATCGGTGAACAACCAAATTGTAATATAAAAATACTTAGGTACGCTGCCGTCCTGTTCTGTAGTGAACTCGATTATACTGTCGTTCGAGCTTTTCTTTGCGAATTGCAGTGTTTTTGCGCCGGTTGACTGAAAACACAATGGTTCGTTTGGCAATTTCCAAGGCTTGTCTAGGGCTGCTGGCCATTGTTGAGACAGTGTCGAGTACGCCGTTGGGGAAAGAATTCTTCAATGCCCGAAGCATATCTCCCTCTCAAGAATTAGTTTGGCCTACGACTATCAGCAGTCAAATTCACAGTGAATCTTGGCCCGATTTTGCCAATAAGACGCAACGGTGGTCCTCATACAAAGCGCCGACCTTCGACGAGGTCTTCCTCCCAAAAGATGAACATGACCTGGCTTTAGGTGTGAGTACAATTTTTTTGCATGTGTCCGAGAAAATGTGTGCTGAATGACGCGTGCTTAGCTCGAATTCATGTCGAGTAACAACATGTCATGGCTGGCTAGATCGGGTGGTCATGGGTACTCTCCAACACTTCAGTCGATTCAAGATGCTGTCTTGGTCAACCTTGAGAACTTCAACGAAGTCAATATCCAATCCGACGGTACCGTTGTAGTTGGCACAGGTGTCTATTTCGATGAGTTGATCAATACTGTGGGTGCTGCTGGAAGAGAACTGAGTACGTGAGACCCATCAGCCCTATCAGAATCCCACCTGGACATACTAACACTGCTGCAGCTGTGGGCGCTTGCCCTTGCGTCGGGGCAACAGGCGCCATGCTAGGCGGAGGTCTAGGCCGCCTCCAGGGCCTGCACGGACTGACTAGCGACGCCCTCCGTAAGGTCCGCTTGGTGCTGTGGAACGGAACTATTGTCGAAGCATCCGACGATCAACACCAGGATCTGTTCTGGGGAATCCGAGGCTCAGGTCAGAACTATGGCATAGTCTTTGAGTCCACATACGAGACGTGGCCTGCAACAAATGGAGGCCTTCATTATAGTGCAGACATGGTGTTTGCCAAGAGTTCGATCGAGACGGTCATGGAAATCACCAACAATCTCACAAACCCAGCGCTTGATGAGAAATTGAGCATTGTTACCTTCTTCTCCTCGAACGCCACAGAATCTGAGGTGAGATGAGATCACACTGAAAAGCAACCCCAATTCGCTGACCCTTGTAGCTGATGGTAATTGTCAACGTCGTGTATTCTGGGCCCAAAGAAGAGGGCCAGAAGTATACCGAGCTCTTCTCGCCATACAGTATGAGCCTGCAAGAACACATGCTGAAATGGGAAGAGTTGCCCACGCAAACCGTCCTAGGCCTCATTCCCTTCTCCTGCACATCAGGCCCACGTTACGATCTGTACAGTGTCACCGCCCGAACTCTTCCTCCATCCACATGGGCCGAATTCGGCAAGGAGTTCGAAGACTTCATGCAGCAATATCCTGCAGCTAACGGATCTTCCATGATGATCGAGACTTTCCCCATCCAGGGTGTCGAGGCACTGAGCGACGAGTACTCCGCTTTCCCTCACCGCAAATACTTCCACAATATTATTGAGGTCATTGGAGCATACACCGACGATAGCGTCGCAGAGCCACTGGATGACTTTATCCGATCTTGGAGAGACAAATTTGCCGCTTCTTCTGGCTATGAAGATATGCACGTCTATCAGAACTATGCTCATGACGATGAGCCTCTGTCGGCTCTATATGGTAAGGAACAATGGCGCCATGAGCGTCTTACCGAGATCAAAAATTCTTATGATCCCCATGGGTTCTTCAATGGATATCATGCTGTGCCATTGGAGCTGAGATCATGGAATTAGGCCAGCTAAGCGCTGAGAAAAATCTGAAGAAGCTCAATTGGAGATATGTGCTTGAAGAAGCGACGTGGTTCGTGTCCATCGTTATCAAGCGCCATGTCCACAGGTGTGATAACTTCAGCTTTGAAAATGTTGCCCAGGTGCTGTTCACTTATCCCCAGAGTTTTGGGTTTGGGTTTGGGCCACTCTGTATATATTCACCAATGCACAGTTAGTATATCCTGTGCCAGGAAGGCATGAAGAAGATTAAAACATGTATATTGGAAACGCAATAAACAGGTAGACTTTCGTGAGTAGTTGAAGTTTAGTTATATATATTGACAATGGAGTAATGGGCAAAGATGCGCAGAGAAACAAAATGACGATTGGCAGCCACCTAGTGCATTTATTAACGCCGGGTTGGATGGAAAATCCCGAGAAAAATTCACAGCAGAAATTTAAAATATGTCGCATGGTAATGAGAACATGTCAAAAGAAACCCAAAACATATTCGATTATTGTCATTCCATCGTTTCGAGAGAGAAAATATTCTCATCTCCGGCCCTGGCCCGAACCGGAATGCCCAGATTGATTATGATTTTCGAACAGATCCTCCAAGTATGCGCTAGGCGCCCGACCTTGGGGTGCCTGGTTCAAATTGAGCGAACTGGTTGAAGCACCGGCATACGACTGACGATGCGAGTCATGGTATGCGCCAGCCGGAGGCAAGGAAGGAGACGACAGGCCAGCAGTAGGTGAGTACGGGACTTCGCCTGCGGGATTGGAATTGCCGGCAGCGTTGTAATATCCGGCGGGCAGATAGGTTGACCCGCGGTTTCCAGAATTACCGGCAGCATTCATGTTACCATGCGAGCCAGTAGGACCACCGGCTGTGGGCGAGAAAAACAGACCGCTATTGCCGCTTGCCGCACGAGGTTTGTAGCTTGCGCGAGTTGCAGCACCGAGTTTTCCGAGAGAGACGTCCGTCGGGAGGGCCGAATAAGGGGTCGAGCGCTTTTTCCTGCTATTGCGAAGCATACGCTTGTTGTCTGAGGCATGCTTCATGGCTGCGCGCCGCACGGAACGGTTCACGGACCATGCGACCATTGCGCGCCAGGCGAGCAAAGTGAGGCCGATGAGGCCTAAAGCCGCGCCGACAGCGATGAAGACCGTTCCTTCAGGAGCACTGCTCTCTTGCATGTAGGGAGCATTTGCTGTTGGGGGTATGGTCACTATTGCAGCATTGGTTGTGGAGGAAGATGTTGTTGATGATGTGGTTGTCGTGGAGACCGATGATGTTGATGTGCTGCCGTCGGACGTTGTGGTTGACGAGGTTGACGAGGTCTCAGTAGAGGAGCTGGTGGTTGTATCCATAGTTGAGGTTGAGGTTGTGGTTTCGAAGGAGGATGAGGTGGTACTGGTAGTGCTTGACGTCGAAGTGGATGTCGAGGAAGATGTTGTCGCAGTGGTCTCGCTCACGCTAGAGGTGCTTTGTGTGGAGGGATCGTCGGTGGTCTGGGCGGCATCCGTGTCCGTTGATGTATCATCCGCGGGGATGGCATGCACTTGAGCAGCAAAGGCAATGAGCAAAAATAGCAGGAGAAGGAATGACGGGCGGGATCTCCCAGGCCCTTTCGGTAGGACTCGCATGGCAACGGCGGTAAACAATTGATCTGCTTCTCCACAGGGTGCGGGTCTTTCGGAGTAGCCGCCGATCGTCGCGACAGTGAGGAATATGTCAGTGATGCCTATCAGATCAATCTGGCCCGCGCGATCCCAAAATCTCGAATGCTGATTTCGAAGATGACTGGTTTTCGCCCCGCTCGCAGAATACTGGCTGTTGCAGTTTCCAGGCTGCAGATCACCGATCTAGATTTCTGGACACAAGGTCTCAAGAATATCACCAAAACGAAGGACTGGCTTTCAAACGAGAACGAGTGTGGACGTGATAACCTTGGAAAGCAGAGAACTTCCTGGGTAAGCGAGAATGGAAGAGAAACCCAAAGACGCCAGCGCTAGAGAATCTTGCCTTAGGCACTGATATCACCTGACAGCATCCAAAAAAAGAAGCAAAGAATGTATTTCAAGGTTTACTTCAGAACATTTAGAAAGCAGAATATGATGTATCATACATATACGAAAAGATTGACCCTTAACCCCAGAACATGATTGTTGCAATAGAAGCGTGTTCAAATCCCTATTCCAGAGTGCGACGCTTATTGCTGCTTCTTTAGCACAGTAGCCGATTCATCCTTCTCGAATGCGGCATAGGGAATCTGGAGGCTGCTCAAGGCACCGATACCAATGTACAGAATGATCAAGAACAGGAAGGTAGCCATGAGGCCCATGAAGATACCTGGCTAGATGTCAGAATGATGAGCAAGGATGGGTTAAAGAACGCCACCTACCTGGAGTGAAGTACTGATATTCTTCAAATAGAGAGGTCGAATTGTTGGATGAGCTTGTTTGGCTGCCAGATGCAGAGAAGTCACGCTTCATTTCCATGTGAAGTGCGTCCTGGTATGAGCCCTCAGACGTTTCGTAGATCACAGAGTCGGTCTCGGGGAATTCCCTCGGAGAAGTAATGTAGAGAATTGTATACTTGGAGGAGGGAAGGCGATCGACAACATCAGAAAGGAAGCCATCTGAGATTGTCAGTGATAATTCTATACACAGTGCGCTAGCCACATACCAAATTCAGAGAGCTGTTGCGCGCGGTGTGAGCTTAGTGATAGCATAGGGAACTCGATATCGATAATTCGAGGGCCTTCATCAAACGATGAGGGGTATGATCCGGCTTGATATTATTAGCTTGGGCCTTTCTGCCGGTCGCCAGCTGGGTGGCCATCGGTGCGACTCACATGATCCATTAATGGTAGTAGTCTTGGCCTTGCACTTCGTCTCAAGAATGTTCTTGACTTGCTTTGGTTCCACCAAGCCAGACACTTCGTTGACACTCATCTTAGAGCGGATCGAGCTGTCCTTGCCGAGCATCTTTGCACCTAAGCGGGGTGCCGACTTGCGCGTCGAGAAGTCGGAGGCGTGTGCACCAGGCTGGTAAACGACGACATAGTAGTCTGATGGGCAGCTACTGAGCGATGAGTCAAGACTTTCGAGAACAGAGGCACCTGTCTGGATGTAGGCGGAGTTCGTCAGGATCCTAAGGGAGGATAGGTTAGCTACAGCAGCTGAGACCGGGTAGATATGAGCATACTCGGAGGTGGAAGCGAGGAAAAAAGGCGATGTATCTCTGAAAGCATTTACAGCAGCTGCTCCAAGGGCAACGAGCCCAAACCTGCTCAAATGCATTGTGTTTGTGATGGGGTAGGTTGATATGATGTTGCCAACGGGAGGTGTCCGAGGTGGCCTCGGAGGCGGTCGAGAACCCCGGCCCGCCTGAGCTTTCGCAGCAACTTTTTTTTTCGCAGAACCAACACAACCTAACAACCTTCAATTTGTACAGAGAATTTGGGGTAAACCTCAATTTTTCTTGTCGCAATGGGTCCCAATATGAAAAACCTAAAGAAGCGCAAGGTTGTTGCCGAGCCCAGAGTTGAAGAGATCAACTTCGACTCGGAAAGTCGCCAGGAATGGTTGACTGGATTTCACAAGCGCAAAGTCCAGCGTGCGAAGCAAGCAGCTGAGCATGCCGCGAAACAATACAAGGAAGACAAGAAGGCCACCAGGAAGAAGGTTCGAGATTTTGCAGCACTTGCTCGAAGAAAACCACTAATTGGACTAGATTCGCGAGGAACGCAAAAAGGATTTCGAGCAAGCGATGGAGGAGCATTCGAAAGTACTCCAACGCATGAAAGAAGATGCCGGTGATATTAGCGACAAGGAAGAGAGCGACGACGCTTGGGAAGGAATCGAAGAACCCCCGGCCGTGGACTACGAGGCCGAATATATCGACGAAGACAAATACACTACAGTAACAGTCGAGGAGATGGATGCATCGCGCGAGGGGTTGCTCAAGTCCGCACATGAAGCCGACACCGACAACGAAGAAGAACAGGAGAAGCCAGTCGAGACCAAAGAGGCCGAGACCAAAACTGCCAAGAAGAGGAAGCCTCGAAGTGCTGCCTCAGAGGCAGCGAGGAAGAAGAAGAGGAATTTCCGCTACGAGAGCAAGGAGGTGCGCAGAGAAACCATGCGAAAGCAGCGCAACGTGAAATCCAAAAAGGCGAAGGCACGGAAAGAGAAGGATGCTTGAACAAATTCTATACACCTCAAAAAGCGATTCCCCATATGTGCATATAGTCGGGTTTATATGGTTTAGTCTGGGTTAGTCAATATCATGGAGCACAAGCGTTTCAGGCAAATCAAGAACGGAGAGACAACAGATGATCGACACCGTACTCGTAGTGGTTGTATGATAAAGGTATTGCTATCAAAGCGCTGTATCTGGCTAGAATCGGGAAAGCCGTAACACAAACAGTCACAGTATGAAAACGCATAAAACGCAGAAGAGGACGCTTGTGTCCAATCCAATGTCCCCCAATATCCTGCCCTCACCGACCCGAGGCTTAGATGTCGGCCATCTGGGCAGCGAGGTCGTCGAGCTCCTTCTTGACGATACTGTGTTCCTTGATAGCGTCTTCGTGGCGTTGCTCCAGCTTGGAGTGCTGGTCTTCGAGTGCCTGCACCTTCCGCTCGTAGTGACCAGCCTTGATGTCGGTTTGGCGAAGCCTGGATGTCGAATGAGTCAGCAGCGAGTCGCGAATGAAGCTTCAGATAGCCGTACTTCTCGTTTGTTTCCCGCAGGGTCTTGTCGTTCTCCTCGGCCTCCTCTTCGAGGAGCTGGACCCGTCGCTGGAGGGCCTCGTTCTGGGTGTCGTGCTGGAGGCTCTGGCTAGCAGCGTCCTTAGCCTCCTTCAGGGCGGCCTCAACCTTCTCAACCTCCTCCTCAAGAATCTGGTTGCGGTGGTTGAGAGATGTGATTTCTTGTTCCTTGGACAAGTTCTCCTGTTCCAGTGTCTTGACACGGGCCTTGAGCTCGTCGACCTGCTCATGAGCTTCGTCGGCCTCGGCACGGAGGGCGTGCATGCGCTGGTGACCATCTGGTCAGTGGAATTCATGAAAATGATGGAATGCCGGGGGTTATGCATGTGTGCATCATGAGGGGTTGAAAGAATTTGGGAGACGGGTTGAGCTACCCCGCCGGGTAGGGGTCTTACCTCCTTGATTTTGTCCATTTTGGTATTGAAAAGGGAATAAAGGAGCTAATATGTAAGATCGAAAGGAAGAGTAGATTAGGCTTTCGCTCTGCGAGAAACCTGCAAATGTGGATGAATGTGAGTGAAGATGATCTGGGGGAGAGTTTTGGGAGAGAAGGGGAGGAATAATGGCTGACTAGTGAACAAGTAGACAGTACCAGCTGATCACGCACAAGCTCCACTACAGGGGAAGTACCCAGTACTTAGTGTGTACCACCGGCGTAACCTGCGTATGGACGTGGTACAACCGCGGTGGTCCCTCTCCGCCAATCACGCGCTCGAGATCGCCGCGTCTCCACGGGCAACCGCTCGACAACATCTGCATCTAGAACTGCTTCAGGTCTCTAGTCACCTACAATCTCGGTGACGCGACTTATCTTACTTCTTGATAACGCGTATGATCCTGACAAGCTTCAGTCCGCCATGTTGGCCCTTCGTGACCAGGAAAACCTGGTAAACACGCACCAGACCGCCGCTGCAGCTAAGCCGTTGAACCAAACCTCGAAATTTGCCCCCAAGACACCCGGGAAGCGAAACGATGAGAACAACCCGCTCGTCTTTGGAGGCCGTACCGTGAAAGGCAATGGAAATCGTTTGGAAAATGGGAAACCAGTCAAAGACGCGTTCATTACTCCGATGGGTACGAGAAAGTCGCAAAACCGTTGCGGGTAATCTGCGACGATAGCTAACAGCTTTCGATCCTACAGTGAAAGATCGCGCTCCGTTGGGCATGAAAACGAACAATCTCAAAGCCAAGAACCTTCAGACACCTGCTCCCTTCGGTGGAACGATCAAGACGAACCGACGACAGTCGACCGCGCAGAAGCTCAAGAAAGCCGCTCCAGTTACACAACAACCGCAGCTCAAGGTTCACAGTGATGTCGTCGTTGATGATGTTCCAGATATCGAATACATGCCACCCAAGCCCAGAGGTATGCGCCAAACAAAAGAACAAGGGCTATGAACCTACTTGCTAGGAACATATTCTGATGACCAACAGATCTCCCGGACCTTCCAGACGACGTGACATACGACACCTCATTTCCCCAGTTCCAACCGAGAAACCGAGCTTTAGGACTAGAGAGTGTTTACGGGAAGCAACAAATTGGCAGTGATGGACTCACAGCGAAGCAGCGCAAGTTCAAGCAGGATTCGGCGGCATGCGACAAGATGGTGGACGAGATGATACTCAAACAGCTTGAGAATGTTGGATTTGAAGGCACGGGGGAGCGTGAGAGCGTTAAATCACGCAAACCGCAAGCTTTTTCCTTGAAGAACCCTAGCACCGTACGACAAACCCGAAGTGTCTCGACGCTTCGAGCTCGCGAGGCCGCTGCAGCGCTCTCGGGATCTCAGCCAACCAGCAGCCCCCGAACTACACCAACTCCCACGCCCAGGATGGCATCATTAGCATCATCTGCATCTTCACTGATCATGCCTAAGAGACACGCCAGGGTTCCATCGAATCCCTCCTCAATGCGCAACACTGCCGCTGCTGCCACCTCGCGAACAACGGTTGGATATTCGAAGGGTCGGAGTGTGTCTTCCGATCTGCGGGAGAAGTCCCAAGCGCAGAAGCCTTCGACCTCTCAAGCCTTATCCCCCGAAACTTACATGCAGCTGTACGGGGCCCCTCCGCTGGACTCGGACATGTGGACCCGCTGCAAAGCTGCTGGGTGCTTTGATACAGAGCCGGATGCCCAGGAGCCTGAGGAACCGCTGCCAACCTTCGAAGACGAAGAAGCCGATGACTTTCAGCTGACATTGTAAACGGGATTTTCGGAGGGAAAAGGGCTCAATTGTTGCTACAATATTCATATTCGAGCGATCGGCTCACATGTTCTGGCCAAATGGTGGCGTTTTGGAAATGAAGTTCTTGTAAGTGTTACTGGGCACTTTGTACGAATAGTCTTCCCTACCGCGGATCCTCCTGTTTCAGGTGTTCTCCACTATGATGATCTCTCGCCAAGCCACAGACGAGGTCGCACATGCATTTCCCGTCAGGGACCACGTACGCAGTTCCTCGCTTCAAGCAGACCCTCTCAAGTCCAATTGGTTGCAAATCATGGGGGAAATAGCTTAGCAACTATCGGATGTAGCTACATGCAACTCAAGATGCGAGTTTAAGCTAAATTGTATTCTGTATTGCACGCCAACTAGAGGCGGTCGAGGTACGTCAGCATGGGAAAATAAAGGTAAAGTTCGTTGTACCTAGCGGATACCAGGCCCTCAGGCAACTCACGCACGGGAGTAGAGGTACCAATCAGGTACTTCCAGGTACCTTGTTCTAGCCCACACCGCCCCGGAATTGCCTATGTCTTCTTATTTACTCGCTGGCCTCTCCTTTTCCCTTCCACTCCATTCAATTGACGCTTAGCCGCCATGACGACCATTCATCCGGAGTCCATTCCGGAGTTCGAATACATTCAGACACCGGCTGCCCCCGAGCAGACCAAGCCTGACTTCGATTGCGGTGTGCCAACCACCTTGGTAAGTCCCACAGCTAGAGCTTCCCATGAGGGGTGACCGCTAGATACTAACTGAGTCGCCTTGTTTAGTACCCGTCAATCAAGAATGCCCCCGTTCCTGCCGACTCCCCCGGCAGTGACAGCTTCTCCAATGGCTTGCTGATCGCTCTGTTCGTGATTGTTCCCTGGTGGCTGGCTCGCCAGGTCGGTGGAGGTTTCTACACCACCATCTTCTTCGCTCTCTTCACTAGCGTTCCTGTGTTGGTCGCTTTCTGGGCTGTCGCTTCCTCCGTTTCTCCTCGCAAGACCGAGAAGGCCAAGTACCGTGGTCTTCCCGTCGAGCACTACCTGCACTTCCACAGCGAGCACGACCGCGCTACTTACCGCGGAAAGAGCAAGATCCCCATGGTCGTCTTCTACGAGAAGTACTTCAATGGTGAGGTTGACTTCAAGGGCGATGCTCTGGACTGCCTCGAGTACCGTCACGACTGGGCCAACTTCAAGTTCACCTCTAGCCTCTTCAAGCACTTCCTGTTTGGCTTCATCCCCGAGATGCTTCTCCACACTCGTTCTCAAGGTAAGAATGCCTCCGTGAAACCCCCACAGGTGTCGATTCAATCGAAGTTGCTAACTCAATTCTAGACGAGGAGCAGGTTCGTGACCACTACGACCGAGGTGACGACTTCTACGCTTGGTTCCTTGGTCCCCGCATGATTTACACTTCCGGTGTTATCAGTGATATCAACAAGGAGGAGACCCTCGAGGAGCTCCAGGACAACAAGCTGGCTATTGTTTGTGAAAAGATTGGTGTCAAGCCCGGTGACAAGATCCTTGATCTCGGCTGTGGCTGGGGAACCCTTGCCAAGTACGCTTCTGCCCACTACGGTGCTCACGTTACCGGTATCACTCTTGGTCGTAACCAGACTGCCTGGGGTAACAACGGTCTCCGCAAGGCTGGTATCGAGGAGGAGCAGAGCCGCATCATTTGCTCCGACTACCGCGATGCTCCCCGTGTCGATGGTGGATACCAACAGATCACCTGTCTCGAGATGGCCGAGCACGTCGGTGTTCGTCACTTCTCTTCTTTCCTTTCCCAGGTCTACGACATGCTCGATGACAACGGTACCTTCTTCCTGCAAATCGCTGGTCTCCGCAAGTCCTGGCAGTACGAGGACCTCATCTGGGGTCTTTTCATGAACAAGTACATCTTCCCCGGTGCTGACGCCAGTACTCCTCTCGGTTTCGTTGTGGACCGTCTCGAGGGTGCCGGCTTTGAAATCAAGGCCGTTGACACCATCGGTGTGCACTACTCTGCTACCCTCTGGCGCTGGTACCGGAACTGGATGGGCAACCGTGACAAGGTCGAGGCCAAGTACGGCAAGCGCTGGTTCCGCATCTGGGAGTACTTCCTTGCTTCTTCCACCATCACCTCTCGCCAGGGTGGTGCCACTTGCTGGCAACTCACCCTTGTCAAGAACATCAACTCCACCCACCGTGTTGAGGGCATTAACACCCAGCACGGCCTTACCGGAGCTCGCCAGAACGCTATTGACCGCGCTGGTACTCTCCCCAAGGCCCACATCATCAAGAAGGATCTGTAAAGGGTTGATACCTGATCTCGCTCCTTGTCTGCTCCAATCATCTTTGGGGTAGCTTGATACTACTAGGGCAATGGTAATGTGGATGTTCGAACACGAACATATCAAAAATTGAACTTTTGTATGACAAAAACGATATGATATGAAGGGAGAAGAGGGGACGTTTGAATCTATGATGTGGACGAAGGCACGGAACTATCTACCTCTCTAGGTAGTAAAGAAAGGAACATGGATAGGCCAGAGGCTTGTCTGGCTGGTCCGCCGCGATATCTCGCTCGGTTTTATCTGCGGTTGTGTTCTCTTTTCTGTGTCTTGTGACAATAAGATACTGCACGAAGTAAATGAGTCTGTCTTTGTATTGTTTATTTTTCAATAAATCAACGATCTATGTTTAGACATTTTCTCCTTGCACAGAGTAGTGGAAATGTAGGCTTTCACGCCAATGACTCGCCTCAGCAGTCAATTTCAAGTTTACAGCCCGAGCCCTGGAGATTGACGCAACTAAATTCCCAATCAGCGTAAACTACAAAGTGGTGTTAATACTCTGTACGGCAACAGCCTTTTAAATCGTATAGAATGAGCTGGTAAGGGCATTAATTCTATTACATGTCCCTGCAGAATGACTAGACTTGCCTACAAACCAACATGAAATCTTAAGTCGTAATGGGCCACTAACACCCCAGAGCATATCATACAATCCACCGCGTAGCCAAGAGAGAACGAAAAGACCAAGAGCAATCCAATAGACAAGTGGGATATGTAATGAAAGAGACAGAAAGGGGGATAGATGCAAGAGGGCCGTGATGGCCCTGTATAGTTGGTACAAGGAAAAAGAGGATTGGAGGTAAAGGAACATCCATGCTTGCAAGCTGAGCTCACGGCAGACTGTATCCGCAGCCGCCCTTGAACTTGGAGATTCAGCATAATTGGAACATACCCACGTTGCCCCCGGTGTACAGGGACATCGCGGTATTCCATGTCAGAAAAAAAAAAGTAAGGGTATTCCAATACCCCAAGGAGAGAATCCATTAGATTGAAAAGGGATTTCAGTGTCTCATTCTCATGCCAAGTCGCTTGATAAGATCAAAGAAGAAAAAGGAGACGTCTAGTCCGCGTCGAACTTGTGGTTGTATTCGCCAAGGAGGACATCGTCCGGGCCAGGGCCATGTGTATTCCGAACTGTTGCACAACGTAAGCCGAGTCCGAAGGTCCCAGGTCACACTGTTGGGATCAGGGGTGATGATGCGGGGAATACATACTCCACTCAGCTTCGGTCCGGTAGAACACCCACATCCAGCGGCGTCCAACTTCCAGGAGCATGAGAATCCAGAAGCCACTCTCTGTCTCCGAAATCCACCCGAAGCCCGGAACGATGCGCCAGAGCCATGAGAATCGGAGTGCGAGGTCTGCGATGATGACATAGTGGTACATCTTATCGGATGAGAAGTAGCGGTGTCGACGCAGTCCGTAGGGGTGGTCTCGGTCGTGGCGTTCGTGTGAGAAGAGGGTCATGTCCCAATCCTTGACCACATCCCACCAGAATGAATAGGCGGAGTTGATAAAAGAGAAAATGAACCTGCGGATGTTAGGATGTAGATTTTAAGATTGACGGGGGATCGTACAGAAGGCGCATCATGCTCATTTCACTGTATCCGCCAAACTCCAACGGGTTATAGTTGCGCATTTTCGAGGACATCCAAATGACCGGGAAAGCAGTGGCATACTTGAGGGCGTTAGCCAAGTGCTGAGTGCCCTTCTGTGTTTCTCTCCGAGTTGTAGTCTTGCGCGCACGTAGATATTCCGTCAGACACTGGCGTAGACGAATCAAGCTGGGAACGGCAAGGATAATGGGAACCACGATTTCGTTTCCACAGGCACGATTGGGCTTGGAGGTCGCAGCGATGCCATCGGTGAAGAACATGCAGAAACTGATATAGAGATCTCCAATCACACGCGCGTAGCTAGTTAGGGCATCTGCCAGCAGAATATCACCAAACTTGCCATCCTGGGACTCTGCCAATCCGCCAACGACGATTCGCTTAAGGGTGAGGAGGAATCGAATCCGACCGGAACGGGAGGCGCGGTTGAGGGGCCATATAAGGATGAGCAGGAGGATCACGAAGACGGATTGTGGAAGCCAATCTAGTCGCTCCACCAACTCAGGAGACCGGCGGGTCACTATCCAAAAGACAACGAACCAGATAGCCAATGGAATGCTGAAGATGGTTGCTAGACGATAGACGGCGGCGTGGTGCGGACGCTGGGAGGGTGGGCGAGCAGGATATTTGATGAGAGCTGGAACGTCCTACGAGAGACGTGGTGAGTGGGATATCGATGTGGTCGCGTGTGGCGGCACTTACGATATTCGCTTTCGCTAGGTACTCGAGGTTCAAGCCCCATCCCCAGAAACCTGACGTTGTGTTAACTTGTGTATCTCACAGATCTGGAGAATGATCATACCAGCAACCAGGAGGGAAGCTATCCGTAAGGGCAATGGGAAGATCAGCCCAAAGGGATCCAATTGAGCATGTTGATCTGGACCCATTATTCCATTGAACGAGGGGTAGAGGTTGGCAAGGACAAGAACCCCGTGGGGGCTTAGAAAGGAATGACTAGGGGTGAGTCTCAGAGGAAGTTGAGACTTTTGGAAGTCCGCTTTCGGTTTTTTAATAAGCGGAGGGCGTGCAGGACTCGGGAAGTCTGGAACTCCACAGGTCCGTTTTGGTATAATTAGAAGCACATTTCAGGGGAGATCGTAGAGATCGACCAAGGCCCTAGGCCTATGAGGGCTATTTGTTACAAATTACATACATTCTATTTCAAGGGTTACAGTATAGATCAAATTATCCATATCCTCACTGTATGGAGTACTCAGTACAAATGAATTGTTAATGCAAACAAGAGTCCTTGAAATCACTCTATACTTATACTTGTCCCTCTCTACGGAGTGCACCCGCATTCAGTCTGAAGAAAAGGGACCGGAGTAGTCCAAGTGGGGAGTACCGGTATGGTAATTCCTGTATGGTAAATTAAGTAATGTATTGCCCCACGTGAGGGTCAGGTGATGTCAGTGTCTTGGGTAATCAGGTCACATGACCCCTCCTCAATGGACCGAGGTACGACTGGGCAACTCCGGGGTTCTCCAAAGCTGGGGAGACCTTGTTTCTGAGAATTGTTGATGCGACTGGACTAGCATCAATATCACTTCAATTCTCCAACCATGGCCGACGAGGACTCCCATCTCTCTCTCCCAACGAATCCGGCCCTCAGCCCGACCCCCTCACACTTCTACCCGTTCGCAACCTCACCAGATGTCATCCGGTCACACGAGAAAGATGCATTCCTCACCAGCAGTCTAGTCCATCAATCACAGGGCATTGTTCGAGCCCTCCGCGGGGCCCGCTTCGCCCACACCTACTCCGACTCCATCAAACACACCACCGAACTCCTCTACTTCTCTCTAACAACCGCCCTCGGCAATCGCACCCTCGGCGAGGAATATTGCGATCTAGTCCAGCTAGAAGACGACACATTACAGTTACCGTCTATCGGGCGCCGGGTGGGGTACATTTTAAGCAGCATTCTCGTGCCATGGACACTCCAGCGTCTGCTGCCCGCACTCCGACATCGGATTCGTAACAAGCTGGAGCGCAATGTCGCGCGTGAACAGCTCCGCGCAGCACAGCAGGCTGGCCTGCTGAACAAGCCCCAGCTTTCGGCGCCAGTGAAGAAGCCGTTCTTTACAAAGTTGCGCGTTCAGCAGTATCTTCTTGAGCATCTGGACTCCATCACTTCTGTTTCACCCATTTACGCCCTGAGTATTGCGACTTTCTATTTCACAGGGTCATATTACCATCTTTCCAAGCGGATCTGGCGTCTGCGGTATGTCTTTACGAAGAAGATAGATGATAATGAGCAACGGATTGGGTACGAAGTTCTGGGGGTGTTGCTCGTGCTGCAGATTGCAGTTCAGGGATTCCTACACGCTCGGAAACTAGCAACTATTCCCGACGAAGAGGAAAATTCGGAGGGCGAGTCTTCCTCGGGTGCCGTGCTTGCCTCGATTCAGAATCCCTCTGCTATTCCTTTGCTTCCTGCTTCCATGCCTCTTTATGATCTGGAAGAAAACCCCGGTGCTGTCTCGTGGATCCCCGAAGGTCAACAGCGGAAGTGTACACTATGTCTGGAGATGTTCAAGGATCCTAGTGTCACGACCTGCGGCCATGTCTTCTGTTGGATGTGTGTGAGGGATTGGGTTCGAGAGAAACCTGAGTGCCCTCTTTGTCGTCAGGAAGTCTTGCTCTCCAAGGTTCTGCCTTTAAGAGGGTAATCAACCTGGTGCAACTATGACGAACTTGCAATTCGCTCCTGATGTAATACCTGGTACTTTTTTGTATGGCCAGCATTTGTTAATATACCACTTGGATTGAAATATATGTCTATATACCCATTCCCAATTCAGGTGAATCTCTCCGAGGTTGTCTTGGAGATTGTAGCAAAGACAAAGAACTTCAAAAGTTCATGTTTAATACAAACAAGGAAAATGTATGGAGCGAGATCGAAGTCAATAACAATCCATGAATGTACCGAAGAAGACAATGCGTGCTGACAATGCAAAATGTTATAAATCACCTGTGGATGACAGGAGGATGGAGGAATATGCAAATGTGGGAATATGGGTAATTATTTTCAGTACAAAACAAACTGCAAAGTGAAGTGAGAAGGGAAGGTAGGAAAGGAGTAGAGAGAAGGGCGGAAAATTGCACGCATCCGCACATGCTCATTTGCGTGGCATGAGCATAATTAGAGCAGGAGATCATCGGTGGCGACTGCTGCTCTTTGCGGAAGAATGATGGGTTCACCAAGTTCAGCAAATGCAGGACGAGGCGGCATGGGGTCCATAGCCTCCCTTTTGGCTTCCATGGCGTGGAAAAGCCGAACACAGGCGTACGGGTCAGTAGCTGCATCTGCAATAAAGTCAGTTATAATCTAGGATGGACAAGTCTGCAATTACTCACATTGAACCTGCTGGTAATTCAAGGTACGGGTCCAGTCTCCACAGCGCACATCTTCATCCTTGTCAAGAGGAAGACCGAAATGTTCTTCCATCTGATCGCTCAGATTAACACCCCTTTTGTTCACTAATTTCGGTTCGTCCTTGCCGAACTTGACCAGCTTGAACAAGTGACTGAGCTCGAAAGTGGCTGTGGCATCAATGCCGAGATACTTGCGCAGTCGTGTACAGTCTGCTTTAATTGCAACGCCGACTTTGATGACATCGGGTGACTCGATCAGCTTCTTTAGTGAAGGAGACACCAAGTCTTTCTGGGTCTTTCCCGGGAAAAGAGCAACCTGGAAGAGGCCAATTCGCTCCTCGTTGGCAATTTGAATAAGTGATACGTTGCCCTTTATGCCGTCACGACTGGTTGCCGATGATTTCCACTCCATGTCGAAGCCGAGGACTTTGCTTCCAAGGAAGTGCTGGACCATTGCCTCAGTACTTTGGAGTGTCCGGCAATAGTGAACGATGATTTTATCACCGCTAGGGCTGAGCTGTGATTTGTGACTCCAGAACACAGGCGCTGGGGTCTCATTTTGACTGATATTGTCCGCCGAATGAGAGAATCGGTCGTCCGTGGGAACGATTTCCTCAAGAGGTTGGGTATCCGTGAGAGCTGCCAACGAAATTTCATCTTCAAGTGTTCGCTCCTTGAGGGGTTTGCGGCTCACGTCACTAGGGTGTTGGGACTCCAAGTGTTGAGAGCTTGCATCTGTGCTATACACTCTTTTGTGTTCGCTTCGTGACCAATTCGAGAATGACCGAGTACCGCCCAGTTCAGCTCTTGGCAGGCGGCTTTTGAGTTGGATCTGAGGAAGTGGCTTTGGGACAGTGAGGCCTGCGACCTGTGCTTCAAGTTGGTCGTGAAGCAGTTTCTGATCCCGTAATTCAGCCTTCGAAACCTTCCTAAAGCGGTTCTTGGGACGGCTGTGTGATTTTGGAGGTTCTATAGAGAGCAGCGGCCCTTTCTCAGCAGCCCCTCTCCTCCGACGGGGCCGTTTTGGAGATTCTACTGAAGAACCCAGCTCGGGAGTAAAGGACGTATTGATTTTTCCTAATTCCCACTCGTCATAAATGTCCTCCCATTGAGCTGGCGGGATCGCATGGGCAGATGTAGCAAGAAAGGCTTCTTGTGAACACAGTGCCATTTGATCGACCCATTCTAGGAAGGGCTCTGTGCGAGAATTATACTGACTGCGATGCGAGGTCTGGGCGCTTGGAGAACCTGATGTTTTCATCTTCAAAGCGGGCTTCATCCGGTTGATCGAACGGAGTCTGTGGGCCCCTCTCAATGGTTTGATTCCATCAAGTGATGAAACTTTTATCCCTAGCCGGCGTTCTCGAACGAGGCGGAGCCAGTTCAGTTCTCTGAACTCAGCAAAATCTGCTCGAAATTCACTGCGATGACTTGCAAACTGGGAGCACCATAGCGTTAAAGAACGCAATACGGGTGCCTTTGTCTCTCTGGGTAGCGATGGCCATAGCGACCCATACAGCCCTCCCAGGCTGAATCGAAGATAATCAACCTCAGAGTGAAGGCGCCATGTCATCATATCAGCAAGCTCAAACGGGGCCATCGTATTAAGCTGGCGCCAGTAGATAGAATCTGTGGGGATATTCAGATATGCCAGACCGAGCGCAGAGCGCACCTTTTCTTGATTCACCTCGAAAAGTCCCGAGCTCCGTAACATGGAATGGATAAGTTCTGCGGGATCTTTTGAACAGTATCGTGTAATGGTTTTCCACTGCCAGAGGGCCATCTTCCTGAAACCATGGTTATTGTTTTGCTTCTCGCGCCAAGCTGCACGCCAACTATGAGTGAGCTCTCGTAGTTCGTGACTAATATCAGCATTGATTTTGCCTAGCTCGGCAAATTCTATCGCATCTTCAGTGTCAACAGAAGCGGTTTGGCTCAGCTCTTTACAAAGAGAGGATATTTCAGAGGTGGGTTCCTGCACCGCCGCACATTTTTGTTGCAACCTGGCATAAATCAATCTCGACCTCTCGAGCGGGGCAATTATTCGATCTATTCGTCGTTGTGCCCGCATTCGTGGTAGCCAAAACTCGAATTGGAAGTGTGTTTGCAATGAGTCAATGGATTGCCAAGATAAATCGACTTGGGAGGCTATTAGCTTTAGCGCGGAACCGCGGATTTGGCTTTCCCAGCCTTGCACCTTCAGCTCGGATTTCTTTAGGTCCTGTGACCATTGTGGGATTGGCCTAAAGACAGTCGCGCAGAATTCACGCTCAATCTTTGAAATTGCCTTTCGCGATTCCGCGACTGAAACTACCACGCGGTCCAATCCTTGAATGGAAGAGGAGAGACTCTTCACCTGGAGCAAATACTTTCGTGTAGCCTGTTTTGATTGCTGGACTTGATTGGCAATCTGCGAGACCATAGTGGTGAATCGTTCCAATATTGAAGTGGACAGTGTCGCCACTTCAGCCGCGAGCTGTTGTGTGACGGCGTTTGCTTCTGATACCCTTGCCTCGTTGATTGCGATTACCGAGTCCCGTCGCTGTTGTATGGAAATTGCCAGACAGTCGAATTCAGACACATATGCCTGAGTGAGACTTTCTGCATGAGCAACCCGTTGCGTTATTTCCAACATGAGGTCAGCAATTTGCTTGTTGAGACATTCCGTGAGGCTCTCAGAATCGGCCTGGTAGCTCTCAACGGCCGCAATGGAATCAGAAATAAGATCATCAAGGTATTGATATCTCAATTGAATGAAACTTTCAACCAGGAGCTCATGCGACGGCAACTTTTGGAATATATGTTCAATCGATGCCACGTTATCTGCCAGCTGCTTTGTATCAATCCTCGACCGAAGCAAGCTACCGACGTTCCGGTGCGTCGCTGGGCGACTGGGACCAGCAGGCTTGGATGGTTCAACGTTTCGAGGGGGTTGGGATGGTCGAGCTGGTTGCGCGGACCGAGTTGGTTGAACGGGCCCTTTGCGATGCATACCAATTTGCCCAACAGGGGCCGGTTGCAGGACTTCATCATCGTCGTCCCATATCCCTTTCTGATATGAGCTGTGGCTGAAGCTCCGCTGGAGTTGCGACGTCGCGATTCGAGTGTGAGCAGCACATGGTCTATGTACAGATCCATGTTGGGGGTTGCGGGAGAGGGTGCCACTGAACTTTGGTCAGAAGATTGCTGCTGAGGCCACCGAGAGAGGAATGCTGCTTACCGAATTTCTCCAAGCCTCATCCACATTGACCCATATGGTAAAGGTCTACCAGCATGTCTGCTGGGTCTGGGGGTTGAAGGTCGGGTCTTCCCACTTCTTGAAAGGCTCGGCCGCATGCGCATTCTGATAAACCAGCATAGTGGACCTGCCTAGAATCCCATTGACACCTGAAAACAGCAATATATCAGAGGGAAAATGAACGGGCTCGTAAAGTAATCCGCCCAGCTGCAGGCATGCAATCAAGAAATCCGAATTGAAGTCGGGATTTGAGGTTCACGCCGCGGAGCTCCACACGCGAATCAACTTTAGAGACGGGCTAGTCCGAATATGGACTAGTGTATCGGAACGGAATATCTACGGAAAGACAGACGATTCACGTCCTTTTCTATATCAAACTTGCCCACGCGGAGAAGCCGATCATTCTAAAATTCGGAATCAGAGACCATCGAACAATTCTATCAACTCAACTTGATTGTTCCTCAGCATCATGGCTTCCCAACTTCTGCCCCTTGGTTTGCACCCCATTCTTCCCAAATTCCATCACCCCCACTAACTCGTTTGATAGAGCTTATTGACAAGTGTGTTGGCTCCCGCATTTGGGTAGTCATGAAGGGTGATAAAGGTAGGTTTGAGTCGAACTCCTTGAATCAGGAGTCGAATTGAATGCTGACGCCCATGAAGAATTCTCCGGGACCTTGCTTGGTTTTGATGACTACGTCAGTGAGTATCTCCTACAGCACCAATAGTTTGATCAGACACTAATTTTGCACCTAGACATGGTTATGGAAGACGTGACTGAGTTGTATGTGACTTGAAATTCTGCACTTTACATTTGAGAGCCTCATCATTTCATGGAGTTTCACACTCTGTTCGACTTGCACTCCATCAAGGGGCTCCCGCACAGGTTCTAGCTCTTTGGCCTGACCTCGCAAAATTAATGAGAAATCCCTTGGTGCCGTAAACTAACTTGACTTCAGTGACTACACTGGCGCCCAGATCAAGCTCCCTAAGCTCCTGCTGAACGGCAACAACATCTGCATGGCAAGTTACCCACATGAGGCGAGTTTTCGTGGTGAACTAACCAAGAAAAACAGTTGATCCCTGGTGGCGAGGGCCCCGGTGCAAGCTCATGATTGAGATACCCAGCTTGCTTTGACGAAAAGACAATTCTGTGTATTAACGACACCAAATGCAACGAGATAGAACACAATCGTTGAATGAATGAACTTCACGCCCATCATGTGCCTGGTCAACCCACTGCTCTCAACTTTAAAGGGGGCTGTAGAGAGAAAGGCTGATTGCTAGCCATCCGGAAAGACTGCCAATTAACTGCATGGTCACTGTTTTTGACAGCGCCGCCTTAAATGCAAGGGCCCATACCCTGCTCCAATCAGATTCAAAAACCAAACCATGCTAGAGCTAGTCCAGGCCTCCGCCAAACAGAACCCCCGTTTCCAGATAAGACCCAGATTGGCTCCGATCAGGCTATCAACGGGTAGTCCCGGTCCCCATGCGCTACTACAAGTCTACTACCGGGTATTTGGAGCATTTGGAGTGATCATCATCCGATGATTTCCCAAATAGGTAGGTTCTTAGATGACAAGCGAGCCAGTGGTGGTTTTAACCGTATGTGGCGCACCGAAGTTCTGGATTACCCCCCATATACATACCGGCCCGGGGAATATTTGGATAATTGCGAGTAATTAGTACTCATTCGAACCGCCGACCTGATTCCAGTCTATCATTGGAGTGCCTATACCTGGCTGGGTATGTACATCTCCTCCTGTAAGGCACCTATGGTAGGTAAAACCTACGCCGGGCCGGTGCCACTGGAGGGCCACCTACGCATGTCTAAGTTATTGTGTACGGAGTACTATGCTATCAAAACATTTTCATATATTCCAAGTTTATGTCGCTATTGTTGTGTGTGATTTGCAGATTTTAATTTGTTTGATCTTTTCCTGTTCTTGGAAAAAAGCGCTGTGGACCGCCCGAGGCGAGGAAAGGCAAAGGCTTCCCTTTGAGCTATTCGAAGTTCCAGGCACCGGGCGCACATCGTCGCTCTTTCGGATCGCGATGCATCACATCCATGGATTAGACTCCAAATCCACTTGATATTCCGGGGTGAGGTGGGCATCGCTAGTGGCCCGTCTACCCCAGACTCGAGAGCCAACGACGTGAAACCTGTTACCTAACAGATTGTTTCCCCCGCATTTTATATGCACCTCAAGTTGAACTCTAGATTTGTATTGCTCACCTTGACGTCCTTCTAAATTAGGATGACAATATTAGATCGGCTATTTAGTTCAGCCTTGAGGTGAGACAGGGGAAATACCAAGATCCTCACGGAGCTGAATGGCGAGCTCCGACTTGGCGACGGTGATGAATACAAGCACACACGGGAATGGGAGGTAGAAAAACATCAGGTCGGGAAACGGGTACCTCCGCTCGGGTGGCGAAAGTGCAAATCAGGCTCGTGAAACTCGACCAGTTTACACGTGGACGAGACTTTTGCGGGGAAAAACAGAGTGGAACTCGACTTGGATATCCAAAAGGTAAACCGAGTTGTGGCCATGGAATTTCATTCTATACGGGAACATGATTTACGGGCGCTGCCTTCCGGTTTCAAACTGCCTCCGTTCCAAGTAAGGGTCAGCCGAATGCAATGCCAACCCTACTCGATGCTACCGTGGCTATCTGCTGCGGGAGCGTGGCCAGTAGGAAGCGCCACGGAGCGCCATCAAATAGACAGGCTTCCGTGGCTGGGATTCAAGCAACCGTTCGAAGCTCCAGGCCGACATCCCTGCGTCCTTTTGTTATTGCTGGGCATGAGTGGGTCTTGTGCACGAGTCTTACGAGTACACCTTGTCTCATGTTATCGCGGTTCGAGATATGAGCTGAGATTGGTGGATATCCACAGAGATAGAGATGCAAGATAAGAGAGCGCGCCTGTCCTCATTTGCCTTGGCCCCCAAAGATCTCCTGTTGGAATGCCATCTCACCATGGGATGCTACAGAGCCGTTGGCCAAGTGATCGCTTCTTTGGCTAAGATCCCCGAGCCCCGAGTTAATGGCAGTCCTGAAAGTCTATTCGCGGACCGCAAACGCGAGGGTTTTCGCCCGTGACCTACCACAACATGACCAGCATGTTGCCCAGCAAGAATACGAGCCTGGCTAGAACGCCAGGATCGAGCCGATGTTGCTATCATTTTGTCGTGAACACCACATGATTATATCCCTAACCAGTGCTTCTCCCGTTCTTCCATGCATATCGCAGACCGCCACCGGCCACCGAACTCACGCGCGAACCGAATCATTCTTCTAACATCCCAGAATCTGGCCCCATGGCCTCAAGCTCAGGGTCTCCCGGCCAGAGTCAAGACTTCACTCGGTCACCCCGATAGCTATTTCACACTTCCCCGGTCCCGCCAAGTAATTGCACCGAGGCAACCTTGGAAGGGTCAGAAACTCAATTGCGACCCAGCCTCACTGAGGCAAAAGCCACATGGTCTTATACACCCATTCCTGCTGTGGCTTAGTGCCACCATCCCGGATTCCGTCGGTAACATCCAAGGAAAACAGGGGGTGTTCACTTGGCTATCTGACATATAGGGCAATGCATGTGGTGCATGTGCCCCTAGAACATTCCAATGATGCCTCGATTATACATATTAATGCGAGTCATATCACAATATAGAGTAGTCATAGCCAAACGGAGAAAAGAAACTCTAATAAATATAGAAAAGAAAAGAGAAACAGAAAAAGAAAAAGACGACAAAAAGACCAGTAAGCATGCCCTTATCTTCCGAGGCAAATCGCATTGGGTAACTATCAAGTGCGGAGAGACCCCTAATAAGGCCTAGTGGAACTGGGCTCTTGCCGTCTGTGGTCTGTGAAGCTTGGCTTTTTATCCGCATTCTCGCTACTCTTTAGGTGAAATGGTTTTGTTAAAAGTTGGCTGGGGGTACTGGTAGGTTTAGAAAGATGAATGGTTAGGGGACCCTTGGTCTCTGAACTCCATATACAAGGTAGAAATGTACTTAGTATTTTGACAAGTATATCACAAGATAAAGTCTAGTGGCGGTGGAGTCCTCGCGCTAATTAGCCTTCTTTGCCTCCTGTGATAACCCGTCGACTTTAAGGTGAGACATCCCTTATCTCCCGACTCCGGGGTCATTTTGTATACACTGGCGTTTGCAGATCGAGTCTCCATGCGCAACGAGTACATAATATTGTTGTAAAACAAAGGGAGTAAATTAAGCAGAGCGGTGTTCATCAAGCATAATTGACTAAAAGTGTCAGACCCCGCCAAGGTTATTGAAGATGTCTGAACTGCATTTGGCCCGAAGGTTTAGGTCTTAGCGCAGAAAGGATTGGGAAATTACTGGGATGATTTATTTTATGGGAATTATTGAGCCATTTTCATTATCAACTAACGGAAATCATTCGCTGATTGCCTGAGTTGGCCTGGATCATATTTAAACCCTCACTCTCCCCCAGTTCATGATAGATTTGACTGTTAACCTACTTTATTTTTTCACGCCACTTACCTTCTCTCTCTTGACACTGACAAGAGACATCCTCAAATCATGGAGGAAAAAAAGTTTGAGGAGCATACCGTCCAAACGGGCTCAGATGCTCCCCCCTCCTATGGCCACACATCTACGATGAAAGCGAGCTTCGGACAGCGCATCATCGACAGTTTCAAGCGCGATCCTAATCACACCGTGACAGGCCACGGCAACCAGGGAGCTGATGGCTCTGGCTTCGATGTTGAGACTGCAGCACATAATACTGCCCATTCTCCACTACAACGTTCGTTGAAAGGTCGTCATTTGCAGATGATTGCCATCGGTGGTTCAATTGGTATGTATTTATCAGCTCAAAACATCCTTTGACTTCTACTTACCTCTTCATAGGTACCGGTCTTTTCGTCGGTTCTGGTAGCGTTTTGGCAGCTGGTGGCCCCGCCTCGGTTTTGATCGCTTATATCTTGATTGGTTGTATGTTGTACTGTACTGTGCATGCATTGGGTGAAATGGCCGTTCTTTTCCCCGTGGCTGGTTCTTTCGCCCATTACTCGACTCGTTTCGTGGATCCGGCTTGGGGCTTTGCAATGGGTTGGAACTATGCGCTGCAATGGTTGGTCGTTTTGCCCTTGGAGATCGTCGCCGCTTCTATCACCGTTGATTACTGGAATCCCGGAGTATCCAATGCGGCCTGGGTCACCATTTTCTGGGTGATGATCGTATCTATCAACATGTTCGGTGTTCGAGGTTACGGTGAAGCCGAGTTCGTCTTCTCCCTCATCAAGGTTGTGGCCGTGATTGGTTTCATGTGAGTATTGCTTCGCATTAGTATTTGATCATGACTGATTTGCCAACAGCATCCTTGGAATCATTATCAACTGCGGTGGTGGCCCAGAAGGTGGATATATCGGTGCCTCTTACTGGTATGACCCAGGTGCCTTCCACAATGGATTCAAGGGACTGTGCAGTGTCTTCGTGAACGCTGCCTTCGCCTTCGCTGGAACCGAGCTTGTCGGTCTCGCTGCTGCGGAAACCGCCAACCCTCGCAAGTCCCTCCCAACCGCCGTCAAGCAGGTCTTCTGGCGTATTGCCCTCTTCTACGTGGTTTCCTTGGTTGTTGTCGGCATGCTGGTACGATGGGACGAGCCACGACTCGTGAGCGGGTCCTCGTCAGCCGATGCCAAAGCCTCTCCATTCGTCATTGCCATCGAGAATGCCGGAATCAAGGTTCTGCCCTCTATCATGAACGTTGTCATCATGATTGCTGTCTTGTCCGTCGGTAACTCTTCGGTCTACGGTTCCTCGCGTACCCTGGCTGCTCTCGCCGAGCAGGGCCAAGCTCCCAAATTCCTTGCCTACATCGACCGCAAAGGTCGTCCCTTGCCTGCCATCATCATTGCCTCTGCCCTCGGTCTCCTTTGCTACCTTGCGGCCTCTGACAAGCAGACGACTGCTTTCCAATGGATGATGGCAATTTCTGGTCTATCCTCCATCTTCACCTGGGGCTCTGTGTGCCTTGCCCACATCCTGTTCCGCCGAGCTTGGAAGATCCAGGGCCATACCTTGGATGAACTGGCTTTCCAGTCCCAGCCTGGAGTGTACGGTTCATGGGTTGGTCTCATTTTCAACATCCTTGTTTTGATCGCCCAATTCTGGGTTGGATTTGCACCCGTCGGATACGCAGAGATGACTGCCAACGAGAAGGTTTACAACTTCTTCTCTGTTTACTTGGCTGCCCCTGTCGTCATTGCCTTCTACATCCCCTACAAGCTGTGGTACCGCACCAGCTTTGTCCGCTCCACTGAAGTGGATTTGGTCACTGGTCGTCGGGAATTAGACCTCCAGCATCTGGTTGAACAGGAGCGGGCTGAACAGAAGCAATGGCCCAAGTGGAAGAAGGTCTACAAGTTCTTCTGCTAAGATGTTTCATTTCTAACTACTTTTAATCATTCCCCTCTGGTTCAGAGAACCAGCTCCATAGTATGATACGTTTGTTTGAATAGCGAATACCACGATATTGACGCGCACCTCGCACCTCGCATCTTGCAATTGCCTTAAGAGTAAATTCGTCCTGTACATGCCGATCCTAATATCAAGCCTCCAGGCTTGGCGTGTTTGTGGGGAGCGTTGGAGGGCATATGACACGTATCGCATGAAACAACCCTGTGGACATATTAAGGTACCAGAGTCTGGGCCTTGGAAGCTCATACTCTGTGGCTGTACGGAGTACTTGCCTTGTACACCATGCCATGGCTAGCCCTGAAATACAGAGCACTGAGTACATGAATACATCTATATGCTAAGCAAAGCCCCCCTTTTTTTCGGTTGGGAAAATCCCCGTTAAAAATTAAAGATTTGCAGACTGACGGTGTATTTTTCAATCCCAAAAATAGTACAAAAAAAGTGCGCCCCAGTGGATTCGCCGAAAAACACAGTGGGGACGGCGCTGTGTACCCGAAATTGTTCACGTTCTGCGGTCTCAGCCCCGTATCGTAATATTACGAGCCACATGACGAGGCTTGCGATCTGGAAATCAACATCTCCAACACTCCAATTCCAAGTTATCCTGTCTCTCATTTGCATCTCCGTGTTGCTGCTTCTGCCAGCCCATTTGAATCGCATATTCCCCGACTCCGGTTTTCGCTCCTTTCAAGGCTCCTTTCAAGGCCGTGCGGATTCCTTTCACGGCGCTTAGCAGCGCTGTCTCACATCTCCCAAGCGATCGTCCTTCCATCGGTCCCTCGATCTCTGCGCACCGTCATCAATCACGAAATTTGAATTGACTTGCCCAACCCGTCACCTGGCTTGCTTTCCGTGTGACAGGTCTCATCGCAACCTCCCAAGAGCCTCGGTGGCTGGTGAACCATTCACTCCGATCGACTCTTTGAGTTTCGCATTGTCTCCGCCCGACTCCCTAGTGCCTATTATCCTCCGAACCTACGAATTTACGAATCACGCCGGTGACCAATTTTGGTCCGTTTGTCTTTTTTGTGCTCCGGTTACGTGTCTCCATTCAACCGCCTGAAGCAGCCATTTAGCCGCCATAATGCCCGGGTTTGCGGACTCGTTCTGGACCCCCGACTATGCTAGCGGGCTAGGGGTGCTGTATGGGAAGTTGCAGCAGGGAGTGGTGGAGAACAGGCAGATCCTGACCATTGCTTCTATGCGTGCAGAGGCAGAGGAACAATATGGACTCCGCATGGGAGACATCGCCCCGAGCGTGGATCGGATGACAGCGCTGGGATTCAGCAAGGATGATGGTGCAAGTGTCCGAAAGGTTTGTTTGAGAGCACCCATCAAAACCAGGGAAAATAGCTAACTCGCGAACTTCTTTCAAGGCATACGAAGGTATTCGCACCGAGATGGTTGAGGCATCTAGAAACCACCAAAAGATTTCCAGCAACATTCGCGAATTAGTTGTTACACCATTCCGGCGCTGGGGCGATCAGCATGAGATGCGTGTGCAGTATTCTCATGATCTCCTCCAGACTCGCATTAAGGAACATACCAAGCAGGCGGAATTGGTCCGAAAGTTGCGCAGCACTTATTTCAACAAGTGTCGTGTTGTGGAGGACTTGGAAGAGGAGAACAAACTTGCTTTCCAGGACCCCGAGACGAGCCCGAAGGTCAAGCCTCCACCGAAGATCGTCCTTCCCACCGAGGAGGAGCCTGATGAGGATCCCATCGAATTAGGCGAGAGGGTCTTCCCCCCGGATCATATCAAGAAGCTTCTTTCCCATATGCTGGATCATATCAAGCTCGGCGAGGCGAAGGTTCCTATTATCGGTACCTACTTGAACGTCTCTACTGGTGCGGATATCGCACAATACATCCAGACCTATATGGAAGCCGACAACCTTACTGAAGTGGAGAGGATTGGACAAGACATGGTCGACAATGGATTACTCCGTTTGGTTGGAAACATGGGCAATGTTTTTGCCAACAGTTCCAAGATGAACTACCAATGGCGTCCTAAAGTTTTCCAGATCACCGGTATCCCTGAAAAAAAGAAGCCTCTCATGCGTGTCACCTCGGTGGCTTCAAGTGAGGATGGCAGTGGCAGTGAATCTCCCATGTCTTCCGTCTCTGAAATGCTATCTGGCTGGAACCCTCTCAACAACCCCTACCCCAACGAAACACCCTCTGAGAAGCTTCGGAGAGAAGCATTGGAGGCCGATGAACGGTACAAAGTTGCTGTGCGCAAGCTTGACCAGATTCGCTGTCGTTTGGAGGAGGAAGTCATCACTCAGCTCAAATACATGGAGCAGTGTGAGCTGGACCGTCTCAAGGCTATCAAGGCTGTTGTTCTTGACTTCTCTGGCGCGATCAGCAATGTCATTCCCAACCTGCAGAGCACTGTGGATCACATGATGTTGTACCAGGAAACAATCCAGCCTCTTGGTGACCTGAGATATTTGCTTGAGAATTACCGCACTGGTGGATTTGTGCCCAAGATTCAAGCATACGAAAACTACTACGGCTCCGTCGAAGGTAAATTACCCTGCAACATCATTCAAGGAATCCAGCTGACCTAGCTAGAACAAAACTTCGGTGTCGACCTCGAGGCTAGAGCTCGTGTTGACCGAAAGCGTGTTCCAATCCTGGTCACCACCATCTTGACCTATCTTGATAACCGTAAGATCATCCATCCGGGTGATATGGCGAGTCTATGCTAACAGCTTCTTATAGGCTATCCAGAACTCGAAGGCGATGAGACGCGGCAGATGATCTGGCTCACTGATGTGGACCTCGCCCGGACGCACAAGCTCCGTTACATTTTGAACAACAGCAAAGCGGACTACAATGAAATCTTGCCGCAGTACGAAATTCCCGTCATTGCAAGCGTTCTCAGGTTGTACCTACTTGAGTTGCCAGGTTAGTGCTTTGCTCTCCTCGGATTGTAGCCAAGCTAACCCTCGACAGACTCTCTGGTCTCCTCACAGGTATACGAAATTGTCAAAACCATTTACTCTACTACTGCCCACGAAACCACGGAAGAAGGACGCATCAAGGTTCTGCAGAGCACCCTTGGACAGCTTCGCCTCGTGAATATTGCTACGCTTGATGCCATTATGACTCACTTCACACGCCTGATTGATTTGACCTCTGCCGACGAAGAATACATTACTGCGTTGGCTCAGGCTTTCTCCCCTTGCATTCTTCGCCCTAGATTTGAGAGCAGTTTGACGATGAATGAACGCCACAGCTACCGACTGATCCGCGACCTCTTTGCCCACAAGGATGCCATCTTTGGTGAGCTCAAACGCCAATCGAGTGCGCTCGGCGTGAACAGCGCCGGCCACCAATCTCGTGCACGATCTATCAGCACTGATGAAAGCAACCGACGCGCGGCCATGGAAGCTCGTCAGCGAGCCATCGTCAACCGTAGCCGTGCCACTAGCCCTGCTGCCCGCCAAAGGCACAGACGTGACCGCTCCAGCGGCGCCTCTGAAATGGGCCGCTTCCCCATCAACGTCAACAGCCCCTCTTCCATCGCAGACCGCAGAGCCGTCCGCGGTCCTAGCTTGGACGTGCCAACCAACGAATCTCCCTCCAACGCGGCTGAGACTTCTGCGGTGATCACTTCGGCTTCTGAATCGACCACCAACGGCGCCTCTGTGGAGTCTCCTGTCTCTACCCCTGCCAGTATCAGCGGTTGCTCGGGCTCACCCAGCCCCCCACCTGTCCCCGCTCAACACGAGACTGAGACTGCTTCCGACGGCTCTCCGACTCCCACGCCAACCCCAGCTGTTGGATCTGCCGAATTCGAAAAGCGGAATTCAGTATCTCGCTCTTCGGCTCGGTACAGTGGTCGTAAGCCAGGCCTTGGTAGCCTGTCAAACTTCTCCACCCACACTGCTTCCGGGGCTGCCGGCACAGATAGCAACCGGAGCAGCATCGCGGAGAGCGAGCCTAACAGAGTCACTCTGGAAGACAAGCCCATGGACGACTAAACGGCTGGACCCTCAAGGCTATCAATGCACAGGATATGTGCCGAAACCTTTTGTATAGAACGTCGGTGGCAGATTCGAGAGTCGGGGGGCTTTGCATAGAAGATATGACCGACATGACCGGGTACTTGCCCTGCTCCTCGAAGATGGTGGAGGTCATATGACCCCTGGAGTTCAACTTTAAGTCTTTTTTATTTGCTTTTGTCACTTTGGACTTTTTTCTTTCGTGCCTCTTTCGAGGCATGTATGCATACATACCCTCTCCCTGCTGTTTTAAGGGGGGATTGTTTACACTTTGGCCTTTACTCTGCTTCACCTCTTATGTTCCTTTATGCTTTTGCCCTTGTGCGGTTATGCGCATGGTGTATGTATACTCTGCTTCTTTTCTGCATATGAATTTCTTTATCTGTCCTGGATTCTGCATCAAAACGTAAAATTCTCATCGACGGGGTTTGACGCAACGGTTGTCGCTACTACTATCTCGATATTCACCGAGGCTTGCCTTCGGGGTAATAACCACCGAGATGCCCCAGATGACCCATGCACCACCATTTCACTCCCATCATTTCAAACCAGCATAATCAAAAAACCTCTCGATCAATTCATAGCCATTGTCGTTCCTCCGCAATTGGCAATTTAAGTGTGAAGAAGGTAGGTACTCAACCCCGCATCCTCACAACACAGCAGCTCTAACACCCACAGCAAACACCCACACAGCCCAACATGAGCAAACCACAGATAATAGACTCGCACATCCATCTCTTCCCAGCAAGCCACCTCAAAACACTATCCTGGCACATTCCCAGTAACCCCCTGGGCGCCCAGCACAGCGTAAACGAATACCGCCAAGCAAACAACTCCCAAGTCCGAGGCTTCATATTCCTCGAAACAGACCGAATCTCCTCCCTCTCCCCGCCAAACTGGACCCACGCTTTAGACGAGGTTTCATTCCTGGCGCGCATTGCGCAAGGCACGCCTGTCCCAGGGGAGGGTCACAATCCACAAGATAAAGACCTCTGTCTGGGTATTATTCCATGGGCGCCGATCCCCAGCGGTGCGGATGAGGTAGCGCGGTATTTGGGCCTTGTGCGTGAGCGCAGTGGTCAATCCTGGGGCGCTGTGAGGGGTGTGAGGTACCTTGTTCAAGACAAGGCTGCGGGCACTATGCTTGAGGATGGATTTTTGGATGCGTTGAGGTATTTGGGGAGGGAGGGGCTGACTTTTGATCTTGGGGTTGATGCTAGGAGTGGGGGGTTGGGACAGTTAAGAGAGGCAGTTGCGATGATGAAAAGGGTGAACGAAGGGGATGGGGTGACTATGATTATAAGTTCGTGATAAGGATTCTGTGCTTGTGAATATTGCTGATGAGTTACAGATCATATGTGCAAGCCCAATCTACGGCTTTCGAATGGGGAATTGCGCTCTCATTCTGAGTTTTTGGAGTGGAAAGATCTTATTGGGGAAATGGCTCGCACACCTCAAACTTACATGAAGCTTTCTGGGGCGTTTTCGGAATTGTTGCCTCTGGGGGAAGAAGCTGACATCGCGAGTATAGTGGAAAGCGTTCGGCCTTGGACGGACGTTGTGTTTGATACTTTTGGGGCTGAACGTGTGATGTTTGGATCGGATTGGCCTGTTTGCAATGTCGGTGGAGGGGGAAATGATGTGTCGTGGAGCAGATGGAGATCTGTTGTGGAACAAATTCTCGACCAAAGGAAATTGTCCGAGGAGCAGAAGAGAGGCGTGTGGGGAGACGTTGCTCTACGTGCATACGGGATTGTGATTTAGATATCGATGTGCTTATAATATCTCCAAAGATGGTCAATACCTGGTGTTCCAATGGAATTTATATACATTCTAAAGTTATTGAAGATTGACAAATAGGCCACCATCGACCAGAAGCTGAGCACCGGTCACATATGAGCTGAGCTCTTCGCAGGCCAAAAACACAGCCGGGCCAGCCAAATCCTTAGGTTGACCAAGTCGGCCGAGCGGAATTCGGCCTTCCATATACTCCCTCTTCACCGGATCCTTCATGTCCTCCTCATTCAGCTGTGTGCGGATAGTACCAGGCAATAACGCATTGCAGCGAATGCCGTACTTTCCAAGTGCACATGCACACGACTGCATCAAACTCAAGATACCCGCCTTAGTGGGTGTGTAGTGAGTTTGCTGGGCGCCACCGACCAATGCAGAGATCGAGCTGACGCCAATAATCGAACCTCCAGGCGGTGATTGTACCTGGGCCATTTGGCGCGCGGCGGCTTGAGTCGCGAAAAACGCGCCTGAGAGGTTGGTTGAGACTGTGTGGTTCAGGAGGGAGGGTTCAAGTCTAGAATGTTAGAGTGATGGCATTACAACGGAAGAAAATGACTCACTCGAGAAATTCAGCGAATTGGCAGACACCTGCATTGCTTACGAACACGTCGAGTCGACCAAAGGTCTCGACGGTCTTTGCGACAAAGTTGCGACCCGTTTCTGGTTGTGAAATGTCGCCTGATACTGTGATAAAGCGAGCGAGTGCTTCGGCTTCGATGTCTTTCACATCGTTGCGAAGTGCTTCAAGTAATGCTGTCTCCTTCTCGCCGCCCAAATGACTGATTGAGACTTTCGCGCCGTGGCGGATATAGTCGAGAGCAATTGCCTGTTTAGTTAGCCTGCGTTCATTGGAAGAGCCAATTGACCGTTGACATACTCTACCAATTCCTGTGAGGCCGCCTGTGATGGCGGCAACCTTGCCTACTAATAATTGAGGGAAAGCCATTGTTGCAAATGCGAAGTGAAGTGGAGGGCGATTTTCGTTTTCTCCGATAAAGTCCTCGGGATTTCGCGACGATGTTAGACCGAGTGTGGGGGAAGAGAGGGGCAACAGATGCACATGTGGCAATTCCGGACTTTTGCTAGTTACTTGCATCCGAACTTTAGAGTACTCTTTCTTATTTCGAAGTTAAGCCCTGGAGATCCAAAATTGGTTCTCAGGTGACAGCTCTAGAGAGATTGAGATAGTCCAAGGTCTTGGTCTTCAAACCTTCCGAGGTTGGAATATATTTCAGTCAGAATTATCCTGAACTCCCGGCCTTACCCTTGCTCAGGTGCTTCTAAGTTCTAAAATTGTTACTTAAGTACCCGAAGCTACTTAAGCCTTAGATTCATTACAAATTTGGACATTAGAACTCGCATTGAAGTAGCCATCTCCGGGAAAATGCGTAGATACATCGTCTATTTCTTCATCTGTATGCATAGTATGTACATGATTCTCGTATAGCATATAAATGGCTGATAAATATGGGAAAAGAAAGATAAAAAGACTCGTTAACTCCAATCAAAAGAAATTTAAGCAGAGCCATTGGCGGCTTCCTCGTTGTCAGGGGCACGAAGCGACTTCTGGGGTGCGGGGGTAAGAATAGCAGCAGCGGGAATCAGAGGAGCGGCAGGGTTGAGCTCCAGACCAAAACCAGGCTTGTCCAGAATAGAGACGTCAAGGTAGCCCTTGGTGGGAATGGGCTCGTTCAAGAACAAGTTACCAAACACAGGCTCGACGGTGTGTCCGTCGGCAGAATTGGCCAGGTACTCCTGGAAGGGGCAGTTTGTCTGGGAGACAACGTAGTGATAGGAGTATGGGCCGGAAGCATGGGGCACAACGGGCAAATCGTAAGCAGCAGCCATGGCAGAGACCTTGAGAAGCTCCGTCATTCCACCAACCCACATCACGTCAGGCTGGAGGATATCAAGGTTACGACCCTCGATCAGCTTGCGGAAGCCATAACGAGAGTACTCGTGCTCTCCAGTGGTGAACTTGACAGTTGGGTGGGCCCGCTTGAGAAGGGCATGGCCGTCGAAGTCATCGGGAGAAAGGCACTCCTCCCACCAGTCGATGTCAAGGCCAATAGCCTCGCAGCGCTTGACAAGCTGGATCGTGTATGGGACCGTCAGAGACATGTAGCAGTCGACACGTAGTGGGAAGTCAGCTCCGACTTTCTCGCGCTGCTGGCGCAGGTATTCGACGTTCTTCAAGAGTCCCTCGGTGCCCTCATCAGGTCCGTGAGGCAGCGCAACCTTGGCACCAATGAAGCCGGCCGCCTTAGCGGATCCAGGCTGAGGACCAGTGCAGTAGAAGTCAAGTCTTGAGCGAGTAGCACCGCCGATCATCTTGTAAACGGGCTCATTGCGGATCTTTCCCTGAAGATCCCACAGGGCAAGGTCGATGACTGAAATCACAGCAACAGGAAGACCCTTTCGGCCGTAGAACATGGAGGCACGGTACATCTTTTCAAATAGGTCGTTTGTATCGCGGGGATCTGAAGAGAAACAAATGGTTAGATCTAAAACATGTAATACGGTTCAGCCAGGATTCAATGCATACCAGCACCGACCAGGAAACGGTTGAAATGTTGCTGGGTGAGCCAGCATGCAGGGGGACCACCAAATCCTGTGGCAAAGCCCTTTGTGCCATCTGTGGCTTCAATCTCAACACAGAATGAACCCAGAACGTTGATGCCCCATGATGTACGTGATCCACGGAATTGCGCCCACTTGGTCATGGGGGTAGAGATGTTGCTGTCAACCAGCCAGTGACCACCTTTGACCTATATGATAGTTAGCAACTTGCGTTCAATTGGATTTTGCTAATCCATACATTGTGGTAATCACCGCCAGATCCAACACCATCAATAATGAAGGTGCGGACTTCTTTAATGCGAGGGAATTCCTTAATTGAGCTCATTTTGGGATACTTTTGTATGGCTTGCACAGAGATGGAGAGTGCAATTCAAGATGACAAGAAAAGACACGGAGCAGAAATGGAACGCGGGGAATGGCTGTCTATAAACAAGAGGGGAGAGCTTGTACCGAGGGCTCGGGGTATCACTATGCCGAGTAGCGGATAAACGGAAAATTCCATTTGCATCTGATCCTTGCGCATGTGCAGCCTATTAGGGTATGATTATCTACCCCAGCTCTGTCATAAACAGAAATAATTCTTGCGTCGGTGATTTGTGGGGTTGAGCATGCTTGAGGGGTTGTTGTATGTGTTGCTAAACTGGTCATAGTATACTCCGTAACTGTTATGCTCTGATTTCAGACAACTTGACATTTATTAAACCGATCTTCTAGATCAGAATCAATCTCAAAACCAGTCACTGAGAGTAAAATACATACTTAAACATGCGATAATCCTATATACCGAGGAGCTCTAGAGTAAACGAAAGGGAAAATCACGAGGAAATTCCCAAAGTGGATAAACGCGGGGTGCCCCGGTTTCTGCCTGAGGTGTCACGTCGACTTCGCTTCTTTTCTCTTTCCCTCGGCTGCCATTTTGTTCTTCTCGGACTATCGCCGTGTCAATCGTTTCCTTTGTTCTAGATCCACCCTACCGTTGCTGATTCGGATATTGTTGCTTCGTGCTGCATCATGCTCGGCCCCTGATAGGGCGATTCGTATCTCGCTACATCAAAATGCCGAACACTGCGCATCCCCAGATGTCCTCCAATCAGCATCTCGGCAACATTAGAGACCATAGTGCAGAGTATTCTTCTGCCGAGTCCGATAATGATCATATCGGAGCTAATGGCTCGTTAAAGCGAAAGCGCCCCCTCATTGTCTCGTGCGTACCTGAATCGCGTTCGGGCAGCCGTTCGGAACTGAACACCAAACTAACCCGCTCCCGCTCAGGTGCGAATTGTGCAAGCAGCGAAAAGTCAAATGCGGTATGATTGGAAACTCTCCGCTATAATTTTTATCGTTCTAACATGTCACTGAATAGACCGAGTTCAGCCAAGCTGTGGCTGGTGCACCCGCAATGGTCAAATATGTGAATACAGAGAGCGCAAGAAGCCTGGCCTCAGGGCCGGCTATGGTAAAGAGCTAGAGCAGCGCCTTGGTAGGTTCTCTAACTCATTTTGATCATCATATTATTAATTCGCATCGCAGATCGATTGGAAGATATCATTCAGTCGCAAGCTCGCCTAATTGAAATGCACATCTTGCAGAATCAATCCTCGATAGGCCACGAAATGCCTCACGCGGGGCCTCTGTCCTATAGCTCCCCATCAGAGCCCTCAGCAGCACATGGCCCCAGCCCTAGTACTGCTTTGTACTTGAATGATCCTGGTTCCTCGGTCACTTTGCCATCCCGCCGTGCAGATGTGTCATTAACCAGTCCATCTGATACATCGCCTCGAAATTCCTCGAACCACTTCCATAACATGATGGCTGTAACGCCGGTGGGATCAATGACACAGACCCAAAGCACGCACCATGATTACTCAGGGAACGAATCGTCATTGAAGGTTCCTGTTAAGATTTTCTCCAACCAAGAACAGTCGCTTGCCGATCCGGATCTTGATCTCCCACCATATGATCTTCTCTATGCATTGGTGGATCTCTATTTCGAACATATCAACTCCTGGTGTCCGATCTTTCATCGCCGAACAACACTAGACACATTCTTTGGTCCAGCGCCTCTAGAAGAGGCGGACCGAATGGTTCTTTATGCTATCGTGGCAACAACGCTACGATTTTCATCGGATGCTAGGCTGAACGACCAAAACAGGAAGCGGTATCATAACTCGGCCAAGCAAAAGGTCCTTTTCTATGGTTTGGAGAACTCGTCTGTCAAAGCACTTCAGGCACTTGTGATCTTGGCATTAGATCTGGTAGGTTCCTCAAACGGCCCACCTGGCTGGAAACTTCTCGCTTTGATCACCCGATCAGTGGTTCAGCTGGGCCTGGCCGTTGAGTCTAAATCCTCACTTGTGAACCCCTTATATCCTTCGATCTATACTCTGAGGGCTGTTACTCTTTCAGAACCAGACTCTTGGATTGAGGACGAGAGTCGGCGGCGTCTGTTCTGGATGGTATATTTGCTTGATCGATACTCAACCCTGGCTACTGCATTCAACTTTGCCTTGGATGACAGAGACATTGATCGCAAGCTACCTTGCAAGGATGATTTCTTCATGAAAAATCAACCAGTGGAAACGCGATTGTTCCAGTGCTCTAGCGATCGTGCAGACTATCTCAGTCATGCAGAAAATGTCGGCTCCTTCGGGCTTTATGTCGAGATTCTGGGCATTCTTTCGAGAATTCACCTGTTCTTGAAGAGGCCTGTGGATATTGGCGCTCTTTCGGATGTCGAAGAATGGCAATCGACATATCGCAAACTTGATAGCGAGTTGACATCATGGGAATTCAATCTTCCTGCAGAATACGCCTATGAAAATTCATCTCGTCTTTTTAGTGGGCCGAAAAATGGTCGACCTTTGCACAGCGACTGGGTACAGTTACATGCCACATATCAAACGTGAGTGGAAAGGTTCGCAACCTGCTACTCTATCATGGCTAACAGATATAGGGCTGTGATCCGTCTGCATTCTTCAGCAGCATATCCGACAACCCGATCCCCAATCTTCACACCTTCATATAGCGCGAGCCAACGGTGTCTCCTCGCCGTCGAGAACATCTTATCGGTAACCCGGTTCGTCGTAGAAAACAACATGCTGGACAAGATGGGTCCACCTTTCGCCTTCACCCTCTGGGTTTCGGCCCGTCTTCTTCTCGTCCATGGCTCAACAATCGCGCACACCGTCAGTGCAGATATCCTCTTCTTTGTGGACACTTTGTTCCAGTTAGGAAAATACTGGAAAGTTGCAGAGCGATACAGCAATATCCTCCAACGCGTCTTAGACGAATACAACGAATACCAACAATCTACCGCCCTAGATGGTGAACGTTCCACACCATCAACAGTCAAAATTCTTGCCGACATGCGTCGCTGCGCCTTCGATCTTGATTTCTTGATCTCTCGCCAACCCCGCGAATCGCCCGCAGACAACGGCATAGGCGATAGCCACCAGTCAAGGCCCGTTCCAGCAATGCCACCTCGCAATTTTGCCCCCAATGAGCTCGAATACCTTGACGTTTTCGGCTTCTTCAATGTCCCCCGTGTTCCTCCAGCCAGAGCCCCTGAGCCGACTACACAGTCGATGGCCATTCCCGAGTCTGTACAGGATCCGATGTCAATCCATGGACTGACGGCTGCGGATCCACCTGCAGGAGTTGTTGATACGAGCCATGCCAATTCGAACGAGTTCAATATCACCAACTATTTGATTCCGACGCCTGAGACGGATTGGCTTTTCCGTCCATCTTAAAGGGTCGTTATCTGTCTTTCTAAAACACACGGTCAATTGCTGGCTTCTTTGCCGGCGATCTGATACTTGCTGCCGCGCTGAGTCACTCGCATTTCAGTCCAGATATTTTTGAAGTGAGGACATTGGCGAGCACTATCGACTATCTATCAATAATCGCCGATGATCTAGTCGGGTACCTTATTCTCTTACGGCGGCTCAGAGGGGGGAAACGAAACCTATGAGCTGATCTGGATCTCTGGTCTTTATACGACATGTGTAGGGTCAGGCCTGGTCGACAATTGTTCACAAAGAAAACTACCTCCGGACATCCTCTATCCTACTTTAGCCACACTACCTATCCGTGGACTTATGTTATATATCCCAAATGTCTCTGATTGAGATTATGCCTTCTTACAATACTTTCCAAGGTCAATGTAACCCCCAGGGCTCCTGAAGTCCTGAAGTCGCACTCTCAATTGAGAACGGGTTTAATTATAGACCCCGAATACAACGTCGAAGTGAATTGAATTTCAGTATGAATTGAACCTCGACACTAAAGAAAGAGATCAAGAGCCCATAGCCCCTGTAAGAACTGACTACAAGATACACCATACATAACAGGAAAAATGTGAAGTGATGGAACAATACATGAAAAACCATCAACTCCTACTTAGACAAAAACTGCGTGCCCTAGTTAGGCTGCAGACGGACGAGGACTTCCTCGAGGAACGCGTCCAGCACGGCATCCACACCACCTCCCATATCGATAGAGTCCTCCATGTCCCAGCGTTGGAGGTTACTGAATGAGCGAGCAATTTCTTCAGCGACCTGCTCCATGCCCCGGTGGACGCGGACGCTACGGTCGAATTGCTGCTCTTCTTCTGGGGTGGCTGGGGGTTCGGCGGGGTTGCGTCCTGGCTCAAGGCGAACAAGGTGGCGGCGGCGACGATCCATGGCTGCGCGGAGAGCTGGGAGGATCACGGAGCCGCAGGCTGTAATGCGGTCGTCGGGAAGAGGGCGGGGAGATAGCTGAGTTGGGGTCGGAGGGGTGGAACGGTTGAAAGGACGGTCCTCCATGTTTGAAGGGGCTCGCTTGGATTTAAGGCCAGAGATAGGCTTGATGTTTTGTAGAGGCTCTGTTTGCCTTGGGAGGCCTGATTGGGGCACTCGTGGTGAATGCGGTGGTGGCTGAGGCACTGGTCCTTGGGAATCGACTGCTCGCGAGGGAGGAGCCGGCTTTCGAACGATTTGACCGGATGGAGTGCGGTAGACTTCGTGGAGACTTGCGGATGATTCTTTGGCCGGAATGCCTTGGTCTTTGATTGCAGAACTGTGTTTTGCTTGAGGTGTTTCGATGTGGCTTGCGTAGCTCAGAGCAGCCTGTGCGTATTGTTCGTTGAGGCCTTGCGGAGTAGGGTTATCCTCTGCGGGCCGGCTTGGCTTTGGAGTGACCACTTTGCGTGGGGGAAGTGCGGCTTGAGAGGGTCGTTGTTTGAGAGGTGATGGAGGGGCAGATGGAGGAAGAGGAGTTTTTGTGGGAGATGCGTGGAAGGGAGAGGGTGCTGCCGTGGGTTGAGGGTGTTGTTGTGGGCGAGACGTGGAGGCCCGGTTCGGAGTCTCATCACATAGATCCCACTCCTCTGTCTCATTCACCCGTGCCTTGGGTTCGTTACTCTTCATGTGGTGTAAGGGGGGAGCCTGTCCTTTTCCTACTGGACGAACAGTGCCAAAGTCCCAAAGATCCTCCTTTTCTTGAGACCGATCTTGCACTGTTTGCTCAGGCTCTAAATCATACCCCTCATACTCATCATCATCCTGGCCTTGATGAGTGATTTGCCAGCGCTCTGCACGCTCGATGAGCTCAGTCAGGTATGTTGTTCTCTTCGCACGCTTCACGAAAGGGTGCTCTAGAAGTTCCTTGGCCGTCGGACGTTCTTTAGGGTCACGACGCAAGCAGAGCTCAACAAACTGCTTAAAAGGCTTGCTGAAATCGCCATTCAACACGGGAGGCGGGTTCTTCGGGATCAAGAACAGCACTTTCATCGGGTGAATATCAGCATACGGAGGGTCGCCGCAGGCCAATTCAATCGCCGTGATGCCCAAAGACCAGATGTCGGCCTTGTAATCATATCCCGATTGCTTGATAACCTCTGGTGCCATCCAGAACGGGGTTCCTACAAATGTATTTTTCTTGGTCATTGTCGCTGACAGCTGCCCAGAGACGCCGAAATCAGCCAACTTGACTTGGCCACTTGCGCTGAGCAGAACATTCGCAGCTGCAAGCCATGTTGTTAGCCATGTTGTTAGCCATGAAAGCAGCCTCTGCGCAGTACCCGGTCACATCATACCTTTGATATCTCGGTGTAGCTTCTTATCGGTATGGAGATAATCCAAGCCGCGGAGTAGCTCCCTTAGGATGATGGCGATGTATTCTTCATGAATCACACCAGGTCGCAGCAACCCATGGCAACTGCCGCCCGAGCAGAATTCCATGATGATCCACAGATGGGACCCCTTCAGATAAGAGCCATGGTATTTGGTGACATAGGGCGACTTCAGCTCGGATAGGATGGCAATTTCCTTGATGATATCATCGACATCGTCCTCGGCATTTTCAACGTCGATGATCTTGATAGCCACGGATTCTCCGGTGCGTCTGTCGACACTGCATATGACCCTTGGAGTCAGTCATCTAGGCCATGTGGTGGGATGCAGTCCTCAACTTACCCTTTGAAGACTTTGCCGAAGCTTCCACCGCCTGAGATGAAGAATAAACATCAGAAACCAAGTTCCCGCTGTAGCCCGTCGGTCTCAATTGTCAAGCTTACCGATGCATGTTTGCTTGGTGTAGATTGACTCAGGGTCGATGGGGCCCGGCATGTTGACGATTTATCCCGTCAGGAGATGCGACGCATGAACCAGAATAAAGCGAGCACGGTCTAGTCAGACCCGGATGCTGTGAATGCGTTAATTGGCACCCTCAACATGTATCACGAAGGTGAAACCATACATGAGGGGAATGTGGGGATTTGAAGCCCGCACTAGTATGCTCGGATCAAAGAGCAGCGATGAGCTGAATCAACGACGTGAGATCCACCGGATGTTCCAGCGAATCTTGCGCTTCGATTGTGCTGATCAGAAGGGATGGGAGATCGAGATCAGAAAGGTAGAGATCGCGAAACAAGTTGGAGAGGTACCCGCCCGTTTGGGAATGCGGAACCGCGGTTCAACTGAGACGTTTGAGTTAGGGCCTTGAACGTCTTCCCCAGGACTTGACGTGCTCAATGGGATGTTCTTCACAGAAAGTGCCCTTGCTTGTTTATCGACGCGGGGGTTTTGCCGGCGCTTATCTCAGGGCGGTGAATATCTATGAATATCTACGAAGAGTCCATTATGAAGCTCAAGATCTATGGAATAGAGGCAGGCTTGGAACAGCTCTATAGGCAAGGCTATAGGCAAGGAATAAGGGAGAAATTACGAAGATTCAGCCCCCGCGGATACACAAGGGCCTTGTGCTTGATAGGTTCAAAGACTAGCGACTTTAACTTTACTATGCAGATGATAAAATTGAAGAAGTCATGAATAGCAAAACAGTATTGAGTTCTATAGATTCACCTGAAGGATGATGGCGTAAGTAAAATAATAACACTCATGGGGGCTCCAGCTGAACAATGAAATAGGTCGGTTCGCCTGTCAGGCGGTCTAAAAGATCTATGCATCTGGCAATGTTGGAGAGATATCCATGGATGATTAGATGTCATGATTCATTACATGCGTCAGGCAAGCAATAGTGTTCTAAGTAAAATTGGACATTCAGCTCTCTGGGATGAACAGCCATAGAGCCTTGTAGATTGTCTGATCTTCCTGGGATGGTAAAACCTGCCCGGGAACAAAGGTGAGAGATCCCATGGGATCTAATGCATTCCCATCAACGCCCTGTAGAAAATGAGAAAGCAAAGCAGTGTGACTGTAAGATGAAAGAAGTGTTTACTCTTCCATATAACCAATCATCACGGTGCCGTTCTTGAGACCAGCCTCTGCGATGCTTGTGGGGAGTTGATCGATGAGATTCCGTCCCATGTTGTTCAGGTCGAATTCCACACCAGCTTTATCTTCCAAGGGAGGTTCGGCTTTAAGCCATTCATAAATCCGTTGAACAGGATCAGATAAGGCAAAACGTCGGATGACTCGACCAGAAGGGTGTCGGAATTGGATGCGAGTGGTGGTAACTGGATCCGCCTCAGGTTCGGTGTGTGGCTTGTCACTGGGAATAGATGCAAAGGGAGAACTCTCGGTATTCTCTGGCTCATTCATGCTCACGTCTTCCTCGGCGGCGCGGCTCTTGCCCTTCACATCCTCTGTGCTGCGGGTCAGGTCATCGGGGTCTTCCTGTGCAGGCCCAGATTCTCCGGCGCCGCCCAGGCTGTTTCGCATCGCCATTTCCATCATCTCCTCCTCTGTCATAGCATCGACGGTTTTTTCTTTCTTTTCGGATTTGCGCTTGGCGACGGGGTTGCGTACGTTGTGGTTCAAGCTATACCGATCAAGGAATTCGTGGAGCTGCATGAGGAAGTCGGCGGGCTTGACCAGCGGTGGCCCAGACCAGATTTTCATCTGCTCTCCGGTGCGCGGGTCGACAATGGCAATGTGGGGATAGTTATCCGAAACGTCACTTCCTTGGAAGTAATACTGGATGTATGAAGCAGCGCGGGGGTCATCCTTGGAGTACTGAAGGAAAATGAAATGCTCCTTGACCGTGTCTTGTACGCCACTGTCCTTCCACAAATCACGGTTGAGAACTTGGCAGTCGAAGACCGAGGCATCTTGCACATTGATCAGCAGCCATTTCTCGGAATCCTTTCCTTCATCGCGAGCTGCATCCCACGGTAGTCGGGACATTATTTCGAAGGGAGGTCGGTACATCTCTGCGAGCATGTTTGATTTGGAAGAGGCATCTGAGGCGCCTCCGGTGGCAGCAGAAAGCTCTTCGCGGCGAGAGTCGTCACCCCCGGTCCATATCGAAGACGACTCTCTCTGGTTGAAGATTCCGGCTCGGCCTAGTGTGTAAAGTCAGCAGATGCGAGGAGACTTCCAGATGATGAGAGTCACTCACCTCCCCGTTGACGAGCTCGGAGTTGACTGAGGATATTGGCGTGCATGTCCTCGCCGTCATCATCGTAGTCCGCACCTGGCCCCACCAGTGTTTCTGTTGTGCGAGCCATAGGCGCTCTGACTTCCTCTTCCTGATCCTGACCTCCATACATTTGCTCTTGAAGGCGTCGGGCCATGGCCTCGTCGTCATCGAAAGCGGGCGCAGCAGAGCGTCGTGGGGTTTCGTCATCGGTATCCGAGTCAATATTCACCACATCCGCGTTGTTGGGAATGCCGGAGCCTCGGGGCTGCGAGGGCTCGCTTGTCAAAGGGGCACCTCCATTCTCGAAGAAAAGCTGCATAGCTTGTTCGATGTTGAAGTCTGTGATTTGCAGGTATTGAATGGCGAGCTCCGGCGTGGAGCCGGTAATCTCAGTAAACTGAGCTACCACATCGTTGTCCATGTTGGGCAGAGTGTGGAGTGATATCTTCAAAATAGACTGGAAGATTAATAAATGGTTGTAATCAGATTGGGATTGAATACTCACAAGCTTGGGAAATGTCAAGAATTCGGGGACTGTGCTATGAGGGGAGCCAATGTGGTGCAAACGGTTGCAAACACGATGATCACTCCGGGGCCGCCAAGCTTCCCTTTTCTATACTTTCACTCTATGACGAAGTAATTCTTTGAACCGAGATCACGAAGCATCGCCGATCGTAGCTTTGACAGCTTAGCTGGCACCGCTTAGAATGAAACAAACTAGGTTAAGACATATGGTAAGGGACAAAGCACCGCCAAAATGAATGAATTCAAGCTCTATAACTATGGGAATTTTTGGAACCGTTACCAGCGCTAGACCTTGCTGGCGATCCGTTCCAAAATAGTAACAGGAACCACCAAGCCCGTCTCCCCAATAGTGGTAAGAACATTTCGAACCGTTGCTGGCGATTTGCTGCAAAGCCCTAACAGGGATCGTGAGGCCGGTCTCCTTGGATTTCGGTAAGCGCAGTACCGATTTTTCAAGGGTGTATCAAGGCTCTCTGGGTCTATCAATGATTGCCTTCTGATCTCGGGATAAGTCAATCGTTTGGCAGAGTTATGCCTGATACTCCGGGATCCGAAACGAGGACGACAGTCACATCGGAGGCCGACCGGAGATGGCTGTTCATAGAACACAAAGATGATTTCGATTCTCCCAATATTGATTGCAACAATAACAACTAGACGTACGGAGTACTTCGTACTTGCACCCATGAATTTGCGATGCACCAACTAGCGTGGGATGACGCGGATGAATATTGCACGTGTGGTGGGTACGCGTGCCCGTAATACGCGCGACGCGTCGCGAACCAATTACACTTCCTAACTGGGCCGTCCAACGTTCTTTCCTGACATTCCTTCAACATCTGCAGAAGTTGCGTCTCGACTTGTCTTAAGCTATGGCAGGATCAGTCTTAGGAAAGCGCAATCGTGTTGAATCAGAAGGTAAGACCAACCTTCCCCTTCTCTTTCCTCTTGCTGACATTCTCTTCAGCCTTGCCGGTACGCACCGCGAGCAAGCGCCGGACAGTCGCGCCCCGGACAAAGAAAGAAAAGGAAGCTGCGCCGGTCACATTACGGCGGACAAGGTCTACCGTGCAAAAAGCACGCGAGCAATCCCAACACGATCAAGAGAATGGCGACAAGAAAAATGTTTCGGAGGATGAGGGGCAGGTGGAGGTTGTCTCCTCCAAGAACACCCTGCGCGAGGACCAATTCAAATCCCCCGTGAAAGTCAAATCGCATTTCCGCGCCTCGAAGCAAGTTGAAGTGAAGCCAGAAAAGCTGGAAGATGTACCGGAAGTCGCGGAGGATGTGAAACCAGTCGAGTTCAAGACCCCTTCGAAATCACGATTCCGAGATGCGTTGCCGCAGTCGCCCATGACCCCGAGACATCGAGTACAGGTTGGAGCAAAGGCGATAACCCCACGTACCCCTCGCCATGCAGATCTTCCCCCGACACCTCGTCAGAGTGCGACTCCGACCATTTCCCACTCTGTCTACTCGCAGGCCAGACAGCTCTTTGCTCGAGGCGCCAGCTCTGGTCGACTAGTTGGGCGGGATGCGGAGCGTGAGAAGCTGACTTCATTCCTGACGAACGGTCTCGAGTCTCGGAACGGAGGATGTCTCTACATCAGTGGCCCCCCTGGCACTGGCAAAAGCGCCATGGTCCAGGAGGTATGCAAGGATCTCGACCTTTCCAATGTGAGGGTCTCACATGTAAACTGTGCAAGCATGCGAGTATCTCGTGATGTTTACAGCCGACTTGTGCAAGATTTTAGCGCAGATACAGACATGTTCAAGAAAAGCGAAGCCGATCGCTTGAAGGCAATGTTCATTCCTTCTAAGAACGCCGAGGATCTATTCCTTGTCACACTGGATGAGATTGATCACCTGTTGAACGGTGACTCTGGGGTTTTACAATCACTGTTCGAGTGGTCTCTACAGAGCAAATCGAAGCTCATGCTGATTGGCATTGCTAACGCCCTTGATTTGACCGATCGGTCGCTCCCACAGCTCAAGGCGAAGAACTTGAAGCCTCTCCTGCTGCCGTTTTTGCCGTACAGTGCAGCATCTATCGCAGATGTGATGACGAACCGTCTCCGATCGTTGCTCCCTGCTGGCTCGGAGGCGGATCCCAAGCTTGTGCCATTTGTTCAACCAGCTGCCATTCAGCTTTGCTCAAAGAAGGTTGCCTCGCAGACAGGCGATCTTCGCAAGGCATTTGAGTTGATCAAGCGTGCAATTGATGTTATTGAGCAAGAGACTTGGCAAAAGCTTGAGAAGCAAGCCAGTGAGAACGTAGCGATTCTCAGTGAGAACACCAACCTGTCCTCGCCCACCAAAGGAGCCAGCATTCCGAAGCCCGCATCAATGTCTAGCTACACGGTCATCACCGCACCCCGAGCCAGTATCGCGCATATTGCTCGAATCACATCTGCAGCTTTCGGTCAAGGCACTGTCCAGAGACTGCAAAGTCTCAATCTTCAGCAGAAGGCCGCCATCTGTGCGCTGATCGCGCTTGAACGAAAGCGTCGTCATCTGGAAGTCCCAAGCACTCCTTCAAAGTCACGGGCTTCGGCACCTACCATCAAACAAGCATTTGATACATACTGTGCCCTGTGCCGCAATGATAACATTCTCCATCCTCTGACCTCCACCGAGTTCAAGGATGTATTGAGCAACCTTGAGACAATGGGCTTGGTTGGAGAGTATCAAGGCCGTGGCCGAGGTGGGACTGTTGCAGGTGGCTCAGATCTGCGTCGCACGCCTTCGAAGTCTGGCAACATGCCAGGTACACCACACAAGGCACTTGACGAACAGGGTCTTCTATGTTTTGTGTCCCAGCAAGAAATCGAAAGTCAAATTGCTGGCCCCGGGGAGGGCATTCTTCGGCGTCTTCTTCGGGGCGAGGGACTTTGACTACTTCCAAAGTCTGTTCAAGTTTTGCCCTGCATTCACCGCTGCATCATTGGATCTCATCATACATCCTTATCATGTACAACATCATTAGCCTGCTGTTTTTATTGTTTGGAGTTGGAAATATCCCTGTCTCATCATTTTAGCGCTCCTCATTTTCGATTTCCTTATTTTCCTTTGTCGGTTCTTTTCTTTTCTTCTATCCCTTTTGTCCTTCCCTCTGTGTCTGAAGTCATGAAATTCGATGTATACTGGAAGAAACACAAACCAAAAAAATCATAAAGACTTATCATGAAACTCTTGGAAACTCGTAGTTGTTTATTAAGCTTGCCAGGCTCAATTTCTAGCTTTTGAGATCAAAGGAGCCAGACACTGATCGCTTCTCGGTGTTACTCGTAATCTTCAAGGAGGCAGACATGGTAAGGTTATCATAAGGCCACAGTCAAGCGTTCCAATCTTTCTATCTCACAATTTGCTTTGTGCAATAGAAATTCCGCCAGACATTGCCATATCCACACCCCCATATGTGGTCAATCCATCATTGAACTTTTCCATCAAAGACTCCGACAGAATTGGGGCTGTGCAATACGGTTCCACGTCCATTTGGTCCAGTAATTGGTCAAGCAAGGGTAAGCCAGCGTCCAAAGCCTGAATCTCCATCTCAAACTGCTTTTCTCGGGATATTCCACCCTTCTCAAGATACCAGGAAGAGTCTTGCCTGATGCTCCCTGTTTCGTATATTGCGAGTAAAATAGGCGAAACATTGGCAGATAACGCTGCCTCGTATGCCAAGCGCTGGCCAGCAGATTCAATTAGAAAGTGACATCTAGGAAGGATAACTCGATTGAACTCTGGGCTCCTGTGGCCACCCTCCATCTTTTGTAGAAGGGTGCGACACTCGTCGAATACACTGGCCTCGTGTCGAGCAAGAGGGGATTCCGGATGATCTGGTGGTGGTAGCTTATACTTCTCTTGTAACAGCTCCGAGGCTAGTCCTATACTCAGTCAGTTTGTATTATGAACCATTCGGTGCCGAGACTTGCGAATGCAGAGCGTAAGAGTATCCCCTTCAGAGATCGAGATCCCCCGACTCTCCAGCTGAGATTCGATGATGTGGTTGTGCTCATAGAGTCCCTGAGCTCCACACCTTTCAGTCCAGGTGTACAATGTATCTTGAGTGGCTTTTGTCAAGACGGCTTTGAATGCTGTTGCCAAGCCATGCCGCACAGGCGTTTCGAGCCTCGCATCGCAAAACTTTTGAACGCAATCTGTAGCCCAGGCTTCAAAAACAGCTATACTAGCCAAGGCATGAAGTATAGGAGCTTGCTGTGTTCGGAAGGTTATGATTGGGATCTGTGACCCTGTAGGCCCTCTGATGTGTCTGCGAAGACTGTACTTGCCAGCCACAAAAGCGCATCTTTTCAAAATTGGAATCATCGCCATCGATATGGCCAGAGTACCAACACTTATCCGAGAAATTACAGAAAGAAAGTTCTGACGGTCATTGGAGGGGGGTTCGATAGATCCAAGCAAGCTTGATCTAGGCAAATGTACATGGTTGAACATAGTAATGGAATGATCGACCATTTTGGAACCCGTGCGACGTGGTAGCACCCTTCATTTCATGAGTTAGTTCTATGAATCATCAGACGCAAACGGTTTTCATTTCTCGCACCTGCATGTAATACCTTCACTCATCACTCTGCCATCGTTGATTCTCACAACAAAAGGCCTCACGCCTCGGTCTTCACCTCTAACCATCAACCTTGCGATGACCAGCCCAACACGAGGATGGCCCTCAATTGGGGAAGTAGGGGGCATGTATCTTTCTGTATTAGTATACTGGAACATAATTTTGCTAAACTCGCTCACTTTGCTGCATTCATGTGGGGCGTATGGAGATCAAAGCCCCCATCCTCAAGCAGTTGTTTCCAAATTCTTAGCATCCAGGCCATGACCCAATTCCGTCAATAGAAATTGGGCGCTATCAGCACTATTAGTGGACATTTAAAACGAGTTGGAAAGGACTAATAACCGACTTGACATCAAAGTTCAGGATTTGATCGAGTAGTAGCAGGCGCTCGGGGCTGTTTTGGATAAATCTGCTGAGTGTGCCTGCAACCAGGTTACATTGAATAGTTACCAATGAGAAGGCACAGATATCGAGAGCACAGATATTGTCGCGGTGGAATTGCCAAAATTTTGGCGTCATGTTAACAACGTCCGATACGGTGAATTCTGCAACGAGTGAGTTGAAGAAAAACAGGAATTATTCAGGATCCTTACTATATGCTCTTCCAATAACCCGCGATCTGTCATAACTGATCTTCAGTTGCTCTGCTTCTGACATATTGTTCCATGGTACTGTGAACAAGTGGTTGTTGAGCAGTTGGAAAGTGGAAGCCATTGAAGTTTGCATCGTCGCGCAGGGGGGCTTGATTGAAACTGATAGAGATTGAATGAACTACTCGTATACCACAGGGGACAAGAGCTAACAATTCTGATGTGATGGGTAGGGAAGATTTAGTTGAACCAATGTCATGATATTTATAGATATCTGCAGAACCAACTCGGGTGCTTCACAAATACGGCTGTGGGCTCTAAATCCTTGGTTTTTTTACTTGGAAACGTCATTCTTGCTCTGATACTGACTATGATATTCTAGAATCCACATTCATTGTTTACCGCTCTGCGTTGACAGGATCTGAGACATGTTGCTGTGATTCATCATACTTTATACTTTCTTCTGCAGTCGGTTCTGCAGCCGATCTGAAGAATCATCTTCACAGATCTATAGACCATGCAAAGGGCGCCACTTTAAAGTACATCAAAAGTCAAATATGTTGACCGCTCCTCTTACCTCGTATTGAATGATACTTTACCGGCATATCCAAATCTTATGGAGATCGTGGCAGTTAATTCCGGTGCAGAAACGAGATCTTGTTGGTGTTTTCCCCAGACCGGCAAGCCGAACTCTGCGCCTAGTATACTCCTCCCGGACAGAAATTGGTCAATTCCGAATGCAAGCGCCACTCACCGCTATGTAGTACTTAATTTAGTAATTTTACCCCAAATTACGAGGTGGAAAAAGCAAGCAATTTTGGGGGGTTTTGGGTGATGCCCACCAAAATAAGGGCATAAAATCACCCTGGATGGGGTCATGTGATCATCAAATTGGGATGAGTACCACAAAATACACCGCACTAGTCGCTGACCTGCATGCATTTTCTTGCATGCGTTGGACAAATTCCTGCCCGAGAGTACATAGTATGCATCTCTTGATTGGTATACACTCGCTATCGCCTTTGTTGATATTACACTTTGAACAGAGATAGAAAAGCAAGAACACATCATACTACACGTCACGGGGGCATCAATTGGAAAGTAGTTGGAGTCTTGATTGAAATGACAAGATTGGTAGTATAAAGCAAGCAAGGCCAAATCCTTCCTGACTTCGAAGACTCAAAGAAACGCTGGGATCAATTCTGGATCATTCACAGTATGATTTTTGCCATCTTGGCTGTTGTTCTTGTAATTGCTTTCTGTGCTTTTCATGCAGAATATCAGCATCGAAATGGTCCTTACCCCCCAGGCCCCAGGCCCCTCCCCTTCATAGGCAACCTTCATCAGATACCTCGCACAAACTAATGGCGAACGTTCAAGAAATGGCATGAAACATACGGCCCAATTATTTCCGTGTACCTCGGTCAACAACGGGTGATCATTCTTGGATCCTATGATTGCGTCCACAAACTTTTGATCAACAGAGGGGCACTGTATAGCTCTCGGCCCGAGTACTACATCGAAGGCGTAGGCAGTCATTTTCACAGTGTTGCACTCCCATACGGGCGTCAATGGCGACGTCAGCGAGAGATAATCAATTCCTTTCTGAGTCCACGACACTGCAAAAGCTATCGAATCTTGCAGGACTTGGAGAGCAAACAGCTCGTTCAATGATCTTCTTTCCACGAATGACTTTTCGAAATGTTTCCATCGGTTTGCAGCCAGCTTGACATTCTCATTGGCATATGGCAAACGAATGCAGAGTGGTGACGAAATCGAAGTTGAAGAAATTGACGGAGTCATGCGAAACATTCTCGAGCAAGTCAAATTGCCTGCAGTGGCGTTTCCAGTCCTGGATCTCGTTCCGGACATTTTTGCGCCTTGGAAGAAGAGGGCCCGGGGGTTGTTCGAGTCACAGCGAAGAATATTCATGGCCAACCTGGATTCAGCTCTTTGCAGAACTCATTGGAGTTGGAGTAAGAGTGTCCTGAATGCGAAGTCTGCCAAAGATTGTGATATGGCCGAGCTTGCCTATGTGATTGGCGTGAACTACGAGGCTGGCAGTGACACGACCGCGTTTGTATTGGAGACATTTGTCCTTGCCAGTCTTCTTCACAAAAATGCCGTCACCACCGCTCAAGCTGAACTGGATTCTGTCACTGGGCTCAGAATGCCTGGATGGGATGATCTTCCTCGTTTACCATATGTCAATGCTTTTGTCAATGAAGTGTTGAGGTGGAGACCTGTTGTTCCTGGGGGACTCCACCATGCAGTCATAGAGGATGACTATTATCTTGGATTCAAAATACCCAAAGGTACGCCAATTATTCCAAATCATTGGTCTCTGGAACTTGACGAAACGTACTTTCCTGGTCCCGAGACCTTTGAGCCCAAAAGATGGATAGAAAATCCCGATCTCCCATCAAGTGCCTTTGGATTTGGTCGACGGATATGTCCTGGGAAGCCCATGGCTCGGAACTCGTTATCTGTGATAGTTGCGCGCATGTTATGGGCTTTCCATTTTGACCCAGTGTACGATCATGGGGAGAAGAATGAGGTCGATTCTTGGAGTATGACACAGGGGATCAGTTCGCGCCCGAAGCCTTTTCAGGTATCTCTTGTCCCTCGCAGCCTGGCACATCAGGAGGTCATTCAGTATCAATGGAAGATTTCAGAGAAGGGTGATGAAGGCCTCATGACACAAGTTGAAAGTGGTATTGCTGAGAACAGGGCAGCATATGCAAGTCTCTGATGCAGGACAGAAGGAAGATAAAGGAAATTTCTTTTGGATCAGTGCCTCCAGGGAGTTGAGAATTTGTCTGCGCTGTGATAAAGTAGGAGTGCAGGAGTGCAGCAGGAATAGTGAAAAGTGGTCCGTGCCCTCTACTGTTGCTCCTTCGTACGAAATAACCACTCTCGGCACTCGACAGTCTCGACAGTCTCGGAGATCTCGGAGTGTATCTGAATTCGTGTAAATCCAACGAGATGGCATCTGTTGAGATAAGCTGACCCCGCATGCCTCATATCACACCATCGTTCATCTGATCAACGCTCTCGCCATCCTAGCATCCTGTTACTCATACTACGGAGTAAACCTCGGCACGCTTTGCGAACTGCACTTCTATCTTCTATTCAGTTCTCTCTGCGAAATTTGTTTGTGTGCACAGCTTTTCCTGCGGTCATTCGCCTGCTTTCAAGCACTCGAGAATAATCCGGCATGGCATCAGTCCGCAGCAAGATTGCCATCTGGCTATGGGGACCAGACGCCAAAGACCGATCTCTGCTCTCGAAACTCGATGTGACGCTGCTTCCTTATTTCTCGTTGATCTGGTTTCTGTTCGGAGTCACCCGAGCAAGCTACTCCTCTGCTTATATTAGCGGCATGAAAGAGGATCTCGGGTTCAAGGGCAAAGAGTATAATTACATGACTACTGCATACTTGGTGGTCTACGCGGTGTGCCAGATGCCAGGAACGAGTCTGTTGACTATTTATCGGCCTAAATATGTCTTTGTCACGGCCAATGTGACTTGGAGTGTGCTGACCTTGATCACTTACAAAATGCAACATGCATGGCAGGTCATTCTTTTGAATGCGATTGAAGGCGGGTTCTCGGCTATTGCATAGTAAGGATTCCCAGCCGATTCCCGATGTGTGGTCTGATTTGAGGCTGATAATGCGAGTTAGCGTGGGAGCTCATTTCATTCTCGGGTCTTGGTATAAAAGATCCGAGCTTGGTATACGTGCTGCTGTGTTCTGTGTCTTCGGTCATATAGGGACTATGGCCGGCGGGTGGATTCAGGCAGGCCTGCTGGCGACTTTGGCAGGGAAGGGCGGCCTTCCAGCCTGGAAATGGATATTCATCATCGTATCAGTGATGACGGTGCCAGTTGCATTGTTCGGTAAGCTCACCTGATATCCACGGATGGATTGACAAAGCGAACAGAATTGCTCACGCCCAATGTCTAGGCTGGATATTCATTCCTGACCTCCCGGTTCACCGTGCAGCATGGTTCCTCAACGACGAGCAGAAAGAGCATGCAGTGACGCGACTCGGTGCTCTCCGCAAACAGTCCTGGGATGTAACTGTCTTCAGACGGGTGCTGCTGAGTTGGCAATTCTGGCTCTTGCCATTCATTTTCATGCGCAAGTCTTCTCGTTCAAATCCCCTACCATATACACTCTAACGTCTCGCCAGTCTATTCTCTCTGTGTCCAAATGCTTTCCAACAATGTCATGGCCTACTGGATGGCATCCCGCGGCTACACGGTAATCCAACAAAACAATTACCCGACAGGGATCTACGCGACCGCCATCGTAGGAACAATAGTATACGCAATAATTTCCGACAAACTACAGTCCCGGTGGGAAGTCTCCGTGGCCATTGGCCTGACGTTCGTAATTGGCTCTTCGATCCTTGTATCAAGTCCCTCCACGAACACAGGCTATTTTGTGGCATTTTACATTCTCGGCACAACATATGCACCCCAGGCAGTCTGGTACTCGTGGATGGCAGATGTCACAGGCCACGACTTCCAACTGCGTGCAATCACAACCGGGTTCATGAACTCCTTTGATTTTGCGTTCGTTACGTGGTGGCCGCTGATCTTTTACCCTGCTACTGCTGCGCCTAATTTCCATAAGGGGTATGTTGCGAGTTTGGTGACGGGGGCTCTTACATTGCCCTTGATTGGGTTGATTGCTTATCTTGAGAAGAGGGATCGAGCTCGGGGTGTTATTGGGAGGATTGAAGGGGATGTTCCATCTGATGACGAGGAGCATTTGCGGAGAGATGAACCTGTCAAATCAGGTAGTGCACCTGTTCATGTGCGTGGGACGGAGATAGATGTATAAATCCATACTTGGGTGATGAGATTGGGAATGTTGGATGATGTTGCAAGAGATATACCATGAGCTCTAGAAATCCTAAATAGACTTGCATTCTCGGCTCTTGTTCAGAATATATACATTCGAATACATAAGGGGCATAGGTAAGGGTTCGCTAGGAAGTTCAACATGCAATCATCAAGACAAAACGGCACATCATTCAATGGGGAGTTCATATGCCCGCCAGAGGGACTTGCTCGTTATTCAGATTCTCAACATTCAAGTCCTCGGCCTCTCCCCACACGAACTTGCCGAAGGTCAACAAGGCTTGGAAGATTTCTTTCCCTGTGGGTACAATTTCCTCGGAGGGCAAAAGGAAGCCATAGCTCCCACGGTCACGGAGCTTGATCTGGTACGAGAATTTTGCATGAAGTTTGTGGTAAAACCAATCCAAAGAGCTGCCACCGGCAGTCACGCCAGCCGTTCCACTCTTACCGTTGGGGAGAATGCCTTCACACGCCGATGTCACATCGTAAGATTCGTGCGACGTCTGGCGAATCGATTTGGCCAGCCCCAAGGCAAGTTCTTCTAGGCTCTCCAGTGTGGGAGGCACAGACGAACAGGTGTATGAGTAAGGGTACAAGATCTGTTGAGAATAGGAATGGAGGTCCAAGAAGCCTACAATGTCAGCGCGGCCATGCGCAGTCTCATTCATAGCCCAGTGCGCCAGACGCTGAGATTCAATGGCCTCAAATGGCTCTGCACCAGCATAATTCTCAGAGCAGGGGTTCGAGCGAGTTGATTCACCATCCCACTCGTAGTCCCAGTTTCGATCCAAATCGATCCCAGGGCAGATAGGGAGGCCTGTTGGTTGGCGGTTCTTGCGCCAAAGACGGTCTGATTCCCATGAGTAGACGTATCCATCGGGGTTCAGGGTAGGGATCAAAACCCAGTCGTATTCTTGCAACAGTCGGGTCACCTCGGGCGTGTACCCGTAATGCGTGATGAGACTGTACGCTACGTACGTCACGGTAGAAGTACTGATCCATTCACGTGCGTGGCTTCCACCCACAATGACGATAGTCTTGCGGGGTGTCGTGGTAGGTTCTACAGGGGGAGCCCCGAGGCGCAATGCCGGAATATTGCGGCCCTCGTAAGAGAGACCGATGTTAGTCAGATGTACGTGTGAGGAGAACATTGACGCCATCAGTCGCATCCATTGCGATATGACAGAGAGCGGTTGGTACTCCTGGAAGAACAGATCGCCGATTGCCGCGGTCTTCTGGCCATCAAAAGCACCTCCGGTCCCGAAATCAAGATTGTCATGGCGATGGGGGGGATAGGACGCGTAGATCTTATCGGCGAGATTATCCATTAGGGGGGTGTACGAGCTGCGGAGGGTTAGAGGGAGCAGGTCCAGGAGGGAGGGGATCTGAGAGGAACGTTAGCGACGTGAATATATTGAGACTCGAGTGTTATCGAACCATTTCTTCTGCTAGTCTGATGTCCACAAATTCCGACGTGATGGCCCAGGTGTCCAGAAACAGCACCTGGGAGGCAGCCGACAAAGCCTCGGCCTCATCCGGTTGCCGCAACAGGAAACGCAGAACCAGATCACTCCCATATCTTTGATGAATATTGGATGGTGGAGAGGAGTATTTAGAACAGGTGCGATCCAAGTCCCATATTGAGCCGATCACCCAGTCGCGGATTTTAGTCCATGGGCGGCGTGGGTCGGACTGGGGATGGTCGAGCTGTAGGGGTGGGGTGATGCTTGAACCAGCGGGGACGGCGGAGATTAAAGGGACAACGGTCGCCGCGACCAGGATTGGGAGAAGGCGCATTGTACGAGTAGGCAAATATGAGCCTCACAGGAGAGAAGGAAAAAAGAGGGGGGAAATGCAGAGAGCAGAGATAGGAGGTTTAAGCCATATCGATGACATGCATAGGGATTGGCGAATCAAAGAGGGATGGAGTACTCCAATGCAGTAAATAGTCAACTGGTCAAATAGAGTCTGTCAAATAAATCCAAGAGGGTCTTAGTGTCTAAAGTGTAGAGTGAAGAGGCAGAGGCAGAGGCAGAGGCAGAAGGGAAACTGGGGAAAGGGTCTATACGTCAGTGGCCCGGACAGTACGGAGAACTGAGTACTATGTATGTATGCTTTTAGGTTGTTTCTCTGGTCTGTTTATATTTCTCTATTCTAAATATTCTAAAGTTTTTTTTTGTTTCTATATTTGTCCTCTCTCTCTCTCTCTCTCTCTCTCTCTCTCTCTCTCTGACTAGTACTAAGTTATTGGTCTTTTGCTTTGCCACGGACTACTCCATAGTACGGAGTACATAGAAGAGCTTTTACGCTCAGGTCGCCAGGGCCAAACCCCTCTTCTCTTTCAAAACCTCATTACTTGCATTTGCTTAAAACTGGCCTAAATTCCCAGTTTTGCCCCGAGCTGCGAACCCGGTGGCGGAGATCTAGAACGTCTCCCGCGTTTCTCCCCTTTTTCGTGAGAGCTGACGACCAACCTCCCCACCGTGTTCTGGAACCCACGTCCCCCCCCCCGTCTAATGTATTTGCTACACTTGATACACCTTTTCATGGCATTCATTTAAAGTCATCATGCATTGGAAGGGCCTACGTCTCGTGCCCGATGGAAAGGACAGCAAGAGACAAAGCACCGTGGAAGGCCAGTCTCGACGCAGTGAACACCTGCCACGTCCTTCACCCCCCGCCACTGAACCCAGGTTGTCCGAGTCAATTCCTCGCTCCCCGGGCCTGTCAAGCAGCCATGTTCACCTGCCCGGTCTGCAGGTTCCCGACGGGGGCTCCAACGAGGGCGTCGCGCAGGCCGACTTTGCACCCTCCTCTGGGGACACCCCCAGCTTGCGTCGCAATCGATTCAGCTTTATGAGACTGCGGCATGCATCCGACCCCCAACTCTCCAAGTCCTACGTCAAGGCGGGCAAGCAAGACGCGCCGCCCGTTCCCTCCTTGCCGCGTAAGTAAAACAAGGCTCAACTCTATTTCCACAGAAGATCTGACGGTGCGGTATCTAGCTCCTAAAATCATCACCACCGCCCCCACAAGTCACGAACTCGATCGACCCATGAAACAGAGGTCGAAGCTCAACTTTCGACCCTCGTCGCGGAAGCAGTCCATGGAGGAGATGTCCCGGCAGCCGACGGAACCCCCAAAGCCACGCCGGAGGGGTCAGGGCTCAGCGGATTCGCAAGCCACGGATTCTGCGCTGGCGATGTCCCAGAGTATCACTGAGGAGCCCGGGCGGCTATCAACCAATTCACTCCGGGGGAATCAACCGCACACCGATTCCCAACGCTCGTCCGTGATCGATCCCCGATTCTCCGAGTCATCTCGCTCCGATCAAAGTTATGGGGATCAGACGATTACCCGGACCAGCTCTCCTCGCGACGGAGGGAGTGCCACCACAGCAAAACGATTCCGCCTACCCCGATTGAAACGAAACCGAAGCCCCCTCTTCCCGTTACCCCCGAAGTTCCCACAGGCTCAAGTGATGGACAATGCCCCGAAGTTCTCCCCGGCCGACACGCCAAAGTCCGAGGTCTCGGATACCATGGACCAGGTATCACCGCTGCCTTCTCCATCGCGATCAACAGTGGGACTTGCAGCCACAATAGCACCGCCGTTGTCTAGGAATGACTCCACAAATTCCGCCCGTTCGGTCCGATCGAATCCGTCATTTAAGAACCGGGGACGTTCGTCAACCATGGGATCGCTGGCCGAGAATCAGGATGACCTATCGGTGGCTCCACACATGGCATCCTCCGCACGCACGTCGACCTCGACTAGTGGTCGCAAAAGCTTTGGCGATATGTTCAATATCACGCAGAGGCTGCGACAGAACTCATCTCCGCCGGATCCTCGCCATGGCTCCCCTGGGCTTAGTCGCTCCCTTACACCGGTTCAAAAGCCAGATCTGCCACCCGTGCCCAAACGAAACGAGAACGATACCCCTGCTTCGTATTTGACGAGATTAGAAGAAGCTTTGCCTCGTGGGATGATTGCGGGAGTTCTTGCTCAGTCGGATGAGGAGTTCTACAAAATTGGCCTGCGGAAATACATGCGAAGCTTCTCATACTTCGGTGATCCTTTAGATATGTCGATTCGAAAACTCTTGATGGAGGTCGAACTTCCAAAAGAAACTCAGCAGATTGATCGGTTCCTGCAAGCATTTTCCGATCGATATCACGAGTGCAATCCGGGCATTTTTGCATCGCCAGACAAGGCATACTTCATTGCATTCTCGATTCTGATTTTGCATACCGATGTGTTCAACAAAAATAACAAGCGAAAGATGCAAAAGCCCGATTATATCAAAAACTGTCGGGGTGAGGGAATCTCGGAAGACATTCTGGAATGCTTCTATGAGAATATCTCGTACACTCCATTTATACACGTGGAAGATGCTAACATCCGCGACCGCCATCTGGCAAAGCCACGCAGGGGGCTCTTCAAGAGCACCAGCACTGAAAATCTATCTCGGATTGCTAGGGAGCCAGTGGACCCATATGCCCTTATACTGGAAGGGAAGTTGGAATCCTTGCGTCCAAGTTTGAAGGACGTCATGGATCTCGATGATACCTATGAGCATTTCGGTACATCCGGACCGCCAGACATGGATACCCTTCACCAAGCTTTCACCAAGTCTGGTATATTACAGATCATCTCGCTACGCTCGCGGCCAGATGCTTTCATGCCTTCCAGCTTGGATAACCCTCTTGACTCCAACCCAGGTCTTGTGGACATCAAAGTTGCCAAGGTTGGCTTACTCTGGCGAAAGGACCCGAAGAAGAAGAGAGCGCGGTCCCCTTGGCAGGAATGGGGTGCCATCCTCACCTTCTCCCAATTGTACTTTTTCCGCAACGTGAATTGGGTACGCACTCTCATGGCACAACAAGAGGCATACATCAAGAACGGCCGCCGCGGGACTCTTGTTTTCAAACCACCCTTGTCTGACTTCAAGCCGGATGGAATCATGTCAACTGGAGATGCAGTTGCGCTATTGGATACGGCTTACAAAAAGCACAAACACGCCTTCATGTTCGTTCGACACAATGCACTCGAGGAGACTTTCCTTGCCACCTCGGAATCTGATATGAATGACTGGCTTGCCCACCTCAATTATGCCGCAGCTTTCAGAACCACTGGTGTCCGTACCAAAGGTATGATCGCCACCAACTATGAGGGAAAGCGGTATCGGAAAAGCCAACGCATGGGTTCCATTTCTTCGCAAACCTCCCAACAATCACAGTCAACGGATATCGAACCCCCATCGCCGAGCATTGATACTGACGTTGTCGCCGAATTCGTTGCCGCTCGGCAACAACTGATGAGCCAAAAGATTCGCGAGACCAATGAGAAACTTTTCGTCTCGCAAAGGCAACTTGAGGATTTACTCCAGAATGCTCGACACCTCCAGGTTCTTACTCCGGTTCACGCTCGAGCTCGGGAGGGTGTCATTCTGGCAGCCGGCCGACTGTCTGCCAAACTCAAGTGGGTCAGGCAGGATATTGGGCGCAACAAGTGCTACCGTCAAATTCTGCTGCGAGACTTGGGTGAAGATGAGGAGGCGGTGAAGAGCCGCGTGGGGTCTGTTGCTGAATCTACATCTCAAGCAGATGCAGCACGCCTGGCGTCTCTTTCCGGGCCCTCTCTTGCATCGGAGCCTACTGCAGAAAGATCTGGCAGCATTGTGCCCACTATCGCTAGCATTGACACCCCTGAGCCCAATGTGGTTGTCAGCGATGAATCATCCGAAGGTGGATTGTTGGCAAAGCCTTCAATTCCCGAGTCCCGTCGCCCCAGTATCCCCGGGTCGGTTACTTCTTCTGACGTTTCCCGTATTGGGCGCCGGCGCTCTGCAGTCACAATTCCAGAGCGCGCCAAGTCCTACTCCCCTGATCCGAAAACAATCAAACTCGAACGAGATGCCTCTGTTCTCAGTCGCAATAGCAGGTGGGATGGTGCTAGTATTGCGTCTCGAACCTCGAAGTTGACTTCACCCGTCAGCTTTGACGACAACGAAGAACGATTCTTGAGGGAGGCGGGTCTATTGCAGCTCCCTGAGTCCCCAGGGCGCAGAGATGATGACGCAGTACTTGAGACGACGCCTGGGAACACCACCGAGGGGGATGCAATCCCAACTGAAAAATCCGACAAGCCAAGTCGCGTCCGCCGCAGCCTTCATAGGACCCTGCGTGACTCACATGCTCATAGGCATCATTCACATTCGAAGAAGAAGCGGGGCTCGGTTTCCAGCATTGGACAAGAGGAAGACGATCAAGTTTCCGACGGGGGTGATATCCTCCCCCGCAAAGCGCCTAGTTTCACCGTGCACGGCAAGAAAGCATCCATTGTCACCTTCGGCTCCGAATGGCAGAACATGCCACCCGAAGAGCGCCTCAAACTTCGAAAGCCAACTCCACACGAGGAACCACGAGCATCGGATCCTACATTGCTTGATACCGACGAGATATTCGAATTCGAGCCCAGCCACGAACGGCCCCAGTCGTTACGTAGCACCAGCACCACCACTGGCCTCAGCACCCACACCAACGATGTCGATTTCAAGGATGCTCGTGAGGTGCAGTCCGAAGAGGATGATGTCGGACGACCTGGTTCTCCAATCATCTTAGCCCCACCTTCAGACGCAGAGCCCTTGAATACCCCATACCCCCCTTCCACAACCAACGGGCACCTCCACGCACCAAGACCCGAGGGCGCCACCTCCTCCACCTCCCTAGGCGAGCGAATCGTCGATCACCCATCTTCCGAAAACCTCCGCGAGCAGGCCGTGGGTGCCTAAGCATCCCCGCGAGCGATTTTCCTTTCTTCTGTACATCCTAACCATTCTGACCTTGATCTTCTGCTTGACGATTATTATACCCCCTTTTCCAACAATTGCCTTCATTTTGTCTTCTGTTGTCGCTTTGCATTCACGTCTGGTGAGCATGGGCTTCGTGCTAGGCTTCTGGTTGTCTTTTTAAGCATTCTGTGTCTGCATTTTGTAGACTTATTGGGCTCGTTTGGGTTGCGAGCATGGAAAGGCGCTTGTTTCATGTTCTTGGTCTGGCCTTTACTGTTTGTCTGCATCATAGAGAAAAGCAAACTTATGATTGACAATGATTCAATTACTTCGATCTTTGAAGGCTATACAGTATGTAAACCTGTCTAGGTTGCAATAAAAGCAACCAGTCGGTCTGGTCTCTCTGATTACCTAGGCAGATCGATCGAGCCTCATAAGCTGTATACCGTCGGGTTGGGTGAGATCGCCTGCGTAACAGTGCACTAATCGAGGAAAAAAACCCCCGGCGATTTGAAAACCGAAGATAGTGGTCACCTAACAGAAGAGTGCTAATCGCAAAGTCCAAACAGTCTCGATTGTGCCGGTGATTCCACGGCGTGTGGCGAACCCTAAAACATGAACTACACCCGGGCACCTGCACTAATGCAAGAGCAGTCACATGAAGCGAGCTACGAAGATCGTGGATCATCGACTATGGAATTCTCTTCACCTTCACAGTGTACCATACTGATATTTTGTGTTTCGCTGTTGACATTTTTTTGTTCTGTGTTTGTGATCTCACATCACTCGACACACTATGATAAAACTGTGGTATTGCTGCTCCTGCTCGTTTGGACCTCATAATGCTTTCTTGCATGAAGATTGTATCCAGTGTGGAACACCGCGCTGCGGTCGATGTATCGAGCAACAACCTTTTGAGACACTACCTGTCGAGGTACCGCCAGCACGGCCAATGACGCCGGAAATTCCCAATCCTGGCAGGAGCCACAATTCGATCGAAGAAACAGCTCATGCACAGGTCAACACAAGTGCAGGCCCAGATCATGCGGGCGACAGCGAGGAAACACCATCCGGGCTTCAAACGTCCCAGGCAGAAAACACCGACGGCACTGGTTCTTTTAGTCGGGATCTCGAATTAACTCGTCAAGAACTCTCAACTAGCCCAGTCACTCTCCCTGGTAGTACCACAAACGACAATGGGAATATCCCTATCCTGAAACCCCAAGCTCTTTCTCCCGGTACTGCTAATGAGTGTAGCAGTGCCAAATTTATCGTTTATTCCCCATCTTTGGGTTCAACACTGGCAGATTGGGTCTACAAGCAGTTTTCCCAGGGGCTTTATTCCTCGGCCGAGCTCCGAGTTCTCGAGAATGTGATCGCTGAATTGGAGAATACTCAGCCAGAGTTTATTTTTGTTGGGTTGGATGAGGATGTGGCGTTCTGGAACACCCTAAAGGGAAATGCTGAAGGAATACTTGGATCGCTAGACTGGTGGCCCTTCCAGTCTTACATAGCACCTCTTGATCAAGATCAAACCAGGATTTCCTGGAAATGTGTACGTGTACTTCCTGCAACCGAGGATGAACTAGGGGGTAGTGCTGATTGATATCTCTCCAGCCCTGCGGCGATGAGCGTTTGGCGACGGTGCCTCTGTCTTTGGACTGAAGATTGGGCAGATTTCCAGCGCCAATGCCACACCAGCAAATCAGCGAAGTCGGGCAGTTACTAGTAGCCTGCCCTCTGTACCAACAACATCAACTCAACTCTCCAGTATGCGAGCCAGAACACAACCCGGAGAACCAAGTTCCGGGTCAAGTGTCGCTCAATCAGCAGAAGAACACCAGGACCATCGAATTCCCTCAAATGTTGACCGACAGCTACATGTTTTCCTTGTTCTCCTAGGGTTTTCAATTTTCGGCAGTACGCACTGTCTTGCACAGACAGCCGTTAATGATATGAGTGACCACGATTTCTTCCTGTGGATTTAGAAGTCATATTATTCATACCGAGGATATCTTGCTATATGGTTTGGCCTCAAAACATATTCACACTGCGAGTTCTTTCGGGTAAGTCCTTACACTTCAAGCTTTGATTGATCACCCGGTTGTAGATGATCACTTACTGATTGAGTATTACTAGTTTCGAAGATTTGATGGATATGAGTACGCTCCCATACAACCAGAATATCCCGGCGAGGATCAAGCAAGTTATCACTACGCGCCCAAGCCCATGCGTCCTCGCCCGCCAATGGCATCGCATGAGTTCTCTCATTGGTTCCAGAAAGGGTCTTGGTCTCGCACTGCCCAACGACTACTTACCGCAAGGCAGCATCAGATGAAAGGCAAGAGAACATGCTATCCATCAAAAAACAGGGATGTGGTGGAACACAAAATACCCAAAAGAGAATCTGCTCTTGAAGAAGGCGTCCCTGCAAGCGAGGACTTTTGGGGCTTGTATGTTGTCGAGAAACGTGCAGTATTCAGACTGGCTGTCTATAGCGTTGCCTTCCTGTCTCCCTCGATCTACTTCTTCTTTGCATAGTTATTCCAATGGGGCCATGAAGGTGATATGCAAAACGCATCTATACCTATTGCACTTTCACTCGCGCCCCTGGCGACATTTTGGGGATTTGTCATATCTACTTCTTGAGTCGACCAGACCCTCTAATTATGAATGACAATTTCTGTCTTTCTTTTTGCGACATTCAGGACTGTTGTCCGCAATGATATACTTACGTGGTGTATAGAGTACGAATACGAGTAATGTCTACCATAATAGGCTTAGTGTATTCACTCGCAGCGCACCAATCAAAAACACCCAACCAAAACCATCTTAGAAACATTACGACATCCTCAAAGCTCCCACAGCTCCTACAGCTACACAACCCGCAAAAAATGGCACACTCAAAACGCAACACATCCCTACCACACTTCACATCCTACGAACGAGGTCTCCTCCGCGAATCATGGGGTAGCAAATCCCGCGCCATTGGCCGAGACAGCTTCCTCTCATTCGGCAGCTGTCGACTATGTCTACAACCCGCCCGAACACCCGTCGCATGCAGCACGAACGGTGACCTCTTCTGCCGTGAATGCGCAATGAATGATCTCCTCGCGCAACGGAAGGAGATCAAGCGATTAGAGCACGAGCGTGACGAGGCACGCAAGCGGATTGCTGAGGATGAGGAGCGGACGCTGGATGAAGCCCGGGCGCGGGATCTGAGGGACTTTGAGATGGTTTCTATGGGACTGGAGGCTAAGGCTAGGACGGCTGGGGAGGATAGTAAGCGGGCCAGGGCGGAGGCGTTGGAGGCTACTGGTGGGGGAGCGAAGAAGAGGAAGGTGGAGGTTGTGGATGATGCTCTTGAGAGGATTGGGGGGAGGGAGGTGATTGTTGATGGGAAGAAGAGGAAGGTTTTCGAGCTTGGGGCTGATGAGATGGCCAGACTTGCGGCGGAGGAGAAGCAGAGGCTCATGAAGGAGGTTAAGGATGCGAAGGTTTGTGCATCGGACTTGGGGTTATGTGCTTGGGCTGACTATGCTTTTGTCAGAATGAGTCTAAGTCTGCTTTGCCTTCTTTCTGGGTGCCTTCCTTGACGCCTGCGACGGATGCAGATGAAATCACAGCGAACAAGGCGGTCAAATTGACGCCCATTTGCCCTGGGTCCACGGATGATTCCCGACATTCGTATTCGCTAAAGTCGCTGGTTGAGGTGCATTTCACAGAGGAGAAGGCATCTGATGGAACCGTGTCGAGGGTGTGCCCGAGCTGCAAGAAGAATCTGAGCAATGGGCTCAAAGCAATGCGTATGTGGGCAAGATCAGTTTTCTATGTTCAAGCTTACTGATATCTTTTACAGTCACAAAACCCTGTGGCCATGTTATCTGCTCACCATGTGTGACCAAATTCATGACTCCCCACGAAAGTCATATCCCAGATCCACATGCTTCCAAGGAGGAACAGGAGAAGAATGCGGCCTTACATGGCGTGGTTCTGTGCTATGTCTGCGAGGCCGACGTTACGGCGCGGCCCAAGGAGAACGGCAGTGGGACAAGCAAGAAGTCCAAGAAGAAGGACAAGGAAAAGGACACCATCCAGCCCGGTGTTGTAGAGATCAGCTCCGAGGGGACCGGGTTTGCAGGCAAAGGTGGGAATATGGGAAAGAAAGCCGGTGTGGCATTCCAGTGCTGAGCGCAAAGAACAAAAATCCACAACCATCACAGTGAAATGTGTGTACGATAACAATATCCTGATATTGCCGCCCGGAGCGGATCTGAACGCCCGAAGATATGCAAATAAAGAGTCTAAATATACAGTGAAGAAAGTTCATCAGGCGACCTAGTCTCCAGTTATTCAAGAACGCTTCTTAGCATTGTTGAACTCGCGGACAGTGATCTCGCAGGCGACCTCCTGGCAAAGGCGACGGCGGCGGCTCAGATCCAGCTGGGAACCGAATTCCAGACCAGACGCGCGCTCGACAGCCTCCAAAGGCACCTCGAAGTCAGTCAGACGCTTGTCATTCGCAATGCGAGCATTAGGCAGAACAAAAGCACCGAGAGCAACCTTGGCAGTGGGTGCGTTGGTGCCGTCCTCGGCATACACCACCTTGTAGAAGTGTGTAGGCACAGCGACATTAGGTGGGGTACCGATAACCTCATAGTTCACGCGCCACTTTCCATCGGGGTCACGGTGAGGCAGGTACAGCGGACCGGTCACGATGCGAACGGAGGGGTACTTTTTCGCAAGATCGCGACACCAGGTCTCAAAGTGCGCCCAGTAATCACGGTTGAATCCCTCGCCGACTTGGGGACACATGTTGGACAGGGCAAATGTGCCGTCCATGGCTTCCTGTGACCACTTGGCGTCTGCGGCAGGCACCTGGTGACCACGGTCGTAGCCGGAGCGGAAATAGTCAGACAACTTGGCACGGAACATGGCGGGGATGGTGGTGTCCTCGAAGAAAGTGCTCTTCTTGCGATCTCCGTTGTTGAGGGCCAAAGATTGCGGTGTGACATGCTCAGCTACCCATGAAGGGTTGCGGGTGCGGCGGTCAAAGGCACCGTGAAGGGGGAGGGAGGAGAGCTCATCGGCGACAGGGCCAGGGAAACCATATTGAAGAATTCCAGCCGGGTTGACAGGTCCGGTAGTCTTGGTAGGTAGAGTTGGGGGAGTGATGGTCGAAGCGTGGACACCGGTAGGCGTTGGCAGCTGTTGCTGTGGCTTCGAGGGCTTGCCGGAGTAAAGCAAGGCAGTTACACCAGCACCAGTGGCTGCACTGGCAGCAGCAATAACCGCCAAGGTTGCTTTCGACATGGCGAGGAGTTGTAGGAGTGTTGTTGAAGCGCCAAAGACCTCGGAACAAAATAAAAAGGGAGCGACGGACCAATCAGCGTCTTACCTGTGAACCGCATACATGTACGCCCTCTTTCTGCTCACTCTCGATGGTCTTCTTTTGTATACTCGTATTTTTTGCATGATCATGACTGTTGTCAGGGTGAATTACTCGAGACCGAAAAGAGAAACAAAGAAAAAGAGAAACGCAAGTCCCCTTGCGTTTGCACCAGATCAAAGCTGAGGATTGGGTCAAACAGTCGCATCATAGGCCATGGAGGTTTGACCAGCTCGGTCAGGCCATAGGGACCTTACCTCCATACCTATGGCCAAGCTCAGATAGAGAGCAGAGAGTCAACCCCTGAGTTGAAGGCCGTGGCGGACGCCTGAGCTCCTCACAGGAGGGGGTGAGAAGTGAGAACCTTGGGGGCAAAGAATGCACATGAGCAATCGAAAGACTTAAAACGCAACTTCACTCCAACTCTGCTGAATCTCTCAGCAGTTGAGTTGGAGAAGGAAAAAAAGGCGTTGACCGCCAACCACGTCCCGTCGAATTCGAATTACATCATTTCCATTTTCTTCACCTCCACACTCCGCGATGCCTGCCAACGACCTTCGTGGGTGGGTCATGAGCGTGGTCTCGGGCATCGGTATGTGTCGCCGATGAATGTCGTTGGTCCATATGCTAATTTCGTCCAGCCTGCGTCCTCGGTTCATCCATCATTTGCGTCGATGTGCTGGTGCGAGTGCTTTCCCGTCGCAAGAGCTTCCAGATTGCCAACAGTAGTAACTTCCTGTCGGCTTCACTATGTCTCAGCGCGGGTGTGATGGTAGGCGAAGAAATAGAGGGTAGAATGGTGATCCTATGCTAACTTGGCTATAGCTTTTTACCTCCCTCTATAGCATGCTCCCCACCTCGAAGCAGTACCTAACGCGGGCCGGTTTCTCTCCGTCCGTTTCGGCCTATATGCTTATTGGGCTGTTCATCGCCGGGGTCGCAGGTATTCAAGTCCTGTCCGGCTTCGCGCACAAATTCATCCCCTCGCATGTCGTTGATTGCGCCCATACGCACGGCGAGTCGGAGGATGATCCCGAACACGGCAAGAACCAAGTCGAGGACGAGTTCGACCACACCCATAACAAAAGTGTAAATCAAAGTACAGAGAGAACGCCCCTTCTGCGGCCTGCGGATCATCTGGCATTCAAATCCACCCCGGCGGTGGTGCAACGAAGCCAGCACATCGAGCCGGCGCCAAGAAGTCGCGAAACCATGCGGGCAAGGCTCACACGCCGCATCACCTCGCTTATGGGTGTCAAACCCACCTGCGACGAGAATGGACCCTGTTTCGGTGTCTCCCAAACCTGCGGACGTGAATGCACTAAAGTCCTTCCACCTTCCGCCAATGAGCTCCCTCGGCCGGATCTAGTGCACCGCGAAAGTATGTCTGCGCCCCTCGATGCAGAGATCTCTCAAGCCGAACGCGATGTTGGAACCGACTATCACCCGTTAGATGGAAGATACTTTGATAACATTGCTGCCCAGCACTCCCTTCGCCCGTGTGTCGCCTCGTCTGCCTCATCGCAGGTTGCCCAACACGGGATCGCGCATTCGCATCATGACCATGAGCACACTCACGATTCGTCCAGCGACGAGGACGATCTCGAAACCGATCGTCCCAGGTCCGCGGCTGGCAATCCTCACCATCATCATGTCCCCCAGAATGCGTTCCTTTCCATTGGACTGCAGACCTCGCTGGCCATTGCTTTGCACAAACTCCCCGAAGGATTTATTACATACGCCACTAACCATGCAAGCCCGACTCTCGGTCTGACAGTGTTCCTGGCTCTGTTCATCCACAACATCGTGGAAGGCTTTGCCATGGCCCTCCCACTCTATCTGGCTCTGAACTCTCGCTGGAAAGCCATGTTCTGGTCCAGTCTGCTGGGCGGTATCAGCCAGCCCGCAGGTGCCGGAATTGCCGCTTTTTGGATCTGGAGCACTGGTCAGCGGGGCAGTGGAGATGCCACGGGTCCCTCGTGGGGAATCTACGGCGGCATGTTTGCTGTGACGGCTGGTGTCATGACATCAGTTGCATTGCAACTTTTCAGTGAAGGGTTGGCCCTGACGCATCACCGCGGTCTCGGCATTGGGTTCGCCGTCGCTGGTATGGGGTTGATGGGGTTGAGTTTTGCATTGACTGCATGACCGTGTGTATATCTGGCTTGCATCATTATATGGATTTTGATCGTTTGGGTATGCATGGATATAGATTGTTCTGGCGTTGGACATCATCACCACCACAACCACTTTATGGTTCTGCACAGATCCTTTACTCCGGTTTTATTTTTATCAACAACATACACACGAACTGACGGAAAGGAGCACATACGCAAGTGCCAATAACGAAATAAAATCATTGTACGTTTACGTTTTTATTCTTGCTTGATCACTATCACCGATATCGTTATATTCCGAGGGTATACCCAGGTAAGCGAAGGTAAGCGAACGCGAACAGTAACAGCCTGTTGTGCGCATCTCACCCAAATAGATCCACACTTGATTTTGGATACAAAGATGAAGATCACCGAGTGGTTCGACTCTCGAAATGCGATCAGGTATAGTTTTTGAAAAAAGTGGAAAAACATTTGACATTTGACAGACACTATTAGGACATATACAATTTGGTCCTTTATACACATAGAAATTCAAACTTTACAAAACACCTACTCTCGAGCCCAATTCACAGTGCCTGCACCGAAATACGTCTCGGAGCACCATTGCCATACAGACCAGCTCCGCTCGACTCGCGCAGATGGTTGGAATGGGCCTGTCCCTCTTTCTCCAGATCTTCAACATCAATGCTGAAGCGACGAGGCTTAGACCAAATACCAAAGCTGTCACCACCATTAGCCTCTCCAACGCTCTGAGTCTGCTCAGACTGCAATCCAAAGCGATCAGTAAGAGACTGGAACAGTCCAGCGTGCGCGGAAGCTCTCTTCGAGGTCCCGCCCAAACGGGCCTGCGCCCGACGCAGCAACTCCATGTGTTGCGAAGCAGTATCAGCCGCACGCTCGTGGCCCTTCGCATCAGAGTCACCGAGAAGGTCATACAGGATGCCTTCGTGCAAAGTAGCCGCTGACTGGTGGTTATCGGATGCAGTGAAGAGACCAGAGAGAAGCTTTGTCATTTCCAGTGTAACTGGATCGCAGCTTCCCCAGACTTGGCGCAGATTGTAGCAGATATCGCGGCAGAGCTGGATGGAGGAGTCGATGTGGCCGCGACAGAAGCGGGTTTCGACGAGGCGTCGACCAATCCACACGACTACATCTGGGGTCCAGGTGCGTTGGACGATACGGGAGGTCCAGAGCTGGGAGAGGATGCCTTCCAGGTCATCGAACATCTCGTACTCGCCTAGGAGTGTGATGATGTTGTTCAGGTCACCGAAGGGCATGTCGACCATCTCAATGCCGATGGATTTGGAGGCTGTCATGATATCTTGTAGGAGCAGCTTTGACTTCACTGACATGCCATTGTAAGTCTTCTCGTCGGTGCACTTGGTTGCCTTGTGACCACTCAAATAGAGACAGATCTGTGTGGCTGTCTTGATATTGTCATAGTTGTTCAGACCATCGGTCAGATGCAGGAACGAGTGCAGTACACCCGTCAGAATAGCGCTCTCCTGGAACCGTGATGAATTGCACAATTCCCGAACGAGGTTTGCGGAGGTATTGAGAATGCTGGTTGTGTAGTTCTCGTGGTGAACCTCACGCAGACAGATCTGGTAGAATTGCTGTACAATTCCCTTATCGCTCACGCTGGTGGCAGACAGGTTGGAACAGAAGTAATCGTACAACTTGTCCTTGGTGTCATTTGCAGCACGGGTCCGTTTCTGATCGTGTTGTAGAGTGTACAGCACATGGCCAGAGATCAATGTGGGGATGAAGTCATGACCAGAGAGGTTTCTTGAGAACTTTTGGTAGGTACCCATCTCACGAGACATTTCTGTCATGATCTGATCGTAGCTGGCACGTTTGCCGAATACTTCCTCAAAGGCAGCAACGAACACAGCGTCGCGACGGTCACCCATGGTCACGGCTGAGGCTTCAGAGCTGTATATGACGCGTTGACGTAGCTCGTCGAGCACATTGTTGCCGCCTTCAATGAAGCCGCACTCAATATAAATGCTTGCGATTCTGCGGGCCCAGTCGCCAACCATGTCAGAGTCCCCACCGGCATGCAATACATCTGTGGAGAAGGTGTGCAAAATGGCATTTCCTTGCTGAATGGATGTTGGGGTACCTTGGCGGGAATGCGCCAGGGCGAGCTCTCGGAGCCAAGAAAGCGTGGTAGTCGAGAAGTATCCCTGGGTCTTCTTGGCTAGCTGGAACTCCTCGGTATACAGAGAACGGGCCTCGCTGGTTGAATCATGCTTGCGAACGAACAACTGCGCGAGCTTGTGCTTCAGTGTGATGGGCAATGGAACGGTCATTTGATCAAGACCCCTGGAGGCCTCGGGAGCAGCAACCCACTCCGTGGTCTGCAGGGGGATCTTGTACAAATTGATCGCTTGGTCCATGTACAAGTCGCTGGACTCACACAGCTCGGCGAAGAGCAGAGTAGCGTTCAGTGTCTTTTGGCTAGTTTCACCATGGACGTGGCGACAAGTCATAACATAGTCAGAAGCAACCTGCCAACGCTCTGAGAATGCAGAGGTCCGCTTGGTTGTCAAGATAGACATGTATCCCATATAGGTCTTTTCGAGCATTCGGTCCAACAGAGTGTGGTCATAGGATTCCTCTTTGTTATCCTCGACAACCAGGGTTGGCCAAAGAGCTCGGTAGACCTCCAGAGCAGAGTCCCACTGCATCTCCGACTCATAAAGTGCCACCAGTGCGATTGCAGCCTCGATTCCCTCGGGAGCGACAGTCTTCTCTTGCGATGTAGCCTTGAAAATTCGCTGGTAGGTGCTCTTGGCCTCGCCAGTCATCTCTAGGCGAGTCGCCAGAGCAGCCTCAATATACATGTTATCAATGGTATGCTTGTGCGATTCACCAATTCTGGACGACAAGAAGTTGCTGACAGTGTGTAGCAAATTGAGCGCCTTGGTGAACTGGTAAGATGTCTCGTAGAATCCAACCACGGCCTTGGCGACAGCAAGCACAGATGGAACTGGAACTCTGTCTGATGCGATCAAGGACCCGAAGGCGTTCTGGTACACAGTCGTGGCCTGCTCCAGATGCAGCCTGCGGAAGTAGCAGTAAGCCAAGACGAGAGCAAGGTCTGCGGCTGGAGGTGCAAGTTCATGCGAGAACTTCTTGTAGGATTTAGGCTGTTCCACTGTCGGCCAGATATGTTGCATAACGGCCATTGTGCATTCACTGGCCTGAACAAAGTCTCCCTCGCGCACGTAAATGCTAGAGAGGTTGTGACACATAATCAAGGTCGTGACCGTCAGGTTGCTTGAGCTAGCTGAGATAACGTCCAGCAGCTCAACCAGCAGCTTGCGATCGCGCATGGTTAGGGACGAGGCGTCCTCAATTGAGACCGCATTTGCCATACTCTGGGCGATAGAAAGCGCGAGAGCTGTAGATTCCTCGGAATACTCTTGGTGAGTCTCCTTGTAGTAGCGCCACATGAGGACAGACAAAGAACGATCCAGACTGTACATGTGCATCTCACGAGTCTCTGCCTTGAGGAGCGACACGCGCTGCATCATTTCCGAGGAGTGGATGCCAGTCACCTCGAGGTCAGCGACCAGTTCACGGATGATCACTTCGGCCTCGTCGTTTCGGCCCTGGCGGCGGAGGAATTGGTAGTAAACAAGTGCGACGTTGGATTTCTTGTCCATCATGTCGACGGAGTCAATGTCGCGTGAGTTGAGTCCAGCCCAGAGGCTAGACAGAACAGCCTGGGCATGGACTATATCGCCCTGTTTCTCATACATCTCTGCCATGTAGAGAGTGTAGCTGATGCGGCGCTCGTCCGTGACCTCCATCGTTCGGACCACATTGTCATACTTGGTTCTCGCAATATCACGGCTCATTTCATCGCTTCCGGTTGTGGAGAACTGACCGGTCAAGAAGTCTGCAGTCTCCGATGACTGGTGCGAGTTGGTACCATACTTCTGAAGCACCTGCTGGTAGAAGTGCTTCGAGATGAAGAGGGCAGAGTTGTTGTCACCACGGGACTTGTACATGCCAACAATCATTCCGAGATACTTCAAGCGCTGGTTAAACTCGACGCCAGTTATCTCGGAGTCAGTCAAGATCAGGTACTTCATGATATCCTCTTGCTGAGATGTCATTGTTCCTCGTTCAGCAAACGACTGGGTCATCATCTCAGCACAGGTCAATGTGATGGCATGGGACTGTCCGAGAAGCTCCTGGCTCATCTTCCACGCTTCGTAGCAATGCTCATCAGCATGGCTTGCGTGGGCCAACTGGGAAACTCGCGCACTGAGAACCAGACTCTCCAGCAATGCGATAGACTTATCGCCGAGAACCACTCGCCGAATGTCACTTGCAAGTCGGTATAGCTCAACCACACTAGAGCGAGTGAATTGAGACTCGCGGCAAGTAAGTTCCAAACGCGCGAACAGAACTGTTGCAGGCATGAGCTTCTTGAAGTCTGGAGTAAAGCGGAACTCTCCATCGTCAGTAACAAGAGGAGATGACAGGAGATGCGATAGCCAGTAGCGTGCGGTATATTCCAATAGAACATACTTGTCGAAAAGTTGGTTACGCTCCTCCATGCTAAGCTTGTCAAGGGACACATCAACTTCCTCGTTCATGCTCAGCTGCACACAAGAGAGAGACCTGGTAAGCAGATCATAATGCGCATCCTTGAGGCTGAGCTCAGCATTTCCTCCAGTCGACTTGGCCTGTTTGATGACATGGTCACGAATGCATGTGTGTGCAAAAGACACAACACCATCCCGAGTCATGACCAAAGGACTGAGTGCGTTCAAGGTCTCATAGCCTTCCTGTGGTCGCTTAGAGTAGTAGCTGGGGCTCTGAGGGTCCACGTTCAGCAAGTGCTCAATCTCTTCCACAAGCAATGGCCTCTCGGCTGCAGCAAGCCAGGACACGACGCTGATAGTGCCCTGCTGGCTGAGATCAAGGTGTTTCGAATGGAAGTCAAGAAGCTCGGGCATGCTCTGTGGCAAGCTCTGCACGGATATCACAGCCTTGTTCAGAGTCTTTTGCTGCTGTGCATATGCAACCGCCATTTCGGCCCAGCTGAATGAACCCTGAGACCGTCCAACAATGGCAGATACAGCAGCCTTGAAGTGGTTACCCTTTTGGGTGTCGAAGTTCGCACCAGCCGAAAGTAGCTTGCTGACGTAGGATGTAAGATCTGCCTTGGTCTGTGAGGCCTGAATAGTGAATTGCTGGATTCCCTGCGTACGGGGCCTTGCGCTGAGAGGTCGGGTAAAGGCAATCATCTTGGACCCAGCATTCTGTTGCGACAGAAGCTCGCAGAAGTGGTCAAGGCATGCCATAGCATCGGTCTCGCCACCCTTGATCTGGTCAATGCCATCAACCACAAACATGTACTGGATGTTCGAGGAGAGACCAGCTTGAATACCCTTCCACAAAGAGCCTTCAACTGCGTCATCTCCGGCCCCATCAATAGCTGCCTGAGCTGCCTGAGCAACTTCAACCAGAACTGCCTCTTGGGTAACCTTGTCGCTCACAGAGTGGTCCAACATCTGGTGCAAAACGCCCTTCAGGATGCGCAGTGGCAAGGTCGCAACAGGGATATCGGCACCTACGCTTGATTAGCCGTAGTCTCATAAGTAAATTATGGAAGTTACTCACGAATGGTGTAAGGAACCACATTCCAGCTGTCGTGCTCCGCTGACTCCTGCAGTCTTTCCACGGTCCATTGAGCCAATGCACTCTTTCCGGATCCGGGACCGCCGGCAATCACCATCGCAGGAGAGCTCGAAACGGTGAAGTCGTAAAGTGTGTTGTTAAACCACTCAAACGATCCTTCAGCAAGCGAGTGAGCGCGCGAGTCCAGGATAAATTGCAGTGGGCGGTCTTGTACGCCGAGGAACTGACGCAAGCTACCAAGTTCGGGCGAGGAATAGATCAGAGAACTACTCTCCGCGATCTTGGAGGTGTGAGCGTCAACGATGATGTTCCAATGGGTTGAGAAGCGCTTGGCATAGATCAAAAAGGCAGAATCAACGTTGCGACCGATAACTTGGTCAGACTCCTTACTCTTCAAGCCATCGACACAGCTTATGGTGGTGCTACACACCATCTCAAGCAGGTCAGCGAAGACCGCTGCGACTTCTGGCTGGAGCTCAGGAGAAGACTTGTAAGCCGTCTCATACTGCAAGAGCAGGTAAATGCCAACAGCGACACGACCATAGCGTCCGAAGACGCTCTCAAATACGTCTGTGTTGTCAAGATCAGACTTTCGAGGTTGTTAGCATCGGACTTCGCAATTGATTTTAGCCTTTTTCACTCACCTCAAGCAACAGAATAGCGAATCCCCAGATGAGCGTCGCAGCCTCGTTGGCGGCGGGTGCAAAGGCTCCGACAGATTCACGGAGGGCGTCAACGGCATACGCCAGTCTAGAGGCCCATCGCAGACTGCAATCGAGTCTGCTTCCGTCACGGGGCATCCAGCGAAGTCGCTCGACGGCAACAGCATCAAAGAAAGCGTCAACACTGATGCTACGCTTGCTGATCTCGCTAGAGGATAGGCCTAGCTGAGTCTTGCACTTGTGAGAAACAGCCTGGACCTTCTCCTGGAGAACAGTGAGCTTGTAGCCACCAGTGCTGAGCTGCCTGACGGTGCGCTTGGTGGTTACGCCGTTGACAACGGTGGACTTCGAGCCGGAAGGTTCAGTGGTGCCGAGACCAGTCATCCCGTTGCTGAACCCACCTTTGCTGGTAGCACCAGATGCACCAGCTTGTTGGACACCTGCGCCGGCAAAGCCTACATTGTTCGAGCTGCTCTGAGTGTTGTTCAGAGCGCCTGTAGTTCCGCCCTGCTGCAGTCCTGCCCTGGCTATGCCCGCTTGGCTCGAGCCATTCAGACCAGTGCCAGTGGCCCCGTAGCCAGCAGTCTTCTGCTGTCCCCGGGTTCCCACATTGACTAGTGCTGCTTGGTTCGGTTTGGCTGCACTGGCGTAGACCTTTTCGTTGGCGGCACCGGTCGTGGTGGAGCGAGGACGTCCCGACTCATTGACTGCCTTTGTGGTGGAGCTTTCCGAAGGATTGGCATTATCCGAAAGGCTGCTCTGACTGCTGGCTGCTTCGGCGTAAGACCTGTACTTGTTTGCCAGGCCTTGTCCGCCTGTGGAACCATAACCGCCCGCGGCGGCAATCGCTCCACTCTTGGGGCTTATCGACGCAGGGTCTTTATTTGCTGCGGCGCCAGCTCCAGTAGTCGAGGCTTGCTTTGTGGTCAGGTTCCGAGTGGCGGAGCTCTTTTCGGTGACACCCTTGCTACCTAAATAGCCTCCTCCTGTGATAGCAGCAGCGGCCGCGGCGCCCTTGCCTGCCTCTTGCGATGTCAAGGAGCCCTGCCTGTCAAGATTTGCTTTGTCGAGGTGGTATTTGCCTGAAGCATCTGGACCTGCAGGCTCTTGGGAAGCACCTTTGCCGCCAGCGCCATCGTCAAAAACATCTGAGCCAATGTTCTGCTGGTCATGAAGCTCATTGTCGATGAAGCTATCGCTGTAATCTCCCCCGGCCATGGCAGCTCCGGACTTTGCTTGGTCTGAAGGGATTTCTTCTTTTTCACCGGACGCAGACTTGGAGAAGTCTTTCTGGTCCGTGTTGGCTTCGCTGGCATTGGCACCAGCATCTTTGGTCCCGTCGGTTTTTTCTTCCGACGAGAGAGTTTTGCTGTCAACTCCCCTTTGCATAATGGTTTCTCTGCCATCCTTGTTGTGATAGTTCTTTTCTTGGAACGTGCCAGGAACGGTAATGGGCCCTTTGCGTATGTCGTAATTGGGCTCGAGGACTCCAGCTGCCACGCTGCCCCTGCGATCCTTCTTGTCGGCCTTGTCGCTCTTGCCGGTCTTGTCGGTCTTTTCATTCTGATTGTCTTTGAGATTTCCGGTCTCTTTAGACTTCTTTTCGGTGGTGTTTTCAGTAGTGTTTTCGGTGGCCTTTTCCGCGGTCTCGCTTTGTCTGCCACTCTCGACTTCTTGCTTCACATTTGCAGTATCTGGCTGATCGGCACCAGTATCTCTCTGCTCCAAGTTTGATCCTCCGGTGGAAGTTTTCCCGGTGTTGTCTTGTCCGATTCCACCCTTGCTCACTTGCTGAGAGGCTTGTTGGGCATTTTCCTCGTTTGCGCTGTCTTTGGTGATTCCTGCGCTACTCGATGCTCCAGCATAATCGCCTTGACTCATTGATTCCTTGGTCGATTGGCCTTTGGTGATGATGTCTTTGGCACCGTTGAAGTTTCCTTGGCTGACTTCATCCCGGATAGATGAGCTTCTGTTGAGAATCTCGTCGCCCTTTCCTCCCTGAGAAGAGCCTCCTTTGCTTCCGTGGTTCAGTGACAGTCTCTTGCCTAGTCTCTTGGCAAATCCGAGGCTTTCGGTTTGCTCGCCTTGTGGCAACTTTGTGTTCATTTCTTCGGCGGACATGTTGGGATGTTGATGGTGTTGATGATTGTAAAGGTATTAAAAGAGGTATTAACAATAGTTTCGTTATGAAAACAGGAAAGAGTCAAATAATAGTATCGTTTAGTCGTTGTGTGTGTCAAATGTCATGTGTCGAATTGAAAGATGGGAAGGTACCCGGGATACAAGGTTCTAAAATACCGTTGGCAGTATCTCTCACTCCAGTTGCATCATGGATTGGTGTCGGTCATGTCCGACCGATTCGTATATTCAGCAGTGGGTGCACTGGCACATGTTGGCGTATGAGACGACAAATTCCCTGCTCTGACCCGAACCAAGGCATCGCGTTTCTTGGGACTTGATGCCCGCAAGCTGATCCATGAAACTGAGTATGACCCCAGTGACATTCACAGTACACATCAAAAAGTCGATGATGCTCAACCTCGTGGGAACCGGCGGGATTGGTGGACCTGCCGAGAGCTGGTGTCCACTTGCGCTGGAGGAGCTTCGTCACAGGACTTTCACCGCAGATTGATGGCATAGCCATGATAGCTATTCCTCAATACTCCCAATTACTTTCGGTAGCAAAACAATTGAGCGAACAACGATGCTCCTTTTGACGCGTTCAGCGCCGCTCGTCATATTGGATGAATTCATCGCACATGGAAGGCACTCGTTAGCTCCAGTAAACAATCTTGGTCTGATCGATGTCATTAGTGTGGGGTAGTTATCTGGGGATTGAGATGAAGTCAATGTGCCTAACCGACTCCTGGTGACGTGTAGACACTGGGAGATGCGCAAGTCAAACTGAGATTGGTGGGGCTTCTGCTCATGTGGGGCTGGTTTGTGATTACATAATCATCGCCACCTGCAACCTTAATTTGACCCATGGATCCAAGGGCATTTGGTTCTTGGGCATGCAATCATCGATCATCCAAGTGACTGGGCCTTGGTAAAGCTCCCGAATCATCCGAAGTATATAGTTGGTGAGGTCACTTTACCCTATTTTTGTGATGACATACTTGCTCTCAATGAGCGGCAGCAACCGTTCATGACATCGATGGATTTGGCGAGCTCCAGGACTCGGAGCTCTCCCATGTACCCATGGAATGATTCACTGCATCTACAATTACGCCCTGGACTTGGAATGTTCCTGGGGGGCTATCTGGCTCCAATGGCTTTCATGACATGACTCGTGCAAATGGAGATAGTCTAAAGACTAAATAGCGACCCATTCATCATGGTATCTGATGCAGCGGACTTATCAAGATTTTTCGATGCCACCTCATGATCACACAGATATCCATAGATGGTGGCTCGATATTTGATCTCACATTCAGTTTTGGGTTTCGATCTAATCGGGTCTGCGACTTCAGGGGGGGATATGGCACATCCCTCACAGCCATGGGTTAATGACAAGCGTTTCCTCCCTTTGTGGCTTGGAAAGTCATGGAATAATCATCAAGTCGTCATTTGGACCTTGAAAATACGTTTGGGGTGCAGAGTATATCATCGGAAATTGTTGACTTTGGAAGATTAACATCGCGATAAACCCGTCCACCAAAGGAGATGGCTAGCTACCTCATGATAAATTGAGACTTCAGGGGGATATATTGTGCCATAGATAGGTAATAAATTGCAAGATGCCAGAGACTTCTCAAGAACTAAAGCCACTGCTATGTTAATACATAATGAAAACAGAGATAGTCTGAATGTGGTTCGTTCTACTACAAGTAATTGGGTTGTGGATGAGCTTCTAGAAAATGAGAGCTACAAGTATCAAGATGCTCAGATGCATGCACAGACATAGCTCACATCATGTCTGTGAAGAAGATATTCAAAATAAACACTACCAGAGAAAGTATCAAATCGGTGCATAGCATCTCTTGAAGGCGGGGCGTAGGTAAGTAATTAAGGGGAGAGGTTGAGAGATCAGCAAAAAATCCTCATAAATCCAGACCTGTTTGGACCCAGACGGTGGCATCGTTCAACACCATACCAAGCGCACTTGGCAGGCTGTCCGCAGACCGTGTCCCGATGTTGACACTTGCCATTCCTCCATCTCAACCGACCACGGTCCCCTGCTTAATAACGCGGACTCGGGAATAGGGGTCGAACCGCGCGCAGGTTTACCTAATGTGGCCATTACCAAGGGTTGAAACTTTGGGTGACAAGGCCTCACAGGCAGTGGCTTCCCCGATTACGCAACTGCTTTAAATCCTAATATAGGGAGATGCCATGACGGAGTCTTGACCAGGTAGACCACTGGGGGAGGGGGGTTGAAAGTAAGGACTTTTTGCTCCTGATATAGACCCTCTCAACTGTTGATTTATGTCACTTTGATACCTTAAGATCAAGATTCCTCCCCCTCTGGGTGTCGTAGAAGCTTCAATTTCAGCCTAAGTCTATTCCAGAGGCTGGCCTTGTATCCAGCTCGATCCGAGATCAATCGATGCATGTCCTATGGTGTGCAGTCAATTCAAAATTTTGTGAAGTACATCGTCTTCGAGTTGAGGGTGATATTGGTGAATTCTCACCAAATGAAGAAGGAGCTCCTTCCTTTTAAGGCCAAGGTTGAATGTTCGATCCCTGCCCTGACCTCTTGAGCTCATTTATTTACTCTTCTACTTCCTCAATTTCTCTCCTGTTTGCTCCAGTGCCGTCTATCACATTGATATTCTTGCTGGAGTCCTTGATACCTCTGTATACTTCCAAGGTTTTATATCAATCCGTATCCACATTTCATTGGACGGAAGCCTATCCACCCCCACCTAAACCCATGGTATCCACCTTCGCCCGAGATGGACCCAAGGAAAACAAAACGGGCAAGCGGTTCCGGGGCACTTGTCCCCATCACTTTCATTCTCGCGGAGACTTGTCCAATTTCCAGCCATCCGATCATGTCACGCCAATCTAAAACGCGCCGAACACGCTCGCTAGGCGGCTGCAAGACATGCAAACGCCGACATGTCAAGTGCGACCAGAGCCGCCCCAGCTGTCAAGCATGCGTCACCCTAGGGCTAGCCTGTGAGGGATTCCCAGATGGGGTGCATTGGATGTCCGATAAAAAGCCCGGATCTTCACAAAAGTCGCCAAGCGGTAAACGAGGCTATCTGACTAGCCTCGGAATTAGACGCCATCTATATACCGGTTTGCACAAATCACCCGCCATCCCTCGTGACGTGACTGACCCGAGCGCTAGAAGAGTATAGACGCTCAATGGGTGCCCTCGTCAGTAGAGGTCTTGTGTCAGGCTCTATCGACGCTTCTTTGGAGGAGATTGATCTAAGGTCGCAGGATCCTAGCTTCGGCTCCAGCGGCGAAACACAAATTGGGCCCTTTACTGTTCTCAGTTTTTCAGATTCATCTCCATCCGATGGACATCCAACGCACTACTTGGATACCTCGAATTACTCCCCATGCTCACCGCCTGCCCATATTGATGACTTCGGTATCAATCATCCATATCCCGTCTTCGATATTCCGGATAGCGCGAACGAGCTGTTGCAGTGGTCAGATCTCTTTGTGACTAGTGATGATTTCCACGGTATCCTGTCCGATCCGACCTTTGGGCTTGGTAGCCCACTTGACCTTCAGAGCTCCACTCAGTCGGAAGGCCCAACCCTTGCAATAGGCCCAGCACTTGAAAGTGCACCGGATCAATCGCATCTTGCACCAACTCTTCCTTCAATCAATATACTTGCAGATGCTTCTTTCCTGCTCAGGACTTTCCAAAAGGAAGTTGTGCCCCAGTTGACCGTTGTACCTCTTGCTAAGAGTCCATGGAATGCTTTGAATGTCCCTCTGGCACTGGTGACCCTGGGGGAACTAACTATCATGGAATCTAGAGAAGTTAAACATGCACAGCAGGCAAATCTTTATAGTTTACTGGCCTGTTCTGCTATCTTTCTGGCAACAAGCTCTACAGCATATACCACAGATCCTATACAAAGGAATCATTGGAGACAGGCGGCTGAGCAAGCATATCATGAGGCCAAAACCCATATGGATCTTTCCTTGGTCAGAGAACTGGACGGAGTCGATAAGGCCAAGTTGAAGGATCAGCTTATGGCCCTTTATGGACTGATCGAATTTGCAGTCAGTTCTATTTCATTGGCGCAGATAATTCGCAAGCTGACGTACGCCAGATATTTTCGCACAATTATCTAGACGCCCGAAGATATCTGATTGATGCCGAACGACTTCTACGCTTCCGAGGATTGGCCAAATGTAGGATATCGCCGAAACTCCGGCTTCTGTTCAATCTTTACGCATGGCTTCGTCTTATTGGAGAGAGCACATACGTATTGCATAACTATGTGCCGTCAGATTCATTCATCAACAGCCTCAGTGCCAACTGCCAGACTCAGGAAGCACATCCAGATGAACTCGCCAAACCGAGAATCTTCGAGCACCGTCATCGAATAGATGACTTTCTATACTTCGAGAACTCACAGGTCGATCTCAATATCGACGAACAGAAAGATCACAGATTGGACCTTTCTGATATCCATTTACAAGACTCCCGAATGACGGTTGAGAGTCTATGCCATCAGGTCTACGGTATCCCTGAAACCATGCTGAGCTTACTCTCTCATGCGACTCGGTTGGCAAATGTCACGGAAACCTTGCAAAGCGCACATGACTCACATATGCCAATCAGCAATGATGTGTGGACAACCTTGAAGCGTCGAAAGACACGCCTAGAGAACGTAATCATGTCTTTCAGAAACCGTGGCCTTGCTGCAAGCGCCGGTGAAGAATACCCTTCACCGAGTAAGCTCATGGTTCAGGCCTTGAACTCCGCGTTGGTGATCTTCTTCTACCGAAGAGTGCGACGAGTCCACCCCGCGATATTGAGCGGATACGTGGACCACATCATCACCACATTCCGAGACTGGTTAATACTCGTGAAAGACGGCAGTCCAATCGGTCCTGGAACCTTGTGGCCTATCTTCATGGCCGGATGCGAGGCTACGACGAAAATACAGCGAGATGCTATCTTGGAGATTGTGGGTCAAGCTGGGGCAAAGAGTGGTTTCCTGCCTTTCAAAATCGCGGAAGACATCATGTCGGAGGTCTGGTTGGTACAGGATCAGCAGCAGTTGGCTAATATTAGTGATCCTCTCCCAACTTGGATGGATGTTTTAAAAAAGCGAAAGATATGGCCGATGTTTTGTTGACCTACATAAGCACATACACAAAGAGCAGACACAAAGTTACGAGTACAATGAAATCAAGCTAGATCCTACTCTACAAATGTATCTCATGGGTAGCTACGCAGGATCAAGTGTAAGTTTCGGGATCTCTCCCTACCGCCTCACCTGCTCGCCGAATCGCATGAGACTGGGAGGTTTGATCTTGACCACAAGCACTCGAACCCTTTGGCCAAGGATCCAAGTGCGGGTGTCTGTGACCCGCGATGGAAGGGAGACTACGGCCGACCAAAGGGGGATTTGTTGGAGGAGAGAGAGAAGAGAGAAGAAGAGAAAGGGAGGAGAGGAGGTATTTATACCCAAGAGCATAGGTGGTTTCCTAATTGGGAAACCACCCAGGCAACTCGACTTACTCTCACTTCACACTCATTCAATTTTGTGCAGCTCCAACTGCCGAGATACAAAACATCATATCACGTTATTTGATTGAGCTTGCTGAACAACTTGCTCATTCTCTATCTTGCAAGAGGTCGTGTACTGGGCCGTACAACAATTGTGTTGATGGAACCAGGGCAGTGAATCTGGCAACAAATCTACAGGCCACTTCCCCCGGCGATGGATAGACTAAGGAAGAATGAAATAGTCTATTCTCCATGATTGGTCGATAACTTACTTCTTGAGTACTGATCTCACCTCTCGAGGTCATAATGCCCGCTGCATGTCAATCCCCCAATGGCTAGTGTTGCAAACCTATGCCTGACAATAGTAAAAAACATCTGCATCTACGCACAGCTTCAAAGCCGACTACAAACAGGACACAGGTTGAAGTCCATGAGACGGGATAACATGATTAGCCACATCTCCAGGTGCAGAGAGGAATACTAGGCCTAGCGACAACCCCGATCAATACTCAGTAGACATCTAGTTGAGACCGAGTACTCCATGAGCCCTCGAGGCTCACATACTGTCAGACGGTTTGGAGATTCCGGGTCCCCGCACTCTCGCATATCAAGAGATCTAGTCGCAGATCCGATATCGATGTTGGGGAGAAGCCACTAAGTCCAATCTACAACTGGAATCTCAAAGCGAGTCTAGAGATATTCTGGATGCTCGAGATCCCATCTCGGATCTATGCCATATACACCGCCAAAGCGTCGGAAAAGAAGCAGAGTCCATTTCTGGATTGGAAATGCAATTCATGGAACAGCCTATGTAAAGAGTCAAAAAAGTGACTCTGGTCTAGTCTGCGACTGCCCATGGGCAGCTCACATCTAGCCACAGCTTTCCATCCTCAGACCGCCATGGGTATTCATGCGATTTCCGTGCAACCTCCAAATAACCCATCCGTTACCAGCAAAAAAAAATTCAAGTGAAGACGAAGAAGCGTGATATCATCCGTACAAGTACCAGCCGTATCTGGTGTGCTTTCGTTCGTTTGGGCCGTGGTCGTGCCGTGGTTATGCGAAGATTTTTTTCGTAGAACTCGACTAGCCGATCGCGGCTCAGGTGGTGGTTTTAACAACTTGAATAATTTATTGGCCGGGGTTGGGGTTCATCTGTAAATGGCGCCTGGTCAGCCTGCTGTTTCTCTTCGATGTTGTGTATGGTGGCGGTGTCGCGAATATTTCATTCGGTTGTGCGTGGGGTGAATCAGTCGGTATGTACCTTGCGCTTGCCACCGGTCATGGTAACGTTGACGAAACGGCGAGTGTAGACCACACGCTTGTAGGCGCGACCCTTGGGGTTCTTCTTCTTCTCCTGGGGCTCGACCTGGATGCAAAATTGTCGTTAAAAGAGGGTTCCGGATTGAGGGCCACTGCGACCGTATTTCGAGTGGCGTTCGTTGGATTTCGAGTATAACTCACCTTAGGAGTGGCAGCCTTGACCTTACCGGCACGGGCGAGAGAGCCGTGAACCTTACCCATGTTGGATGATTGACGTTGATGAACGGGAGATGGAAGTGGTGTGTGAAGCGGTTCTTTGAGTCTCGATTGAGTGCAAAATTCGGGAGTGCGACCTGTGTGGGGCGGCTTAGCGAGGCACTTTCGGATTCCGGATTAACTCAGCCCTTGTGGGGTCATGTGATGGATGAGGTAATCCGGCGTTAAGGGGGCTTGGCACGCTTCCTCCGAAGTAGTAGATCGAGCACTTACTGGTGGGGTAGATAACCTCTAGGCTTGAAGATTCGGAGTGATGGGGAAATAATGAAGAAGAGAAAATGGGGCCAAAAAGGAGGAGAAGAAGCCTGCATGACTCCTATCCGATGACCGACACCGTTATGACTCAGAGCTCAAGTACTCCCGGGGTCCATGGCTCAGTAAACCATGCATGTCTGATATCATCTCTCGCTATGCATAGTAATCGAAAATTAATACAACATAATCATCCAGCTCTGTACATTCACGCTCCCTTGGCCTTTGCGGCAGCTTCTTCCCGCTCTCTCTTTCTTGCCAAATATCGCTCCTTGGCACTGGAAACTTCTCCCTCGCTCTTGCGGCTGCGGCTCTTCTCTGCAATCTCCTTCTGCTTGGCGGCCTCGGCCTCTTCTTCTTGGCGTGCACGCTCCTCGTATTGACTGGCAACCATGTCTGTCTGTCGAGCTCTTTGGGCAGCACGGGCGTTTTGGTGGCCAGCAGGAGGTCGAGCAACAGGTCGTGGGGCTGGTTTGGGTGCCGGCGCTTGAGACTTCGGCTTCGGTGCCACGTTCAATCCTGCGGACAGAAGCTGGCGTTTGTCCACAACTTGGCCCTCGTCATTGACAGCAACACGAGCACCGCGAGAATTGAGATCCTCCGCCTTCTGGGCCTCCGTTTTCTCCTCCTCTCCCGTTGGCTCTTCTGGGAGCTCGCCGTCTTTGACACGGCGGGCAGCTTCTTCGGCGGCTTTGACGGCCTGTTCGTGTTGCTCCTCGCCTCGAGAAAGAACGTCTCGATAGAACCCAATCATGCCGGAATTTCCACTCTTTTTCCGACGTTCTTCCTCCGCCTGTTCACGGCGTGCCTCTTCTTCCTCGGCCTTGCGCAATTCCTCTTGCTGTGCCTTGTATGCAGACGTGACAAACTTCTCCTTGTCATCAAATTCCTCACCCTCGGCTTCACGTTCTCTGGCAAGCTGGCGATCCTTCGCCCGAAGCTGATCTCGTTTCCGAATCTCGGCACTTTGCAGCAAGTTTTGCATGTATTTTGGTGTTTCGCTCTTGGTGTTCGTCGATGATTTGGCAGGTTTGGCGTGTAGGCTGTCGTATACGGCATCGTATGAGTAGATAGATGGATCGAGTTCTTCGGCTTCTTTTGCATGCTTCTTGCTGCTGTGCATTGCCGACAAATTAATGAACTCTTTGCCGGGAGTGGTCGAGCTCTTCGACCTTGCCTGGTTCAGCCCCAGATGCATTGCACCCTGTTGCTCTTTCTCCTTTGCTTCGTCTTCATCCTCGTCGTCTGCAAATAGGGAGTTCTTGCTGAGCGTTTTGATCGTTGGCTTGGCTGCGCCTGCGAATTGCATCTTGCGCTTCGGCGGTGGGGCTGCATTCTGTGGTTTTGTCTTTGGTGTCGGCTCCTCTAGTCCTCCAATCGTCGAGACCTCAATTGCGCCATTTTGAGCCTGCGCGTCTTCGTCGCCAGAGTCATCGTCGAATAAGTTCTTTCGCTTCTGACCGAGAGGGTTTCCGGGTTTCGGGCCCGCTGGCTTTTTGTTGCCAAGACTGATGTTCATTGGCATCTTGGGCCCTGCGCGTCTTGTTGAGATGAAGTAATGGGTGGGTTGGTATGAATGGTAGGGCGCAGTCCGTGGGGCTTGCTGAAGTCAAAAAGTTGCGACTGGAATAGGCCGCGATAAGACAGCTGCTTATCGAAGGTCACGTGTGGTTCCTTTTGCGGGGGATTCGGGGTATTTTCAAGGTGACGTTGATATATGTTTATTGTCCAATGAAGCCCTGGAAATATATCTATGTCATATAAACGAGCTTGCGGTGACCTTTTCATATAAATTTATGTCTCTCCGCATGACCATGCATTATAAGTGGAAAGTCTGCACATGCAACAATATATATGTGATCATGAAGTATATATCACAGAATATCAATCTTTGAAGTCAGATTACAAAAGCCCAGTATTCAAAGAATGCAAGTAACAGGTACAGATCTCAGCTCTTGCAGATCTTGCCCATGCACAAGATATTCCAGATATTCCAAGCTTATACCTATGTCTTAGTATACCCGTGGACTCTGCTTGCCAACAAGCTCACCTCTTATCACCCACGTGATCTCACAAACACCAGCAAACAGCCCCGATGGCCTTAGCTTTCACACCTCGACCTTGATAAATCGCGATCGGCCCAAAATGTCGTATTACTTCACCATATTGTCACCAAGTGATACTCCTTTATTTAATATCGCCTTCGGCACATCCAAGGGTGGTGGCGATGGCATTGCCCGCTTCCGCTTTCCCGAGACAGCACAGTACATGAACCAGTTCATCATTCATTCAAGTCTGGATATTCTGGAAGAAGCACAGTGGACAAATGGCTCAATGTGAGTTTTCAAGCTACCCAAAAAAGACATGCCCCGAAAGATGCTGCGAAAATACTGCTGGGCTATCAGTATCAGGGGATCTCAATCCCAACCTCCAGCTACCACATTCAGAACCAATTGATCGGTGAAACCAGAAGCTGACATAGTTACAAAGGTATCTGAAGCACATCGATACATATCCACCAGCAGCAGCCTACATCACAGCATTCCTGACCCCTAGCGGCGCCCGCTTTCTTCTCCTCCACCAACCCCCACATCTCCCCTCCTCAACTGGTAGCAGCGGCCTCGGAGCATCCTCATTACTGGGATCAGCTGGATCAACCACGCGCGCCTCCTCGAGCTCCATTGCCGCGAACCCCACATCACCGCAGACCGAGGAGGCTGTGCGTCAGTTCATGAACGAGGTCTATGAGAATTACGTCAAGACGGCCATGAGCCCGTTCTATAAGCAGGGGATGGAGATCAAGAGTCCTGTGTTCAGAACACGGGTTACGGCTGCTGGGAAAAAATGGCTTTAGAATGGGTTCATCTTCCCTTTGGTTGGTGAGCGTGGCGTTTGTGGACATTTGCTTTTATCTAAGGGCTGGATTGCTCTGTTCTGATAGCATCACTGGGCCTGACTTGCATAATGAAAGACACCGAGGTGCAATTTTAATGACTAATTTGGATATCTACCGTAGTGCTCATTTCAAACCATAGAAAAGTATGATATCTGACGAAATCCATGATTTTGATGTCAATGCACAGGTGCAAGTCAAAGTTTTGAGCCCCAACCCTTCGAAGAGCCGGCGAACACGAGCCAAGCTGGCATCGTATCAGATCCCAGTCCCACAAATATGCCCATGAAAACCCCGAAAAGTAAAGAGAAGAAGATACGCTTCGCAGCACTGAGAAAAATAAAAAAAGGAAAAGAACTCCAGCCCCAAACTCCAAAGATATTCCGTCCAGTCCAGTGCCCAAGCCAATGCGCTAAAAAAATGAGGAGTAAACACCTAGCCTGTCATCTGAGGAGCCAACTTCTTCATGGTAATGGCTTTGAAATTGTCGACTGCATGGATGACATCTTCCAACTTGGCAACGGTACCAAATATTCCACCTTCCATCTTGACCGATTCAATCGTGCCAAGATGTAGCGACGGCTCAGCCGCGGCAGTGCCGTCATCCAATACAACACAGTCGAAGCCACGGTCATTCGCCTCGCGCATAGTGGTCGAAACACAGACATCAGTGGTCACACCTGCGATCACGAGGTTCTTAATGCCTTTGTTTCTCAGTAGCAGTTCGAAGTCTGTGTGAGCAAATGCACCGCGTCCAGGCTTGTCGATGACCGGTTCGCCGACAAGAGGGTAAAGTTCGTCAACAGTATCGTGGCCAAGTTCACCGCGAATGAGGAGACGGCCCATGGGACCAGGGGAGCCAATTCCCAAGCCTGATGCATTGTTGCGAGACCTGTACGACTCACGACTGGAAAGAGTAGATAGATCAGAGCGGTGGCCTAGTTTCGTTAGTTATTGATACATTTAGCGCTTGGACAATGGGTATGATTACCCTCCCGAGTGTGGTATACTGGGAAGCCCCCAGAGCGGAAAGCGTGAAGTAACCTCTGAAGGCGTGGGATTAATGCTTGCGCAGCGGAGATGTCATAGCCCTGATATCCCATGTATCCTTCGGGCAAACAAACTGAACCTGCATTAGTCACATGGTTCGAACCATAGAGGATAGGACTGAAGGACTTACAGTCTTTTTGCATATCAATGATCACAAGCGCAGTGGTGTATGGCGTGAAAGATGCGTCATGCGGCCAATCATATGGAATGGCTGGAAGTTGACCCTTGCGCACTTTATGGTGAGGGACTTGGCGCGGCTTCTCAATGATGGGGCCGTGGTTGTGCGTGGCATTGAGTACACTCAGGGTCCAGATACCCGGAGAGCCCGCTGCAACAAGCATAAAGGGACAGTCCATCAGGCGCGAGGTTCTGCGACGTTTGCGTGTCTCTTCGGTCAAGCCATTGCGTGGCCGATAATGTCCGCCGCGATCACATCGCAGCCAAACCTTGGCCGTACGGCCGGGTTTCTTCTCGGTAGGCGTGCTTGATGACTTGACGACCACATTGTAGCCATGTTCCTTTCCATGGTCCTGGACTGCAGCGAGCAGAGTCGCCCTATTCGGAGGTAAGCTGTTGAGATGGGTTCCGTTAAGTAAGGGATGGGCAATGGCTTACTTATCAGGATATGTACCTTCAGGAGGGGGCACCAACTGCATTGCCAGCTCCGGAATGTCTTGAAGGTCACTGGGCGCATCATCCAGGTTGAGGTCGGTGGAGTCTGCCATGGTGGTTGGAGATAGGACCGTGGCGACACAACACGGAGAGAGTTCTATCAGAGGACAAAAAGCTGTGAGTATGTTACGTCAAACCATATTCCCAGAGCCAGTGTGCCTGGACACTTGCGAGTAGATGTGTGGAAGGAGTCGGGGGTAAACAAGTGCGTGGAAGCAAATGGGGCGATCAACAATCTTAAGAGACGCGTGCGTGGGGATAGTCCCCGGAGTGGTGTCTGGATGGGCAACGGGCATGATTATAGATCGTGTGGGCCCGGTGGGTTTTACAATGAGATTTGAAAAGTAAACGAGATCACTTACCACTCTGACTTGGTTGCCCTACGAACCCAAAGACTGAAGACTGGGGATGAATCCAGATCACGGGCGGAGGTCGATCAGGATCAACTCCAATGAGGCTTGGGCCTGGATGCCTGATAGAGGTTTGTGCCTGAAAATGATGGCAACAGTTGATGTCTTAAATGCCTGAGGCGTCAAGAGCGGTGGGTGGCTGAACCCGATCTCGTCCCAATGTAGTCTAGCGTGTCCCGCCCCTGACGACCGAAACAACAACATCGGTTTCTCCCAGATCTAATCTAACCCGCTTTGTGACAAACAGAGGCGGGTCGAAGGTAAGTCAACTTTGCATACTTTAGTTTGCATTTCTCGAGTACTCTTTACTCTCTCAGTGGAGGAAACGTGTTACCGACCACGATCAATCCCTTGCGTCACCGCCTCGGCGAGGGGCTCTTATCAAACGCACGGTTGTTGACGTCGGGCCACCACACAACATATGAGTCTTTGAGAGGGGCTGGTGCGATCTGCAGGGCAAGTTAGCCTGGTGAATTGTCTCTAGTGACCTCGACCAATTTTGGACGACACCCGTCGTCCAGACATCTCCCTTGCGACCGGTCTGGGTGCCCAACGCTCGAAGATGCCGGCCGTCGACGAGTCTCCTTCCGAGCGGAAGCATACGAGCAGCTCTTACAGAGATGAACTGGCGCATTATAAAGCCCAGTATGAATCACTCGAAGCAGAGCTTGCGGACTTCCAGTCCTCCAGCCGGGAGCTGGAGGCCGAGCTGGAGAAGGACATTGAGGCCTCGGAAAAACGCGAGCGGCAACTGAAGGAAAAGCTGGACACGATGCGCTACGAGGTTGATGAATGGAAGGTATACAGAATAATGCCAATTGCTTCTATTTCTGCGGAAACTGACGTTGCGCCTGGCAGACCAAATACAAGCAGTCTAAGACTGAGGGAAATACCGCGCAAAATACCCTGCAGAAGGAGATCACCACCCTGCGAGACGCGAATCGTACCCTTCAGTTGAAACTGCGAGATATCGAAGTTGCCAACGATGACTACGAGAGACAAGCACGGAACACTACCTCGTCCCTGGAGGACATGGAGTCCAAATACAACATTGGCATTGAGCGCGGAGTTCTGCTGGAAGAGGAAATGAGAAGTGGAGAGCAAGAGCGGGAACAGCTTCGAATCGATAATCAACGTTTGAGAGATGAGCTGTCCGACCTGAAGATCGAAGCCGAGATTGTGCAAGAGAAGCTTCGTAACGCTGAAGGACATGGTAACTTCCGTCGTCGCAAGCCCACACCCTTGTATCACCGCAGCCCGTCAACTCCACAAAACCTGGAGATTTTCGACCGCTCACCTCGCACTGCTACCTCTTCCCCCGTCTTTGCCACGCCTCCGGCTAAACCATCTCTCGCCTCGGCGACAGCGACCCCGCCCTCGCCACCAATCTCTGAATCGTCGGTGAACTTCCGCAAGTCAATCAACACGAACGGTGCGCCCAGTTTCCCTCGACAGAGGGCTGCTGGTACAGAGCCTGTCAACTCTCGAACTCTTCACGCCCGGTCACAGACACGAACTAGCAATCAGCCACGCGCCGCCACCACTCACTCTCGAGCTCCTTCCCTCGCCTATAGCAACAGTGGCTACAGCAATGGCAATGGTCGTTCCACTCCCTCCATGTCGATATCGTCTCGCAACAGCATGACGAGGCCTAACCCTTCACGGGCCCCGGCGGGGCTCCCAAAGTCTGGGTCCTTGTACCAGATCCGAGGGCTGATTGGCAAAATGCAAAAGCTCGAAGAGCGCGTGCAATCGGCCAAATCCCGTCTACCCGCACCATCGGACACGTCTTCTCTTGGCTCGCCTCGCTCCGGGTCTGTGACCGGCGACAGTCCAGTGGCCTCGTCAATCACCGTCCGCAGGAATTCTCGCAAACGACTGAGCAACAGCAGTCTTGGATCCTCAGCCCGAGACAGTGAAAGTACTCCCTCTTACCCACCACAAGGTCGTCAGTCATTTGGACGCACCGGCGAGAGTCGCCCGAGCAGCCGAACCAGCTACTCCAGCCGCAGCTCTTTTAGCCAAAGCGTCCACTCCGGTGTCCCCGTCAATGGCAGGCCCGAAAGTCGATCCAGTCGGCCCGGTGCCAAGACCCCGCTCGGCCACTACTCGACCAACCCCATGACCGAAAGCCGTCGGCCGCGGTCGTCTCTCAGCAACCACGGCGGTCAGCTCCCAAATATTGCTGGAATGTGCCTTATCGACGAGGACCACGACCAAGAAGTCTCCACCCCCACCACCACCCGAGCCTCCGAAGAGGTTCGACGACCCTCTGTGACGGCGACCCCCACCCCCGGAATCAAGAAGCGCACCACCAGCGGCATTCCGGCACCCCGTAGCTTCAAGACCAGCATCGGACCCGGTACCATGCCACCTCCCTATCGGAAGCCCCAGACCAACGATCTGGGCGAGACGTTTTGAATTCACTTGCCTTCGGTTTGCACATCTATGGAACTTGCATGGGTGAGGTTTGGTAGTTTTCTGCCTTGGGGATTGCCCTTTTTTTATTTTTTATTTTTTCCCCTCATATCTTTCCATGTTGCCATACATATTTCCCCATGATCGGCTGCATCTCCCCACGGAGCTTAAGCTCCGCCCAGTGCTGGAGATGCCGATTTTGCATGATCTATCAGCTCGGTCTGGTCCATTGTGGTCCCCGGTGGATTCCGGGGGCGTCCTAAGCTGTGTCTCAGCTCGTCTTTTCGTTCAATATCCAATAATACCCACGATGTTTATGTTCCGCAATTTCTTCAGTAGGCCCCGATGTAGTGTTTTTGGGGAATGGGTGGGATCTGGGCGGCCCCTGTGATTGGCGCTCAGCATCCCAGCGAGCCAGTCTGCCGTTGAATCATGCAGATCGGCGGAATGGGCATAGCGCGGACGCCATGATTATTTGGGATTGGTGACGTGGAGTCAATTAATTTATCTCTTTTCCGTAGGAAGTACGGAGTAACTATACGGAATACGGAGTAGTTCGCATGAAGATTATCTGAGATGCTTACTCGTATAGTAGTAGGACATGGTACTGGGCCCTGGGCCTAAGCCGAGATCCAAATCCCCGAGCTGTCGGAGTTCCGATCAGAATAATCACCGATGAAGAAGCGAATAAAATAAAATAATGAGATACACATTGTACTCCATTCTCTGTAATTAAGGAGTATACATTAGTTAGTTACTCGTACACACAAACCCTCCGAGGCCAGAGCAGTGTGGATGCTACGGTACTCATAGTTGTAATTTTACAGATGTATGAGCAGGAATACGTAGTTTAAGGTGAACAACAATACAATTGGATATTTTTACTGAAACCCTGCCATAAGCAATATAACCAATACACATGAGAAAGGATTGCAATAGAATACCAAATGCTTGAAAAAGCACCAAAGCGACCAGAAGTGGTGGGCAAGTGGAACCCCCAACAAAGTCCAGGGGAGTTGGGGAAGCGTTCCTGGACAGGTACCTTCCCATACTGTTAACTATGTAAAGGTACATGGACCAGTCAAGCAGTCCCGACAGCCAGTTGGGAGGATCTCCACCTGGTGGGACTCCAGGAAATCATATCTCAGCACTTTTTTCCTTTCGAATTGTTTAGAGACTTTCTTCTTCTCTTCAATTACCTCTCGGGTATACATCCTACTATATAATTTGAGTGGTGGTTTTCGGTGAGTGCAACCCTCTTCTTACAGAGCTCCGTTTGCGACCAAAATTGCCCTGTCTATTTTTTTGGACCAGTTCCGCATCGGGCTTGATGTTTCCTCTGATTTCCCAAAGCTGACACCTGGTCCTTTTTTCTTGCAGAGTTCCTCGACTTTTCCCTCCCACCTCTCTTCTACTCTCTATTCCTTTTTTTTTCTGCCAGTGATAGCCACCCGGCCACATTCCGCCACTTCTCAACACTCTTGTACATTACCCGACTTTTAATCACTGGTAGCATTCTGTGCTCCTTCTGGACGAATTTGCCCCGAGATAACGATCATGGCTGTCACAAACGGCAGCGCACCGGTCACCGGTAGCTCCTCGAAACACAACCTTCCCTCACATTTCATCGGTGGCAATGCCCTCGAATTAGCACCCCCAAGCAAGGTGAAGGACTTTGTGGCCGCTCACGACGGTCACTCCGTCATTACATCGGTAAGCCTTCCAGAAATTACAGCTGTCGGCGGGAAACCCCGAGGGTGGTGATGCTATGAGAGACGTGGGGAGACTCAGACTGACATTCTACAGGTGCTCATCGCCAACAACGGTATCGCCGCCGTCAAAGAGATTCGTTCAGTGCGAAAATGGGCTTACGAGACCTTTGGCAATGAACGGGCCATCCAATTCACCGTGATGGCCACGCCCGAAGATTTGCACGCCAACGCCGACTATATTCGTATGGCCGATCAATATGTTGAAGTGCCCGGTGGAACCAATAATAATAATTATGCCAACGTCGAGCTGATCGTCGATATTGCGGAGCGGATGGACGTGCACGCCGTGTGGGCTGGATGGTGAGTTTTTGGAAGCAGATGGGAGAACAGGAATGGTTTACTGATACGCACTTACAGGGGTCACGCCTCCGAAAACCCTCGGTTACCCGAATCGCTGGCGGCGTCGCCCAAGAAGATCATCTTCATTGGACCTCCCGCCTCGGCCATGCGCTCTCTGGGTGACAAGATTTCTTCCACCATTGTTGCACAGCATGCCGGTGTGCCTTGCATTCCCTGGTCTGGAACCGGTGTCGATGCCGTCAAGGTGGATAACGAGGGTATTGTGACCGTTGAGGATGATACCTATAACAAGGGTTGCACCTTCTCCCCAGAGGAGGGTCTGGCCAAGGCGAAGGAGATTGGATTCCCCGTCATGGTCAAGGCCTCCGAAGGTGGTGGTGGTAAGGGTATTCGAAAGGTTGAGAACGAGGCGGAATTCACTGCCTTGTACAATGCCGCTGCCAACGAAATTCCCGGATCGCCCATTTTCATCATGAAGCTGGCTGGCAACGCCCGCCACTTGGAGGTGCAACTGCTGGCTGATCAGTACGGTAACAACATTTCCCTCTTCGGACGTGATTGTTCCGTGCAGCGTCGTCACCAGAAGATTATTGAGGAGGCTCCCGTCACGATTGCCAAGCAGCCTACTTTCCAGGCTATGGAGCGCGCCGCCGTGAGCTTGGGTCGTCTCGTCGGATACGTCTCTGCCGGTACCGTTGAGTACCTCTACTCGCACTCCGACGACAAGTTCTACTTCCTCGAGTTGAACCCCCGTCTGCAGGTCGAGCACCCTACCACCGAGATGGTTTCCGGTGTCAACTTGCCCGCTGCCCAGCTCCAGATTGCCATGGGTATTCCTCTCCACCGCGTCCGTGACATTCGTCTCCTCTACGGCGTCGACCCCAACACCTCCGCCGACATTGACTTCGATTTCTCCAAGGAGGAGAGCTACCAGACCCAGCGCCGCCCCCAACCCAAGGGCCACACCACTGCCTGTCGTATCACCTCCGAGGACCCTGGCGAGGGATTCAAGCCTTCCAGCGGTACCATGCACGAGCTGAACTTCCGCAGTTCGTCCAACGTCTGGGGTTACTTCTCCGTCGGTACTGCTGGTGGTATCCACAGTTTCTCCGACAGTCAGTTCGGTCACATCTTCGCCTACGGTGAGAACCGATCCGCCTCGCGCAAGCACATGGTTGTTGCTCTGAAGGAATTGAGTATTCGTGGTGATTTCCGTACCACCGTCGAGTACTTGATCAAGCTTCTGGAGACCCCCGCTTTCGAGGACAACACCATCACCACTGGATGGCTCGACCAGCTCATCACCAACAAGCTGACTGCCGAGCGTCCTGACCAGATTGTTGCTATTATCTGTGGTGCTGTCACCAAGGCTCACCTTGCCAGTGAGGCTGGTATTGAGGAGTACCGCAACGGTCTCGGAAAGGGTCAGGTTCCTTCCAAGGATATCCTGAAGACTGTCTTCCCTGTTGACTTCATCTACGAGGGTGAGCGCTACAAGTTCACTGCTACTCGCGCCAGCTTGGACAGCTACCACCTCTTCATCAACGGCTCCAAGTGCTCCGTTGGTGTTCGCGCCCTTGCTGACGGTGGTCTGCTTGTCCTGCTGAGCGGTCGCAGTCACAACGTCTACTGGAAGGAGGAGCCCGCTGCTACTCGTCTCAGTGTTGATGGCAAGACTTGTCTGCTGGAGCAGGAGAACGACCCCACTCAGTTGCGTTCTCCCTCTCCCGGTAAGCTTGTCAAGTTCACCGTTGAGAACGGTGAGCACGTCCGCTCTGGTCAGTCCTACGCCGAGGTCGAGGTCATGAAGATGTACATGCCCCTCATTGCCCAGGAGGATGGTATCGTGCAGCTCATCAAGCAGCCCGGAGCCACTCTGGAAGCTGGTGACATCCTCGGTATCCTTGCTCTGGACGACCCCTCCCGTGTCAAGCACGCTCAGCCCTTCACTGGTCAGCTGCCCGAGCTTGGCTCGCCTACCATCCTTGGTAACAAGCCTTCCCAGCGATTCTTCCTGCTCCACAGCATTCTGGAGAACATCCTCCGCGGTTTCGACAACCAGGTCATCATGGGTACTACCCTGAAGGATCTCGTTGAGGTTCTGCGCAACCCTGATCTCCCCTACGGAGAGTGGAATGCACAGTCCTCCGCGCTGCACTCCCGTATGCCCCAGAAGCTGGATGCTCAGCTCCAGGCCCTGGTTGACAAGGCCAAGGCTCGCAAGGCTGAGTTCCCTGCTAAGCAGCTTCAGAAGGCCATCGTTCGCTTCATTGAGGAGAATATCACTCCCGCTGACGCTGAGCTCCTCAAGGCTACTCTTCTGCCTCTGGTCCAGGTTATCAACAAGTACCTGGATGGCCTGAAGTCCAACGAGTACAATGTCTTCATTGGTTTGCTCGAGCAGTACTACGAGGTTGAGAAGCTCTTCTCCACTCACAACTACCGTGACGAGGATGTCATTCTCAAGCTCCGTGAGGAGAACAAGGACGACATCACTAGCATTGTCCACACTGTCCTCTCTCACAGCCGCATTGGATCTAAGAACAACCTGGTTCTCGCCATTCTGGACATGTACCGCCCCAACCAGCCTAACGTCGAGAATGTTGGCAAGCACTTCAAGCCTATCCTTAAGAAGTTGACCGATCTTGAGTCTCGCTCTTCCGCCAAGGTCACCCTCAAGGCCCGTGAGGTTCTGATCCAGTGTGCCATGCCTTCTCTGGATGAGCGTCTGTCCCAGATGGAGCACATCCTGAAGTCCTCCGTTGTGGAGTCCCGCTACGGCGAGACCGGCTGGGAGCACCGTGAGCCTTCCTTCGATATTCTGAAGGAAGTGGTTGACTCGAAGTACACCGTCTTCGATGTCCTGCCCCGCTTCTTTGTCCACAACGATCCTTGGGTTACCCTTGCCTCTCTGGAGGTCTACGTGCGCCGTGCTTACCGTGCCTACACCCTCAAGGGCCTTGAGTACAACGCCTCATCCGAGCAGCCCTTCCTGTCATGGGACTTTACTCTTGGCAAGCTGGGCCAGCCCGAGTTTGGCGTTCTCTCCTCCACTCAGCCCTCGGCCCCTGGTACTCCCATCGCAGAGGGCAACCCCTTCAAGCGGATCAACTCTATTAGCGAGCTGTCGAATTTCAATGACCCTCTGAGCGACCCCGTCCGCAAGGGTGTCATCATCCCCGTCCAGTACTTGGAGGATGCCGAGGAGATCCTCTCCAAGGCTCTCGAGTCCTTCCCTCTCGGTGGCTCCGCTAGACGCCCCAGCGAGCACGGCCTCATTGCCAACCTCGAGGGCAAGCGTCGCCCCATCGCCAAGCCCGAGCATGATAGCGAGCTCACCGGTGTCTGCAACATTGCTATTCGCGACATTGAAGACCTCGATGACCAGGAACTTGTTGGCCAAATGCAGCAACTCCTCGCCGACAACAAGACTGAGCTTCTTGCCCGTCGTGTTCGTCGTGTCACTTTCATCTGTGGCAAGCAGGGTGTCTACCCCGGTTACTTCACTTTCCGTGGACCCCACTACGAGGAGGATCTCAGTATCCGCCACAGCGAGCCCGCCCTTGCCTTCCAGCTTGAGCTTGGTCGTCTGTCCAAGTTCAACATCAAGCCCGTCTTCACCGAGAACCGCAACATTCACGTGTACGAGGCCATTGGCAAGGGTCCCGAGAACGACAACTCTATTGACAAGCGTTACTTCATTCGCGCTGTCGTTCGTCCCGGCCGTCTTCGCGATGATATCCCCACTGCTGAGTACCTGATCTCTGAGGCTGACCGCCTGATGAACGACATTCTGGATGCTCTGGAGATCATTGGAAACAACAACTCTGACCTGAACCACATCTTCATCAACTTCTCCCCCGTCTTCAACCTCCAGCCCGAGGATGTTGAACAGGCCCTTGCTGGCTTCCTCGACCGCTTCGGTCGTCGCCTGTGGCGTCTGCGTGTCACCGGTGCTGAGATCCGTATTCTCTGCACCGACCCTACCACCGGTATGCCTTACCCTCTGCGTGTGATCATCAGCAACACCTACGGTTTCATCATCAACGTTGAGATGTACATTGAGCGCAAGTCCGAGAAGGGTGAATGGATCTTCCAGAGCATTGGTGGCACCAACAAGCTCGGCTCCATGCACATGCGCCCTGTTTCTACTCCTTACCCTACTAAGGAGTGGTTGCAGCCCAAGCGTTACAAGGCTCACTTGATGGGAACTCAGTACGTGTACGATTTCCCCGAGCTCTTCCGCCAGGCTTTCCAGAACAGCTGGACCAAGGTTGCGCAGACCATCCCCTCCCTGTACGAGAAGCGCCCTCCTGTTGGCGAGTGCATTGACTACAGCGAGCTTGTTCTCGATGACACCGACAAGCTTGTTGAGGTGTCTCGCGAGCCCGGTACCAACACCCACGGTATGGTTGGTTGGATCATCACTGCCCGTACTCCCGAGTACCCCCGCGGCAGACGTTTCATCATTGTCGCCAACGACATTACCTTCCAGATTGGTTCGTTCGGACCTCAGGAAGACAAGTTCTTCCACAAGTGTACTGAGCTCGCCCGCAAGCTGGGTATCCCCCGTATCTACTTGTCCGCCAACTCTGGTGCTCGCATTGGTATGGCCGATGAGCTGATCCCCTTCTTCTCCGTTGCCTGGAACAACCCCGAGAAACCCGAGGCCGGCTTCAAGTACCTTTACCTCACCCCTGAGGTTAAGAAGCGCTTCGATGCCAGCAAGAAGAAGGAAGTCATCACCGAGCAGATCACTGATGAGGGCGAGGAGCGTCACAAGATCACCACTGTCATTGGTGCCAAGGATGGTCTTGGTGTCGAGTGTCTGAAGGGCTCCGGTCTCATCGCCGGTGCTACCTCCAAGGCCTACGAGGACATCTTCACCATCACCCTTGTTACCTGCCGTTCCGTTGGTATCGGTGCTTACCTTGTTCGTCTCGGTCAGCGTGCTATCCAGGTCGAGGGTCAGCCTATCATCCTCACTGGTGCTCCTGCCATCAACAAGCTGCTCGGTCGCGAGGTCTACACCTCCAACCTCCAGCTTGGTGGTACCCAGATCATGTACAAGAACGGTGTCTCTCACATGACTGCCCAGGATGACTTCGAGGGTGTCTCGAAGATTGTTGACTGGATGTCCTATGTCCCCGACAAGAAGAGCGCTCCCATCCCCATCCGCCCCTGGGCTGACAACTGGGACCGTGATGTCGCCTACTTCCCGCCCCCCAAGCAGCCCTATGATGTCAGATGGCTCATCAGCGGTAAGGAGGATGTTGACGGCTTCCTCCCCGGTTTGTTTGACAAGGACTCCTTCGAGGAGGCTCTCGGTGGGTGGGCTCGCACCGTCGTTGTCGGTCGTGCCCGTCTCGGTGGTATCCCCATGGGTGTCATCGCTGTCGAGACTCGCTCCGTCGAGAACGTCACCCCTGCTGACCCTGCCAACCCCGATTCTATGGAGATGATCTCCAACGAGGCTGGTGGTGTCTGGTACCCCAACTCCGCCTTCAAGACCGCCCAGGCTCTGCGTGACTTCAACAACGGTGAACAACTGCCCGTTATGATCCTCGCTAACTGGCGTGGATTCTCCGGTGGTCAGCGCGACATGTACAACGAGGTCCTCAAGTATGGTTCGTACATTGTCGACGCTCTCGTCAAGTACGAGCAGCCTGTCTTCGTCTACATTCCCCCTCACGGTGAGCTCCGTGGTGGATCTTGGGTTGTCGTCGACCCAACCATCAACCCCGAGCAGATGGAGATGTACGCCGACGAAGACTCCCGCGGTGGTGTCCTCGAACCCGAGGGTATCGTTGGCATCAAGTACCGCCGCGACAAGCAGCTCGACACCATGGCCCGCCTGGACGCCAAGTACGGCGAGCTCCGCCGCTCCCTGGAAGACACTTCTCTCACCAAGGAGCAGCTGTCCGATGTCAAGGTCCAGATGGCTGCCCGCGAGGAGCTCCTCCTCCCCGTCTACACCCAGGTTGCGCTTCAGTTCGCCGACCTGCACGACCGTGCCGGCCGCATGCAAGCCAAGAACACCATTCGCCAGCCTCTGCAATGGGCCAACTCCCGTCGCTTCTTCTACTGGCGTCTGCGCCGCCGTTTGAGCGAAGAGCAGATCGTCAAGCGCATGGTCGCCGCTTCTGCCTCCCCCGCTCCTCAGACCGGAGCCGCTGGCGCCATCCCCGCCACCGGAACCCACGCTTCCGCCGAGTCCCCCCGTGCCGCGCACCTGCGCTCTCTGCACGCCTGGACTGGTCTGTTGGACGAGGAGCTCGAGAACAACGACCAGAAGGTCTCTGCTTGGTACGAGGAGAACAAGAAGTTCGTGCAGACTAAGATTGATGCCCTCCGCACTGAGGGTGTTGCCTCTGAGGTCGCCCAGTTGCTTATTGGCAACAAGGATGGTGGTCTGCGTGGTGTCCAGCAGGTCCTCTCTATGCTGCCTGTTGAGGAGCGTGAGGAGGTCCTTAAGTACTTGGGTTCTGCTTAGATATAAGTGGTTATCCTTGTAGTTATTATGACTTGATGCTTTTTCTTGTTTCAGATTGCATGGTGTTTTTTTATTATTTTTGTTTTGTGTCGTCCATACACGTTGTCGTCTTGATATAGATTTCAATTATTCCAACTTTTTTTCAATAATGATGTCCAATTTCAGTAGACTGCTGTAGCACTGTAAACCTTTCCCAGATACATTACGCTGATTGGCTGTGGGTTGAAGCTTTACATCACGTGACATCGATAGGATCCACCTTCCCGATTAGGAAATCTAGATATCTATATCAGATACAAAAGTTCCTTATTTTCTGTGAGCTCCTCCGGTAGCTCAGTGGGTTAAGGAGTTCAGGATTTAAATACCGCGTACCTCTAAGCTCCCCTCTGGACTTCAGGATCACCTGGGTCTTAACAGAGGGGGGGGGGTTCCATCCAGCCTTCTCTTTTTTTTTCTCTTTCTTTTTCCTCCCTCTTTCTTCCCTCGATAACCCTGGAGGACATTTCTAGACCATGTGACTACCTACAATATGCAGGCCGAGGAAGGATTCGCTACGTAAACGACTAAGCACTAGGCTGAATTATCTGCGATCTACCGTTCTCTATGGTGACTAGGCACACTAAGTCGCGAGAGAAATTACACCAGGTCGATGGAAATGAAAAGAATATTCCGATCAAGGCTATGTATGGTAACTATATCCAAAGGCTGACCAGAGCCTATGCGCCATGTGCTCTTCGATCATGTTTAGCAAAGTCCCGAGCAGGGATTTTCTGTTCAAACATATGATCCAGCTCCTCAAAGGTCCTTCCCTTAGTTTCTGGCAAACAGAAGTAAGTCCAGATGCAGGCAATGATTGAGAAGCCACCGAAGATGAAGCCCGTCTTTCCACGGAGATCTCCCTCATCAGGGTTAATCATGTACGGAACAGTGATAGTCATAATCAGAGTCCAGAAGTTCTGAGTGAAGAATCCGATACTAACGCCATACGAGCGCAAGCGGGTGGAGGACATTTCTCCGCAAATGACGTATCCCAGAGGTCCTAGGGTAAGATCGTAGAAGAAGTTCCAGATGATGATCAAAGCAGATTGACCCCAAGCGATGGAGGAGTTGTAGTTTGGCACGACGTCGAGGATGCCGATGATGAAGACGATGATGGTGAGAACGACCATGCCGGGGAAGAGGGATCTGCGACCAATGGTGTTGATGACCCACCACGAGCAGATATTTCCAACGACTCCAACTGCAGTTACACCAACGCCCATGTCGAACGATCGAGAGGTAGGAAGACCGGCGACTAGTGGAAGGGTTGTTAGAAAAGAGAGGGTGATGGGGCCATGGGATGTTAGACTTACTTTGGAAGAAATATGTGGAGTAGCTGAGCACAAAGTTGACACCGCTGAAAGAGTTGATAGTCCAAACAGCGATGACGATCAGAGTTCGACGGAGATCGGTTCCTCGGAAGCAGTCGAGGTAACCAGCAGATTGAGCGGACTCTTCTTCCATGCGAACCGTTTCCTGGATCTCAACGAGCCAGCTCTCAACACCTCCACCGGTCTGGAATCGTTCGAGAGACTTCTTGGCTTCAGCATGTTTGCCCCTTTGCACATACCAATATGGGGATTCAGGGCAGAACCAGACACCGACAATCAAGATTGCAGGGAATAGCCACTGGAAAGCAAAAGGGATTCTGTAGGCGAAGGTATCGGATCGCCCGCCGAAAGCCCTGATGAGACAATTTCCAAGAAGCTGCCCAATGACGACAAACAGGTTCACCATTGCAATAGTGATACCACGCAGTACGACCGGGCATGCCTCAGAGCAGTAGGAACACGCAGTGACAAGGAACATGCCGAGCGAAATACCATTCAAAAGCTTTCCAGCTAGGAGCACACCACGGGAGAACGCAAAGAACTGCAAGAAGATGGAACCACTTGAGACAACACAGGCCATTGCTAGGGTGATTTTCCGGCCAACATAGGGTGAAAGGGGACCGCAGACTAAGCTTCCGCCCATTCCACCCACTGTGGCGATCATGTTGAATGCGGCTTGCCATCTGGCAGGGAGAATAGTAGTGCCATCGGGCTGGGTGTATCCAAATACGGCCCGAAACTCGGGGGCAGCGAGAAACCCTCCGTTGACTTGCATGTCATAACCCCAGAGGATGGCAGAGAAGCAGAAAAACAGACAGTACAGCATGGCCTTACGGTAGCTCGTCAGAGCATGCCGTAAAGTCATTTCATGCTCTAGCACTTCATGATCAAGCTTTTTGGCAGTGATCATGTCTGCTGTTGTAGCCTCCACATGGAGGCTATCGATGGGTTCCTTGTCGACATCCATATTGAAGGGAAATGAAAGTCTTCAGGCTGGACAACCCTGAAAAAGAAATGAACAGAAGAAAAGAGTTGCTGGGGACAATCTAGCAAGATTCGGGGAAAATCGTAGTTTTAATACTCCGTAAGCCTTTGTCTCTCCGCATTCTCGGCTTCACTCTCCTGATCATGGTCAGGTCTCAATCTGGGGAAGCTAGACAATTCGGGGCAAGGGTGGGTCTCGGCAAGTTGTTTCGCACGCAGGAAGTATAGAGTCCAACGGCAGTTCCGAGGTCTCCAATCCCCGATGTCCTCTAGATCCCGGTATGGAGTAGTCTGCGTTGAATCAAAAGACAGAATCGACAAGTCAGTCGAGCTAAAACTTCCCGGCTCCGATTGCCCCGGTGCCGGTAGCCCCGGGGCTGTTGATTGGTTGAGACACCCGCACTTGTCTCCTCCACCTCCGCAGACTTCACTCCCCCCACACTCTCCGGCTCCGTTACCCCCGGGTATCTCATGCAATGAGCGTCATGCGTGGAGGGGTAGCTGCGAAATGTCGCGTCTCACTAAGCAAATGGAGTAGCTGTCGAGCACTCGGGTATAAAGGAAGAGTTGTGTTTGGAATCCAACATCCACCTGAGTGTCGAACTCATCCTCTCAGAATATCCGTTCCACTATGGGATTCCAGGCAAAGGAGCTACCGCTTCAAGCGGATGCTGAGCGTCCTGATTTCATGAACCCCGCGGTTTTTCGCAGAAACACCCTCCCCGCACGCTCCTACCACATCCCCGCGACATCTCTACTTCTCAATGGCGCCTGGGACTTCAGCATGTCGCGATCGCCTCTGGAGGCGCCAGAGCCTAGCGAAGAGCCATCCGAGGATTGGTCGAGCATCAATGTCCCAGGCCATTGGCAATTACAGGGATGGGGAAAGCCAAACTACACAAACACTCAATTCCCGATCCCAGTGTGCCCGCCGTTCGTACCAACAGAGAATCCCACGGGCACATACCGTCGGAAATTTGAAGTGCCAGCTCAATGGCAATCGGATGATATGGAAATTCGATTGCGCTTCGATGGTGTCGATAGTGCATACCATGTCTGGGTGAACAAGTCTTTGGTTGGATACGCGCAAGGGAGCAGAAATCCTTCTGAGTTTGATGTCACGCCTTTCTTGAAGACAGGCGAAAATGAAGTCTTTGTGCGAGTATACCAATGGTCAGATGCGACGTACATTGAGGATCAGGATCAGTGGTGGCTGTCAGGTATGATTGGGATTACAATGCGCGATGACGCAGAAGGAAAAAGGATTTGCTGACAAGTTTATGATAGGAATCTTCCGAGATGTGAACCTGATTGCATTGCCTGCAAAGGATCGCTTGAATGACTGGTTCATTCGTACGGATCTGGATTCGGAATACACCAACGCGACACTTCTTGCAACGATTGACTACCAGGTTTCTGAGACTGGTACCATTGCCCTCAACCTGCTCGAGTCAATTAACGGCGAAAGTCAGATAATTGCTTCGACCCAGCGGGACGTGCAGTCCACGGCGTCTACAGTCGATCTGAACTTGCCTGTGGCCGATCCCAAGAAATGGACGGCTGAGCGGCCTTATCTTTACGAGGTGGAGATGATCTTGACCACAGCTGGATCCAACAGGACATTCAGAACCACACAGCGCATCGGCTTCCGCAAAGTCGAGCGCAAGGATGGCTTGATCACCGTGAATGGAAAGGCAATTCGGCTTCGTGGAGTCAACAGACACGACCACCACCCTACTCTGGGTCGTGCTGTGCCACTGGACTTCATGAAGAAGGATCTGCTTCTCATGAAAGCACACAACGTCAATGCACTTCGTTGTAGTCATTACCCGCCAGACGCTCGACTTCTCGACCTGGCTGATGAAATGGGCTTCTGGGTCATCGATGAAGCAGATCTTGAATGTCATGGCTTCTACGATGCCGTTGCACGTCCAATGGATATGGATGAAACACTAGGCTACGAAGAACGCAAGGCGATGACATTCCCAAAATGTGCGGTTCACACATCAGACAATCCTGTCTGGCGGGAAGCCTACATTGACCGAGCTCGCTCTCTGATCCAGCGAGACAAGAACCACACCAGTGTCATCATCTGGTCTATGGGAAATGAAGCTTTCTTTGGCACATGCCACCGATCTATGGTGGAGTATGCCAGGGCCTTTGATAGCACGCGATTGGTCCACTATGAGGGTGATGTCGATGCAGAGACCACCGACATGTTCAGTTACATGTACCCCGAGATCAACCGACTACGATCTCTGGCAGCCAGCGAGGGGGTCAAAGATGGCAAATTCGACAAACCCATCATCCTCTGTGAATACGCTCATGCCATGGGTAACGGACCTGGCCTACTTGCTGATTATGAAAAATGCTTTGATGAGATTCCACGACTGCAAGGTGGATTCATTTGGGAATGGGCTAATCATGGTTTATATGTTGAGGGGAAGAATGGGAAAGACGGTTTCTATGCGTACGGTGGTGATTTCGATGATTACCCGAATGATGGGACATTTGTGATGGATGGTTTGCTGAACAGTGTTCATGAGCCTTTGCCTGGCTTGCTAGAGCTGAAAAGGGTCTTGGAGCCGGTGAAGCTTGAAGTTCGTGGACAGACTTTGTTTATCAAGAACCGTTACGACTTCTTGGATACAAGTCACCTCCAGGCTTCATACAAACTTGAAGCATTTGGCAAACAGTGAGTTGGGATGTCCATGCCATATGAGAAAGAGAACTAACTCTGTTCCTACAGATCGAGTGTTTTAGCAACCGGAGTGCTGGAGCTGCCCGTTCTCGCTTCTGGGGAGTCAGCCGAGATCAGCCTTCCTTCAGACATTTTTGAGAGTAAAGCTCATCCAGCCTACTTGACTGTCAAGCTGGAGCAAAAGGAAAAGGTCGATTGGGATCAAGGAACTTTTACCGTTGCCTGGACCCAGGCATTAGTGTCAAAGCCAACCGAGAATGCTCCAGTTGACAGTGGAGTCTCCGCAAACGGTACTCGAGATGCCATTGTGACCAAATCCACGAAGACAGTAGTATCAATCAGTGGACCAAACTGGTGCTTCGAGTTTGATCGCGTCCGAGGCCATCTCAAGAGATGGATTCAAAACTCGACAAGCCTTCTTGAGCCAGACAACACAACGGGCCTGGCCATGCTTCCTGGATTCTGGCGTCCTCCGACTGACAACGACGTACCATCTGCAGCGCCGTACTGGAAGCGATTCGGAGTGAACAATCTCACGAACCAGCTCCGCTCCTTCGACACATCCTCAACAGCCGACGGAGGCGTTTGCATCGAAAGCGAAACTTTCCTTTCGCCTCCAGTCCTCTCATGGGGATGGAAGTGCCTCGCACGTTACATCATCAAACCCAATGGCTCTCTATCCATCAGCATGAGCCTGAAGCCCACAGGAGCCGCACCAAAAACTGTCCCCCGCGCCGGTTTAAACCTTCGCGCAAACCACATCTTGCAGTCTGCTCGTTGGCTCGGATTAGGTCCTGGTGAATCCTACCCTGATAAGAAGGCAGCTCAATCATTTGGTTTGTGGGGCAGTGATATCACAGGCCTGGAAACGGTCTATGACATCCCACAGGAAAATGGAAACCGCACAGACACCGCTTGGGTAGAGCTTTGCGCACCCAATGGCACAGGCTTCCGCGCAAGCCCACAGGGACCTACGGTGGTCAATGGGGGATCGGAAAATTTGAGTTGGAAGGCTAGCCGGTATTCTGACGAGGCGATTGAGGCGGCACGACACCCTTGTGATCTAGTTGAGGATGAGGTTCTGTTTGTGAGGTTGGATGACCAGGTAGCCGGTGTTGGAACTGCAGCTTGTGGGCCAGGACCTATGGATGAGCATTTGGTCAAGGTGCAAGATATCACTCTCAGCTTGTTGCTGGAGCCTGTGTCTTCGTAAATTTGAGACTGGATTTAGCCCTTTTCCTTCGTATAGAACAAATCATACTTATGATACGATTTTCTGAACTTTTCAATGCAGATAACCTCAAAGTCCTTTAGATTCTCTAGTAAAGCTACCTACACAGATATACTTAAGTATCACTCAAAAATGTCATAATATCCTTGGTTCATTTCACTTGAGCAACTTGCAGGTTGAATCTGGCTCCACCATTCTTCACAATGCTAAGTTCTTCAGATTTAGCCCATATTTAACCGTTCAACCTGCAACAATGGGGAACTACGAAAATCGAGTATCAAACGGGGTCACGTGCAGTGGTATTGTATTCGTTTTTGTGACAAGATTTCGGGGACGCAACTCACAACCATTTGATGATTTTCTGCTGGAGGTCTGACAATTGCTACTAGTATTATCTTCGTTTTGATACTATTTGCAGAATCCGAATCATCTCTGCTAGACATGAAAAGATTCCGGGCGGCTCGAGCAGTTCGTTTTCACGTCCAAGAGCCCAAACCCCAAACTAACACAAACACAGTGCGATTCATGCCGGCAACGCAAGACAAGGTGAATTATGATCCATAAAATCAACAGGCCTGTCACAATTGACAGATATCACAGATGTGACTCTCGGGATCCATGTGGGCCTTGCACGAGCTTAAATAAAGCGTGTCTATACGGGACAGACGCCATTTCGTAAGAGAACCCATCACCACCAGGGAATACATCATTCACATCATTCCAGACGGGGGAAGAGTGAAATGATCTTGGATACAGTTCAACGAATGGAAGCCTCCATTGAAGACCTCAAGAGGATGGTCGTACGTGGCCAACAGTCGAAATTTATTACATACTGACGAGTTTCAGGCTACAAACTCTGGACTAAATGCAGCATGCAGTGCGCAGATCAATACCACATCCCCAGTATCAACGGTAACCTCAGTGTCTCATGATGCACGCCACCACCCTGGTGGATGCACAATCCGAGACCCTACCGAAAGTGCTGTGTTGTCATCGGGACATCTTTCTTCGGCAGAGTCACTGTTGACATGGTCGGTATTTCTTGACCATCCTGCTATACTCAATGAGACGGAATCTTCATTTCTATCTCTCGAATACGGGAGGTCACCTTTACGAAACAACCTTTACGCGATCTTTCCGAGTTTGGGATTGTCCGAAATCAAAAGCATGGTGACTGTCTTCCAACAGACATACAATTTTTGGTTCCCCACCATGAGTTTGGATGATCTCAAATTTGTTGAGATGAGAATACATCAGGAGAATCTGGAGCCTAGTTGTCAGTCGTGTCTTGCGTTGCTGGTCATGGCTTTGAGTTGCGTTGGGGTGTCGGTGGTGAACGAGAATATGCCCGAAAACGAGGCTCAGCAACTGAAGTTGCAGGGGGCATCATGGTTCACAGCTTCGATGAAGATGTTACACTTGGCACACATTGAGATGAGCGTCGAAGCTTGCCAATGCCTGTTGCTGACTGGGTATGATGACAGTCTCCACCGACAATACGAAATATCCAACTAACGAAGCTGCAGCCTTTACTTTTCGTTCTTGCAAAGACCATTGCAAACTTGGTCTTATGTCAATAGCTCGGCGACGCGCTGTCGATTTTTACTTTCCTGTCCATTTGACAACCCGGAAAGAGATGACCGAGAACACATCACCAGGATATTTTGGTCTTGCTTTGTCCTAGAGAGGTGAGTGCAAACACAAATATCAACATGCCGATTATTGACTCGAGATAGCAACTATATCTCAGAGTTGCCATCACTTCCACAAAACTGCAATGCTGAAATCGAATCAATAATATCTCTCCCCGGCAAGTTTCACTCCCACGAATCGATAGAAGAGGAAGAAAGGTCAACTTGTTACCTTCTCGCATCGATAGCACTTCGCCGCCTCCTGAACCGAGCTCATTACATGCTCTATGATCGCGATATCGGTCTCCAAATCAACTCTAATCACTTCCCCTCGGTCAACCAAGAGCTCGCCAGACAATTACAAGACTGGTATCAAACACTTCCTCCAAGTCTTCACTTTCCCAACGACGAGAAGCCGGCCGATGACCCACAGAGCGAGTACTTGAGACAATGGTATCTCAGCTGCCGTAGTGTGATATACCGACCGTACCTAGAATGGGCACTCGCTAATCCATCGTGGAATCTCAATACAAACCAGCGTGTGCTTGATGGCTGTCGTGTTGCCCTCGATACATGTTTGTTTAAATTACGGTACCTCAAACAGGTGCCATATACCATCATGGTCGATACTTGGCCATGCTCGCTTTCGTGAGTCTGACTCTGGGAAGTTTGTCTCGTTGTTTTATTGCTAATACAGTACGGTTATTGTAGACTCGCAACGGCGATGTTGACTTTGATGGGTGGCTTTTGTCACCCACAGTTAACCAGGCAGCTTCGTCATATTGCGTTGTTAGAGCTGGGCCCTCACCTCAAGTTACGCTTGGAGCGATGGATGACGATCCATGCTTCTTGTATATCACCCGGCGTGGAGAAAGCATTGAGACTGATCATGAATGCTCATGAGTTCTTTGAGAGCAAAAGTACGGACTTTGAATCTTCCCTGGAGGAAGAGCAACATTTGTCTCCTTATGCCCTTCGGATGTTTCACGGATAGCAGGTTTCTGAAGACTTGGCCAATATCATACCTATATTTTAAGCCTCTTTCTGGCGTTTGTGCCTAGAAAATTACCAGGGAACCCTACTGAAGCTGGGATATAAATACAGAACCGATCAAACTCTTCTAACAAACCATAACTTCTAAAATCACAATGCCAATAGAGAAGTGACGAACCGAGTCGCGTTGTTAAAATTGTAAAGGGCAAATGCGCCGTCAAAACCAGGCAGAAATCCAGTATCGTGTAATATTGTGGTATCGCCCTCGAAAATCCCCTTCAACAAACACCTGCATAGCCCCCCCTCGCAACGAACCTCTTCCACTCGCCTTTCTGGCCGGTTTGATCACGGCGCAGTTCGCGCTCACGTTCTCGGACTCGCTTGCTATGCGATCGTTTGTGCGATTTACTGTTTCTTTTCTCGGAGTCTGAAGCCTTGGGCGACTCAGCCTTGGAGCTGAAAAGGGATTTTAACCAGCTTAACATGCTGCAGAGCAAAACTGAATATATATCACGGTTAGTGGGTGATATACCCTCGAGGGAGACACAAACCATAGGATCTTGGGATATGTGTTGGGGATGAAGTTGAGGTTCAAATGAAACATCTGATGGACCTTCGTGGGGGCGGTTCTTGGCAGTGATGGACGTCGACTGAAAGTCTTCTAAAGTTCTCCTAGAGGTTAAATTGTTTGAGATCAATATAGATGAAAGAAAGCCCGAGAGGGTGATTTGTAACGTTTTTTCCAAATATTTTTGAGGTGTTTGGAGGAGACTGAGGTTTACATTTCAAACTAATCAAAACAATCCGTCATGAAACCAGTGCCTTCAGCGCAGCCAACGTATTCGCACTCAAATTCATCAGCCTTCAAAACCGATGTCTCAACCCACAAACAAATCTTCCCGCCATCCATATCGCCCCCAGGCCCGTAAGCCTCTAGAAACCGTCTTCTCAAGTCGGCGTGACCCTTGTGGAGACGCCCAACACGTTCCATATGGCCCAAATCCTTGAAATAAAACAGCTGAACCTTCTTGTTATAGTTCAAAGCACTGGGCTCAGAGTCACGGAATGTGCCACTCTCAGGCTCATAGCACAGCCTTGCATCAAGAATGCCCACCTCAGGTCCCGAGTTCATCAGATCCGAAATCCATCCATTGACAGAACCATCAAAATGGTCGAACCAGTACTTCCGTTCTTCGGCCGTGAGAGCAGAGTGATCTTGGCCCTCGACGACAAAGCACATATTGTCTGCACAGTGTGTGAATTGGACACGATCAGATTCCACATTCGATCCAGCATAGGGACACTGGGAGTTGGAGTCTCTGGCGAATTTATCTGTGGCCGAGTCGGCCATTCGCTGTCGATAACATCCCCAGTATCCGGCATTCTCACCAAGAGAGATACGATCGCCCAAATGGCCCATTCCCGTCTTGGAAAGTTGGTTGGTTCCATACTGGGTTCGGCGGGGGGAAGGCCGCAGGATTTCTCTCCAAATGCCAGATCCGGCTGGAAGATTCTTCCAGAAGTGTGAAACGTTCTCTTGATTCCACCAGGCCTGGAACTGCGTACTGGTCTTCCAGTAGGCTAGCCAGACCTGGGTCTTTCCGGGAGTGGGCCCGCAGCCATCTTGTATCAATCGGTCGATGTGATCGGGGTGGCCGGTGATGAGGGCATTGAACTGGCTTGCGAGACTCTTTTGGGTCTCATCGAGGTCACCAGAAGAAAACTGAATTCCAAAGATTGAATAGACGAAAGGCTCGTCGGAAGGAAATTTCACACTCCACATTGCGTTTGTATAGGCCAGAGATAGAGGTGAAGATACTTCATGACTTGCATTTTGGCCATGTTTTATTACCAATTGCACTGTGTGCGGAGGTTATAGTCTCCGCAGGAGATTCAGGTCGAATATCGCCTACGTAAAGGATATATCAATTCCCCGATACCACGTTGGCCACCGTGGACGAGGTTTTGCGGGGGAACCTGGGCATTCCGCTGATATTCAACCTCGAGTCATTGGCTGGACGATGCATATCAGAGAATCTTAAGTGAATTCTCCACAAATTCAGAAAAATAGGAAAAGATAACAGGAGATCCCGAGATAGCAGATGCCGATTTTGGTTGCGGAGGTTTCCGCTCCGCAGGTGGATCGACATGCGGAGAAGCAGACGTGAAGTATAAAAGTACATATTGCATACCCCTCTTATTCACATTTTTCTGTATACTTTCCAGCGCCTTTAAGATCTCATTCAAATTATGTCTTCCAAAGTGACTCGTGTGGCTGTCACTCAAGCCGAACCGGCATGGCTGGATCTGGCTGCCGGCGTGGCAAAGACTTGCACCCTGATGACAGAAGCCGCTCGCAACGGTGCGCAATTGATTGCTTTCCCAGAGTGCTGGATTCCAGGCTATCCGTGCTGGATCTGGTACGTATTTCCCATCCATTGGTCATTTATATTTATTAAGTGATGTGCCAGGAGTCGATTCCTAGACGTTGCCCTGAATGTGGCGTATATCAAGAATTCCATCGCACTCGACTCCCCTGAGATGGATCAGATCAAGGCATGTGCCAAGAGCAACTCGATCGCGGTGTCTCTCGGTTTCTCTGAGCATGACAACAATTCAGTCTATATCGCACAGGTCATCATCGGCAGCGATGGTGAGATCAAATCCCACAGACGTAAAATGAAGCCCACGCATATGGAACGAACAATTTTCGGAGATGCCTCCGGAGAATGCTTCTCTGGCGTGGTCGAGCTGCCCTTCGCGCGGGTTGGAGCCCTCTCCTGCTGGGAACACATCCAACCCCTGCTCAAATACTTTATGATCTCCCAGAGAGAGGAGATTCACGTGTCCGCATGGCCAAGTTTGACTCCTCACGCTGGCAAATCTGATCTTTGGTCAATGTCCGCTGAAGGTGAGTTCAAATCTCAATCTACGTGCACTCCATATCGCTCACCTATTCCAAAGGTTGCCACAGTTTGTCGCAAACATATGCAATCGAGTCGCAGAGCTTTGTTCTGCACTGCACTGCTGTGATCACCGAGAAAGGAGTGCAAGCAATGGATACTAGTGGTGGAATCATGATGAATGCCCCAGGCGGGGGCACTTCGGCAGTGTTTGGTCCTGATGGAAGGAGGCTGACGGAGCCTTTGGATTCTACTTCAGAGGGCATCGTCTACGCAGATCTTGACATGAGCCAGATCGTGGCGACCAAGCTTTTTGCAGATGCCACTGGGCATTATAGTCGTCCAGACCTTATGTGGTTGAATGTTTGCAAGAAGGTGAAGAAGATGGTCCAACCGGAAGAGGAATCAGGGATTACCACAGTGGAGTAATGTATTAGCAAGACGATTTAATGAAGTGTATTTTGTTTTAAACACAACACAATCCCTGTAAGTGGAAATAGGCTAAACCAAAGAGGCCACATCCAAGTCCCCTGGGCTCGAGACCCCAAAGCCCCAGCCCGCTTCTATTCTATTATCTCACTGCTACTTTGTATCTTATTCTTCTACTTGATATTCCAGTTTTTAAGTTATCTATTACTATTATTCAATTTGCCCTGTTTCTCTCGCTAATTCCAATTCACGCTCCATTCTCTCCTTATCTTCCCTCGCTCGCCTCGACAGTGCGAGCTCTATTTCCAGTGTGCGTAATCGAGTCCGCCTATCAGCCTCCTCTTGGCTTTTACGCCGAAAATCGTTTTTTTTTTTAATCGCCTCCCGCGCACGTTGAATGTCCTCTTCGATTTCCCGGTTCATCTGCGTCCTCCCGTTAGTATATGCCTAGGTATATATAACCCATTCCGACCACAATAACTACTTACGATCCAACCATCCTGTACCCTATATTCACAACCGCGACAATAGCTTGGACCTTGGTACTCGATCTTATTATGATGCCGTGTCACCTCTCTCAGTACAATTGTACATCCATGGCAAATAAAAGTACATTGCGTCCGATGATTCGATGCTGGCCCTTCAACAGTAGAAGGAGTAGTGGTAGAAGGGGTTGTATGAGGTGCCATTTTTGATGTGATGAGGTGAGGGGTACAGATTTGAAACTCATCACATACATATATACTTAAGTACGTGTCAACGGCTACTTAACAACTTAATTATGGGGGTTGGGCTGTGGGCTTTGTGGGCCTGGGATGTCCCGCATAATTGGGGCTCTAAAGTTTAGATCAAGTTGTGGAATGGGCAAAGCTTCTCACTCTTCTATTATATCTCTTCGTATGATAATAGTCGAGAATCCATGTTGATGTTCTCCTGAAGTCCCTCGCTCTCTTCAACATTTGTCCAAGTCCGAGAATGCAGCGGAACGGGCGGAAAAGTTGCCGCTCCAGTGCCAAGACCTCTTATCGACGAGACACTTCTCCCAGCACTTGACAAATAGATGTCCACCAGGGGTACAATGTCGAGCACATTTGCCTGTGAGCAGTGTCGAGCATCGAAACGTCGGGTAAGTTTTCAGAGCGGAGCTCATCATTGGCTCTAGCTGACAAGCGCCGAAGTGCGATGGAGCCCAGCCACAATGCTCGACATGCATGAAATCCCAGAAAGACTGCGAGTATAATACAGAGAAGAAGCCGAGAAAGCATGTAAATTCCATACTTTACCACAAGGAGGCTCACTGACTCTCTTGGCAGACGCAAATACTGGGATGAGAATTATGTCAAGTCTCTGGAAAACCAGGTACAGGCTTTGTTAGCCCTTCAAAGCAAAAAGGATACAGCACATCCTTCCAGTGGGACTGATATTGAAAATGATTTACCCTCGGCGCCATCATTCAAAGCTCAAGACTATTCAAATATCTCTTTGGGCGAAACGGATTCTGCCGACCAGTCTATTTACCAATCGAGCACCGCGATGGAAGAAATGAGTGTCATGATGTGGAGGACGAACCTTGCAGATGCGGTCCCTATCTACGAGAGTGATAAGGGTGCTGAAACAGACGTGATCCAGGGAGAAAAAAATGCCTTGTGGCCCTGCCAAGTTCCATCTCAGATATCTGCCATTTGTGGGGATAATGATCGCCTCTACAAGTTCGCGTCTCTTTTTCTCGAAAATATCAACCAAGAGCACCAATTCACCATGTGTGATTCGGCGAACTTCTTCTTGCATTCTCCGCACCAGACCCTTGATCGACTGCTCTTGCATACCGCTATGCTAGCAGCAGGAGCAACGTTCGATGCTTTGCCAGACTCGACCGAGTTAAGCGATCGACTCGCTGAGCTCAGTGAAAGTCTGGTATTTCGGTGTTTTCGAGAAGCACCATCAATATACGTGATCCAAGGTCTCAGCATATTGTCTTGGCGCTCTTTGGCTCTGGGACATGACCATTTTGGCTGGACGTTTCTCTCTATGGCAGCTGGAATGGCCGTTCATCTACGTCTGCATGTTCTTGCACTTGGTGAATTGGACGCAAGCTCGGCCAAACCGGGAATTGCAGAAGTGCAGACATTTTGGTCTTTCTACATGACTGATCGAACTTCCATTTCTATTTTGGGGAGAAACTGCATGCTCCCATGGCGGCGAGTCAATGTTCCCCCCATAGAGAAGCTGTTCCCGAGTGAAACGGCAAGCTTAGCACAACTGTCATTTGCATGGCAGTGCAGACTATGGTATATGCACGATCAGAGGATGGATGAAATGTACGGAAACCCGCCAGATTGGCCTGGATCTTGCTAACAGGATATGACTAGATTCTCCTCTTCTTTTGATAATCTGAATGCCGATGATCAAGCCCATCTACTACTGTCAACGCAAGAAGATCTCGGCCAATTCCTGCGCTCACACGACCCGAAACTTAACCTTGCCCGAGGAAAAAACCCCAAACCAGTGCTACTTTTTTACATGAGCTACCAAATGACGATATTGCTCACAATGCCTCCGTTCCTGCGACTTTTTGCAAAGAAAAAGGAGAAGAGCTCGGAAACAGCCAAGCTCATGGCCGTAGTGTTGCAATCACTCACGTCCGCCGCGACATCAATGCTCCGCTTGGTCCAAGAATATTGCAAAGGGTACGGCTTTCAAAAAGCGAATCCACTCCTCATACACCACCTACTAAGTGCATCCATCGTGCACTTGATGAACACGACAACGAAATCACTCCCGTTCCGAAGATACAGCACAAGATCGGTACGAAAATGTATCTACCTATTGAGTCAGTTAAGTCGACACTGGATAACTCGCTCCCGGAAAAGTATAGAAGTCATCAAGGGCTTGGCTGCTAGGTGGAATGTGGAATTCGCACTACCATCTGAGCTAGACTCAATGCCTAACCAAGATGTCTTTGGGGTCGAGATTTCCACCACACCCGGTCTACGTGAGCCAGAAACCTTGGCGGCGCAACAAGACCAAGTGGCTCCAGATCTACTCGATCTGAACTGTCTCCCATATAATCTTCTCGAGCCTGAAGAGTCTTCCATGCAAGGGTTTTTCAACGCCGCTGCTGAACAAAATATATCCGACTTGTCGGCCATGGATGCTTCGTTTCTCGACCACGACGATACAGATCTGTTCCAGATATTTGAGGAGTTCAGAAATAATACCCAACAGGAGCCGCACTGGCCCCATGGCGTATAGGATGCTAACTGAAATAAACCATTCTTACGGCAATTTGTTGTCGCCCTATTTGGAGACTCGCCGCCGCACTACTATCACCAATATTGATGATGTTATGTACATTACTTGGTAATGTTATACTCCTGATTCCTGGAGTAGTAGCCCAGCCAAGATATACTAGTCCCAGTTAGGCAACGCTAACCCCTAACCTGGGAAACCTGTTGCCTACGTAATAGCTGAACATCTCCAACTACATTTACTCCCTTGAACATTCTCACCTAAAACCCATTCCCAGAAACTCACCTAGATCATTATGAGCAAACCAACCGAAGCCGCCCCAGCCTACAACGACCTATTCCAGCCCGGCAGCTCACGCGGCGTAAGTACGAGACCAAATGTGAATACTGCGGCGCACTAATTCACAACAGTATGCGATGGTCAACCAGGACACATATACCCCCGATGTGGAACATGGCCATCACAGTGACCCTGTTGAAATGGCGGGTCCAGACCATGCGCACTGTGCCGAGTGTGACCGGCAGCGTGAGCGGAGGGAGAGACGGGAGAGTGAGCAGAGAACATGTGCGATTGTTTCGAAGACGTTTATCTTGATTTGCTTGTTTTTGGTGGTTTTGGGGATCGTCGGTGTTCAGGCGTGGAAGGATGTGAAGATGAATAAGGGGCATAAATAAGGGCTGCTTCCTAGCAGTGGCAATGTACGGAATAAGAATTACAACTTTACAAGGGCAAGATAGCTCTATAGATGCGAGCCCCCAGCTCGAGCGGGCCTTCGCAGCCCTAGGTCCCCCCGGTCTCAGGCATGCAGGTGCCTAGATGCCTCGAGGTCAGTGGTTCAGACATTATCTTCCCTCTTTCTGGAAGGGGCCTGTATTTCCGCAGGCGTAGAGCTCTTTGGCGGCTTCTTTAAAAAGTAGTCTTTGTTTCCTTTCTGAGATCAGTGCTATTTAGTTTTTCTTTGTTATACCCAGTTGTTTTTTTTTTTTTTTTTTTTTTTTTTTTTTTTTTTTTTTTTTTTTTTTTTTTTTTTTTTTCTATTTTTTTTTTTTTTTTTTTTTTTTTTTTTTGTTGTTACTCGATGCCCCCGAATTCTTTTCGCGTAAAGAGATGAGTTCTTCTCGTATTCTTCTGCAGTTCTACTTTCATCGTCAACAGAATGGATTCGAATTTATGATCTCTCGGTCTTCCCGGCGTTCCTGCAACGGATTGGTATATGAGATATATCAGTTATCTTGGCATCGTTCCCACTGTCACAAAGACTCTTACCGTTCGCGATTTTCGTGATGCACAGAATCAATTGACTTGCAATATCAATAGGATTTACAGTTCTCATTCAGCTTCCTGTATCGACCCTGCCTCCGCCCCCTGGTGGGATCGTACGCACCACGCAAGATCGCATTTTGTCGTGGTATCGATTTCTGATGCAGCACCTCGCTGTTCCATCGCCGATTCTTGCCCTCCGCTGGGATGACTACAGACACGCTGGCAGAAGGCAAGAATCGGTGGAACAGCAAGATACCGCATAAGAAACCGACACCATGACAAAACATGGCTTTACGAAGTGTGTATGATCCCGCCGGGGGTGGAGGCACAGTTGACACAGGAAGCTGAATTAGAACTGTAATACTATTGACATAAACAGGCCTATTCGGGTGAATCTATTCAAGTTGTGCCCAGGGCGTTGATATAAATAATAAGTTGGAGAGTTCCAAGGTCCGATGAGATTGAGATGCAGCAGGCTTGTTCAACAGTAAATTGAGTCCTAATCTTCAAGAAGTAGTATGAAGAACTAGATCCCCTGCTCAAGCATCCTCTATATATAGCTGGTAGCGGAAATCGCCTCTCCGGCAGGCTGCATGAGCAACCTGTCGATCCCGCACGCATAGCAAATACCCCGCGGTGACCTCATCAGCTTGACTGCACTCCGAGCCGCGGAAGTAAGAGCTCACAGCTCCTGTATCCGTCAATAACCCGAATCAACCTCCGTTTCCCGATTTGGACTAGCCTGCTCGTCACAGAGATCTTTTTTTTTTTTTTTTGAATCTTGTGTCTTAAGGCTGGAGTTTGTCAAAATGATTTGGAAGAATTACACTTAAGGAGTAGGCATTTCAAGTTTAAGGCTTCCAAGGGTCGGATTGATGCACAGAGACGACTGCGTTATGTACAAAGAGACAGATTCCAGGTGTGATATATTCAAGTAAGGATAACACAATTCAACCTCGGAACGAGTGGCGCAAAGGGTATCAATAGAGCTCATGAGCGCGCGACGAAGGAATGTTTTAGGAGAACAACGAACAAGAAAAATTAAAGCGTGGTGGGATTCACAAGCGTCGGAAACATCACACCATACACAGAAGAGACCCATGCCTGAAGACTCCGAACTTGCGGACGGCTTTCCTCAACACTCCCCGTTTGGGAACCAGCAGGCGACACCTGACTTCTGGCAGTTGTATATGTGTCCCGGGAAGTGATTGGGGCGAGAGGATCATTAGGCTCTTCATGGCCACCCAAGCAGCAAATGCATGGCTGGAAGTTGATCCAAGAGGTAAGGGTTGGATAGATCGATGTATCTTCATGGGCATCGCCCGCACCGTCTCCACAGACAGCCGAAAAGAACGAATGGATTCGGGATGACACAGAAGATGGATGGCTAGCATTTCCAGAACCTTCAGGGGAAGGCGCGCCGGAGTTTGCCGTGGTGCTGGATAAACGAGTGGGCCCAGATAAATCCCGGGGAAGCCTATGAAGCGCAACAGGTCTCAGTGGACGCGCACCCGCCACCACCGCAGAGGTCGGCCTCGATGGGAAAGAGAAGCCACCTCCAGGAGAAAGCGAACGTCGTCGAGTCAGATGAGAAGGTTCATTGGGCCTCGAGCGTTGGTCTCTGAGGCTTCTTTTATTAGAAGTCTCAGCATAAGTCTGAGAAGTCTCTCCAGATTCGAAGCGAGCAGTCGGAAGACGATGATGGAACGGATGATCGTGCAGCGGCCGGGCGACATTGGTTCCATGACCACTCTGCCGATAGGGGAATCGACCCTGAACCATTGTTCCATCCTCTGCTCTTCCGATCCCAGTCACAGAGCGCACGTCAATGCGCCGCGTCGGTGTCGGAAATCCAAAGAACCGCCGAATGGTTCCGCCATATGAGCTGCTGCGTTGTGCATTGGATCCTTCGTTTGCGCGGGCATGGGCTGCGTTATCTCGCATAAGAAATCGGGCAGAGTATCGCATGGCTTCTGGGGAGCCAAACGAGGGAAGACCAGGTGGTGTGGGACTTCGTTCGGGTGCTGGGTATCGAGGCTGGACGAGAACGACAGCGGGTTGTGTAGTCCCAGGCCATCTTTGACCGCGGGGATTATCAGTCGTGCCGAGTGAAACCGTTTTACGGTGGTAACCAGGAGAGTCGGGGACCACTGGTTTTGGGACAGGCCTTCGGGGTGCTGGGGCGTGCCAGTTCTGATCAGAGAATATCTTGCGATGATCACCAGGTTTCCGTGCTGGAGTTCGTCTTTGCCTTGGTAGATCAGTGGGAGAGGCTGAGGCTTGGGAGTCTGAAAACACAAATCTGGCCATGTTCACAGCCAATCCTTGTTCACGAACGGGGCTGTCTTTATTCAGTGAGGCGTAGAAACGACTGGGTTTATCCGGCGTGGCGACCCGGATGGCATTAAAGATGGACCCATCGCTCTGTGCGGACTCAAATGAATCGTGATCGAACGGCGATGTCGAGCCTGAAAGCAGGCGTTTGCGCCGAAGGCTCTGTGATGCGGAGTAGAACTGCGAATGAGGGTTACTGGCATCACGACTCCCATTCATATTTCGAAAGAGCGAAGCCTTGAAAAACAAGCGTAAGTCATATAAAGAACATAATGCAATACAAAGGATCCAAGAGGATGTGAGTCTAAATCGCGCCTGCCAAATATCATACAACGCAGTCTATTAAAATGTACAACTTCCAAACATGGCATATCATCATAAGGGAGTGCTGCCAGGACTGGCGACTGGCTTGCCTGTAACCTGTGCATGCTCCTTTCTAAGGGCTCGTAGCAATCCTTCAATCCGACGACGCTCTTCTTGCTCGGCCTGGGAGGTGTTAGTGAAAAGAACTCAAACGGACTAATTCTCAGAACTCACCCTCAGGATCTTCATGTTCTCATTGCGCGTGTCACGCATCATTTTCTTGAACTCGTTCTTCAGCACCATGGTCGAGGTGGTCTCAGAGGCACCATCACGGCCAACGGAAGTCGGGCTACTCAAGTTCATCCAGCTAATCCGCTCCTCCGCCAGCTGCGTTTCCAGTTGCTCGCAACGATCTCGGAGACTGTCGATGAATTCCTCGAATCGCTCGCGCTCCTTTTCGAACTCAATGCTAGCCTTGGTCATGGCCTCATAGTCATCAATGGTTTCTCGGAGCTCCCGCTCGAGGGTATCCGCTCGTTGCTGAAGATCGCCACCGCCGCGCTGGCTCTTGAGCACAGCAAGTTCTTCGGTAAGTTCGATATTCCGGGTGACTAGAGCGTCGTTCTCCCGCTGGATGTTGGGGTCGGTGGCTGCGGCACGCTCAGCCCTGGTTCCATACGCACCGTCCAGCTCTGCCTTGGCCATGGTCAGTTCTGTGGTGACTCGCACAATCTCGCCCTCGAGCTCGGTCATCTCGTGCTGTAGGCGAGCTGCGGTCTCGTCGGATTTCGCGCGTTGACTGTCTGCTTCTTGAACGCGAGTTTCAGATTGACTGCGGATCTGCTGGATGGCCGCTTCAAGTTGGGCCACTTCTTGCTCTGCGCGGTCACGCGCGCCATTAATCTCCTCAGATCGAGCCCCGCTGTCGTTCTGCATGGTTTCAATAATGCCCTGCAGACGCAGGATCTCGCTCTCTGCACGACCATGGGCCTCCTTGAGTTCCTCGCTGGCACCATTGTCGTGTTGCAAGTTTTCAATGACAAGCTGTAAACGCTTGACTTCGTCTTCAGCGTGATCACGGGCCTCTTTGATATCTTTCGATCTCGAATCGGACTCGTGCTGCATTGTCACGATCACAGCTTCCAGGCGCTGCACTTCGCTTTCTGCGTGGTCTCGGGCCTCTGTGGCCTCCATGGACCGAGAGTCGCTTTCGCGTTGCATGGTAACTATGACACCCTGCAAACGTTCAACCTCACTTTCCGCACGGTCGAGGGCTATCTTGATCTCTTCGCTCTTGGAGCCGTTCTCAGTTCGCAAAGCTGCAATGTCGATTTGCAATTGCTGGACTTCATCTTCCGCGCGATCTTGGGCTTCCTGTAGTTCCTTTGACCTTGAATCAGACTCGTGCTGCATTGTGACTATGACAGCTTCCAGGCGCTGGACCTCGCTCTGAGCATGGTCCCGAGCCTCCTTGACCTCTTCGGATTTGGAATCGGCCTCATATTGCATGGTAACGATAACGGCCTCCAAGCGTCGAACCTCGCTCTCTGCATGTTCGCGAGCTTCTATCGCTTCCTCGCTCTTGGAGTTGGAACTGTTTCGCAGGTTCTCAACTTCGATGTGCAATTGTTTGACTTCAGCCTCAGCCCGATCACGGGCTTCACTGACTTCCTCAGACTGAGCCTCATGGTCTCGCTGCAGCGAATCCAGATGGACATGAAGGCGTTTGAGCTCAGTCTCTGCATGTTCTTGGGCATCTCGGGCCTCGCTTACTTCCATCGTCCTGGCGTCTGCCTCGGTGTGTAGCGAGGTGAGTACACTCTGCAAGCGTGCCACTTCACCCTCGGCCTGAACCAAGGCAGCCTTGGATTCTTCCTGGGAAGAACCACTGTGACGCATCTGCTCAAGTTGACCCATGACCAAAGCCAACTCGTCGCGGTTGGCGTGGGATTCGCGCTCAGACACTTCGAGGTCTTTGCGGACATGGGTCAACTGTTCTGTCAAGTCGCCGATGTGAGCATCTCGTTCGGCGTCTGACTTGGAGTTGAGTTCGCGTTGCTGTTGGATTTGCGTGGTGAGAATACTCTTTTGCTCGAGAACACCCTCGACTCGACTTTCCAGTCCATCTACACCGGTACGGAGGTATGCAAGCTGCTCCTCCAACCCCTCGCCATGGGTAGCATCTGGAGGCGGGGGAAGTGTCGGGGAACGAGTGAGGCCAAAGCGATCGACAATGGTCTGCACTCGGTTGTTGATCTCAGTGAGCTGGTACTTCCAGGCCCCTTCCGCCTCGGGGGCAACCTCGGCGGTCACGGGCATAGCACGGTCGGTTTCTTTGTGCTGGGCGATGGTTTCCATGGCATTCTTAATGTAGGCGAAATGTGCGTCGGATGTACCATTGGAGGTGACGGGTCCGCCCTCCCTTGACAGCTGCGGAGGGGGATCGATGAATTCACCCGGGTTGGACTCAATCATCATGTCGTGCATGCGCTCGCTGAGTTCCTCCAATCGTCGCTCCATGGCCTGAATGGCTTCATTGTTTGCAGGTGGCATGCCAGGCTGCACTTTGCCATGTACCCCAAAGCTATCCAGATGTTCGTGGGTCCGGTAGAGGCTTCGGTCGTCAAACTCATGCCCGTCGAAATCGTTGTCCATGGCGGCGTTCTTAGGCCCCTTCTTCAATCCCTTGTGCGTCATCTGCAGCACACCCGCGGTATGTTCCAACAAGCGCCGATCGATTTTCTGCGCCCTCCCTTCCAGCTTCCATAGTTCCTGCGCGAGCTGCTCGCACCGCCGCTGGCTCACCGCAAGCTCGGAATCACTCTTATCAAGAGCCTCGGACGTCCCACTACGACCAAAAATACTCCGACTCCTCCGGTGTGTATTGGCAGCATACTCGCCGCTGCTGCGCGGACTGGGCGGGCTGTACAGCCTTCCCAACGATTGCGCGGCATCCCGTAGTTTTGTCTCCAGCGCCAATTTTCGCTTTGTGCCTTCAATCCGACTCGACAGCACGGTAGCCTCCTTCTTCAGCTTTTCCACTTCCTCAAAGGAAAGCACTTCATAGTTGGTGCTGTCGCCAATCGCGGTCTCGGTCAACAGGTACAGGGCGACGGGGTCGTTGGCATTCAGGAGAGCCGAGCTTCGCGGGTGGGCGGTGTTGAGCTGCACACCATTGTCAGCGGTATATCCGAGATCTTGTCGTATTCCACCTACTGGGTTGTATCGTGTCCGGTCCTCGTGTTGGGGATCGAGGGAATCCCGGTAGCCGTCTACCAGTGACTTGCCCAGCGGCGCTACGGGAGCAGGGGCAGCGGATGCTGTCGAAAGGTACCGCGGGTCCCCGTAGGAAGACACACTGGAGCGCATACTGCCATCCATTGCTTTTTTGGACTCCGTAAAATTGGGTGCAATCAACGGAGCATTGCCTCGAAATTAGTGGGAGAAATAGCGTCGTAAGCGTAGGTTATTAAATGAGAAATTGGATGGCGGGAAGTGAAGACCAGCCTCACAGCGATCGGCGCACCCCTTTAGGTTTGGCAACACTTTCAGCAGGGAGTGTGATGTATGGCAATAGTATGCAAGAGTGTGCCCTTAGAGTTGCGATCTATACCGATGTCAGCCCTTGTTGATACGAGTATACGAGAGGTCCACTTCGGGGCCTTTTTTAAGGAGTCCGCGATATTTTAACATTACTCTTTGCTCTACTTTGAAGGACAGAGTACGGAGTACGGAGTAAGGAGTATAGAGAACAAAGTATTCAAAGTAATCAAAGTATTGAAAATATATTAATAGTTGAATCGAGAGTAACTAAGAGTATAGAATGTAACGCGAACAAAGAACCCCCGCTAAAGTACAAAAACGGTACCTGGCACCTCTAACGTCACAGCTGAGCTGTCCAGGTACTGCCAAGTACTTGACTTCCTCGGTCCTCTTTTTTTGGTCTTTCAGATGTGACTCTTTGTTTCATCCGAGAAAATTGTGTCCGAACTGACTATGTTTTGTCACATCTCTTTCGAACATGTCGACTACTGATGAGTCGGGCGCTCGACCTGTCTACCGGGTATACAAACGTCGCTTCTGGGGTCTGGCTCAACTGGTACTGCTGAACATCGTCGTCAGTTGGGATGTAGGTACTACCAAGCTGGTTACAAATCGGGAACTAACGCAAATACTCAGTGGCTGACGTTCTCCTCCATCTCCACGACTGCGGCGGAGTACTTCGATGTCTCGGAAAGCGCAATCAATTGGATGAGCACTGGTTACCTCTTCGCCTTTGGTGTCGTGAGCCCGTGAGTATTCCAAAATCTCGGGAAACCACAACCCTAACCATTCAGTCTGGTCATTTGGATTTTAAACAAAGGCGGCCCCAAGCCCGCCATTGTAATCACCGCCAGTCTTCTCCTGGTGGGGAACTGGCTTCGATATGCAGGCACGCGAGCAAATGGGGGCATATTTGGCCTGGCGATGTTCGGGCAAATCCTGATTGGATTTGCGCAGCCCTTCTGTCTCTGTGCGCCAACACGTTACAGCGAGCTCTGGTTCTCCGACCGAGGTCGAACAAGCGCAACAGCTGTCGCAAGTCTGGCGAATCCACTTGGCGCAGCGCTGGGTCAACTCGTTGATGCCGAATGGGCCTCCAAGCCATCCGATATCCCAAACATGGTCCTGTACATCTCCATTATAGTATGTGGGACCAAACACACTCAATACACACCTCACCTCCCTCATACTAACCAACCCCAGTCCAGCGTCGCAGCCATCCCATCATTCTTCCTCCCGGCCTCTCCACCAACACCAGCAAGTGCCTCATCAGCAGAGCCACACACGCCCCTCGGCGTCGCCGTGCGCCAACTAACCACGACCTGGGAATTCTGGCAAATCCTGATCCCCTTCGCGGTATACGTAGGGTTCTTCAACAGCGTATCATCTCTCCTCAACCAAATCCTAAGCCCATACAACTTCAGCGAAACAGAAGCCGGCATCGCAGGCGCAATCCTCATCGTCGTCGGCCTGGTAACAGCCGCAGTCATCGCCCCAATCACAGACCGCTACAAGCACTACCTCGGCAGCATCCGCGTGCTAGTCCCCATCGTAGCAGCGACATATATAGGGCTGATATTCTCCCCGTCCAGCGCAGCAGGTATCGCACCTTCCTATGTCGTGATGGCTCTGCTGGGCGCTTCCTCTTTCGCTCTCCTCCCTGTTGTTCTGGAGTATCTGGCTGAAATCACGTATCCGCTTTCTCCAGAGATTGGAAGCACCATCTGCTGGACGGGTGGGCAGTTGCTTGGGGCGTGCTTTATTTTGATTCAGGATGCGCTGAAGGCTGGGGATGATGCTCGTCCGCCTGGGAATATGCGGAACTCCCTGATCTTTGCGGCTGTTGTTGCGGGTGTGGCGGCGCCGTTTGCTCTTACCATTGGCCTGTTTAGGGTTGTGCAGAGGCGCAGGTTGGAGGTTGATCGTGGTGTGGAGTTGGAGCAGGTTTCTTTCGTTGATGATCAGGTTAAAAAGGTTGCTTCTGGGGGTGATACTGAGACTCTGATCAAGTCTTAGTTGTGGGATGTCTCTTGGCTGGGCTGAGAGTTCAGCTCAGCTCAGCTCAACATTGACCGCAATGTCGAACATGTCCGAGAAGTCTGGATGATAGTTATCTCTATGTTTGTTTGTTAGCCTGTATACCTTTTTGTCTCTTGTGGCCTCAGCCAAACAGTGTGGTGCGACATGATATATTCATGTTAGTTAACGAATTGAACACGAAATATCCACCACGTCGATGACTGGGGGGAGGGAAAGATCTCAAATCTAGGGATGAAATCTCACCCGACTACCTGTAAGCTGATGGGACGATTGCGGGCCGTAAGCCCAGCCTACCATGCACAGTCAAAAATAGACAAAGGTACAGATGAGATTCGTTTTAAAACAAGAGAAAACAAAAGCACAGTTCGATGAGGCGGAAGACCAGCTATCTGTACATGCAAGGCAGAAAGAGGAGGGCAAGTATCTATTATTTCTTTCATGCTTCCTCGGAGCCCTCCCCCCTGCCTTGAAAACACAATATGCGCACACATACACAAGGAACGAGCAGAAACACGAGGTTTTTGGCTTGATTCGTGCTCGATCCTGTATTCTCAATCCAAGGCGGCAAGTTACCAGGCCATCAATGGACCTTAGAAACCATCAGGAAAGCGGGACTGGGATTTCGGCATTGCAGTCCAACCATAAAAAAGTGATTCATATCGACAAGGCGGGGAATCGTAATTCGAACCGAATCGATGCGTAGTTGGAGTGCCGAAACCAATTCATGAGAGTGATTTACTTGAGCTCCCTCCAGAGCTTGGGGGCAGCGCAGGCGGTCACGCAGTGGGTAAGGTGGAAGACTAAAAAAATCGGGTTAGTCGCAGTGTCTCGGTATTCGAAGATGGATTCAATCCAGGGTAATTGAATATCATCTTCTTGGGATTTTAATTCCATTGCACTTACACTCCTCAACGCAGTCCTCCTTGGGGCCCTTGAAGTCATCGCCGGCCTCCTCCTGGCGGGTGACGCGCTCAACGCACTCGTCGTAGTGGTGCTTGTAAGGGGCGCAGACGGCGGAGTGAGCGCACTCTGCATACAATATTAGCGACCGGTCAAATAATCAAGCGAACAATGTCTTTGTAGTGCCATTGGCGATAATGCGGCCCACAGGCGTGACACTGACACATCGGCCAAATGGTCGCGAACCACCAATCCGACGGTCGCATAGCACAAAATAAAGCCAAAGACAGGACAGAGACAGCAGTAGATCCACTTACCCTCCTCGAGCTTGGGCTTGATGTCCTCGGGCTCCTCCTCTTCCTCCTCCTCTTCTTCTTCCTCCTCTTCCTCTTCGGCCTCGGCCTCAGCCTCCTCCTCTTCGGGGGCCTCCTCGGAAGACTCCTCAGCGGGGGTCTCCTCGGCGGACTCAGTCTCGGTGGACTCCTTCTCGGCAGGCTCGTCCTGGGGGGTGGATTCGGTCTCGGTGTCCTGGGCGGGAGCCTCAGCCTGGGCTTCGAAGCCCCAAGAAGACACGACGTCAGAGAAGAAATCGGAGAGACCCATTGCGACAGGGATCAATTGAATGATGACCGGAGGATGCGGTGTGGTGGGGAACTGAAGGGGGTTGGAATTGAAGGAGGATGTTGGTTTTCCAAGAGCTGCTTCTTTCGGACTGGAAAATCGGAAAGGCCCGGCCGCTGAGCCAGGACAATTATGCCGCACGTGATTGGCCAGAGTCAACTTTGGCCTGTTACTTGCTATAGATCGGATTTATTGCTTCATTTTAGATGCAGGATTTACAACAAACCCTGCATTGTAAATCCTGCATCGTTTTCGAATAGCTTACTATCGAAGCCTTTCTCTGTGGTGAAATATGCTGTTGGTCCAAAGAACACCACTTTTGTCGCTAATTGGCATAATGTACATGAGGGCATTAGAATCACCAACTGAAAGTGGGATAGAATATTATGGTGAGTATGAAAGTAGTCTGGTATCAAGAAGAAAGAAAGAAAGTGACCAAAAAAAAAGAAAAGAGAAGAAACCCCATCAGCTGGCCCGTCGTAGCCTCTCCTCTAGCTCATGTGCCACGCTTTGCGATTGAACTTCCTCATAGCATGGAGGGGGCTCTACAGGGTCCGCACTCGCATCCGGGGGCCGACTATTAGGAGCTTCCTCCGTTGTCTCGTCGGGTCTGATATTCTGGTTGGCCCGAGGCGGCGCATCGTATGCAGGCAAGTCCTCCAAATGGACAGCTGAGAGGTCCACCGTCTGTTGTCCTCGTGTGCCCTCATTTGTATTTTCGACAGCCTGTTGCATTCGCTCCTTGATCCGTTCGAAGTTGCTGTGGAAGTCAAAGGCTCCGCCTTCCTTGAAAGTCACTTTCATCTGCACCGCAGGGAGGGATGCCGAGATGCCACCCCCAGAGACTGGCTGGACCAACGCGGTCCAGACATTAGGACCAAAGAAGGGGGCCGAGACATGGGAGTCCCGGACGTTCAGGAGGGGGGAAGAGAATGACTGGAAGTCGTTGGTCTTGGATGCTGGGAGGTAGACCACCTGGGTCGGAGTTAACGTCGATAACACAGATATCGGGTCGAAGGAGTACTCACTCGTTGGTTGGTGAGGTGAATGCAGCCAGCACTGCTTTGGATCGATAAAGTCTCTCCGCCTTTGTATCCCTGTGGTGGGGTCAGGGATAGACTGGTGCGGGGAGGTGACGAGTAGACTAAACGTTCGTTGGGGAGGCGGACGAAGCCCTCCCGGTCCTGAAGCATTACCCAACTAGGCAGTCAGTTTGGGGTTTCGAATCTTCGCCAAGGCCATGCATACTTAAGAGACATTGTCAAACCATAGAAGTCCAAATTGGAGTATCAAACGATCAGCGCTATGAACCAAAAACAGGTGTGAAAGGCGGAAGTTGGAATAAAAAGGGTTTGCGGGGCATAGGCGGGGAGGAACATGTGTGGACTCTTTTTTTCTTTTTTCCCCTTTGGTTCTGTTCTTGTTCGTAGATCATATTACTCTCTACTACACAGAGACACAGAATACTCCATGCTTAATTATTTCCCTTGGGCTAGAACCAAGTCGAAATAGCTGCAGGGATGACGCTTTGATCCATCCCCAACGTTATGCATATGCCAGATTTACTTGTCAAAATACGTTGGGAATGTCAGAGCAAAAATTTAAAAAGCGAACAAGGAATACTAGCTAATGTTGTACGGAGACGATAGCCGTTGGGCTAGTAAATAACCTGTTCTAGAAGCGTCCGAAAACGAACACGCTAACTTGCAAACTTCTCGATTTCCTCACCTGATCTCGTGCGGAACTTCTCTTTTTTCTTTGCTTTTTCTCTTCTCCAGAGTGGTCCAAGCTCTGTCTCATCTTCTTATGTCGACCTAGCTTCAGTATAGCCCTGAGAGATAGCAACACACGGGCATACGGGCATACGGTATACGACCTATCCACCATGGGAGACAAGGGCGCTTACATCCCACCCCTGATCGGGTGGATGTACGATTTGGTCCTGTGGACCTTCTCTGTGCTCATCGACTTATTCTTCCGTGAAGTTCACCCCCGAGGATCATGGAAGATCCCCCGACGCGGTCCCATCATCCTGGTGGCCGCTCCCCACGCGAACCAGGTAAGCCGCCCGCTTCCGGTCCCGCCAGCTGCGCGCGTGGTATGAGATGTGACTAACGCCTTGGCTCGCTACAGTTTGTCGATTCCTTGGTGTTGATGCGCGTCATCCGAAGTGAAGCGCACCGACGGATCTCATGGCTCATCGCGGAGAAATCATTCCGCCGCAGGTTCATCGGCTTCCTGGCGCGAGGCATTGGCACACTACCAGTGGCCCGTGCTATGGATAACTTGAAGCCAGGAACCGGTACCATCTATCTCCCCGACCCGATCAACGAGCCAACCTTGCTGCGAGGTGTCGGAACCAACTTTGAGGGTAAACCATTTGAGAAGGACGGGACAATCGCTTTGCCTACGGTCAACGGAACATCACACAGTACAGCCATTGCGGAGGTTCGAGGGCCAGAGGAGCTCGTGCTCAAGAAACCGTTCAAGCACAGGGATGCCCTCGTCCAGCTGACGGGCCGACAAGACATCGACAGCGAGGGCAACTTCACCGGAACTGCATCGGATAACTCGGAATTCAAGGGAACCAAGTTCAAGGTTGCTCCGCATGTTGATCAGACAGCCGTCTACCAGGCAGTGTTCAAACGACTAGGCTCTGGAGGCTGCGTGGGTATCTTCCCCGAGGGTGGAAGTCATGACCGAACCACCCTACTTCCATTGAAAGGTATGTTTCTCCATGTTGATCGCGTTTCATCGCTAATAGAATGCAGCTGGTGTGGCCCTGATGGCACTGGGAACTCTCGCTGAGAATCCGGACTGTGGCTTGAAGATCGTCCCCTGTGGCATGAACTACTTCCATGCACACAAGTTCCGTTCCAGAGCCGTGATTGAATTCGGTACCCCGATTGATGTTCCCCCAGAATTGGTCGAGCAGTTCAAGCAAGGTGAACGCCGCGAGTCCGTTGGCGCTTTACTGGAAATCATCTACGGAGGCCTCGTCTCGGTCACCGTAACTAGCCCCGATTATGAGACTCTGATGGTAAGTTTCTTTTCAACAAGGAGAGCGGAATCTCGCTGACGAAAATAGGTCATCCAAGCTGCACGTCGGTTGTACAACACCAAGGGCAAGAAGCTTCCTCTGCCCATGGTCGTAGAGTTAAACCGCCGTCTCGTGAAAGGCTACGCCCACTTCAAAGATGACTCTCGTATTGTTGATCTGCGCAGGGCAATTGTGTCATACAACAAGTCGTTACGAATCCTGGGCATTCGAGACCACCAAGTGGCCTACGCCAAGTTCTCCATTGTGCAAGTGGTTGCTACCCTGATCTACCGTCTCGGCAAGCTGGCACTTCTGGCAATTGGAACACTCCCTGGTTTCTTGCTCTTCACGCCCGTGTTCATCGCTACCAAACATCTCTCGGCCAAAAAGTCCAAGGAAGCCCTGGCTGCTTCTACGGTGAAACTTCAGGGTCGCGATGTCATGGCAACCTGGAAACTTCTGATTGCGCTCGCCTTTGCCCCAGCTCTCTACGCCTTCTACACTGCTGCCTTCACTTATTGGACCTACTGGAACCGGGTCAATGGCATGGTTCCCGACTGGGTGCCGCTCTGGTCGGTGGTCATGATCGGCATGGTCCTCTTCCCTACCATAACCTTTGCTGCTTTACGAATTGGTGAGGTTGGCATGGATATCATCAAGTCACTCCGCCCTCTCGTACTTTCTTTGAACCCATCATCAGCCAACACCCTCGTGAGACTCCGCGAGAAGCGCGCCGCCCTGGCCCAACAGGTGACTGATGCGATCAACACCATGGGACCCGAGTTATTCCCCGACTTCGATGCCTCGCGTATTGTCACAGATCCTTTCCGCGAAGTCAGCAACGTCGAGGAAGAACCCGAACATGGCCCTCCAGAGGTCAGGAGGTCCAGTGTATCCGAGTCGAGCGAGAAGATGCCCACTTCAGAGCCCTTGCCTCGCAACGAGTCCTTCCACAACCTAGCCAACATTGGCTTCTTCTCCACGCGGCCTCCTAGTCGTAATCGCAGCCGCAGCAGCTCTGCCAGCGCACGACCTGGATCTCGACACGGGCTGAAGCCGCTGAGTTCGCTCACCCAGAAGGATCCGCTGGAGGATGTGAGCTCGCGGATTCGTGATGCTATGAGAGAACGTGGAGAGCGCCGTCGTCGCCGAAGCGAGGACGGAAGCTGGGATATGGCCAGCTCTGGTCCTGGTACTCCCTCTAGCGAGGAGAACCGAAAAGATCTTTGAACTTCAACAGTGATTACCTTGATGACCCGATTCTTTTTACGCTCAGCATAAAGCTGTGTGTCTATTGTTTTACATATCCACGCAAGATATCCTCTCTGTTTATTTGTTTTTTTTTTTTGCAATTGAATTATTATTTTCTATTTTCTCTTGTCCGATGTTTCTCGTCCACCTGGGACACCATAGAAAGTAGCCCATAAAGTAGCATATCACACGGGGACTGCACAGTTTAGAGAGAGACTCAACGTATTCCAACACAAAGAGTCCAACGCAGCCTGAAATGTTCCAAGCGGGGATCTCAACCAATTGCGATGTAAGCGGTTGACTTGTTGATCTTGGCTGATGCATTGCCCGTGGGCCTCGCCACCGGGGCAGAGCCTAGAATCGAAATAGAAACAAATTTGGTAGCTTTAATAGCCGCAAAAATAGGTTCTTTTGTGACAATCGACTTAAGTTGCCAACATTGATATCCACATACTCGTCCCTCCGCTGCCTCAGCACCTGGTGCTGCCCAGGTGTGTATACATAGTCGGGTGGGTGTCACCCAGGTGAGAATAGGGTGAGCGCCGCTTTAGCGTCAGGGTTCATGAGGCTGAGCTTGCAACATATTGGGTGAAAATCAGCCTACTTATTGCGAGAATCGCACTCTGCCCCCCTCCTGAAGCCTGTTGAAGTAAAGTTAGAAGCCCCATTGGTTGGTCACCACGCCGAGGTACGAGTAATAACTCACTTGTACCTTGAACGCTCGTCTTCTTGGCAGCTGCCACAGTCACAGCAGCAAAGAACACCGAGCACTGCTCTTGTTGATTTGTTCAAATGGCGATGCCAGGCAAAAAACATGTATGGGCCTTATTCCAGCATTAAATTCGGTGACTAGTACAGAGTACGACGCATGGCCTACTCCGTACAGGGTTTACCATATATGTGTGGCTCAGGATCGCTACATCGCTTGGCTGCAGGATACACCCTTCCTGACTCTAACCCTAGCCTTACCATTTCTGGGCCTCGAATTGCATAATAAGCTCAAGTTTACATCCATGAATAACAGATGAAATGGGAAACGGCCTTTCAAGGTTGTCAACCATTATGCTGAATCATACCGTGAAGCTGAGCTCCAACAAATCGCCCTGTTGATTGCTTTTTCAGCCCCCTGTTTTGAGATACATGAGGTTATGCGCTCGAGACGCCAATCGCGCCAACTTTGACTGAAGCTGAAAATCATGATTTAGGTCTCAGTCCCAAGCAGTTCTTGGGCCAGATTCCCTTTCAAATATTCTCCTGGGTACCAACCTTTTCATCTCGCCTCCCTCCCACCCTTCTCAAAGATAGACTAGAAGGGCTTGCGGATCTCCTGCCAAACATGCCGATCGAAATGGCACCCTTGAATCCGGCCCAGACCGACGTGGCTGAAGAGTCAGCTCCTCTACAACCGTTGTCTACCACCGACGCGACTGAAGACTCAGTCCCTTCAAAGCCGTCGTCTATAACCGGCAACCGTCGGAAGTCTATCTTGCTTGACACATGGATTTTCGAAAGTTTGGCATTGGTATTCAGCATTGCTTGTTTTGTTGCTATTCTCGGTCTTCTCGGTGCCTATAACAACGAAGTTCGACCGGAAATGGCCTACAAGTTGTCTCTGAATGCGATCATCTCTATACTTGCTACAGGGTGCAAATCTTCTCTAGCCCATGTGATTGGAGAAGCGATTTGTCAACTCAAATGGCTTCACTTTAAGAGTGAAAACAAATCTTCATTGTCTGGAATGCAGATGTTTGATGCCGCTAGTAGAGGACTACTGGGATCTTTGGGCATTCTCATTCATCAAAGAGCAAAATTTATGTATGCCTTGGTGCAGCAGTCGTCGTGCTTCTTTTAGCATTTGATCCATTTATGCAACAGGTGATAAGTTATCCCGTGCGACAATCAGACATCCTCGACGGCCAAGCGATTGCAAAACAACTCTATGGCGTTACACCTGGAACTAAGGGAAATTGGGAAACCGCTTTTGGGAAGGGTCTTTGGTCCCAAAACAACTTCGATGTTTTGCCTGTATGCTCATCCGGAAATTGCACATGGAACGAATTTTCATCAATCGGTATTTGCAACAAATGCTTTGATATGACCTCTTCGGCTCAGTTGAAATGCAATCTGGAAAATGTGACAAGATGAAGTAACCAGACTTGCGAAATCACTTTGCCAGATAACGTTGGTGTTGGGTATAACTTTTCTGTCACCATGCAGCATCTCTTCGCGGATGGGTCAATAAAACCGCCTTCTAACGGATCTGGCAATGCTTTGAGGTTCCCTAGCGCAATCGTCTGGACAGCCGGAGATTCCGACTATTTAAAAAAAATCTCTTTCCGTGAGATAACGGTTCCATTAGCAGTATTTGCATATGCCGAACTTTTCCCCTCACCTCAAATCCCATTGACAGCTCCGCTCTCAAATCGCATCTTGATCACAAATCTGAATATTTGCGCACATACAATCTGCCTTAGGGACTACCATATCTCAATAGAGAATGGCCAAGCCTCAATCCAGACTGTAAATGTGGACTTCGGCATCAGAACTTTCGATTACCCCAATACTCTGATACACTGGACCCCCAACAACAAATCAAAGATCGATTTTGCTTTTGATGAAGACCAAGGGCCTTTGCCAATATATGGGCCTACCAACAGGTTTCTCGTCATGGGTTCCGACGGGTTTTTCCCAATAGAAGGATACCCTGACATCCTTTTGATCAACCCCTTCACTCATCAATGGAATAAGAGCTGGGACCACTATTTAGGTCCTGTCATTGATCACATCAAGGAGATTGGCTATACGTCACTTATGTCGGATGTGGCTGCTTCCTTCACGCAAATGGGATTGGATAATTCAAACCACACCGTCAACGGCACCGCTCGGACTAGCCAAGTCTTTGTGAGCGTACAGTGGTATTGGGTAATGCTCCCAGCCTGCTTGGTCATTGTTGGGATCATATTCTTCATAGGCACGACGATTCTTAGCAGAAACACTAATAATATGCCTCTATGGAAGTCGTCTGCACTGGCTCCTTTCTATCATGGGTTGGAAGAATCGGAAAGCAACGAATTTCAAAGTTCCAGTATCATGGAAACAGCAGCAGAAAGAGAAGATGTTCGACTGCGGTACTCCGAGACGAATGGGCGGTTGATGCTGCAGAGAGGATAACCCCCCTCTCTTTATCATGATGATGGTCGAGAACGCAGAACGCAATACAACGGAGTGTATTCCTACTGCTAGACTGAGACTGGGAAGAGAGAGGGAGAGAAGGCAAACACGCATCTATCTACACCTGGCGGTCTGAATCACAGGGAACAGAGACAATTCATTTGCCCAATGTAGCTTGCTCCAATATATGGAGTATTGTTAGGCCAGCCGACAGCTGAAAACCTCCTCCCGGGTTTCTCCTGAAGTCATCGGTCGTCCTCGAACAAAAAGATGCAGTACAAAAGCAATGCATGGATGCACAAATGACAAACGCAAGGAAAGTTGAAACGAGTGCCATTTATCCTTGGCCTTAGATCTGAAACTAGGATCGCGTTTTATCAGATCTATATATACATACACCGTCTAACTATCGGCTGCCAACTCCTGAAGTCGTGTGTTCCCTTGGATCAAGGGAGTTTTTTTAATCCAATCTCGCTTTGCCTAGTGTAATAGCTGCTCTAGTAGGATGGTAATCATGGGTTGGTTGCCAAGGTCATAACTAAACTGTACTGCTTCGTCAATTCCGTGTTTGGTTGTAGCTGTAAGGCAGAAATGCCCGTTAAGAGGGTTAAGTCCAATTCCCACTATATCTTCTGTAAACCCTAGAAATGGTTGGTGATTTCATTGCTGACAGCTCCTTAGTAAATACGTATCCATCCAAGTTCTGTCCGGATATTCCTGTTTGTAACCTATCGGATCAGATCGAGATGTTCCGCTAATTATACCTATTCTGATGGTATTTGCGGTCGATCCGCTGTTTTTAGTGCTGTTGGGGCTGTCTACGAGGACTTGGTCCTATTTTTCTTTATTTAGCCTGTCAGAAAACAGTGTAGCCTGCTTTTCCTCCGTACTCGGATTTGCAAGAGAGGCGTTCCTTTATAACCGACCACGTCGCCTTTCTCCGGATCTGCCTAGCCGCTAACCGCAACCTTTCCTCTCTCACGCATCCGGTTTCCACTTCGTCTTCCCCACGACACTTTTTGTTTAGCGCGCTGGAACCCGGAGTTAGGGACATCTCTCAAAATGCCAGGCTCAATGCACATGTCCCGTCTCCGTAATTGGTTCCTCTCATCGCCGCCAGCCGAATACCTCATCACGAGCCTCAAGGAGCTGCTGATCGGCGCGCTCCAACAAGGCCCTATCCCGCAACATGTCGCCTTTGTCATGGACGGCAACCGCCGGTTCGCTCGGTCTCACGGAATTGAAACAGTGGAGGGACACAATCTGGGGTTCGAGGCTTTGGCAAGGGTTCGTGCGGCATCGCGAGAGCGAGGCTCTCTGCGACAGGAACCCCCTTTCCGTGAGAAGCTGTACTGATGCTTTGCAGATCCTTGAAGTGTGCTACAAGAGCGGAGTGAAAGTCGTTACGATATATGCCTTCAGTATCGAGAATTTTAAGCGTTCCAAGTTCGAGGTGGACGCGCTGATGGAAATCGCAAAAGTGAAGCTGTCGCAAATGGCCCAGCACGGAGACATCCTGGATCGATACGGAGCGAGGGTTGACGTTCTGGGCCGCTTGGATCTGCTCAAGCCCGACGTCTTGGAGGCCGTGAACAAGGCTGTCGATATGACCAGTCGTAACGGTGACCGCGTCCTCAACATCTGCTTCCCTTACACATCGCGCGACGAGATCACCAGCGCTATCCGCCACACCGTCGACGACTACAGCACGCCCATCCAACAGGCACCTTCCGCTGCTCATGCTGCTCGCACTCCATTTTCAGAATCTCACATCACTCAAAACATCCGCGCCCAGACCAAATCATATGACACGCCCAGTGATTCCGAATCCACCTCCAGTTCCTCCGCACAAGAAGACGAACACCCTCGAAATGGCCGTGGCATCTACGAATCCGGCTCATCCTTTTCGTCCTCCACCACTCTGCATCTCGGCCCCGAATCCAAAGGCTCACCACACCGACCCGCCAGCGAAAGCCCCCTCTACATCTCTCCCGAAACCATCACCCGCCAAACCCTCAACGATCACATGCTTACCAAGGGCACACCACCCCTGGACATCCTGGTCCGCACGTCGGGCGTGGAGCGCCTGAGCGATTTTATGCTCTGGCAAACCCACGAGAACACCGAGATTGTCTTCTTGGAGGTCATGTGGCCCGAGTTTGATCTCTGGCACTTCCTGCCAGTCCTGCTCGGGTGGCAGCGACGGATCTCCAAGGCTCGGCAGGACCCCGATGCCGAGGGCGACTTTGCCGGCGAGGAAACGGACATGCGGCTGCGTCAAGGTGGAAAGGCCAAAGACATCTAGTTCATATTCTTATACCCTGTGCCTTTTTCTGCATCAGCGGCGTTCTTCGTTCTTGGGGTTTCAACTTGATATTCATCCATGCGTGCATGATCGTGTCAATATATATCACATGCCTATTTCATAATCCCTTGTCCCTCGGTTTTGATACCGCAACATTGGGACTGTCTTTTTCTATACTGGTGAAATGGCTGATCCCTTTGAGTATTCACATAGGAGTTGTTGCCAGCAACTCTTAACTTACAGCAAGTTATCTAGCATCCTACTTTCATGAGATCAGCATACCCCGTCCATCTTTGACAACTCTCTTCAGACAAATCACTTCTGAGACCCCCCAAAAGCTCCCCTTTCATTGTTATTCTACCTTTAAGCAACAATTCAACGTATACTCCGTAGAAAAGCAGAGAAGTATAGCCGGCCCGGTCAACCCCACGCCGATACCGGGACACGTGACGATGACTCAACCCCATATCGGTCCACAATTGAGGGACAGCGGGATGCTTTCTTCCTGTCCCTCCATATATCCTATCAGAAATCAATTGTTTCAAAATGGTCAAGCAAATCGCCGGTTCTAAGGCCCTCCTTTTGGGTTCGGGCTTCGGTGAGTTCCCATTCCCCCATCTCCATTCTCAACATCCGTCTGCGTCATGGATGCCCCGCATTCTAAGCTTCATGAATACTAATGCTGGATATTAGTTACCAAGCCCACTGTTGAGGTTCTCAGCAAGGCTGACGTCGAGGTCACCGTCGGTATGTATCAATGGCTCAATGTGATGTGCAATTGCCGTCCAGTCCGCTGACGAACTATAAAAGCCTGCCGTACCCTCGAGAGCGCCCAGGCTCTCTCCGGCGGCTTCAAGAACACCAAGGCTATCTCCCTTGATGTCAACGATGCCGCTGCTCTTGACAAGGCCCTCGAGCAGGCCGATGTTGTCATCTCCCTCATCCCTTACACCTTCCACGCCACCGTTATCGAGTCCGCCATCCGCACCAAGGTACGTTCGATCGAGGCCCAATTCATACAACAAACGCTTACATATCTTAGACCAACGTTGTCACCACATCCTATGTCTCCCCCGCCATGCAGGCTCTTGAGGAGCGCTGCAAGGAAGCTGGCATTGTCGTGATGAACGAGATCGGTCTCGACCCTGGTCTTGACCACCTCTGTAAGCATACTCAGTTCTCTCTCTTCAATTGACCGTTGCTGATCGAATACAGACGCCGTCAAGGCCATTGACGAGGTCCACGCTGCTGGTGGCAAGATCATTGAGTTCATCTCTTTCTGTGGTGGCCGTAAGTTATCATTCTTGCCTTTTACTTAGTATTTGCTAACCATGATTATAGTGCGTAAGTTGCATGACCTGCTGTCATATAACTATGGAACACTAATGTATCGATATAGCCGCCCCCGAATGCTCCAACAACCCTCTCGGATACAAGGTATGGACTACCAATGCTCCTACTCAATTTCGGATCAATAACTAATCAATCGTTTAGTTCTCCTGGTCTAGGTTCGCACAACCCTACCCCCATGACCCTGTCCACAGGATTGACTAACAGACGCACAGCCGTGGTGTCCTCCTTGCTCTCCGTAACGCCGCCAAGATCTACCGTGGTGGTGAGATCGTCAGCATTGACGGCCCCGAGCTGATGGCCGCCGCCAAGCCCTTCTTCATCTACCCCGGTTTCGCCTTCGTTGGATACCCCAACCGTGACTCCACCCCCTTCCGCGAGCGCTACAACATCCCCGAGGCCCAGACCGTTGTCCGTGGTACCCTCCGCTACCAGGGATTCCCCGAGATGATCAAGGTTCTCGTCGACATTGGCTTCCTCAGCGATGCTCCCAGCAGCGTCTTCGACAAGGCCACTTCCTGGAAGGAGGCCACCAAGCAGGTTCTTGGTGCCGCCTCTTCTTCCGAGAAGGACCTGCAGGCCGCCATTGCCTCCAAGACTAAGTTCCCCAGCAACGAGGAGCGTGACCGTCTCCTCTCCGGTCTCCGCTGGATCGGTCTCTTCTCCGACGAGCAGACCATCCCCCGCGGAAACGCCCTCGATACCCTCTGCGCTACCCTTGAGCAGAAGATGCAGTACGGCCCTGACGAGCGTGATCTCGTCATGCTCCAGCACAAGTTCGAGATTGAGAACAAGGATGGCTCCAAGGAGACCCGCACTTCTACTCTTTGCGAGTATGGTAACCCTGCCGGTTACTCTGCCATGGCTAAGGTTTGTTTAATGTCACTTCGGTATATGTCCACGCTAACGAGTTGTAGTTGGTCGGTGTTCCCTGCGGTGTTGCTGTTAAGCAGGTTCTGGATGGCACTATCACCAAGACTGTATGTGCCTGTATTTCCTACTTTTGCTCTATTGATTCATTTCACTAACTTCACTAGGGTGTCCTCGCTCCCATGACCATGGATATCTGTGCTCCTCTCATCAAGACCCTGAAGGAGGACTACGGTATTGAGCTCATTGAGCGCACTCTGTAAGGTCGGATCTTCAAAAATATAGATATCTGGCTGGGAAATAAAAATAAGATGTTTAGGAATGACATAGATGATGAATGAATGCATTACTATCCTTTTAAATGAATCCGATTGTACATTTATTGTCCCTGTATCTCTTTACTCCTTATATAGTATAGTGTTCAAAATTTATCTTGGAAGCCTCCACCCTGGGTACTTAAGTATATTCTATTCTATCAATTGTATGGAGTGCAAGGAGAAATCGAATAAAATGTATCTTCATTATCATAGGCATAACACCATCCTCTATCGTAGCATCATTGTGCCCGGACGCAAGCCACGCAAGGTCAAGGTGGAAAAAAAGAGACACGAAAATGAAAAGGCATGGAAGCTTGCGCGCAATATCTGCAGTTCTTTGAAAAAAAAAAAGTTGTAAAAGTTCGTTGCTTTTGCTTTCATGCCAGTAGACGATCAGAGAATAGTGCCAAAGCTAAACCAACGAGAGAAATAAGAATTAGCAAATGATTCCATGAAAATGCCGACTTGGACCTGTATGTGGAAGAAGCCGGCATTGGCGAAAGGACAAACAAAAGGGGGGAGAAAGTAATGGAACATACCCAAAGGTCTGCTTGATGCTGCGGACGTAGTACATTTCCCAATTCTGCTTGGTGACATCCTCCTGGCCGACGGGGACGCCGGACCAAGTCACGCGCATCTGGGTGACGCCGTCAATATCGTTCTGGTCGAAGTTGATCTCCAGGGAACTGAAGTGGCCCTCTGGCCATTGGGCGAGACGCCAGGTCTGGACGATCTGCTTTGGCTCGTTGAGGGTGACGAATTGGCCAGTGACGTTTCCATCGAAAATGGCGAACTTGGCGCCGACGTTGGCACCCTCCCAGTCGCGGGGTGGGCCACGGGTGAAGGCGGCGATGCGCTGGGGGTCGGTGAAGGTGCTGTAGAGCTCTGAGGCTGTGGTGCGGAACTCATCGGAGGCAGTCACGGTGGTGGTGTTCACGGCGACTTTGCCGGCCTTTGAGGTGGAGGTTTTGGTGGCGGATGGTTGTTCGGCCTTGGTTTGGGGGTGGACGGTGGCCTTGGTGAAGCCGCTGGAGGGGTTGACGCCAGGGGCATGCTGGAGGTCCTTGCCGTGCTCGGCGATGAGGGCACCGGTCAAGCCGGCAAGGGCTGTACGAAGCTGGGCGACGAGCTTGGTGCGCACCAGATCCTTTACGGACTGCTTGGAGTTGGAGTCGGCGTGGTTCTCGATCTCGAACTGATATTTTTTACGGGTTAGTTTGTTACAAAAAGGTCACCTTTGGCAAAAGGGGGGAAACGTACGACGAACTCATCCTCCTCAGTATCGTGGGCTACCTCGGGAATCTTGATGGTGCCGCTGACATCCTCATCGTCCTTGGTCTTACCTATGGAAGCGTTTCAGCTGCCAGTTCAAATGCAACAAAAACACATATAAAAACTGAAATTGATATTGGACTACAAACCTGAGTATTCTAGCGACACCTTCACATCGAACAGAGTGATGACCTTGCCCTTGCGCTGGCTGACATCTACGTCGCCATCCATAGACAACAACTTGCTTACTTGGGCAGACACGCCCCCTTCTTCAACACTGAGGCCGATCAGGTTCTTCTGCAAGTAATCCTTGGCCCAGCCAGAGGCATCCTTGTTGACCCAGTGCCAGTTGTTGGGGTTGTGAAGGACCATGATGACTATCGACAAAAAGGAAATTGATTCTGGAGGGATCTCCTGTTAATGCTGCGAGTACGAAAGTTCTGTTCTGTGGGTTCCAAGTTAGCAAACGATTCTGGACTTCCGACAGAAACATTGTAAGATGGAAAGGCCAATTGTCAGGTCCTGGGGCGTAATCCCGGACTAGTAAAGCTTGGTCCGCATGAGATGTGAGAGCATCTCTCAGACTGGTGCCAGCTAGGAGTCTCATCATAAGAGGCCGCAGAAATTTCGCAAAGTGCAGAAATTTCATGCAAGTGGTGATTGGAGAGGAATTGAGGTAGTGAACACTTACAGTTCAAGGAATCAAGTCCTGGACATCAAAAGGACTGAATTGGAAGAAGAGATGAAGAGGAGAGAGGGGAGACGAGCTATTTGAAGCGTCGCGGGACGGAAGACTCTAGAAGGTGCACGTGACTGTGGATACCCTCTACGTCAGGTTTCTCTGGCATCTTTTACTTCAGTAGTATAGAAGTAGTATACAAGTATATTAAGTCTGTTGATTTGCAGTTTATTCGAGAATTGGATTCATTTGCACTCGAATAGGGCAAGGTATCGATTGAAAAAAAAACCAGGTGTGACAGGCACTGCCTAGTCATACCCGATCTATATAAACGAATGGGGGGGATATCATGGTGCAAAATACACAAAATATGAAGAAAAGAAAAGAAAATACCAAGCATTTTTTGTTGACACCTACTCCTCCAATTGCTCCAAATCTTCCCATCCATCCTCTCTGACAAGTTGCTCCTTCACCCGCTCTCGCAGTTCCTCAATCTGGCTCCCCAATGCCTCAGTCCATTGCCCTTCAACAGTAGCAACCTTCTCTTTGAGATCAGTAGTAAGAGCCAGCTCTTCATCAGCACGAGTCTCCATCATCTCACGACGGACGTTCTCCTCCGTCTCTCCGCACTTAATGCGCTCAGCTTCCACGAGAACCCGATTCGCCCGCATGACAGCAGATCGTACTTCATGCAGCAGACAAAGAAGATTCGTCTGCGACTCGATGAACTGGTAGCTGGATTTCTCTGCGTGAGAAAGCAGCGTATAGAGATACTGCAGGGGGTGGGCGTGATAGCTGGGATTTTCGTCATATTCGTCCGACGGGATCTGAACCTGGAAGCCCTGGAGGTTTTCAGGGACTTGTTGCACGAGTGCAAGGAGAGACGGCGCAATATCCCAGAAAGCTGATAGTTGGACCTCGACACCCCGGACGACATTCTGCTCAATGACATACAGGAACGACTCGAGTCGAGTCAGGGCTTCATTTTCGAACTGCACGCGGCGGTCCAAGGCGTCCTGCGAGAAGAAAGCCTGTGTTTCACGAAGCTTATCTTCGTTCTTGGTTTGTTTGTAAGGCAGCAGCGCCACGGCTTTGTATTTGTCGTCGCGGTCACTGACAAGATCGAAGGATTCGCGGTGGAGTTGCTCACGGGCTTCGAAGAGCCATTTAAGCTGTGTGAGTTTCTCCAATAACTCTGGTTTCTCATCGCCTTCTTCTTGAGTTTCGTCAGGGGTGCCGCGTTGTGCGTCATCGGAGAGAATGCTGCTCAGCTCGTCGATGCAGCTGGTTGCCCTGCTGATTCTGTCGACCAGAATGGCGTTCATGGGCTTGAGCACGATCTCTTGATACGTGTCGAGCTGGCGCTTGATCATTTGTCTCTCCAATTCGTTCTCTTCAACGATCATCGCCGCCTCTGCTTCGGCAGCTTCTGCAAAGGTGAGACTTCCTTCCTGTATCTGGCTTTGGATATTGGCTTTGAAATGCCGACGACCCTCGTCAATCTGCTGCTGGTGCTCTTGTAACATCCGTTCCATATCGGATTTGTACCGATGTCTGGTGGTTTTGACCTCGGTGAGGTCCGTAATTGACCGGACGGTAGTCCGGTGAGTAACCAGGTCAGGATGGCTGTTATTCACAGCCGGGTGGTGGCGAGGATAAGGCGGGGGCATGGTGATCAAACGAGAGATATCCAAGCTACGACTCCCTGGGTATCGATACCCAGTGCCAGTAGAGTTTGCAGGAGAGTCTTCGTGCCAACCTACTTTCTCTGGGGGATATTCATGAGGGCCATAGTTCATACTCACATCTTGCTGAGGCGTCAACTCCTGATCCCACTGCAGTGGAGGCAATCCCATATACTTTGATTCCCGCTTTGATCTCTGGACTCGTCTCCCAGCTCCATCGCTACTTGAACCAGTTTTGGATTCCCACCAGCGACTCGGGGCACGGCCACGAGAGCTCATTTCGTCATTGCTCATGTTGAGGCTGGCAATTGGCGAGAGACAGGGTTGGTAGTTATTCCACCATGCAGTTTCGGGCCGGTTTGCTCGATTTTGCGGTATGTCCAGCTTTGGCAGGCCTGGGCCTGTCTTGGTGACAGGTAGCTCGAAGAGGTTGCGACGGACGTCCTCCACCTGGAAGGAATCCCATGCTTTGGAGTACCGTTGGCGTCGAATTTGAGCCTCGGCAAGAATGTAGTCCGCGAACGTCTTGAGTGCCTCGGTCTCATCCGCTGCAGAAGCTTCTTTCTCAACGAAAGCTTTGTGTCTTTGAACAGCATCCTGCAGGAAAGTGGAGTCTTGTCTCATCACGGATTCCATAGAAGCCTGTGGTGACTGACTCGGTGTTCGTCGGGGCGACAATGGCTTCATCATCGACACAGTGTCATTGGGCATATGGAGAATGTGAGAGATTGGGCGACTCTCTGCTCCCCGAGAGGGAGCGCGGGATCGCGGCCGGGCATCCTTTGCCGAATTAAGAGGTGGGGTAGGCAGCGCCTTGGGTGGAACTGCTTGACTGGCCTCCTTGGGATATCCCGCAGAGCCCACTCCACCCGGTGAGAAGGGAGGTGTATGTGCGAACGCAGCAGAGGGGCCGGCAGAGCTTGGTTGTTGCTTCGGAGTTCCGTAGGGTGATTGTTCTGAAAAGAGGCCACCAGAGGATGCGCGTGATCGCGAGGGAGCAGGCTGTCCCTCTGATGCAACACTCCGGGTGCTGCGAGGAGTGGGAGTGTACTTGGCTGAAGATGGATGTCGGATTTGATCTGGACTGCTGCTTTGCTCTGGCAGGATGAGGTTTGAGGGCTTGATCTGTTCCAGAGCGTCTGCCCAGGGATTCCCATTTTGAGATATCGCACTGGGAGGTTCGAAGACCTGGCTTTGTCGGTTGCGTCGTTCGATGCGCCTTTCGCGGATACCCTTGGCACTGGGATCGCGGACTGCCGAACTACGGAAAAGACCGCCGCTGCCGGGAGTTTTCTGGTGAGAGGGGTCGTGGGGATCTGTACTTTCTGTGTGTTTGGCTGCCTTGGCTGTGTCAACATATAGTTCTTCCGTAGGCCGGTTGTTCAGATATGCCTCATCTATCCAATCCGCAGGTGTAGGCGGAATGCTCCCCAATCCTGTTCCAAGGACTGGGGGCGCTCTTCTCGAGGTCCGGCCTGAGTCGTGCGTACTGGATCCTTGAGGAGTCCTCATTGATGACTCCGACGAGCCGCTCACGCTAACAGATCTCGTCGTGGGAGGAGGCCCTGGAGGCGGCGGTGGAAGTGGCATCCCGGGTTCCCAGTTACTGTTAGATGGGGATCGATTTCGCGATTGACTTGCAGCTCTTGATGATCCTGCACTGCTTACCACGGCCCCAGCCGATGCCGCTCTTCGCGATGCAGGAGGCCGAGATGGAGTCTCCAGGTGAGCAGGTGTTTGAGGAAACCCAGACTGAATCTGAGCCTGGTGTGGCCTCAGTCGATGGCTGGGCGGAGTGTTATAATTTGCAGTCTGATCACCATAAGGCGTGCCTTGATATTCTACTCGGCTTTGGGATACTGATCTATTTGCAGGTCCCTGAGGTGGAGGTGGTGGAGGTAGTGATTGGTGATGAGACCCCGAGTCAGACGAATAAACCATTGATAGTGGCCTCGGGCGGTTTGAGCGTCTTTGATATTGAGCGGGCATATCATATTCGCTTTCTCTGTGATTGGGCGGAGAAGGTGTCTCCATGAAGTTGGAGCTGCCTTGTCCAGGGAATGTTTGGGTCATCCGATTCGGATTGTTAGGCGGCGAATACGGTGGAGGAGGTGGTGAAAGCGACGCATCTCCCAACTGTCAGTAGCTTAATCCTTGATGCAATGAGTGGACATACCTGGATCATTTCTCTGCGTTCGATGCATAGGAGCTGGGGGAGCATAGCCCTGTGCCTGGGACCTGCCCGGAGGCCCCCAATCCTGGGGATTATAGGGAACATTATAAGCATTTCTCGAAGCCATGGAGGACGAAGAGACCGATCTGCCGTTTGTTGGGGTCGGAACGCAGGGCGATTGACCGTGCGTAAATGGACTTGAAAGTGAGGTCGAGGACAATGGGGTCGGTGTCAGACCCAGGCCTGCCCCGAGACCCTGATACTGCGAACCGCTCAGTGCTGTCGTCAACAAAGGAGGCTGCACAGCATGCTCTCGACGACTCGGCGATGGTTGATTGCTCGGACTTGCGGCTATCGACCAGCCGGGGTAGTGGTTCACCGGCTGCTCGTCTGCATGATTTGACCCCAACCAGCTAGAAAGTGACGATCAGTATCCGCGCGTATAGAAAAAGTTGCGGATAGAAGCACACCTGTTCATACTGGGCTGTGCATCGACTTGGGAGGCCCGGTCCGCATACTGAGAGAATATCCAACAGAATAGATCAGAAAGCTAGACGCCAAACAGGCGAGACGCTAGGAGCTTCAGGGCCAATAACTGCGATCATTTGGCCACCCATTCTAAAATTGGAAACAAAGAAGAATAAATAGAATAAGATTAGGACAAAGGCCGAAGCGGGGAATTCTCATGCAGCTGGTGAGTTCTCATCACACGCGGACTCCAGCACGGCGCTTATCGTTCGTTTTGAGAGGCTGGAGAGGCTGGACAAAAGTGATCTCCGCTGCCAAGTCACACTTCATAGGACACGGGATATGTGTGATGGTCCTACATCCTTGTACAGCCAAAAAATACGAGTAGCTTGCACTTAGATCTACTAATAGGAAGTCTTGTTGAATCTTCAAATCCTTTCATTGCTTTTTCTCAATTTAAACTATCTGCCTCGGCCGAAACCTGTCGAGAACCCTAGAGAACTGATCGATATTAGTATCACAGCTAATAAACGATGGCAAGAAACAGTGTGTGATGAGATTTTTTTTCAGATCATGCCTTGTCACAGGCGATAGTCGTCAATAATAATCCTTACGTTGACCGTCGTGATAAATTGAGTTGAATCATCATATAAAGATGTGGGCAGGGGATAGAAGAAAGGCAGTGACACTTACGGCATAGACTGAGGCAGATCGCCACTGGCGTCAAGTTAGCTGCTTCGGTGGTTTTTTTTTTTTCGCTTCTGTTCAAGATCCATCAGCGTCGAGTACTGAATGGACAGTGACGATGCAAAGAGTCTTGTGATTGATCAGGCATAACACTTCTCGTCTTCGCCAGCAAGCTGACTTGGACATATGCTTGTCTTTGGTGTATAGTTGTTTCATCATGCAAGGGTGGGAAGGGAAAGAGGTGAGATGCACATACACCCATGGTCATGACAAGGACGGTTGTTCATGTTGAAAAGAAACCTGTCTTGAATAATAATTAGCACAAGTCAACAAGGTTGATGAGTGAAATAATGTGTGGGAATGAATGTCAGAAAGGCATGAATGGTATTAAAAAAGATGTTGTCAGCATCGAAAACTCGAATCAGACTCGTCATCTAAAGGGTATCATCATAGAAGGTAGGGTAACAAGAAGCAGAAGACTCAATCGCATACCTTCTACAATTACAATTGGGTCAAAGTCGACACAAACAAAGTGGCTTCTATTCAAAAGGGTTAGTGACTCTGTCACACAACCATCTCACAAATCGATGAATATATGAGTTGTCTCAGTGGGCGAGGTTTTCTAGGCCTGCCACAAAAGGGCGTATCCATCATGACCGGACATTCTTTTGAAGCCGTCGGAGCCCAGTGCCGTTTCATCTTCGGACAACGGAGGTGAAGTGTGTGGGTGTTGTGAGCTTACCATTTGGGTTGGTAGCACGGATGCCTGTAGGTCTTGTAAATCATTAGCATTTGGTCTGGCAAGATTTTCATGCAAATGTTGTGGTAGGGTTGAGATCAGTAATAGCCATTAAGTATCATCAACGACCCGAAGGTCTGAGACGGTAATTTCCAGCGTATTTTCATACACATCGCGTTCATCATGATAAGGTGGAGAGAGAGAGGGAAGGAGGAAGAGTGAACTCACCATCTGTGCTAGTTGTGGTGGACATTTGGCAATGATGAGATGGTTTCTGTCAAGTCTGGAAAGGCGAGTTAGCTCAGTCCAAGTCAAAGTTTGTGTGATAAAATCAAGTTTTGACGTGTGATCAGCCTGACGTGCAATAACAGAAGTTTCATTCCCATTTGGGGTCAAAGACTCTAGTTTGTTTGGTTATAGGTATCATCATAATAGACGGTGCAAGGAATGGGGGTTGGGGAACTGGAAGCGACATGTAACTCACCATCATTGCCAATCCTGCAAGTGAAATGTTAGTGATGAAAAGAATTTATGAAGCCAAAGGCCAATGTCGGATTGAGTCAATCCCCAGGAGTGGAAGCATTAACCATGCTGGAGATGAGCGTAGGATGATGAAGAGAGAAGAGATTGGCGGCAGAAATTTGTACTTTTTCAAGCTCCCGGGCCGGAATCACCTTCTCCCGGGGCTAGTCCGCACCGGGTCTAGCCCCGCCTCAGCCGAATTTCCTTCTGTCATCGGTCACGTGATCCCACTTAGTGGGGAACTGCAGGGTGTTTACGTAGGATGCCTTACCTCTCAGGCCTCTTTTACCTAGCTGTACTCCGTACTCTGCACAGGTGAATTACTTGAGTACTTAGTATATCTGTGACTTAGTAGGTACTTCCGTAGATGTTGGATTTGACTTTTCCCAAATTCTCTAGGAATCTTGGTAACCTTGGAATGTCCATACATGGCACAAACATATCCTCCGTAGTGACACCCAGTACCTTGGAAGATTTCTACGCACTAGAACACAGTTCCAGCGAATCCTCGAGACTAAGAACTTGGATATTGACATGTACACAGAGCGGTCGCCGATCATATTTTTACTATGAATCACAAAACCTAAACAGAGTATGAACGAGGTGAAAAAGCCTGAGTGACAACCAAGACACCACTCAAGCAAAGTAGCTCTTCCATAAGACACCCGACAAATCTTCTAGTTGGTCCGAAGTGAAAGCCTGCAAGAGAAACAGTTAGATATGTAAACAGCGACAGCGTGAAAGCAGGAGAAGGGATACGAACCTTTGCATCGATATGCCAAGTATCTTGTCTGGTCTTCTTGAATTCACTGATAATTGATTTGACACTGGAACCCACAATGCCAGGGTCACTGGCAGCGCGGATACTGAGGGAAGTCAGAGCCTCGGGCATCCAGCGAGGCGGGGGGCTGTTGTAAGGGAAAGCCTGGATCAAAGCACCCAGGCCGAGGACGGCACCGTGGCGAACGATGATGAGACGGTTGTGCTCGGGCGTGGGAGTTCCGGAATTAGACGAAACAGCGGAGGAGATGCCAGAGCGGAAGTTCTTTGGCTTCTTGGGAAGAGGGTTGTCTGCCAAGGCCTTGGTGAAGCGGTCCTGGAAACGGCTGACCATCTTATCACGCAGGAAGACGGGGGAGCATCGGATCATGCCTGAAAGGGTGGCTGAGGCACCGGCACGAACTTCGTGTTGAGGATCTTCCAGCATGGAAGCGATGCACTCGAAGAGCTTGTCACGGTCTCCCTGGTCAAGCAGGAAGAGACGGCGGAAGTAGATGATTTGGATGTTGATCATCACGCGCAGACGCTGGTGCCATGATGGAGATGTTTGTCCGATGCGGATGAGAGATTGAATAAATTCAGAGTTCTTCTCGGCAGGGTAAGGGATGTTGGGAAGATGACGGAAGACGTGATACGCAAGAGACTGAAGCTCTGGGTCTTCCTTCACATCCATCATGTGCAGGAGCTGTGCGGTGAACACATCGGGGAAGAATGGGACAAGTTGGGTACACTCATGCGATGAGAGTGTCGAATCCAACCAAAGCAGGACCGTCTTGCTGCCTGATGTGTATGAAGAGGGGGTCTGTTGACCAGGGACTCTGGCCTTGCGCCATTCTTCAATCTGGCTGAACACCCCACGGATCATCTTGGAGAAGTCATCGCTGGGCGCATAAGGGTAGTCACCAACAGAGGAAGAGGATTTCTGGGCCTCCAGGAGATGCTTAACATCAGGGTATGACTCATGGTATCTAGTGCGGTAGATTGTCGCGAGCGTTTGGCCCATCGCCTCACGAACACCCTTGTAAGGGTGATCCAGATGGGCGAGGAAGTCTTCCACGATGGGCTTGTCAAGCTGGTAATGCCAACCGGAATCAATGATGCACTGATGCAAGAGGTTGATCTTGGAACTTTCCTTGAAGGCGGCGTTGGTCGACATGTCAAGACGGAAGCTAGACAACCAATCAACCAAGGGCCAAGAGCGGCGAGGATCACGGCATTGTAAAATCATGTGAAGGAATGTTGTCCAGTATCCAGAGTTCTCTGGAGTGAGACCATCAGTGAAGATTTTGCGTACAATAGGGAAAGAATATTCCCAGATCTTGGTTCGTTTCTCAACGCCCACATCCGCCACCGAAGAGATCAAAGCCCCGAGGATCTCAGCAGTGGCACGGTGCTGGTGCTTGTCGCTGCCATCCTCAAAGACACCCTTAATCTCTTCCTGGATATCCTCAAACGAAACAGCCGTCAACTCATCCCGAATCATCAGCTCAAATGCATAGAGAAGCATCATAGCACAAGACATGCGGAACTTGTCGGCAGAGGGGTCTCGTGGCTCCTGCTTCAAGTACATGAAGAACTTGGAGAACCATTCACGAGTGAACAACTTGCCCATCTTGGTGCGAACCTTCCACTCGACCTCATCGTACTCAATGTCCCGAGCAACGTTAGACTTGTAAGCCGGCATGGTCTTGCCCCATACGAGCCACCCAGGGAAATCGTGGTCAACGTAATACTCTGCTTCAGGCTTTGCAAAGCTAGACAGATATTCTTCAGTCCATCCCTTCTCATCAGGCTTGGTAGCGACCTTGATTTTCGACGGGAAACGTTGGTGGCCGAGGATGTAGTTCTTGTAATCATGAGTGCAAATGGCTCGCACATCAATCATGGTGAATAGTGCAATGAGAGCCTGGGAGTACATGCCTCGCAAACCAGGATGGTCGTCAATAGAGCCGAGTGTCATCAGTTCGATGAGGTTATCGCTGGCAATATAGTCGAAGCGTAGACCCATGGTGATCACAATGGTCGCAGCGCGACTAGCAATCTTCCAGTGGGATACTCGTGCAAGGTTGACAAGCTCTTCTGCCAGATCGGCCTTCTTTTTCTCAATAGCAACACGCTTGCTGTTCACAACAGCACGCTTCTTTTCAATTTCCTCGATGACATTGGTGGTCGGAGCGATGGCCTCTATAATATCTTTGTCTAAGATAGCCATTCGCTCCATGGCGCGACCGTACTCCATAACCTGGAATACTCCAGTCGAGCAAATCTTTTGTACAGAAGGCTTGTCAACGGCGCTGGCATCGATGAAGGCTCTGACGAGTGTAGGAGCGTACTTCCAATGACGCCCAACAGTTTTAGCAACGCTGCTAAGGAGCAAGGAAAACAATGCGCCCTTGATGCGTGCATGGTCATTTTCCTTGACACCCTTCTGCAAGGCAGTTAGGAGAGGAGGAATCACAAGGAGTCTTCCACCATAGACTACCTTGAGTGCTGACTCCCCTGCATTTTGAGCATTGCGACGAGTCTCTGTGTACAGGGAGACACATGATTCAGCAATATCAAGAAGGAGAATTTCATCGAGCTTGGAACGCGGGCGTGGAGCAGCATTGTGTCGGAGGCGTTGAAGGTGATACACGTTGGCTCTCCGGACAAGCAAAGGTCTGGGATAGTGCTTTCGCAGGCCACTCATCTTGTAAGGATGAATATCTGCTGCCAGCAGTCTTGTCACCCGGTCGAGGACGTGGGCAGACCTCTCAATACCAACGTCAACAAACCAGGATCTGAAGGCAGAGTACAGAGCGCCAAAGCAAGGAACATCATCCTCTTGTTTATCGCTCAGGAAACGGTGCACTTCATGCAAGACCCATCCAGTCCGCTCACGAAGTTCGTGTATGGTGTTGTACAAAGGATCTCCCTCCTTGAGAGCGTAGCCTGTCGGATAAGTAAATGCCTGTCGGATTATTGCGTCGTCTGAGCTGTCCAGAGCGACATCGGCGTCTGCATCGGTGGAATTGGAGACGCCCGTGCCATCCGCCATGTCGACATCGCCGTTCGGCGAGCTTTTTGTGGTGGTGGATGCTGCTTTGGGGTCGAAAAGAATAGAGATTCCAGACAGTACGAGTCGCAAGAGGACAAGGTTACGAGTCACCTCATCGGACCAGTCCTTGCCACTTCCGTCCCGTTTGACACTCGATGTCTCGTGGGTCAATGCTGAAAGCTGCTTCAAGGCCGATTCCGTCTGGCTCTTGAAGACATCGACCGCAAATTCGACCTCCTCGCGCGTTGACACATGCCATTTGATATGAAGATCATTCACATCGGCCTGGTAGCTCCAATGCTCGGGTCCAATGCCGTTTGCAACAACAGATGGTTCGTACAGGGAGAAATCGTTCGTGTATGTTCCAGTCAAGTTGAGCAAAAGGTGGTGGATGAAGTTGGAAATGTGTACAGTAGGAATTCCCCGGCAGTTCTGTTGCATGTAAACGGCAATGTCAAACAACTCTTTACGGTGGTTGATGACAGCGCTTCCGACGTGAACAACGCACATGCTGAGCATGCTGACATTCCAGACCAAGCCACGATCACGGGGAAGGACATCAGTTCCTGTGGTTCGGGTTGATCCAGCACCATTCTCCTCAATCTCGGTGCGGATTGCCGAGGTTAAGACTGGGATGAAACGCTTGAGAGCCATTTCTGGGTTGACCTTGCAGAGCGCGTTGCAAATGAAAGCCATTGCATCCCGTGCTTGATGAATGACGTGGTTGGAAACGAAATCCACAATTTTTGTGAGGGCGATCTCGTAATACTCTGGCGACAAAGACGCGAGTAGTGGCATGAAAGTCGCAGGCAGCGTGTTCACAATGTTCTCTTCAGGCGATCCATTGCGAACCCTAGAGACGTCCGGCAGATTCTCTAGAAGTGTAAAGACACGCCCCAGGAATGAGATTGTGAAATCTCCGAAACCGCATGTGGAAGAGCGCAGGGTCATTTCTTCGGTGTTGTCATCCAGCTCTGTATCATAGTCCATCTGCAAGTCTGCGCCTTGCTCCTCCATCCTTTCCATCTCGCCAGAGATCCATTGCATTGCAAGCATATTGCAGTTGACATCCTCCTGTCCTTGGGTAAGGTCATGCATAGGAATATTGTAACAGGCAGATTGGATGAAAGAGAGTGCGTGAAGTGACTTTTCCAGATCATTAGCATCAATACCAGGAAGTGCAAGACCCATGAGAGTAGTCATATGGCAACGGTATCCCCTAGTGCGTGCAATGATACGAGATAGAACCTGCATAGCCCGGAGAGAGGAAGTGGTTCGATGCACTTCAACCAGACCCTGCAATGCAGGATAGATTCTTTGCAGAGCACCGGGCAGAATGAGATTAGGTTCCAAATAAGCCAGCCCTTGCAGAGTTGAGAGTGAGAAAGTCATTGCACTGCTGCTCTTGGCATAGATGCCCATGAAAATCACATCCCGGATGCATAGCACGAAGCGTCGCTTCAGTGCATCGTTCAATCGTCGCTCGGGGGGAATGTCTAACTCTCCGCTTTGCTCGCGGTTCCAGCGCATAACGAAGAAGTCGGTCATATAATAGACCAGCTGTGACAGAGTCTTAGTCCAGCCACCGGAGTTGGAGGGGTGGAAGAATGTTTCTACGGCCTGGATCAGGCCCTCTAGTTGTGTAAGAACCGAAGTCTCGGCGTCCACACATGCAGGGGAGAATGACATGACTATCCAGCGAGCAATGTGGTGGGCAACGGGATGTTTTCTCCCATCACGATCAAGCATGATGCCAAGACCGGAAGAGATATCCACAAGGGCACTGTAAGGCGAAGTGGATTGACCAACGGGAATCTCCAACAGTCTCAGAATCGCAGTAAAGACCAGAGCAGATTGCTCCCTCGTGAAGATACCATATTCAGAGAATGGTATGTGACCAGCTGGAAGAGAGTCTCGCGCAAGCCGCGACAAATAATCTAAATAGGTGGTGTCAAAAGTCTTGGAGCGGCCAACCAAGGACCACAAATGAAACTGCGTAGGAAGATGGGTCTGGGGCAGGAGATCTGCCCGTGATTCGGGAGGCGGGGATGTCGGAAGCAACAAATTAATGAGTCCTGCGACAACAAATGCGCCCTCTGAGAATGATGTAGTATAGTGCGGTAGGAATTCCTCGAGCATAGCGGGGAGTTCACACGGGTCAACAAACAATTGCGCAAATGCGCAGAGTTTTGTCAAGGTCTTGACATTTCTTTTCAGGTTGGTCGAATGCACGAGGCCGGACTCGGTGGGGAGGACGAAGGCTTTAAGCTCCTTGTATAGTGGCTTCCAATCTAATACCAGATCTGTGATGGGTCTGAGATAATGCTTGCGCCTAAATGGTTGAATTAACAAACGCCTCACTTCTGCGATCTGGCTAACAGTGTCCGTCACTTACTTTGTGAGAAGCATGAACATGCTCGAGAACCGCTCGGCGACCTGGGGGTCAATCCCAGGGGCAAGTGCCAGCTCATAGTAAAGTTTTACTAGGCTTATACGCTCCGCCCGGGTTGGATCGAACTTCAGCGACAGCCAGCCGCGAAGCTCGCGTGTCCAATGCACTGCGCCAGGGTTGAAGTCACCAGCTTCCACTGCAATATAAAGCTGATTCAAGATCTCTCGCAAGTTCTGATTCCGTTCGGTTTCATCTTCGGGTTCGTATGGAAGATATTTGAAGTATGGATAGGTGCGAGGTCGAACACGGGCTATGGGCTCACCCTCGCCATTCACGGCGGGCTCCCCGCCGGGCGAGGTCGCTCGTGAAAGTTCTTGTGCATGATGAAAATTGTCGGATGTGAGAATCGCCTTGGGGCCGGAGGCGTCCATGATGGGAAGTGAGGAGGGGAATGGGGTGCGACGCGAGGCGGAGATGAGGTGAGGAGTCGCCGTTGCTGCCGGGTGAGCTCTGGCAATACGTCAGCAATGCCGATGTTTCACGATTTGCTTCTGTCCGCCAACGAGACCCCACAAATCGATTTTCAAGTTGTCACTTACTGTCAACAGAGACTCTCAAGCTTCCAGTTTGAAAATCCAACGATCTGCTACAGGCGATGTTTCTTGTGTCTGTGGTCGCATGGGGTGGGTTCCCGGGCGAGCGAGGAGCAAACGGCGATACCCAAGTAGGCTCGGGTCCTCTAGAAAAATCTAGCAGATGAAAGAATTGGCCTCAATCCCTTGGAAAGCTTGGATGGTGAAGGTCAAGACGGTCAAAGGGGAGAAAGTCGAGATTGTGATGACATAATTCTACGTAAGAGCCCTGGCAAGCTTGGGCCCTGCATATAGACCCGAGTGGAAAGAAAAGGTATATAGTCCACGAAGTTGTTTGACCTTAAATGCTCTCTTTTTTTTTGTTTCTATCTTTCTCTCTTTATACATGGGGTAGATTGCCCAGGTGATGTGACGGCGCCTGCGCCTTACTAAAACTTAGGCAGACAGCCGCCTTACGCAAGCGATTCGCCCAACCCGGGCAACTGTTGGGGATGTGTGCATATTTGGTCTTTTGTCGGAGCCTAGACCTCGGGGCCCCGTAGATTCGCCAGTGAAAAGTCCAACTACTACTCGTATACATAGTGGGTGAGTCGGGCCAACGTAGGACCGACGGCCCCTGATCAGACTCACGCCGGCGGCAAAAAGGAACCAAAAAGAACCCCTTGGATCAACGCATATGCCACCATGCCGTAAACAGCGAAAATCAAAGTGCGGCTCTTCTTGAGTGTGCTGGTATCATAGTCCACGGCACTCGTAACCAGATACCAATACCACAAGGGGTATCCTGATGAAATTCGATTGATGATTTGGACATGGTAGCTGGTGAATGCCATGACCGCCAGGATGCCCTGGGGAATCGCGAGCCGAGTGAGCATTGATCCCGGGCTGGTAGAAGATGACGAGGGGCTGGTCAAAGCCCACCACGAGGAACGGCACAAGATGACCAACATGGGTGCCGCCAACAGGAAAAGCGGTATGTTGGAAACCGTCCAGTACCGCAGGAAGCCAACATCCCTGAAAATAATTAATATGTGTAAAACCAAAAAAAAAAAAAAACAATCATGAGCAACACCTACCAATAGTGGCTCTGGACCCAGCCGTAAATGCTAGGTACGGTCCACTCACACCATGGGCGGACGTCGGACTCGTTCAGACAGTATATCCGGTATGCGAGAGCCTGGGGGATGGCAATGCTAGATGCAACGATACATCCACCGAGGATGATCACAGCAAGACGAACAGTGTTGTGCACCGTTGGCCCCCGTGTCACGATCTTCCAGGCCAAGACGACCGCATCGTAAGCAAAGAGAAACCCGCTGAGGAGCCCATTGCTGCGAACCAAAGTGGCAACCGCGAAAAGAACCGCAGATGTCAGGACCCGCATGTCTCGAAGACGCGTTGAGCCATTTCGTTCGGCAATTAGCGATGACGAGTAGAGATAGAAGCCAGTCATGTTGAGGAAAGAGACGACCGGCTCTCCATAAGGCGCGGACAAAAAGGCGCCCGCCGGCGAGATGATGTGCAGCGCTGCCGACAGGAAGCAGATGAGGTGTTGAGTAGCAGTGGCATGACCAAAGATATTGGCTGATAGACGATAGAGAGCCAATACGGACAAGTAATGTGTGACATGGGAGAGCGCTACTCCCACCATTGCCGTACTAGCTGGTCCTACCACACCGCCAGATAGCCGAATGCCTGGCCCCCTTTGTTAGTTTCTTTTCGGCCAGAGTTCGAGGTGTCACGAGAGAGGATTTTCTTATATACCAGAGACGAAGAGACTCAACAGCTTTGGGTAACCAAAGGCCCATTGTTGCTCAAAGGTGTATCCCTTTTCAGCGATATCCACAAAATAGATGCTGTCCCATCGGGCGAATTGTAGAGGCCCCGAGGGAGACTCCTGAATACCCGTGTCCACATACGACAGCAATGAGGTGGAGGTGTCATAGCCTGGCCCTGGGCAGAGGGTCACCACCCAATATAATAACACCTTCCAGAGCCAGAATGCAACAGTCAAGCTTCGAATGGGATTGTCCAATCGCAAGAGCTTGGCAAAGAGAGGTGGTGGCCTCTGTGTCGGCTCTGCCATTTTGATACCGGAATAGGGCGAGAAAGGACTCCGTATACCGACGTCGGGGGGGTCTAGATCCGACAGGAGAAAAACAGGAAGGTCATAATTGTGTGCATAATTAGTCAGCGGAAGCATCGGCCAAGTGGACCATCCCGGATCTCCCGGACATTTGCGATTTGAAGATCATTCCGTTGATCTTTGAACAGGGGAGGTGTTTGGGTGATCACTGACAGGGCTGTGATGATCGAAGTCTACTACAAGTATGACAAGGTACGGGGTACCTCATACGGAGTACCTCAGAATGCCGATTCAGTTTCCCTGATTCATGTCTCGTACAGAGCAAGCTCTGGGCATTTTCGCCACACAGTCTGGAAAAGCTCGGCCAAATCGACCCAGGTTCCACTGGACGAAGGTTTACTGTGTGCACAATGACGGGGTATGAAACTATCCGACCCTACTACTTCAAAGTAATCATCATCACTTGACGGTCAACCCATTTGTCCATACTCCATAAGCACCTGGGCAATAGACCCGTACTCGTACATGATTACTCACTGGCCCCGAGTGATATACGAGATACGAACCAGTCTTGGCTGAAGACATGGCTTGCCAAGGAGACTAGCAGATGTGAGGTCAAGACTAGGACCAAGTAGACATAGTATATAGACCTATAGTAGTTAAGTGACCCAAATGACGTTCATTATGATCGCCACGGAATTCGGACCTACCGGAGGCCGCCTAGGCCGGAGCCGCTGCCATTAACTTGGTCCGAGGTCAACTGTGCGTGAAAAGGTGAAAAAAGGTTCCACTGAAAAATATGAGGTTTTTTTTCTTTTCCTTTTTTTCTTTAATATGGGGGAGTCTATAAGGCTGACCGCCCCATTTCGGCTTTGACCCTTTGTTGCTTTGCTTCGTTATCCCTTGCATTTTTCAGCCTTCCGTTTTCCATACTCTCTATACACTTTGATCAAACTTGACCAGCTACTTAAAGCTGTCATACTCTGGAGACATCATTAAGGAGTAGTCCCCACACAGCTCCCGGGCTGATTCTTTCCCCCCGCGCAGCTGACGCGTTTGAATACGGGCGGTACCGCCTAGATTGTGTCCAGCTGAGATTCCGGTCTTGGTGTCCCAGCACCGATGTGGCTCCGCTAGGGCTCAAGAATGCTATTGAATCTTGGTCTCACAGCGGATGCCGCAGCTGCCCATGCCCATGAACCAAATGAACCTGAGACACAAACTTCCCCTGCCTGTTCACCAACCTTCTCATTGTCCGCCCTACCGCTGTGGAACTCTTTTTATCCTCGCCCAAAAACCCCCGATGGGTTTGCTGCGTGTCCTGGGGTAGTTTCCGCCATGGAAATGAGGCCAACTGATGTCGCGTCGGGCTCGGGTCCGATGAGGCCAGCTTCTGCTGTTGCCAGACCACAGGCCGTGCGTTCCACCACTGACCGGAAGTCGCGACCCAAAACAGCTTATCAATTTGCGCACCCGGCTGCGCACGCGCGGCATAAGCGGTTGAGATTTCGCCCCAAGCTTCTCTTGCAGCTGCAACAGGTGTCGCAGACCCCCCGACCACTCCCGGTGGTTGATGTCCTGCCTTCCACCTCATATCTGCCCCTCCTGGCGCGCAAGTTCCCGGCGATCTATCGCACCCGAAACGGATTGGGTCCGAACGACGTGGTTGTGGTAATAAGCGAACAGTATGAGCAATCAGTGGCGAGCATCCCCGAAAAACGGGTCAGCTCGGAGGACGAGGATGAAGACCATCGGGAGGTGGTGGCCACAATTTGCCAAAAGCTCCAGGAGGACGCGCGATTGAAAGGGAAGGCGGAAATCTGTCTCAATTTTGGACCCGTCTGGGAAGCAACACCTCTACCGAGCGGGTCTTACGAATTCGTGGCGCAGACAGACAATGGCGTGCAGGTGGTGAGGTGGGCGCTGCGCAGTGGGAGGAGCCGTCGAATGACTGCCCCTTCGGGTGGCCCTACGGCCCAACGCGAGGGCGGCAAACGCTTTACCTTTAGTGTGATCGACCCCAGCACTCGCCGACACCCAGTTATCGCATCTTTGACTAGAAACCAGCTCGAGGTACATGACGAATATTCCATGCCGACCCGGTCTGGTACCGGTCCCACCACGCCGTCCTCGGGTATGTCCGTGGCCAGTGACGCCTCTGATGGCGAGGCCCCACTTAATTCCCAAACGGTCACTCTCGACGATGGGCTTCGAACTCTGATTATCATCACCGGCATTTGGGTCGCTTTTCGGGAAGGATGGTCCGATAATCTTCGCTATGGCGATCCGGTCTCTGCTACAGGCGCGAAGTCGCTCATGTCTCCTACTGCCCACAAACATACTTCGCCTACAACAGCCAAGATGGAACTCGACTCTTTCCCCGAAAACGAGCCGGTAAGCCCTGTGAAGGAGGTCACGAATGGAGCCAAACGGTGCATGTCGATGTCCAAGATTCGCCGTTCCAACACCCCTACACTGCCCGAAGGAGATGCATTCGGTAGCCTGTCTAAACGCTCAAATTCCACCGGCGCCGCATTTATGGATCGTGCGAAACGGCGATCCGCCTCTGGACTCAGCACCCGGGTAAACAGACACAGCATGTTCACAAGCTCCGGTGAAGTTGGCCGCGAAATTGTTGTCTCACGCCCCACCTCACGTCCTCCATCCATACGTCAAAGCTCCGTCGAGTCAGGCGAGCTACCACAATCCCTTCGATCAAAAGAAAGATCACCCACCAAAACAAAAGCAAATCATGAGATTCCGACAGTCGCACCCAGACCAGACAAAGACATCCCCTCAACCTCTCGCACAACGCAAAAATGTACCCCCAAAGAAAAAGCACTCCCTCACCACCCCGAAGGCACAGATGCAGCCCCAGCCAAGAGCAAGCGCCGGAATCGCCTCAGCTCCTTCTTCGGGCTGTTTCATCGAAAACACGATACCCACTGACTCATTGACACTTTACTTTTCTCTGTATACCCCCACCGTTAAGCCCGTGACCAAGTTCACGCATGCCCTCACAACATCAACTTAGGTTCGTTTGCATCTAGCATAAGTTGGGCGTTTCTACGTTGGGCAGTGCGGTCCGTCTGGTACGGATCCTGTCCTTGTTGTTTTTCCCTTTCATCTGAAAATCACCTCTCCTTCCATCTTGCATCCCTCAACATTGCATCTGCATACTCTCTATCTCTCTATTTACCCTCTATGTATTCGGTTTCATCTCTGCATGGGCTCGGTGTGCATATCTGCATCTGGTGACCGCTGTTACCATGTTACATACATGTGTGTTTATCACGCTATACGTGAGCCCGCACGAAATCAATTCTGGAATACAATCATACTCAACCAAGTTTTTGATGATGGTACTTCAGGTAATCATTGTCCGGGAGACACGCTCCATTCTAAAGTTCAATTGATGCTGCAACGGCCAAACTTAGTAACTCTAGAAGTTTGAAAGTCGAGCAATGGATCATGCTTTTGAGTACTTAAGTAGATGTGAAATATACTTAAGTATTCTTGAGCACTAACACATGCTCCCGTACTTACATCTACTTACTATAGATGGACTTCAGGACCGATCCCGTTGACCAAATATTCCAGCCTTTACCGCTCAAGCGCAGTAACAGCCTTGGGAACATAAGGCTCCTCCAGATACTTAATTTCCTCCTCCGTCAACTGCACCTTAGTAGCAGCAACCGCCTCATCAATCCGCTCAACACTATGAAGCCCCACAATTGGGTTAACACCCGTATGGGTCAGAGACCAAGCAATAGAGACCTGCGCCATACTAACACCCTTCTTCTTCGCAATCTCCTCAACCCGATCAATAATAGCCTTGTCAGCATCCGACTCGCGACTACGCACAAACATCTTCAGTGCACCATCACTATTCTCACGGACTGTTCCGCGAGAACCCCACGGACGAGCCAGCGCACCACGCGCAATTGGCGACCAGGGAATAACGCCAACGCCAGAGTCCTGACAGTAGGGAATCATTTCGCGTTCCTCTTCGCGGAAAATCAGGTTGTGGAAGTTCTGCATTGCGATGAATTTGTGCCAGCCATTGCGCTGGGCGATGTTTTGGAGGGTTTGGAATTCCCAGGCTGCCATCTGTGTGGGTGTGTTAGTATAATTTGGAAACGGGCTTTCGAAGAAGACTGACCGAGCTGGCACCGAGGTATCGGACTTGACCGCTCTCCACGACATCGTTGAGCGCCTTCATGATTTCCTCTCTTGGGGTCTCGCGGTCCAAGCGGTGAATCTGCAAAACATCGATGTATGTGCCGAGACGCTTGACGCTGGCATCGACCGCATCAAAGATATGCTTGCGGGACAGTCCGGTACGGTTCACGAAGGGACCATCGTTAGTAGCGGAGGCTGAGATGGGAGGGAATTTGCCCTCGTCGTCGACGCCGAAGAAACACTTGGTCATGATGACCACGCGGTCGCGCGGGATGTTATATTTCTTCAAGGCTTTTCCGACGACTTCTTCGGATTTGCCGTGGGAGTAGACATCGGCCTGGTCATGGCATTAGTATATATCAATGAGTGAGAGCTTGTCGACTTACTGTGTCCCAGGTGTTGATACCCTGCTTGTAGGCGTGCTCGATCAGAGGAAGTGAGTCCTCCTCATCCAGCACCCAGTCTTGCCATTGCTTGCTGCCATAGCCCATGGTCCCCAAGATGATCTTGGAGATCTTGAGACCGGAGTTTCCAAGGCTGGTTTCGTTTGCATGTTAGCATATTCCCTGAGAGGTGGTAGTTCGGGTCCATACCGAACATATTCCATTGAATTGGTCATTTTAAATGTAGATACAACGATTTGGAGGAGTTTCTGCGACTCTACTGTCAGTATTGGGCACTTGGTCATGTAAATGGAGTATGACGTCAACGTGTATGAGAATGAGAGAGCGGACCTTGGTGAATTGGGAGATACTGAATACTATCAGAATATTCAGAAAGGTCAGTTGGAATGGGATTGAAGTGAGTCAAGTAATTAATAATCCGCTTTCCGGTGAATCTGCCGAGAATAACAAGCGCAGCGCCTATAGCCGAGAAGTACCCGGGAAGCTTAGAAGCTCTACGGTTCCCCGCTAATCGGTCCGGGATTTCGGGTGCTTAAATAGTGACTCTACTGGGTATCTTCGAGTCATACAATCTCGGGGAGTATGGAAATTAAACCCTTGCAAGTACGAGTTTATCCTTGTTGCTCAAATTTAAACAAGACCTCCAATGGCAATATACCCGAGTACTTTAGTGTTGGCACAATTAGCTCTCCACAAGATAGGTAAGATTTCATGGAGACTGTTCGTCTGTCAATGAGTTTTTATGTTTTCACCGAGAGCAAGCGGAGAGAAGAAAAACTGCGGGTCAAGAGAATAGCTTGAGTGTTACTGATCGCCCAGTCACGAATAAGAACAGGCTACGACTACAATTTATGCAGTGCCCCTCCAGTACGCGGAGTGTGAGCAATGGCGTTTGATCGACGAAACATGAACCATCGTGCCACTAGTACAGTTTTGATCACAAATGGGAAGAATGATCTCGACCCAGTACTAAGTAGACTCTGGCCATAGCATCCAGATGTCTATTGAGAATAAGAGCCCAGTCTTTAGATAAAATATTCCACTCTATGCCCATTAAGGTAGTCCTACTAGCCCCTTCAAGTCAAGATCCAGACGGTATCTACCTTTAGCATGAAACCGATGATCTCGTAGGCAGACACATTGGAAGACCCGAGTTTAAGGCCAGTGAGATTTCCAGGGTCCCACGGAGAGATTTGGAAATGTTCAATGTTGTCATTTCATAGACAAATTCCTTGGTGAGCCGGGGTCCTTCCAATTCGGGACATCCTTCTCGTCACGTGCAGATCTAATTACGGTGCTTATGTCATAGCCACATCCCGAAAAGGAAAAAAGGAGAACGAGTACGATCGTCCTCCCCCAAATCTCCGCCATGATGGAAAGCACACAGGCTGCGGTTCGATCGCGCAAATCTCATCATAAATCTCGCTCAGGCTGTGGCAACTGCAAGAAGCGAAGGATAAAAGTAAGCGATCCCCCCCTAGACTGTCATCTACTCTTCTACATCTACCCGGGCACGTCATGGACCAAAGATCGAAATCATGTCGTCTCAAAGCGATCAAAGTCCTTCGTTCTCTATTTTGCCGTGGAAATCGCCAGATCGAGGGGATGGAGAGTCAAAGCATCCATGAATCTCCAACTAATAGCCCACAGTGTGATGAGAAGAAACCGGCCTGTGCTAAATGCGTCAACCATTCCATCGAATGTGACTTCCTGTCAGCAGACGCCAACTCTCTTTCGCCTTCATCGACACCTCAACCCGCGTCATCAAAGACACGGTTCAGATTCAAACCATCCAAATATCAATACAGCAGAACCTCATCCCCAGCGGCAAGTCAGACATCTCTAGATGTACCTAGGGCTGTCTCAAGTGCACCGGAATCACAAACCCAGCATGAAACCCTATCATTCGAAGACCTCCAGCTCTTCCACCACTTTGTCACAGAGACATATCGTACCATAGCCGATGATACAACCAACAGCAACCGAATATGGCAAACCCACGTCCCCAAATGGGGATTCACCACGCCATCAATCTTCCACCTCATTCTCGCCATGGCAGCATTACATCAAGGCCATCTTAATCCAGATCTACGTAATCAGTACGTTTTGCAAGCAGATGCGCACTTTACGTTCGGCATTCGCTCTGTATCTACGATTCTGGCATGCTTGAATGCCGAGAACTGTCAGTTGATCTACATGTCTGCTGTGTTGATCTGCTTTGTTTATTTTGCCCATGGTCCACGGCCAGGTGAATACCTGGTCTTCAGCCAGACAGGCAAGGCAGAGTGGCTTGTTCTCATGAGAGGTGTGCGGTCTATCCTGATGTCTCACCACGAGAGGATCTTCAGTGGTGTTTTGGCTATCCAACCCGATCCGTCCATTGAAGAGATTAGTCAGTCTCTGGGCGATGAGCTTCGGGAACATGCGGCTCGCATGAAGGATGTTCGAGTCTTCATTGAGGGTCGGGTTGGTGCAGAGTGTGGGATATATGTGGCCGCCATTGATAATTTGCTTGAGATGTTCGAGGCATCCTATCGGACGTGTAGTGCGGGAAAGGGTGGTGTTGAGGTGATGTCCCATGCAATTGGATGGATATACCGGCGACCGGAGGAGTTTATCTGTTTGCTTGAGGATAGGGATCCATTTGCCTTGATTATTCTTGCTTATTGGTGTGTACTTCTGAAGTTGATGGGATCCTCGTGGATGATGATCGGGTGGGATCGACATGTCATCGGAGGAATCCAGTCATGTTTGAGCAGCGAGTATCACCAGTGGATTGAGTGGCCTGTTAGAGTGATCTGCGAGTAAAGTAACCAGACGAAAAAGAGATTGAAATTATTCGCTAAATCAAAGAAAATGAGAACATATCATCTAACCGTTATTCATCCACTACCCCCAAACATCTTCCTGCCACTTATTCTTTTTCTTGATCGTCTTGCTCCAAGAATTAGCCTCCGTATCACTCCATCCCTTGGCCTCCTTCATGGTTTTGGCAACAACCTTCTCCACTTCACGGGCCATACCAGCCCGACCGCAGAGGTAGAAATTACCACCCTCATCAATCATTCGAATCACATCCTCTCCAAGCTCACCAACCCGATCCTGAACATACCGACGCGGTGTACCCTGCAGTCGTGAAAAGGCAGTAACAATGCGCAAACGACCACCCAATGCCGTCTGCATTTCCTCCAACTCATCACGATAAATATAATCTTCCTGTGGGTTTCGACATCCAAAGAAGAGAATCATAGGACCGACTTCCTTGCCAATCTTCAACACCTGGCAGCGCTCAGAGAGGAATGCGCGGAAAGGCGCAATACCCGTTCCCGCAGCGACCATGATAAGAGGCGTTTTTCCCAGAGCCGGAAGCTTGAACTTGCTTCGGCGGATATGTGCGAAGACTTTCCCGCCTTGAAGAGCATCACTGGGCCCGTTGAGATGGTAAGTGATGCCACTTGGGTGTTGTTGGGAACGTGCTTGCTGAGAGATAGCAAGGAGATAGTTGGAGGTGACACCGTGGATGAGCTCATCGGAGTTGTCAGGGAGGGAGGTTGTTGAGACGATGGCCGTGATGGAGGGTTTGCGGGGTGACACCATGCTGCTTGATGAGATGGAATAGAATCGGGGCCGAATGTGCGATAGAGTCTCGACGAGATAAGAGAGTGGGATGCTATCCCAGGTCTTGTCGGGACATGCCAATTGCAAGAGTCGTCCGAGGTTGATGTGCGTGCGATTGATGAAGTTGGCATAGATATCCTTATCCTGACCAAGTCGGAGAAGATATGCCTTTGCTTCGGGGGTGGGAGCGAATTGGGCGAGATCTCGAATGGTGTCGCGGTTCACGGGGGCACAGATCTCGAGGTAGTAGCGGAAGATGGCAATGGCGCTGCTTGGGGTGGGTATGGTTATCTTTGTTGCTGGATCGAGGGCCCTGATAATAAGTGGAATATCGCGACGTGAAGAAATTCCGAGGACATCGAGCAGACGCTCAACCTCAACATCTGGGTTTCCGGGCCAGATAGCAAGGTGGTCGCCGGTCTTATAGCTTAGCTCGGGCTGGCTGGACAAGTCGACGTCCATGTGAAGGCAGTGACGGTCGGAGGAGTTGAAAAGCTCCCTGGACTCGGAGATGCTCAATGTGCGGACGGCCGAGGACTGAGCTGCGGTCTTGGGAGCTTCATTCTTGTTGTTCGGTTCACCGTGATGCAAGTCGATAGGCTCGAGTGATTCGTCCTCCTCGACCTTCAGACTCGGGACGTACTTGGCTTCAACCTCCTGGAAGCCGAGCTTGTCTTTGAACACAGCGAAAAGCTCTTCCTTCCATGACATGAAATCTTCCTCGGTCGCTCCTTCCGCGTCGTTCGCCTTTCCAACAGGCAGGAGAGCCCCGGCACCAAGTTTGTCGAGGTTCTCGACGACAACGTCAACCACTTTGTTGTAGAACTTGTAGTTGGTGTTTCCCAGACCGAAGGCAGCGTACCGCAAGTTGGACAGTGACACATCGTTCGCCTTGGAGATCCAGCTCCAAAATTCGGCAGTGTTATCACTGGGGTCTCCCTCGCCGTATGTTGAAACCACAAAGATAGCCAATTTGGCGACAGGAATCTCACTGATCGTGACTGGGTCATAATCAGAGAGATCAGCAGTCATTGCTTCCTGACCCCAGCGAATCGAGATCTCTCGGGCAAGCCGATGGGCAAAACCCTCTGCAGTTCCAGACTGGGATCCCCAGAAGACCACGATGTTCTTCCCTGTCTCCTCCATCTTCTGTGCGATGTTGCGAGTCTCTTTGTTGGCCGAGCCAGCTTGCCCGCCATTCTTTAGCTGTGGTCGCTCGAACATGAGGTAGTTCAGCGGATCCGGTCTGTCCCATAGTCGTCCTTTGGAGAGATATGTTGCACCGAGTCCACCGAGGACAGCGAGGGCGGCATAATCGGCAATGCCTGTTGGGGTGGTGTATTTTGAGAGCTCCTCCAGGAGCTCTGGTGGGATATTCAAAGGAGGGAAGGTTGCCATGATGAGATGGATAGGCCTGTGACCTGGGGGTATATTAATTCCTTCAAGGTAGATATTCCGAGGGTCAGTTGTAGAGGGGGCACTGCATTCTTATACAGACCTCGGAGATCAACCGCGCTGTTCCTGTACCAGGCCATGATGAAATAGGTTTCCGAGAGTGGGTTTTTGGTTAGAATTTCCGATCGACCTTCCAAGTGGCAATGCTGATTTCCACTTCACGATGTCTCTGGACACCGGACGCGGGCAATGATGCTGCCAATTCATGATCTGGACGAAGTGGTTGCCACACAAATCGGGCTATATTCGCCGCAGTTGGGCAGGGTCCAGACGTGCAACTACCCCCACACAGCCATGTGGATTGTGAAAATTGCCCCGTCGGAATGTAAACTGCGGGGAATCAGAATGCATATCGCGGGGAAGTCGAGATTCCGGGGACGCTGATTGGCGAAGATCAAGGGTGTGTGTCGAAAGGGGAAATGTCCCCCGATCACGGCAACTGTCCCCGTACAGTCCCCAAGACACGGGCCTCAGGGGGATTGTCTCCCACGACAGCAAAGCTTCGAGATTTTCAATGCCAAGTTATCAGATCTGCTTATTATCGTCAACTTGTGGGGAAGGCTAGATTGGAAAATGGTCGCCATTCCCGCCACTAATAAATAAACTGCAAAAGAATCTTGGAAGTTCGATCTTCATAGAGTGATGATAAGGGTAGATTTCGAATGGTGGTAGTGGTAGTGAGAATGGTGACAAACTGAAAGAAAACAAAGAGACTCGATTTACTACTTAAGTATGGGCAATGTATTGGCAATTGAGTATCTTCATTTTCTGTCCGTCAAAAAATCAGGAAACACCGGACCTGGCCGCTGTACCCCTTGGTAGATATAGCAATGTAGACATGTTAAATATTCATCCATGAATTCATTAAGCTCATATGTAAAAATAATAAACTGATTTGTCTATGCTTCAGCTGTACCCACATCCCGACGCCAAATCTTCACCGGCATGTCCCCCAAAATTAAATTCATAGTTTCCAATCGCTTCAGCTCCCAGCCAGGGTAAGCTAGCAAGAAGTCATAACGGTGTATCATAGAAGCAACAGCCTTAGTCTGCTCCAGGTATGAGATATTGCGACCAATGCAAGACCGAGCACCGGCAGAGAAGGCGATCAAGTACGGCTGCAAAGCCTTCCCTTCCTCCCCCAGCCACCTCTCAGGAATATACTGGTCTGCATTGGGGAACACACTTTCATCACGGTGTGCCACGAGAGCAGACATGCTGACTGTCGTATTACCAGCAACCCACTCTCCCAAAATGTTGGTGCCCTCAGGCGGTGTTGTACGAGGAAGGCCGTGGGACGTGGGAGGGAAGATCCGAAGCGATTCATCTAGACAGGCGCGAAGGTATGGTAGGTGTTTGACTTTATCGTAGTCGGCCACAATCTCGTCATCATCCAGGACTGCGTCAATCTCATCGCGGAGCTTGGCCAGGGTTCGGGGGTTGCGAATCAGCTGGTACATCACGTTGGCGATCGCCACGGCCGTGGTCACGCTGCCGGCGTTCATCATGATGTTGCACTCTGCAACTACCTCACCCCACTCAAGGTTATTTGGATTTCCATTTTTATCTTCCATGAGGGCCTGGAAGAAGTCTTCGAGCTTTTCGCCAGCCTCGTAGCGACGTAGTCGCTCATTACCGCGGCGCCACATGATATTCTCCCAGTTGTCGGCGAATGTTTGCATTCGACCGAAGAATGGGATGATATTGACCAGTTTGTTAAGCGTGGGATACCACTCATAGTTCCAGAGAATAAGGGATTGCTTCCGAGCGGTCGGGTAGAGAGCTTCTCGCAGGTTGGTCTTGTATGTGGATCCATCTTTTCTCTCGGCAATACAGACATCGGATCCCGAATCCAAGAAACCCAGTTTCTCCGAGAGACCGATGTCAGCAATTGCGTCGAGGGTGAAGAAATTCGTCCATGCCCGCATGTCAAGTGTGAGATCTTTCTGGTCGGGAGCAACCTTTCCAGAAGACACGTCTGTAGACGCGGGTAGGGTGCAGACCTGGTCAAAGTGCTTGAACATCCTTTGCACCTTATCTGTGACCTTGTACTCCCACGTCTCGAGATTCTTCAGCGCATACGCAGAAGAGAGAATCTTGCGCTTCCTCGCGTGGTCTGGTTTATCCACGACATCAGCCAGGTTGTAGTGAGTCCCGGAGGTGATCACGTAGGAAGTGTCTTTGGTGCACTTTGTATTGTGACCATAGATATCCTTGATGGCTTTGACATCACCATATGAAAGCTGGTTTGGACCTGTCCGAATGACGGGGTCTTTTTTGTGCAACTCAGTCAACTCCATCGACCGGAATCCACGCGAGGCCATCATCATGAATGGGACTGCTGAGAATCCAGAGAAAGGGTGAAGATTTGGGTATCTTCTGAGGCCTAGATTGAAAGTGAGTATATGTGAGACGTTTGAGGCACGTAGTTGGTACTTACCCTTAGGATCTCGCAAGTATTCCAGGTAAGGAATCACAAAGAAATAAGCAACAGCAAATAGACCAAGCCCAGCCGCATAGGGCATGGTTGAGAGAACTGACAGCATGCTGATTGAATTTGTGAAAGAAGGGAAGTGCGAAAGGGGCGATATAGATTCCGTAGGGCAGTATATCAACGCCTCAAGAGCAACCAGTGCTTCTGCGAAGATATCGGAGTGGTTCGCAATGATTTCTACATGATGGATATCAGCAGAGTATGTCTGCTTTAAATATGATAGCACCATGTATCTTCTATCTTCACATCCCTACGTTGCGAAGAGAAAGAAAAAATCCCCGTGAGAGTGAGCCAAAAACCACACGCCCAATATTGGCAGATTGCGCCTTGCTACCACAGATACCTAATCTTGGAAAGTTTGATATCAGATCTACGAGTAGATGTCCAACCATTCATGCCAAGTGGGTCTTGTCAGATAATTTGGCGGTTAAGATTTCAGACGGGGAAAGCTTCCCTTTATAGATGGGGAAGTACGGGAATTATCCCCGTGGGGCCATAGAAGTCAAGGTACGGGCTGCCCTTATATCTTAAATTCTTTGTTGCTTCAGTGCAGTGGCTCATATCTTATATAGGCGATTGCTCAAATTGATTGCAGCAAAGGAAAAGTAGGTTTATTGATCAATGCTTCATACTAAAATCTTCTGCAGATCTTGTTCGACTCCAGGACCCCATGAAGACTTCGGGATGTGGAAGTTCGTGTGCTTCGCGATGTTTCTCGAATGTCGCAACTTCCAGTAAATCTAGATGGGCAGGGATCGCGTTGATCTGTACGACATTGAAATTCGTTCTTCTTGGTCAATGACCTGGTGCTCTGCTTCTTCCCAAGTAGGGGGGTATAACGGCCCCCCGCTCTCCACAGAGAGCGATGTATCCCCGGTACATGGGGCACCACGGCAAACCCGACGCCTGAACGATCACTGCTGGGCCGGCCTGAGTTCTGTCCGGCTTGACATCTCCATGGGAATAGAAATCATCTGGCCAAAACTCTTTGCGCTCGCACAATGTGACCACCACCTTCTTGTGAAACAGAGAGGTCGTCCCATCTCTTTCCCTCTCCTTCCCCAACAGACTGGTTGGACTCGCTGAGATCGGTCCGGTCCAAATCCTCGTCATAGGGATCTTCCGTCCCAGCTTTCTCGACGGATTCTGTGATCGCCGCGGGTGTGTGATTTTCAATGGATTGCAGAGTCGATTTGAGGGTGACCTTCCAGTTGATTTTCCACTGGCCTTTCGACTGGAACCTTGGAACACATTTTGATCCATTTGCCGATAGTGGGTTGCAAATTACTGCGATAGGGTTGATTTCTAAGTGTAGGATAACACATCACGCCTTGATATTTAGACGAAGAAATTATTTTTTTGAAGCGATTTCAGGTTTGGAGACTGTAAGAAAGAGGGATTGAGCTTTTTTTTTTTTTTGTTTCGCCCCGAAGTCAACTACCAGGGGCAGATTCACACCCGTAGGAGAGTACCTTAGTCGTGGAGTCCTTCCAAGTGTCGTATTGGACGGAGACAAGTATCGCTTTGTTTACCTCACATAACTTGCTGCTCGCTTAAGCATGTTGGGTTTGTCTTCCTCAAATTCCTTACTAGAATTTAGAACCAACTACCAAGTGCTATTCAGGGAATGGAAGTTCAGAATTTGTTGACGGTGATGAAGTTGAAGCCGAGTGAATCAACCAGAAGCGCAGTGTCTACGTTACTGATACTCCAAAGGCCTTGCTCATTCACCAGTAAGTTGTATTCATTTTGCTTTTCTTGGTTACCAGTTTTCCTTCCATATTTCTGTAGAGTTTCCGCGAGGGGCTGGCTTTCGGTCCCACAGAAGGCGAGCGGGGGTCAGCGTGTCAATTTGTCCTCTGGGTGTCGCATTCATGCTGTCGCTGGGGTAGGTTTGGTTGTTGTCTTCCTTTCCCTTCCATATTCTGTAGAGTAGCGCCTTCAGAATGATAATCCCGTGTCGTGGACTGGAGAAACTCAAAAATACAACACAGTCCTGGGCTGCAGCTGTGATCACTGGTCGTAGGCCTCGACCTCGATCTCGATACCACCCTCCTCGTCGTCGTTCTCCTTGTCGTCATCTTCCTTGTCGTCATCTTCCTTGTCTTCATCCTCTTCATCGGAGTCGGAGGACACGGAAGAATCGGTTGGGGCCCTTTCCTCTTCTTCAGTGTCACTCTCGTCGACGAGACGTCGATACCAGCGAATGACGTCCTTTTTCTCGGCCCGCGACATGCCACGGCTCAAACCCCCGGAGGCATGAATTCTGTGTCGCCGGATGTGAGTACGCAGGACAGCGGTCGAAGAGTAAGGGTACTATCGATCAATCGTTAATAAACCAATGGTAGCTGTTCGGGCTCATTAACTGACCCGGAAGTCCATGCAGTTCGGGAAACGACAAAAGGCTTCGCCAGGCATGATTATCACTCCCCAGTCGTTCTACATATTGGTCAGCGATATGTCCATCTTGCAGTTGACGTCCATGGAGAGAGGGTCTTCAAAGCGTGTAAATACCCACTCGTAGGGGGGATAAATCAAATCACCGCGAACCCCGGGATTGATGTAATCTTTGTAGGTTCTGGTTTCCAAGAGGAAAACCGGTGCTCCTCGTGGAGGGATCACCATGGCGAAATTGTTTGGGGTTGATTTTCGGGATATGAGTGCGTGGAAGAAGGTTGAGTGGGAGGAGAGTGCGTGGAAGGAAATTGAATGGAAGAGGGAGAGTGGTGGAAAGGTGGGTGGTAGGTAAGTGGTACCTGAGTGGTGTTTTATCACCGATTTCTTTTAACACGCACATCCACTTTTCTATACTCACATGTTGAGTAACCTGGAATCGCTTCTGTCAAGACACAGTTCACGAGACACCATTTATCCTTGTCGATCAATGATCCGCTACAAGGCATGAAGCACTATTCGCCCTGGAGGCCTTTGTGTTAACCATGAGCAGTATCCATGGATATTGACAAGATGATCCCGCATTACCAAACCTCTTCTGCCGTACTTCTCCAGAACCAACCGTGGCACACTCCCGTATATTCAACCCTCAAGGTTTCTCTCAAACATCCTCACTGACGTCGATACGTCAAGCCCGGCATCCGTCGAGCCGCTCAACACGTACCACCACTTACACGATTTAGGTACATTCTAATGCTACTCACACGGTCAGACAGATGAAAGGGACTCTACGGCAACAACGACAACTGCATCCTCAATTCCTAGAAAGCATTATCCGAGATTTGGGGCGACATTTCTTGGATCTGAAAGCTTTCTAATGGTCAACATGACGTTTCTGAAGTCATATCTAGAGGTTATCCAAACTGCGACCCTTTGCTTTGAAACTGTTTCTCGCGATGCAAGGAAAAAATGGTATTTCATATGACATTTGGAGCTTTTGTGGCAGGTTTAGTCTTGTTTGAGGTGGGCCATGGGCCCATGGCCTCGGATCTACCGCGGAGCCATCCAACACACAACCACCTGTCACAGAACCGACCACCACGATACCGAATTGTTGATTGATGAGCAAGATTTTCGAACGAGCAGTATTGCTGCCGATCGTCAGTAAGATTAAACTCCAGTTCTCCTCCAGGGCTCGGAGTTCATCTTTTGCTTATTAGCTTGTAGGATGCGCTCAGTCGGCAATGATAAGCAGCCGGAAACACGCAGCAAAATCATGGGTTGAAATGTGCGATAGAAGTATTCTGTAAGCATACTTCTGTCTGTAATGCGAGTCAAGGGCGTCATATCACAGCTGTCCGATGCTGTCATAATGCATTGGACTCATTTCTAGAGTTAGGTTTAAAGTCAGCTTTTATCCAGCAGTGTCGTGAAATCAATTGAATATTTCAGATCATAACGTACCTTCATCTTCGCTAAAGCTGTAGTTTTCCAGTTTTTCACAGTCGTCTGTCCTTTGTTCAATCGGTTCGTCCACTGGTATGCCGGTTCTGTGACGTTTGGATATATCTTTTTGATAAGATCTAATATGCCATCGGGATTCAGACAAGTGAGGTAATGCCATCGGCGCCCCTCGATCCGAGTCGCAAGGATCATATGTAGGATTTTACGAACACCATGCTGAAGTTCTTCAGATCAGTTAGTATATGATTTCCAAAAGGTTGTTTGAGAACTTACGCCAAGTCCCAACGATCCGATGTTGTGCCTGCACTGGCTGTGTGGCCTGAGTAGACGATTATCCTGAGGATATCCTCCCCATGATGCTTTTTGTACCAAGCATTGAGTCGAGTTATCAACTCTAGGCCAAAGTTGGCGATGGGAATAACGTAGGTCTCCACCTGGAAGAGGTAAAGGCCGCTGAACACATTGAGCAACTCTGCCTCCAGTCTCCCTACGCCCATTGTGTCGTTATCCCAGTGCAACGCCAAGACAAACACATTATTGTAACCCCTGTGGTCGATCGATTTCTGAACTGAGCTTGACAGATCAGCAGCGAATTGTTGAAGGTCTGTAGTAGGTGGGTTCGCCTGATAGGCGCTAATGGGATGCGATGACATTCTTGATACTTATCGCCGGTTGAGAAATGATGAATCCTCGGTTAGCACGTCATCGATAGTCTCTGTTGAGTGGGAACTTCGTCCCAACCCTCGTTTGCTGTTTGTGTAGATAGACCCTCGCTCCTGAGTCTCCTTCTTCCCTCTCTCTCTCCCGCAGTCAATCAATCAGTTCCAGCCAGCTTCTTCTTCGGCCCCGTAGCTCAAACAGTCTCGAGTAAAACGATGTGAGGATTATGTGATAGTGGATGTTCGATTGGGAAGTTGTGGATGTGACTCACAGGTCTATACCGGCTGGCGGTCATGGTCCATGGCTCACCACTTTAGTCCAAAACAGAAGAAAATCCTCTGTTGGCGGTCTTCGACCACTGGAAACACTGCACTCTTCCACGGCTCCCGTGTTCCTTCCCGTGTTCCCGTGCCTGCCTCTCTTTACAGAGTACCTACTGTTTTCGAACTCCTGAAGTCCCTTCTCTCTTCTCTTCTTTTATCAGCAGCATTTTCACTTCTGCTTTGCAAGAAGTTCATTTACCATTTACTTTTCCCTCACTATGTTCACTGTTCACGGAATTCGGCTTTGAATTCGCCGGTTTCTCGATCGAAAGATTATTGAGGCTACAAGGCGAGAGAGAAGGAGCAGACAGAACCGATAAATTCACTGCGGGGAGTGGATCTATCTACTACAAGGGCTGGGACGAACTCCCTGCGCAACAAAGATCAATGTCGACGACCTGGCCAGAATGGTCGACACCTCGACCACCACCTCACTCGCGGCCACCGTGCCAAGCCTGTCATATGTCCAGAAAATGTTCAGTCTGACACAAATCCTGGATGTCGAGTTCGACACAGTTGCACCTGCTCCACTTCCGCAGGATCTCAGTATATCACCCCGATCTATCGTGTGAAGAAATCAGCTAACCATAGCTAGAGCAATATCTGCAGTACAGAGAAAGCTCTGCCAACGAAGCTAGCATCCACTGAAGACCTGTGGTGAACGCAGTACGCAATGAAACAGAATTTACTTGCTACTACCAGACTGAAACTGAGGAGAGAGAAGGAGAGAGAGAAACAGAGAACAAACGAGAAGGCAAAAAAGAGGACAAAAGAAAGTTCTCGATTTGAAGACTGAGGGCTTGATGAAGAGTGAAGACTTCAACCGTCAAATGGGCCACATTCTTCGCAAGTTCCGTGAGACGTCCCGTACGCTCACTGTGTTGAAGCGACAGAGGAAGTTCCTAGAGGAGGACCTCGATGACGAAATCAAGTGACGACGAACCACAGCGCCCAATGACAGTGGGCTCGTTGACCGCGTATACGCTGATACGATCGTCACCCGAGTTATGAATGCCTCTACGAAGATGACGTCCCAACCCTTTGATTCCAAAACATTCAAGAAGGCTGTTATCGAACTTTACAACTTGGAGGAGAAAAACAACTTACAATTGAAGAGTATAAGCTAATTGATATTTCTACAGGACTTGGATGGACATGTTTTGACGTTTCTCAATCAGGCAAAAGAGAGGGCAAAAGAGAGAGCATATATCAACAAAGCTCAACCTCTTACTCGTCCGTATCCGCCGACTTGTAACCTCGTCGCTTCCTAACTCAACAAGGCCCATCAGTATTCAGATAGAGCGAGCTTGAGCATACCGCCGTGTCGAATAGAAGGACAAAACCCACACTATCTCGGGGAAACCAGACTACACTATCTGGTATGGAGACGAAGAGGATATTGATCTAAGCGTGGTGATCGTTGAGGCGAAGAGACCATCCGGCAGGTCTCTGGGAGTCCTGCAGGCCTTAGCATATATAGGCAAGTGTTTCTCAATCTCGTTGCCGACCCAAGACTAACTTTGTAAAAGCCTGCGTCCATCGTCAGCGAAAGGATCTCGGTAAAGCTGACACAACTGTGTACGGCATTGCTACCGACGCTATGACATTCCACCTCCTGAAGTTGGACAATGAGTCTCGGGTAAGTTTATCTACATCGTGTAAGTGACCGCCACTCTAATGTTTATTAGTGGTCAGTGAAGCTCGTTCCCGTGGTCGACAATAAATATGAGGAAGTGTTCGGTGTGATCATCCACCTGATGCGAAAAGCTGCGTCTATGTCCCCCACTAAATCTAAGCGCACCTCCCGCCGCACCCAAGAGGGGTCCGGTGACTCCGATTTGATCTTCGACCACAACCCTGAGCGTGATGTGGACTTGGACGATGAAATGGTGCTGATGAATTAGGCAGATGTGGGATGATTTTATGTGGACTTCTTTTTTGTTTCTACAACTCCTTGCTTCCAAGGTTCTCCTCTGTTTTGCTGATGTACTGTTACCGGATAAAAATCAAAGTCAATTCCTCTTGAACGAGCGGCTTCCTCGCTGTCATTATCATATAAGAAATCATGAGCTGCCCTAACGAGTAACATGAAGTTTGGATACTAGGACCCCTTGTCCGCGTCGTCACTATCATATTCGTCATCACAGCTTTCCTCTTCATCTTCCTCGTCACGCTGTGAGGATCCATACACAAGAACGGCGTCCTCGAGCGAGCGTCTTGGGTGATTAATCTGCCTCACCCCAGCCTCAAGGAGTAACTGAGAGTCCCTTGAGCGTCCAAAGGATACGCCATCAAGAAGCGGCTTGTACTCATGCCTGAGCTCCTCGACGAATGCTAGTAGCATGTTCTTGGGTAGATAGCGACCCGGGGTGCCCCAGAGTGGCTTTCCTCCTTTCATGATCCGTATAGCCTCTTCTCCTCCTTGTGACTCAGATTGCCATGAGTACCGGAGGAGTTGGACGATATAATTGATCGTCCGATGCCTATTTTATGCAGAATTTGAAGGGCTTTGGGGCGTTCGTGTCGATGGTGTGCCATTGTTTTGGCCAATGATCACATTTCGAATAGCACCAACAAGGCCTCCTTCTTGTCGGGACTGTCTTATACAATCGATGACAGCAAAGCAGCCTCCTCCATACAAATATCTCGCAGCCGGGCGAAAGTCAGACTTGAAAGTCAGGCGTCTGTTGTTGAGATCTTTATCTCTCAGTGGTAGATCTCGTGTGATCTGCTTGTCCAGTTTGTTCCAGTTGGGGTCCAAGACTCGCATTTTCAGATTTCGGACAGGGCTCTTGAGCCAGTTAACAAGATCAGCAATTTTTGGCCGGTCCTCCAGGTCAGGAACAATGACCAGTTTCCCCAATTCTAGGTGCTGCTCGATGAAGACTGAGACAAGGATCCCGTTTCGTGGCGAAAAAAGCCCAGGATGCTTCCTTTTTCCAGTTCAAGTGCGCCCATTTCACTCTTCCACGCCCAGTACTCCTCATCGAAGGGCTCCTGTGACTTTAACCGCTTTCTAGCCGATTTCAGGCTGTCGTTCAGGTGGCGTTTACGGTTCTTGAGCGCAGGGAGATCTTTGCGGGTGAGCCAGGACGGCTGATAGGATTGTTCATTTTGATATCGTTTGATGAAAGTATATGAATGGGTGTGGCATGTGTGAGATTCAAGTACGCCTGGTAGTTTCCCTAGTAGTCCCCATGCCCTCACCTGGGCAACGGAACTCAACCATGGAACCAACCCCACCACAGTCCTAGGGCTATCACTCCAGTATGATCTGGTATTTCGGACAGAGAGAACTGGAGAGAGGACTGGAGAGAGGACTGGAGAGAGGACTGGAGAGAGGACTGGAGAGAGGACTGAGAACACTACAAGGAATGAAAAGGAAATTTGCAGGAGGACTTAGAGTGATAGCTACTTAGTTGCGCAAGTCTTTCCCTCCTGTTTGGTAACTGGAGCTAGGAACCCCGTCTTTCCTATCAATGCAGCCAGCTCCTGTGAAAAATATTCCGGGTTGATGTCTGATAGTGGTAGATGGTCGTGCATCAATGCCCGGCCATGCAGCATAGTATCATCCGCTGGTGTGGGAGAAGCCACGGTTTCCTGAACTGTGGTCTCCTTCTTTCGCTCCAGTGCTTGAGCTTGCTGGCGTGATTCTTCTTTCATAACAGCTTCCCATTTTTTTGGTCTGCGGTCTCGTGTTTGCGGTCGATATCCTACAGATTCAGGTCAGAAGAGACGGCCAAGATGAAACGCCAACCAGACTCAATGGCAACATTTAGTCATACCCTCTCATTGTCCAATCATCATCTGATATCCTCTGTTAAGTGGGGCCAAAAATCGGCCCCTGGGGAATTCCAAAATTCTCCAAGCGTCTATTGGTTGCCTCTGGTAGATAGTTTGTCCAATCACATTTCGCCAGTGACATACTGTCTTCCCGGGATAATTTTGGCACTCCGTATACAAACCAAGCAGGGGTATTCATTATTTTCTAAACAATCTCTTTTTTCGATCTCAATCGCTTACCTTCAACGGCATAACCTATGCTATCTTATTTCACAAGACGAGCGCCCTCAACATCCAGGCCGGCAATCTCATCATTCCTGCCGCACCCCCAAGTTTCAGCAAGGATGTGTTCTGCTATTCCCCAACAAGTGGTTGCAGCCTCTCGCGAAAGTCCTGCTCCCTATCGAACTCTGGCATTGAGCCCCAGTGAAGATAGCCCAGATATTTGCCAGAGATATAGGCCATTTATCCTTGACAAGGAGGAACCTGAAGATTGGATCAACAAGTTGGAGTTGAACTCTGCAGTAGACATGGCCGAAGCCAACCTGCAGGCTACAAACGAGAGGCTAAAAGTCCTTGTACTCTATGGCAGTCTTCGAAGAAGGTCCTATTCGCGACTAGTGGCATTAGAAGCTTGCCGTATCCTTTTCCGGCTCGGCTGCGATGTACGCGTCTTTGACCCCGAAGGTCTTCCAGTGAAGAACGATAGCGACGTTAGCCATCCTAAAGTACAGCAGCTCAGAGAGCTTAGTCAGTGGAGCGATGGACACGTCTGGGTTTCGCCCGAACAACACGGCAATCTCGTGAGTGACCCCCAAGCGATCTTGATTACTTAAGTCCCGCAATTACTTACTGTTGCTTTTTTGCGACTCTAGACCGCTGTATTCAAAAATCAAATCGATTGGATTCCTTTAAGCTCGGGGAGTGTCCGTCCCACCCAAGGCCGAACCCTCGCCATTGCCCAGGTATGCGGTGGGTCCCAATCTTTCAATGCCGTCAACTCTCTGCGTCTCTTGGGTCGGTGGATGCGTATGTTTACTATCCCGAATCAATCATCAATCCCCAAGGCATACACACAATTTCCGGATGAAGGCCAACCGGGAGATCAACGACTGATGCCTAGTGGCAACCGGGATCGTCTGGTGGATTGCATGGAGGAGTTTGTCAAATACACTATTCTGATGCGGCCTCACATCGGTCTTTTTGGTGATCGATTTAGTGAGCGGGAGGAGAAGAAAGTAAAGCAGGCAAACATGAATGCCACTCCGGTTAAATAAAGGCATACATCAACATACACAATACCAGATAACAAAAGATTAGAGATATAGTATTCAATTCACTTCCCGGTATAAGCTGACAGCCTAAGAAATCACTGAAGCCGTGGAAAATGGGCGTTTCTCATGATGCTCAATTCAACCAAAGAAATTGCCGTTTAGTTCCGACCTTTGTGTGCAAGATTTGCCTCTGGTCGAGAGAAAACTTAATGATCCGGAATTGGTTGTCTGACAGCAGGGACATACTACTCCCGAAAATTCGATGGTTAGAGACTGAAAATCAAATTTGGGCAGAAAATAACTCACGGGATAGATCTTAATCTTTTCAAGATCCCATACACCACTCGTAGCGTAAATGTCGTTGTTGATCATCCTCCGAACCTCATCAACGTCTTCGCCGGTGTAAACAACCACGCTCCCTAGGAACTTTGCATCTTCGCCTTCCTGGGGGTGTTGTTCGAAAATTGCGCCTACAGCTTGATCAGTTATCTCCAGGTTTGGAACAATTGAACAAT